TCCTCTCTCTCTCTCTTTCTTTTTTTTTTTTTTTTTTTTTTTTTTTAATTTTTTTTTTTTTTTTTTTTTCCCCCCCCCCCCCCCCCCCCCCCCCCCTTCAGTGCGGCCCGGCCTCGGTTTCCCATTCTAGCCGCCGACAGCAAAGTGTTAGCTTAGACCGGGGGTCCATCCAATAAAACGAAATGACTCGGCGTGGGGGTTGTTTTCGTTTCTTTTTAACTTTCTTTCCTTTCCAAGGGAGAAAGAAAGAGAGTGAGTGAGGAGAGAGAGGCGCGGCACGGTCGTCAGCTGGTCCACTAGGCGCGGGGGGGAGTAAAGAAAAGGGAAAGGGGGAAAAAAAGAGCCAAGTGATCTCGAGAGTTCGAGTTGCAACGAGGAGAGAAAAAACACCGGTCGATCGTGAGGTCATCTGGCTTATTTCGTTTGAGTGGTCTCCCGCGTAGGAATGATGTCGTGCTACCCCATCATCTCATGCTTCTCGTCAGACAAGCGTGGAGTTAGTTAGCTTCAAGCCGGGTGATTGATGTTTGTTTCTTCGTTCGGTCGGGGTTTCTTTTTCCTTGGGGCGTCCGCCGCTCACGAGCAAGCAAGCAAGCGCTGATCCCTCAGGTAAGAAGAGAGAAAAAAAAGACCCCGCGCCAAACAGTTCGAAGCATTGACCAATCATCGCGGGCGTGTAAATAATGCGACGGCGGGCTCCAACTTGTATACGACTTTCCCTTATTGTCCAACGGCAACCGGGAAAAGTAAATGAAGAGCTGTTGGTAAAAACTCTTAGTTGATGGGTTGAAAATCGAGCTGACTTGTCTGCATGAAACGGGGACCTCTTAAGAGATATAGACAATAGATCGACAAGTTAATCCATCTCCCCCATCTCCTAAATTCTGCTGCTGTAAGTGAACCACCACATTTGCCTATCTTTGAAGGACCGATCGAATGAGGCGGGTGGCCGGGGGGGTGGTGGTTTTCAGACAGCCTCCTGTCGTTCTTCCATACGAAAGCTTCATTATCCCGATAGCACAACCACAGATTTTGATTAGAAGTCCAAACTTTTCCAGCTGGATAGGAGTCGGGACAGGCGTAGAATTTATATCGTTTTAGATAGCCTGTCACGAGAGCTCTTTTGGGCAATTTGTTACCTAATAATTCGCAAATCCGAATCAGAATGTCGTCTAATTGCGCCATCAAGGTCTTGCTCCACCGAAAAAAATAATAATAAAAATAATACTAATAATGAAAATCCTAGCCCCTGTCTATGTGAACTTTAGAAAACTTAAGCTATTGATCTAAGAGTCTATCTACAGTACCTGATAATCCTACAACAATCTGGCATATGTATCATGGGGTATACATGCCTCACATACACATACATATACATATACCTATACATATATACCTACATATGCATAAGCATGAGCATGAGCAAGCGTGGTTGGCGGCAGTGTATCTAGAGGCTAGAGGCTAGAGGCTAGAGGCTAGAGCAGATCTAGATAGAGAGATAGGTATCTATAAACATGGAACTCAACCACTACAATGCTCGAAGCGGTTGGGGGCTCAGCAAGAGATCTCTCTCTCGTCGATCTATCCTTATCTCTCCTATCACGCAATCATTACCTTATCTTGAGGAATAAGAACACGGACACCTGCTTGTCCCAAGCCTTAGTCAATCCCATAAAGCTAGTAGGTCATCCTTTTTTATTATGTCTTGTCATCCTTTCTAAGTCTTCTTGTTGATACTAATGCCCTTGAGGTTCTTAGCTTTTAGAGTTGCAAGATAGAAGTTACTTAAACTTCTATACTTCTGTAACAAGAGTGGTGAGAACTGTATAACTCTTAAGTTGCAAGACTTAAACTCACCCATGAGAAATGGCTTTCTCAACTGAGCAGAGGCTCACAAAGCCGCAAGCAAGGCATGGCTCTTTGTTCGACTTGATGTCGTCAACCATCCCTTTGTGTGCTTATAGATGGACTTGGCAATGATGGGAATCGATGGCGACTTATCGAATTATGCTGCCCTGAGAGGGTACGGAGGCAAATATGGCTTGTTACAAAGTACACATGCATCGTCAGGACGATGTCGACGACACTCTCGACGGCCTCGAATTTTAAGCGGACCTGGTTGCAAGTTTTTTTGTGGACTAGGCTTCTCTTTCAATCACTATGTGATAATGTATGGACAGGTGGAAGCACTTCAGAATTGGGAATATTCGGCTCACCCGCTTTCCACGTCTCAACCATCACCATCACAACAACACTAGCATATAACCCTTCTTTAGCACCGCAAGGCTCCATGTTTTCCTTGCTAGGGTGCTACAGCCGGGGAGCTGGTTCTCCAGAAGGAAATCTCTTTGGAAAAGACGGTGATGACTATGCTGTCCCGACTAAGGTGCCTCCCGACAAGTTAACCATCAGTGCTTGCCTCGAAGCCTGTACAGCATTGATTCCGCCAAAGAAGACTTCGGATCACTACGGACTCGTTGGACTGAGTAACGGAAGGTAAATAGTCAATCTCTGCTGCCTTGTGCTGCGTCTCTGGCAACCTCCTAACTATTTCACGCGTGTTCTCGTTCTCAACACTAATGAATCGCGTAATAGTGAGTGCTTCTGCGGATTAGAACTTGTAGCGGAAGCTCGTAAGCTTACTCTTGGGGCCTGCGACATGCCTTGTACTGGCGACTCGACCCTCTCATGCGGAGGAAGAGATACTGTCGCCGTGTATCGCTTCGTTGCTGCCAGCGAGGGCAATACGGTGACAAATAAAGGAAACTCCCAGGATGACAGCTACAGCAGCGATGTAGGAGATGAGAGCAAGACCGCCCCTCTCGGAGTTTCGCTATCTTCCGTCATCGATCCAAATGCGTTTCTCAAAGCTACAGACGCCACAGAGCCTACCGAGACAGAAACCCTAGGCGAATCACAAGAAGCTACAGACAAAGCAGCCATGCCCTCGTCGCCGCCTCTTCCATCTTCGTCATCAGATGCTCCTGACCAGTCAGCGAAAGGATCTACCATCGCCGCGGTAACAGGCAGTATTTCAGGCGCTGTCATCCTAGCAGCGTTCATAGTTCTGTGCGTCAAATATTACAAGCGGAAGAAGCTCCAGCAGGCCGCCCATCGCACAGAAGTCGTGCCCGAGAAGCAGCACGGCAAGGATCACGACAAGCAGCTCCCGCGACGACCGATCCCCAGCGCGATCGACACCACGGGTCGTCAGCTGCTGGGTAGCGAAACCGAGCCCGAGCGTGTTGCTAAAGATGAACGCGCACGCGCACGCGGACATGCGAAAAGGGACGAGGATCTTGCCTATCTTGGTAGTTCCGGCCCGTCAGCATCGGATGGCGCGTACTTCGTGCCCACGACTCCGGCCCTCGAATCCGGCACTCGCCTGCGCCACCCCGAGCACTCCTCTGCCCGCCTATCAATAGCACCGTCCCCCTCCTCGGACCGAGACACCCTGTACAACAGACTCCTAGACGAAGTCCGCTCTGGCCCCGTCTTCCCCGCGCCCTCCCCCTCGCCTTCCGGCCCGTCGTTGCAGCCGCCCCAGCAGCCCCCGTCGTCCGCCACCAGCTCGGCCGTCCAGTGGCGCAACCAGCCGCCGCTGACGCCGTCCGCCGGGTCCGCCGCGCAGTTCGACTTCGACTTCCACAACGCGAGCGCGAAGACCGCCACAGTGCCGAGCCCCGTTCTCCTTCCCGTTCCGCCTGCTGCTCGTCCCGAGGCCCCGCTGGGCGATCGCGCTTGGCACAGACGCAAGATCTCGGCGGCCTTCCAGCCGCCCGCTAGCGGCCCCCCGTCCATGCCGCTGCCCCCGACGCCGCCGCGACGCACCGCGCAGGAGCAGCAGCAGCGGTTCGCCGAGCTGTCGCGGCTTTCGCTTACGCCTTCGCCTGCGCCGAGGGGGAAGACTAGTACTACTGGTGGTGGGAAGAAAAAAGGTCCTCGTGTCTCTGCGGTGCCGAAAGCGCTTCCCTTGGGAATTGCTGAATCAGCGAGCCAGGGCGCGAGCACGCGGAGAATGTCGGCGCCGCAGTCCCCTGCGCTGAAGGACTCGCCTACCATGCCGCGAGGACGAAGGGATTCGCAGTATCCGCGACGAGCCGGGGCCGCGCAGGGAGGAGTGGAGGAGGTAGGGATGCAGCCGCTGCCGCCTCGAACGCCGGATTCTCGATCATCCAGGGGCACGATTTACACGGTGGGAGAAGAGAACCTGGGTGGTGATGGTAGTGGTAGTGTAGCGGGAGGAGAGGAACTCTCACCGTCGTCGGTGAGTACAGTGGGAACGAGTATTTTATTCCCGTCTGATGATGAGGGCCAATCGTAGCATAACGTACCTAGATAATGAAGCTAAGCTAATGTTTTTATATGGCCTTCATGCATGCTGCAGTAGTCCTCACAACGGTGCTCTCCTAACAGAAACCTACGGTAGACGGGAACGGTATTCTTAATAGCTCTATGTTCAGTTAATAGTTCCCACGGAATCGAAATGTCCGTAATGTTAGGTAGTTTTCTCATTAATCATTTTTCTTTCTGTCGTACTGTAATTCCCTACATTAGTTAACGCCCGGTCTTATATCCAATCCACCCCCCTATCGTCAAAATACCCCAACATAAAATTCCATTCTTATATCCTCCAAGACATTATCTCATATCCCCCCCCCCTCTTTTCATCCCGTATATTTATTATTAAGGGGATATAAAGCTCGTATTTGTAAAGGGGTATTATATACACACACACAATCGTAACGAACATAAATATGATAGGGCAGGCTTGGCAGTAAGCTTTCCGCTCACAACATCCCAGCAACGACCAATATCGCACCGAGCGCGACGCCCATCATCCCCGTAACAATCGACCCTTCCGGTCCCGGCGTCCCCATCCTCCTCCCCGGCGCCGCCCCGCTAGCCGCCTCGTCCGTGACCGTCGGCGTGCCCAGGGTCGTCGACGTGGTCAGCGTGCCGCTCACGGCGAGCGCGACGGCCGCGAGCCCCGTGCCGGTCGTCGTCACGCCCGCCGAGTCCGTCGTCGTGAACGTCACGGTCTCGGTGGTCGTGGGGCCCCAGCTCCATCCGGACCCCCAGCCGACCCACCCGTTGAACCCGCCGAGCCCGTTCCACCCGCACCCGGGCCCCACGAACCACGGTGACCCGTCGAACGTGCACCCCGTCACCGTGGCCACGCCCCCCGTCCACGTGCGCGACGACTCGAACGCCGACGCCCACTCGCTCCAGTACTCGCGGTACGAGTCCGCCGCGGACGAGATGGCCGACGCGTTCGGGGGCCCGTTCCCGTTGCCCTTGGTTCCAAAGGGCTCGCCGCCGAACGCCGCCTTCTGCCCGCCTCCTCCCCAGCCGCCGGGGACGGCCCACGTCACGGGCCCGCCCGAGTAGGTCACGGTGCGGACGCCGGTGCTGCCGGCGGAGGTGCACTCGGCGTAGCGGGAGCAGAGGGAGCTGGAGAGGGAGGAGTAGGACTCGAAGGCGGTGGCGGAGGTGGACGCGGCACAAGCGCTGCTGATGCACGAGCCGATGCTGTTGCCGCGGTCGGAGTCGCAGTACTCGGACTGCGCGGGCCAGCCGCTGGTTACGGTGGCGGTGGGGCTGGACCAGGCGGAGGAGAGGCAGGATTGCTGGTGGAAGGACGAGCCAGTCAGTGGATGATGAGTTGGTGGTGGGATTATAAGTAAGGCAGATTGGATAAGACAGAAGAGGAAAGGGGATAGGCGTGAGTGGAAAGAGAGTAACTTACAGCGCAACCCGGAGCACCTCTCCACCACTGCGCTGAGGCAGCCGTAGGCGCCAATACGATGGCGACAGTTGACGTCTTCATCTTCCCGAGCCGTGTATATGAGCGTATAGGTAAGGTATATATATCTATCCCCTATACTCCAAGCTGACCCAGTCGTGAGATCTAATCGTCTTATCCCAATATTCCAAGAAGATAGGAGATACGTATGTGTATATAAGGTAGGTAGGTAGGTAGGTTGGTATGCAATGCCGTTGCGAAGCACGGATATGTAAAAGATACTAGACACGTGAAGATAGAAAAGTTTGAAGAAAAGCACGTAAAAAACGAAACACGACAGCATATACTTATATACTTCTCAGCCCCCCCTCCCCCTGGAGAGCTGGCGTGGCCGAACAAAGAAAGACCGGACGGGATCAGCAGTCGAGAGTTTTTTGTGTCATGTATGTCAAGGTGCCTGGCCCCATCATCACATCACGTAACCTAAGAAACTCAGCGTTGTCCAACAAGCAAGCAAGCTTACCATGGGGTGGGCTGCGAAGGCTCGTTTCGTCGTCATCGCCTTCGCCTACCTTGCCTGACCTGTCTAGCTTCTGCATACTCTAATTTTCGAAGACGAGGGGGGAGGGGGGAGGGGGCGTGTGGGTTTCTTCCTCTCCTCTGCTCTCCAACAACACGCTGGAGGCTCGGCTACCCAATTTAGTTCGGGCGGCAGAAAAGAAGAAAATAAGAGAAATATGCATACATACATGCCTCCTAGGCACATACAGAGAAGTAAAAATGGAAATAGGGTTAGGCCAAGGTCGGGCTGAGTTTTGCACAAAGGCGGGAAAGAAAAAAATGGGTTAAGTTTCCAGAAGAACACACACACACACACATACACATACACACTTACATAGTACATACATAGGTACACACCTTTTTCGCTCCTAGTTGCTGGTCCTGTATGGGATGCGTTTCCCAGCCCCAAGCCCTAGGGGAAGCCGCGCGTTCACGCAGCAGTAGCTCGCCGCCCGCGAGGGCAAATAATCAGAAATTACCTACCTACCAGGTAGGTAGGTAGCAACGCAGCAGCGTCTTGTGTACGACCAATATCCGGGGAAAAGGGCAGCGTTGGACCTGGTTGGTTCTGAGCATCAGCTGTCGGGAGATATGTTGTGCTACGAAGAAACGACTACGTAGGTCCTGTAAGCTGTGAGCTGTGAGCTGGGGCTAGTTACCTTACCTTACCTTACCTACCTTACCTACCTTCCTTCCTTACATTATATTAGGTTAGATCTGCATGGTTAGATCTGTATGTCTGTATGGTTAGGGCTGTAGGCAGGACTCGTAATCGTCTTATGTAGGGCTTAGCCAATATGCAAGTATATGGGCCGATTATACCGTCTGATCGCCAAGAGAGTATTTGCGTGTCTTAAAGACAAGCAACTTGAGACGCAAGACAATTAACAGGTAGGTACCTACCTTAACTAAACTAATCCATCGAACACTTAGTTTACATAGGTATACATACACACATATATGACGGCATACATAGTACAAATCCTGGATCGAAATGGGAAACACAATTCCATCACTTGTCTCTCGTCTTCCCGAGACAGACTAAATGGCTGAGCACGTAGGTAGGTACCTACCTAAGGCAGTAATAAGCTTCGTCAGTGATGCAATTGAATTGAAGCAGGTAAGTCTGTCTCTTCTCTCCTCTACCCACGTACCTAGGCAGTAAAACCGAATCGATGTTTGTTTGCGCGGGGTTAAGCATTGGGGACGTCCGAGAGCGAGCTTTGGTGAACCGTACATTACCTACTTCATATAAACGTGGCCAATCAGCGTCGGTCTTCATGGTCTCGTAGTCCTCAAAACGGTAAGTCTGGGCAATATTCCCGGTCCCGAAGGAAACGCGGGTTTCCTTTTCTTACCGCTTTCCCGTCTCTCTTCGGTCTGTACTATTTACTTTGCTTCGCGCAAGGGTCCAGAGAATACTAAATATAGGTAGACAAGATGTAACCTTATCTATTTCATGACGAACGGTTTTTCTCTCTCTTGCGGCTCAAATTGAATGGATTAGCATAAAGTAATTGTAGAATCGAACTTACACACACGTGAAAGCAAAGCTTCTTCACACATTATAGAAAAGCCTCCGCATCGAAGACTGACGTGTAGACTTGTCGATCACCCTCGACGTTTCTCAACATTGAAGACGTAAGCACATGTTCATCGGAACGGCAAGTTTGACAAGGCAAAGATGGGCACAGGGTAGGCTACACCTGAGGCTGGATCAAAAAAACAGTCTATTGCGACACTGTTGTACATGACTGGTGCTATTCCCTTCCCTCTCGACGTCAAAGTCCTATGACTCCGCCTCGGAACAACCATACCGGGATAAGACGCGTAATGCCCTCCATTAAACCTCCCTCGTGTAGAACTCCTAATACAATATGCACAAGACCTGAAAACGCCCTTCTTGAATCAATAACCGGCTCTTCAAGGCGCCACTAACCGAAAGAGGAACAAAGAAATGTGGCATAAACCACATTATCATAACGACGTCTTAGGCATTGTCTGAAGAAAAAAACAACAACACATCACCGTCGAATCATGTGGATATTATGTGGCGGCGAATAACCAAAAATCGTTAAGCATCAACGATGTGGGGTTACCGCCTCCTGAATTTAGACAGCGGACGCCTACCCTAGAGCATCGTGCCAAACGTCTCGTCAGTCTGGATCCGCTTCCGTGGGCTACCATCTTCTGTGGTAGGCTTCCGATGACGGAATGTAAATCCAACGAAGAGGCCTTTGCTCATCTGCTCCTCTCGGTCGGCCATGCTTTCAAGAGCCTGTTGTTTATCGTGGACTTCTTTGTACTTGGCCATATCAGCTTCGTTGGTGAAATCATCAAAATACCCTGCGTCCGTCTCCGAGTCCAGCTCGGGGACAAACGGGGCTTTCGACTGTCTCAGAGTGTTCCAATCTACTTCGGCGAAATAATGATGCTCCAAGATATCCTTAATGTTGGAAAACCGCTTGGATCTCGAATTAATACAACTAGAGTTGGTTAGCCTTGGTTCAGAGAGCTAATACTAGCACGAAACATACGTGGTGATAAAGTTCCAAGTTCGGGTACTTAAGAAATAGTTGGGATCCTCCCAGACGGGTCGCTTGAGCACCTCCTTCCAGTGCTTCAGATTATGCCATGTCTCGTCGGCTGTGGAACCTGCGAAAGGAGGGAATCCGGTAAGAGCTTCGAATAACATGCATCCTAAGCTCCAATAGTCGACGGTATAGTCGTACTCTTCACCACGGAGCACCTCCGGAGCCATGTAATCTGGCGATCCTACTATGGATTTCGCATAATTCGTGTCTCTCTCACGCATGGTTTGATAACCCTCTCGGCGCTCTGCCATTGTTCGTTTATCCATAGCTTTACCAAACGGTACGTCAGTCTCAGAAGCCTTCTCAAGCCTGATACGCATCGAGTTGATCTTTGACGATGCGACATTACCAGCCGCCAAGCCAAAGTCAGTCAGCTTGACGTGGCCCGTGGAATCGATAAGGAAGTTCTCCGGTTTTAAATCCCGATGGATGTAACCTAACTTGTGAAGTGCGTCCACGGAACAGAACATCTCAGCTATATAGAAGCGAGCGTGACGGTTGGATAAGACTCCCGTGTTGTTGAGGAGCGTTCTGAAATCTCCACCAGGTACGTATTCCATAGCAAGATAGATATTCTTGTCGTCCTGGAATGAGTATAGGAGGCGGACGAGCCACTCGCTGTTGGCAGTGGTAAGGATATCTCTCTCCGTGAGGACATGGCGGATCTCGTCCAACTTAAAGAGTAGCTTCTTGTTCATGACTTTCAACGCGCACACCTCCTTGGTATCCTTTTTCTGGGCTAGGAACACTTGACCGTAGCCTCCTTGACCCACCTGAGTCAGAATTTGGAAATCACCCTGTCGAAGGCGTATGCGACGCTTGCGGAGGTTCGCGCGCTCTCTGCCCGTGTACTTCTGCCACAACTGGTTGTACTCTTCTTGATCAGTTTCCGGAGGCGGTGGCACCTCGGCCTTAAAGGCGTTCAGCCGTGATTGTCTAGCGCCAACGTAGGTGAGCAGATCAAAGTAGTAGTCCAGGAAGTCTTTTAAAAAGTTAGCACTAGTTATAGTTATAGTTATAGGCATAAGCATTATTAACTGAGCAAGAAGATAGTCTTACATAGTTGGGTAACGTTAACCAGACGGCGGACGTTAGGCTTCTTTAGAAGCTCCATCTCTTCTGGGGTGAGACCGCGAGATGTGTTAAATCTCTTAGTCGAGAGTGCTGTTGATCGAGGTTCTCGGAGCTGATAGAGTTCTGCGCGCGATATCGCAGCTTGGTTATGCTGGTAGACGGAATCTCGCACCGGGATTCTAGACGGTGGCGTGTTTTCCTGTCCCTGCTTCTTCAAAGGAGTTCCCGCGGGTTCCCCTGCCTTATGAACGACGTTGTTATCCACAGTGGGGGATGCAGTTGGAAAGTATCCATCGTCAGCTGGTTGGATGTTGCTCTTGGCTGGAGATAAAGGGCTAGCTCCATTCTGAGGTCTTCCAAGCCTGACTGGGCTATCAAGAGATACTGGGTTAAGCTTCAATGCATCAAATGTAGTAGGAAGTTCATTGGCTCCCGGAGGTAATGTTTTCTTGCTCGGGCTACCCTGAGGTGTTGAGATGGGAGTGATGAATGAGTTCTTGGTAGGTGTTCCAGGAACGTCTGAGACGGGCGACTTGATATCTTTTGGGCCCGGAGAGGGAAACATGGTGGATAAGAAGCTTGCCATAGCTGCAGGCACCAATGAAGAACGTTGGAACAACTTCTGGCGTTGAAAGCGTCAAAGAACTGCCGCGAATAAACACGAAGCCCAAGGCAAGGGAGGGGCTCGCTTTGAGAGCAGTGCAGTTTCGATAAAAAGACGAAGATGGATCCAATTGATAAAAAAAAAAAAAGACCAATTCTCTTTCGGGTGATTATGCAAGATGCAAGATGCAACGAGAACGATCCAAACTCCACGCAGGATGGGTTGATCACTTAGCAACCAAATGATGATGCTTGTAATTTTTTTATTTTTTATTTTGTTACATTACATGCCGGTTGGAAGAATGAAAGGTGGGATAACGTCGCGATTGGGCTGGGATGAGAATATGGCGGGGTCTTTGAATTCTTGGGGAACAATAACAATAATAGATGCAAGTTATGTATTATACATGACATACATGAGATATGTAAACTGGTAAACCGTAAAGTCAACAACTGTCACCCCGGCAGCCGCTAGACCTCGAAACGCCTAAGTTGTTGTTGGTGCGCACCTGGCTAAACCAATGAACCTGGCAGCCCTGGGACAATTGAGATCTCCCTTCCTTCCTCCCCTGCTTAGTGCTCCGTGCTACCTTGTCATCTTATCATTTATTGGGGATAGTACGATTCGTAGTACCGTTTGAATTCATAAAAATAGCACACTGTGCGTTGTGCACCAATCCCCCAATTGACGTGATGCAATAGCGTTGCACAAGGCTGAAATATCTTGCAAGAACCCATATTTCACAACTCCGTACCTACTTCATCAATATCCCCCTGTCCCCAGTCTCCAACCCGAGTTTCCACACGATTCGCCCTGAAGTCCGACGCATTATTTTTTTTTCTTAAACGACCATCGGTCCTTCTTAGAAGCTATCGACACCTTTAGCAACTCAACCATCATGCCGAAGGAGAAGAATTTCAACCCGGTGCAGGCTCAGCGTAAAGCTGAAAAGGCCAAAGCACTCAAGAAAGGTACCTATATTTTCGTGTCGCCATCATTATTGCAATCAACGATGTTGAAGTCTAAAGGCGACGACGTACTAATAATAGCTGGCTCATAGGCAAGGCAGAAGCTGCAGCCCGTCGGAACGAGAAGCTCGCGAAGCGAAACCCCGACAGGATACAGAAGCAGATCGACGACCTAAAGAAAATCACATCTAGTGGCGGCAAACTTACCAAGCACGAGGAATCAGTACTGGAAGGGCTGGAGCGTGACCTGAAAGCAGTTACCAAGGCCAGGGAAGCACTTGGCGATAAAGCACCATCTTTTGGCCGCAGCAGTGGCCCTAGAGGTGATGGCCAAAGGGACAATAATGTGCTGGGCAAGCGAAGAAGAGGAGGCGGCGATGACGGCTTAAGCAGCGATAGCGACGTACCCGAAGACGTCAGAAATATTCCTATGCCGCGAGACACGCCGCCGCCAATCCCGAAAGAGATACTAGATAAATGGTATGCGAAACGCAGAGCTGCACGGAATGCAAACGATACACCACTGGGCGGCCAGGACAAGCAACCGCCGCCATCTGCGCCGGTGGAGTCCAAGACGGTATATGAAGCGAAGCCGATAGTACGCGATTTGCGTAAAGAGGCCGTCAGCGCATTCGTGCCCACGGCAGTTCGGATGAAGATGGAAAAGAGCAAAGGCCACGGTGGTCTAATGGAACCTGAAGAGGCAGATCGTTTGGAAAAAGAAGGCTATCTCAAGACTGTTCCGGCCCAAAGTGACGCGTCAGAACTTACTACGACGACAGGGCCCCAGAAAGTTTCAATGGAGGAAGTGGAAGACGATCAAGATTGAGCCTATCGAAATTCAATAACCATCCAAGCCGTTCTCGCGGGTGGCCGTTGCGTTGGAGTCGGGGCCCGTTCCTATTAGTTGGAAGTGCGACGGTTCCTAGCTGAACCCCACGGTTGTCGATAAAGTGCAGAGCTTTGTTGTTACGCTTTGGCTGAATCCTACTGTCTCCTCCTGTCTCCATGCTACCTAGAGCAGCTTAGAGGAGAAGCCGAGAGACAGGGACGGCACGTTCCTTCGTCGCTGGTGCATGCAGCAGAGACGATTCCTGGTAAGAAAGATAGCTTATCAAAAAGGTATGTTGGTCCTAGATACCTAAGTCTGGAGCATTGGGTATCACCATAGGCCAGGGTAGGCCAGGGGTAGACCGGTAGTTAAAGGTTTTGTGGAGGTGATTGTGTCCCTAGCGGTTGTGAAGTACGAATTTTCGAGACGTAATGTATATGCAACAAGAGCGTGATATCACGCCTTTCATACCTTGCCGCTTGACGACTGGCCAAAGTGGGTTCTGGCGGGGTTAGAAAAGTGCGGTCTGCTGCCTCCGAGGACGGATGGTAACCTTGATGTTCCTGGCTTTCGGTCGAGATCGAACGCTAATGTGGATCCGGATATAGTCATCGATGTCAAAATTGTGCCAACAACTGGGTCCGGAACAGTCTATAGCTACTTATAAAAAATGGCTTCTAGACGTTGCCCAACTTTAAAAAGAAAAAATTATGCTTCTTGAGCGTTTTCTCTCTCTAATACTTAATAGCAACTCGTCAGCTAACCCCAGTCTTGCCTATATATAAGATAGACTCGGCACGCAATGGAAGATATAGAAAAAGCCGAACAGTTCTCACAGACCCCTGTCGCAGAGACCCCCAATTCGGCTTACCTTGAGAAGGACCAGGAATACTTTGACGCAGACCAGAAGCCTGATTTGTCTGCGCAGGACGTCGGGCAAGTTGTCGACAAGACTAATACTAACACCGGTCGAGAGACCCTCCTTGGGGATGAAACATACCCGGAAGGAGGGCTAGAGGCATGGACTGTCGTCTTTGGATCATGGTGCGGCCTTCTCGCATCTTTGGGGCTGATGAATAGCATTGCAACGCTTCAGACGTATATTGCAACGCATCAGCTCTCCAACTACGATGAGGGTACGGTTGGGTGGATTTTTTCATTGTATACGGCGTTGTGTTTTCTCTGCGGCGTGTATATCGGACCGCTTTTTGATAAATACGGGCCTAGATGGCTGGTTGGACCTGGTGGTATAATTGTCGTCGTAAGTGTTATGCTTATGAGCATCTGTACAGGTATGTTACCGTGTTAACCCCCCCCCTCCCCCTCCTTTTTACTTCTTCTCATCCTACCCCCGTGAAGGATATGCATGCTAACTTGACTTTAGAGTATTGGCATTTCATGCTTAGCTGGGGCATACTTAATGGAATTGCAACATCATTTCTATTTACTCCCTGTCTCACAGCTATTGGACACTTTTTTCATGATCGCCGCGGATTTGCTTCCGGGCTCGCAAGCACAGGTGGCGGCGTCGGTGGTGTAATCTTCCCGTTACTAATGCAGAGTCTCTTCGACAAGGTGGGATGGGGATGGACGCTCCGCATCCTAGGTTTCATTTGCCTTTTCCTGCTCACATTTGCTGGTCTTTTAGTGAAGAGGCGGTTGCCTCCGGCTCAGAACGCGAGCCCGCACCCGGACTTTCGCATCTTGAAGGAGAAGGCGTTCCTGCTCCTTACCGTCGCCGTCTTCTTCCTGGAGTTCGGGCTCCTCATCCCGCTCGGCTATATCTCGAGCTACGCGCTCGCGAACGGGTTTAGCGAGGACTTTTCCTTCCAGATCCTGCCTATTCTTAATGCGGCGTCGGTGTTTGGGCGTGCGTTGCCCGGCTGGTGGGCGGATAAGATCGGTCCTTTCAACACGAATATGATTTCCCTCTGCGGCACGATCATCGCTTGTTATGTAGTGTGGTTGCCGTTCGGGCACACGACCCCGGGTCTCGTTTTATTTGCTGTCATGTTTGGGTTTTCGACTGGCAACAATATCAGTATCACACCGGTGTGCGTAGGAAGGTTATGCCAAACGCAGCACTACGGTAGATATTATGCCACCTGCTATACTATCGTTTCCATTGCCGTCCTGCTTGGCCTTCCCGTTGCAGGTACCATCGTCAAGGCTACTGGCGGTAATTACTGGGGTCTTATCTTATTTACAGGGCTTACTCAGCTCATCTCTGTCGTCGCGATGTACGCGGCCAGGGCCGAGAAAGTGGGATGGGCACTTCGGGCTAACTTCTAGCCACGGTGAGTTGAGTTTAGTTATCTGAGGTTCTCTTTCACCCCGGGGTGGAGCGAAAGGACCGATTATATCTCAACATAATTGCTCGGTATGAAGTAACCGGGCCGGTTTTTTTGGGGGAACAAAAAAATTGGGGGGATACGGCACATTTGAATAAGCATAGAGGGGATCAAAAAAGTTTACGGGATGGTAGAGAAATTGGTTAATGAACATTGTATGTATTTTGGAAGATACTTGGGGGGTTCCCGTATCTTTTGTCTATATGCCTATTATGACAGGCGGGTTAAAGGTATAGGATAAGGGGCACATTTACAACTAGGACATCTAAAGAGGTACCCTATAGTATATTTTTAGACTAGCGATCATTCACTTAACCTAGAGGTAGACGATTAATAATTTTGGTAATCGAGCAACACGAGAAGGAGAGAATAATGAAATAGGGTTAGTACCTATATGAGTGAATGTTAGGTGGGGTCAAGGTATGGTAGGATGGCAGGATGGAAAGAACCAGAAACTCATATTCACTATGGTTTACCCACGTGTATAATCCAGAGATTACTTCCAAAGGTTTAGGTATAACCTTATCGATGTGGATCAAAAGAGCTGCAGGGATCTCCGCACGAAACTCTCCCCTCCAAGCCCTTTCCCCCCACTGCCCCATCCTTTCTCTTGGGTCTGAGCTTCGTTTGTTGATCTCCCTTCATCCGATGCATAAACCCCATAGAACTCACGTCAGCGGCGAAGATTGTTGATAGTTAACAACCTCTTGTACATTCGAGCTTATTTCGGAGCTTACTGTGTTCTGCATTGTTTCACGAGCTTTTGCATGATAGCGCATACCAGGTACCTAAGGTATTTTATCTCCGACGCATTCGCAAGCCTCATCTCACCAAAAAGCCTCAACCAATTTTTTGCGGCAATTTTCTACAACTACCGATAAGAACTTATCCCACCTATTCAGCTACGAGGCCATTCCTATAGAGTAAGTCCATCTCCATTGTACCGCTATTGGTAGCATTATAAGTTTTGATATTTGAAATTCAATTTTGTAAGACAAGATTATATATGCTTTCTAGCATAGCATAGCATAGCATAACATAACATAACAATGAATGCAATGCAATGCAATAGGTACAACACAACACAATATCAAGCCGGACAGGCGGGCCTCCGCATGGCTAGCCCGGAACCGGGGGCCGAGGTTTCGGTCTTGTCTCGCCTAAATTACCCCGGAGTGCCGGTGATTACTATCAGTCACCCATGCCTATCACGATTGTGTTCTCTGTTCAGTAATTGGTTTCTCATATATCCTTTCATTATTCTTATATCAAGGGGAGGCATAGCTATATATATTTCCCCTACCTTACGTGGTACTTACATGTATACTTCCATCTATACCATATCGATGGACCGCCGCATTGCCGCATTACTCTTCACCAATGCTTGAGTCTATCATCACTGACACAATGGCATCACAGACCGTACCTGGCTTAAATCTCCAGAATACTTACCCACTCAGCAAAGAACAAGGCTCATCATCATCATCATCACCACCACCACCACCATCGGCATCACATCCTTTAAGCCTCGCATTTAACTTATCAGAGGCTCGCTTTTCTACCAGGTCGTTATCTATATCTTCTACTTCTAGCCAAGACACTATGTCGAGCAATACCACTAACACATCCGCCTCCTCGCACGAGGTGGTTGAGAATGCCTACTTCAGCTCCAACCCGCCTCCTAAGGCCTTACCGCAACACGTCGCCGCTGCTAAGGCATTTATAAACCAGCACGCGGCGGCGAACAGGCGTGTCGTCCTCGTCACCTCCGGCGGGACCACGGTGCCCCTCGAGAAGCAGACGGTGCGCTTCATCGACAACTTCAGCGCGGGCACGCGGGGCGCCACGTCGGCCGAGTACTTCCTGGAGTCCGGGTACGCGGTGATCTTCCTGCACCGGCAGTTCAGCCTGCTGCCGTACAGCCGGCACTACAGCCACTCGACGGACTGCTTCCTGGACTTCCTGCACGAGAGCCCGAAAGCGGACGGGTCCGGGAGCAGCAGCGTCGTCGCGAACCCGGCCCACCAGGACAAAATGCTGCGCGTGCTGCGCAAGTACAACGCCGCCAAGCGCCAGAACCTCCTGCTCATGCTCCCCTTCCTCACCATCACCGACTACCTCCACGAGCTCCGTGCCGTCGCCCAGCTCATGCGCCCCCTCGGCCCCAACGGCCTGCTGTACCTCGCCGCCGCCGTCAGCGACTTCTTCGTCCCCGCCGACCGCATGTCCGAGCACAAGATCCAGAGCACGGACGCGACGGACCTGTTTGAGAAGCAGCAGGGGCCGACGGCGATCACGACGGAACCGAGGGATCCGTCGAGTCAGCAGCAGCAACAGCAGCAGCAGCAAGAAGAAGAAGCGTTCGACAACTTCGACTCGTCCCCCTCGGTCCAGCGCAGCAAGCGGCTGGTCATCGACCTGGACCCGGTGCCGAAGTTCCTCAAGAACCTGGTGGACGGGTGGGCGCCTGAGGGCATGATCGTGTCGTTCAAGCTGGAGACGGACCCGGGGATCCTGGTGCGCAAGGCGCGGTACTCGCTCGAGCGCTACCAGCACCACCTCGTCATCGGCAACCTCCTGTCCACCCGCAAGTGGGAGGTCGTTTTCGTAGCCCCCGGCCGCGACGACGCCTGGATCCGCGTCCCCTTCAATCGCCGGAAGAAGACCCTGGGCAGTGGCAGTGGTGGTGCTGGTGGTGTTGAGGAAAGTAAGACTGGCGAGAGCGGTAGTAGTAGTAATAACAACAACAACAATAACAACAAGCCGTTGGATCCGGCGACCCTGCCCGAGGGCGAACCCGAGATAGAGATCGAGAGCCTGATTATACCCGCTGTCGAGGAGCTGCACTCGAAGCACATCGCGCTCGCTGCCGAAAGGAATGGATCCAAATAAAGAATCGGTTGGGCAGTTCCGAGTGAGTTGAGTTGGGTTGCTTTTGTTAGATCACGGGCGGCATCGCGTATGAGCTCTTCTTTCTTTTTTTTTTTCTTTTTTTTTTTGTACTGATATACCTACCTAAAATACCAACCTACCTTATATATTCCCGATGTTGATGGGAGGTACCTATCTAACTTACACTAGAATATAGTAATTGCATTTATCTCGCTTTGAATATGGGTATATTCACTATACCTATTATCAAGAAGCTAAAATTATTCTAAATGCTGCTAGTTATTGCGTTTCTCGTTTATGAGCTGTGTCGTTTAGATATGGAGTTCCATATAGCTACCTTCCATGTAGGAGTTACCTTGCGTATTAGTTACTTTAGGTACTTCTTGATCATCAATGGCCTCAACGACTTTTATTAGAACGGTGAAATCTAACAGTTATGAGTAGTCACATTAGCAACTACAGGTCACAAAATACTTCCGGCAATACAACTAGGCGGTTCTCAAAAAAAATGGGGGTGGTTTACTATGTACTTCATCCCTACCGCGCTAGTTACCCATCCCGAATGGTGAACTTCCAGTTGGAACAGCAACGAACAACAATCAACCCATCTCAAGAGCAAGTATACGTTTAGTTTAGTCCGACGATACAAAGACGTAAATGCGCCCAACAAAGATACGCAGAGCAAGCTGATAAGGGATTGTAATGCCACTCGAAGAAAACCACAAAAAAGACATATACGTCACATTAGATACCTCCACCTACCTAATACTAGAGAATGGTTCGTCATGCTGTCGAGTCGATACAAACTATACCTTAGGTACCTAGGAGGTAGGTATCCTTAGTAGAAAGGAGTTTTGTCCTCCGTTTTCAGCAACCCGATATTACGTGAAAGAAATACACACCGCATTTGAGAAAGGAGTATCTAGGAACGAATTCTAAAGAGGACGAACATAATTCTACTTACCTACTATTACGTGGTGATAACTTACTAAGCTTTGAAGTACTTGGACACCTTAGGTCGCATAGAAAAAAAAACGTACGGAAACGAAGACAAAGCCGCAATACCCAGCACCGCCGGACGCAGACTTTTCGACAATCCCTTCTTTGTGTCGCAACACGAATAAAAGTGCTGTTTAAGCTCGGGGCAAAGGCTTTCCACCACGCCACATATACACCCGTAACTTTTACTATCCTGTTGTTATTGTTGCTGCTGGCGAAACATCTCGTAGCATCGCATCGCCATGGCACAAGTAACCGCAGCACCTCCCGGCTGGGATAACGAGCTCAAAGACGTTACCACACAGCTCAGCACTAAGCTGTTCGACCAGGAGAAAGCCGTCGACTTCACTGCCGGTTTCGATAAAGACCGGGTCGAGAAGCTTATACTCGAGGTACTGAACGCCCAAGTACCAGCATTGGTGGAAGTGCGAGAGGAGGCCCTCAAGAAATCCTTAGCAGACGCTGAAGATCGGGCGAAAGACGAAGTGGCTGAAACGAAGAAAATAGGGAAGGAGGAACTTCATGATGCCGAGAAAAAATACAACAGGACGATAGATGCGGTAAAGAAAGAGATGAATGAGCAGATAATGGAAATAGAGCAGAATATAAAAAAATACGAGGAAAAAAGCGAAGAGCTAGAAAAAGAGAAGGGGGAAATAAAATCCAAGTACAAACTCACTCTTAATTCAAGAGAAAAGGACTACAAGTTATTAGAGAAAAATTATAAAAAATTAGTCACCGAACGGGATGATGCCGTCGAAGATCGCCGGATAGCAAGGCAGGAAAGCAGAGGGTACAAGAGGGAGTTGGAGCTCGAGACGAAATACGGACAAGATGCCAAGGCCAGAGCCGATCGAAAAGCTGACGAGTTGACGAAAGCGATCACAAGCGTACGAATCCTTAACAACAAGAATATCGAGCTAGAGAGGAGGATTTCCGAAGGCCTGGCGAGAGAAAATCAACTTCAACGCACGCTCGACCAGAGAGAAAGAGATATTGTGAAACTTGAGAAGAAACTGGCTGAGTTTGCCAGATTGAGGAGCGGAAGTGTAATGAGTTCGAAGAGCGGGAAGAGCAGCTCAGGCTCGTCTGTAAGGGCTACAGGGAACTTGGGTGAGGAACTTGGGCAGTCAGAAGACAGAGAGTTGATCCTGGATCTCCGAGAAGATATCGCGAACCTTGAAGGGGAAAAAGACGCTCTGAACTTAGAAGTCGGACAGGTTAGGCAAGAACGCGATAACCTAGACAAACAGCTCAAGAAGGCCAATGACAGGTTCAACGAGATCAGCAAGGAAGTCACTCGCCTCCTGCCTTTCGAGAGCAGAGTTAACGACCTCGAGGAAGAACTCAACAAAGCAAATGAAGGAATTAAGCAGCTTCAGCATCGAGTCCCCAGTAGCGTGTCCAGCGGCACGACCTACACCACAGCCCCCGAATTCGACGCCGCGATCGAGAAGTTCGAAAAGGAGAAGGCCGACCTGGCAGACAGGATCGCGCAACTCGAGGGCGAGCTCGAACAAGCGGCCAAAGACCTCAAGGCGAACCCGACAGGAGACGAGCTCAACGAGCTCCGCCGGCTGCTCACCAAGGCGGAACAAGACCTCAACGCCGAGCGGGAAGCCAGCACCAACCTACGAACCACCATCGACAAGCTGGAGGTCCGGCTGCGGGACCAGCAAACCGAGTGCGAGGGGGACGCGCGCACGGCGGCGGAAGAGCACCAGGCGCGGATCGACGCGCTGCAGGCGGAATTCGACACGCGGCAGAAGAAGACGAACCGGTCGCGCGACGAGCTGGCCTCGTACTGGGAGGAGCTGGGCGCGCGGCTCAGCGCGCGCAGCCAGGAGCTGCAGGGCCTATTCCAGAAGGACCTGGCGCTGAACCACACGACGCGCGACCAGTACTCGGAGCGGCTCAACCAGATGAACGAGGAGATCCGGCGCAACCCGCACACGCCGGAGACGGCGGTGACCCGGCGCCGCGCCGCGGGCCTCGAGCGCGAGATCGAGCGCATGAACGGCATCATCCGCACCCTGGCGCGGGAGGTGGCCTGGTTCCAGGACACGCTGCCGGAGCTCAGCGAGGGGTCGCGCCGGGCCCGCGCAGCCCAGGACGCAGCGCGCTCGGCGACGGAGGCCGCAGCCGCCGCCTCCGCGGCCGCGCGAGCGCAAGCCGAAGCCGAGATAGCGGCTCACAACCGGGCTACGGTGGAGGCGCGGCGGGGGATATGGCGGGACCGATGGAACGGGCTCAGGGGGCTGTTCTGGCGCGACCGGTGGAACATCGTAGCGCTGAGCAACCTGGTGGTGATGGCAGCGATGCTACTCACGTGGGTGACGCTAGGTCGCGAGTTGGGATTATGGCGGGCGGCGAACGCGCCGGTGCAGAGGGGATTCTACGTCAACACGCTGGACCGGCCGAGCATCTGCCTGAGGCAGCCGTCGTGGGAGCTGCTTTGGGAGTTCATCATCGTGCTCTTGTCAGGCACATGGTTGTGGAAAGGTGGTATCTAACACATTGAGAGGAGGGTGGTTGTAAAAGACGACTTGTTGTAGAACGGTTTGATTTGTAATACTAGTAAGGGGCTAGATTAAACCGAGGCTCGTTTGTTAGGAGGTATATTATATACAACTCATAGGTAGTGGAGATGGTGGATAGGGATAGGGGAGGGGATAGGGACGGAGATGAGTGGTGCGGTGTATGAATGAGGTTTACTAAATCTGATTTGATTGTAACACGATTTTGTTGTTTTCGGTAACGGGATATGAAACGGTACCAATTTATTTGTCAATTTGTACTATACATAGTATCTTCATAAATAATAAATAATGAAGATGCGAGGTGATAAATGCGAGCCTGGTACGCATTATTTGAAGCATAAAAAAAAGTAGTATTTGGAATTGAGTTTGAGTTTGAGTTTGAGTTAGGGGATTTTCATCTACACTGTGCATATTGTACAGAGGTAATCCACACAGTTCCGGAGGTCCCGTGATGAGTAGGCACTTCCCATATCTCTTACGAATAGCATCACAAGGTTAAATTCCAAATATTTTCAGTCTGCGCATGTTTGGATGACGTGACAATTCGAGGGAAAAAAAAAAGTCTGAAACCTTATTAGAATGAATATTGGTCAACCTCGGTTGAGCATCTTTAAAACCACTATAAGTAACCCTTCAAGGCAAACATTCTTTGTCGCACACGTTCCACGACGTCACTACAAATTCGTATCTGAAGGTCATTTAAAAATAGTCAACCACCTACCTCCTAGTATCAAGGTCAAGACAACTCATACAAAAGCTCGTAGGAGTAGGATATCATCATCTTACCCGCAACCGAAAATACAAACACAAACAAGCCAGACGCAATTCACCCGCTCTTTCAATATGTCTTCTAAACTGGTTCCCTCCAACCCGAGCGAGGTGGCCGTCATTCGGAACATCACACCAGATATCGTGACAGTCTCTGTGCCATTCGCACGGATGGGGATATTACGTATTGGTGGGCGCGGTACTATAAGTGAGTAGTATACCTAATCTTTTTAAGTCTCGCAGTCAGTTTAGACATAGATTAGGTTAGGTTAGGTACTAATTAATCACAGTACGCCTTACCTCCGGCACCCTAGCTGTCTACTCCCCTGTAGCTCTGACCCCCGAGACGAAAGCCAAAGTCGCCGAGCTCGGCGGCCGTGTCGGGTATATCATCGCGGGGGACATGGAACATCACATATTCCTATCAGAGTGGATACGCGCGTATCCCGACGCCAAGCTCCTCGGGCCCAAGGGCCTACAGGAGAAGCGCGAGAAAGTAAAAGACGACCCGCGCATCGGGCACGAACCTTTTGCGTTCGAGTGGGATGCTTCGAACCAGCGCGACGCAGCGGGCGTCAGCGACGAGTTCGCCGCCGACTTCGAGGTCGAGTTCGTAGGCGCGCACCCGAACAAGGAGGTCGTGCTGTTCTACAAGCCCGACCGCGCGCTGATCCAGGCCGACCTGCTATTCAATCTTCCCGCTATCGAGCAGTACTCGAAGGTGCCCGAGGCGGAGAAGAGCTCGCACGGGCTGCTGAACCGCATTTTCGTGTCGCTGAACAGCACCGCCGGCGAGGCGAAGGGCTTGAAGCGGTTCCTGTGGTACGGACTTAGCAACGCGGGGGGAGGCCGCGCGAACTTCAACGAGAGCGTGCAAAGGATCGCCGCGTGGGAACCCGAGATCATTGTGCCGTGTCACGGGGAGACCGTGGAGAAGAATGGCGGGGAGCTGTTCAGGAAGGCCTTCGAGTGGCATCTGCAAGGTCACAAGTGAAAGGTGGGAAAGGTGGGAAAGTGGCACTGATGGTGGCTGATCACAGGAACTCTGTGGTGAAACATGGCTGGCCGCCTGCACTGTCGAGCTGAGGACGCCACTGAAGATGATGTACATTTGGCGGCCTATGGGAGTATACCGGGAAGATATGTTTGAGTTGATACCAGTTGTAAATATGTATATACCTAATGTACCTACAGTATACTCGTTAAAAATGCGTAACCTAATACTACTCATATTCACATACGAATAAATAAATGAATATTAATTAGTATCAGTCTAGGACCTGCATTACGCCCCCTGAATCTCGATCCCAATGATACGGACATGCTCGAGATCCCGAGTATATGGACTATCTGCATGGACTATCCAAATCTCCATCACCCAATCCCCCCCAGCTGAGACATTCTAACATCATCGCTTACACATTGCTTACCCATAACGCGCTTACACAAAATTTCTGTCCCACTTACCACGTGTAGCACCAAATCTCCACGATCCTAGCGCCGATACTCTTTCTTGCAGATACAGATACAGATACACATGCGCATACATATACCCATATAGGGTTAGGTATATTATAAGGCATATCTACCTTACCATCGGTAGCACAAATGTAGCTCACAACTCCATACGTCACCGTCACCGCACATGCGAGTCGCAAAACTCCGACCTCAAGTCGTTGTTTTAGACACAACACACAACACGCAGCACAGCAGAGCAGAGGAACAGAGCCACAAGCACAAGAACGGCACGACACGGCGAAGAGGAAACAGAACAAAAGAAGAAGAAGGAAAAAAAAAAGAAGTCGGTAAGAATCAATTTCATTTAGAACGATCTAACCTAGTCCGACGCCGTCCCATTTTCCCCCTTTCCTTTTCCCCTTCCCTTCCCCTCCTCGAAAATTCCATCCTGATCTGCCCAAGCAAACCCAACCCTTGTACCGCCCGTATGTAAAATGTATGTATACCCCCCTCGTACAACTCCTTCCTTTGCACCAAGAAAAAAAAGGAAGAAGAAAAAGAAAAAGAAAAAAACGCCTAGGTACCTTAGGTAGGTAAACAAACAAGTAACCACCCAAACCCGCACCGTCTGTACTACCTAGGTATGTATGGCAAAGAAGGATTTCGAGACATTCGAGAACAGTTTCCTTGTTTCGGAGCGCGACCGTTCCCCGAATATACAATACACACACAATATGTCTCTTTCTCTCTCTCTCCCTCCCCCCCTTTTCTGCTTGCTTGCTAGCTAGCTTGCCTGTAGGACCTTCTTCGACTTCTCTTCTAGTTGTCCTTACCCTTCTCTCTCTCACTCACACACTCTCTCTCTGTGTGTGTATGTATGTGTGTGTGTGTATCACCAACCCAACAACTCCACCCCGTTTCCCAAGCGTATAATTATAATGAATAGTTGCCGTCATCATCGTCATCAATAAATAAAGAAGTATGGCTCAAACCCCTCCATCTCTCCGTACTTTATCTCATCACATATTATTTCTTTTATCGTGGTTTTTTTTCTTCTTCTTTTTCTTCTTCTTCTCTTTCCTTCCCTTTCCCTTGATGTTCTCAGTCCAAGAGCCCGATCATTGGGCAAAAACAGAAGGCCTTTTTTATTCGTGTTCGTCTGCGCCTGTTGAACACCGCGTCGTCCCCGAAGGACCTAGGATGGAATACAAGTCCTAGTTTATGCGTGCGTGTGCTTGCATGTGTGTCTGTGTGTCTGTGTGTCTGTGTCTGTAGTTCGATTGACCACTGATTCGAAAAAGCTCACTTGGACGAGCTCTTGCTATGGTCCATGGTCCGCTCGTGCCTATGCCCGTGCTCATCCGGACTCGAGTCGTCCTCGTCGTCCGCGGCCTCGCTGTCGTACGCGTAGTCGTTGGACGTTATCTTGAACAGGTCTTGCTTTACCGGGTGGCCTTCGTTCAATACCTGTTTATTTCAAACCATCAGGTTAGAACATAGGTACTCCGCAAATAAATTTTGGATGGCATAGATATAAGGTATGGGTAAATGGGTAGAGGCTGGAGATCGTCACGAACGTACTGTGCATAGTTTACATCGTTGGCCGAAATGGGCCACTTTGTTCTGGCAATTGACCGATCCCTGTTTTTGGCTGTGTCAACTACGCTGTCTTTCACTATGAGAAAACTTCGTGTTGGGGAACTACTAACATAGTAGTTTGCGCAATAGCAATGCATCTTGAGTTGCTATAATCCTGACGCTCTAGCACGAGAAGAAGTTCGAAAAGTGTGTGGTGTGTGTTAAGAGTGAACAGGTCGATATTGTATATGATGAATCTAACTGGGAGGATTGGATTCTAGAGTCGTCTAATGTAAAGGCAATGTAGTGTATTCGATTACAACAGGCAAATGTTTAATGAGTAGGTAAAGGTAAGTCTTCTGATGTCGACATGTGAATGAAGAAGAGACTTTGGTGGATCATAAAGCTTCAAGATCTGGGAGAGAGAAGAGAGCTCCCTTTTTATATCCGGACAAACTACCGTGTGAGATAAAGACTACGGAACCGGAAGGCCACATACAATAGAAATTATATGGATGTTATGAAGTATGTACGTATAAGGTAAGTAATGAGACTTACGTAGCATAGAAAGATGGATAGAAGCAAGCTATCCACCTAAAGCTACCTAGGTTGCTAGCTTGACACCCCAATGGCTCCGATTCATTGCAATGGTTGGTTTGCTCGAGCTTCTTCCCTGGAGAGTTCCACAGCAGCACCATCAGTACGTCAGCACGAGCCACCCCCCTCCGATCCAAACGGACCTTGTGCCGTCGAACCCAAAACCTGGGGGGCGTGGCTCCACCAGCCCGTGCTTCCCGGGTTTCTGGACGAGTTCCCATCTCCCTCCTTGCCCGTACGTACCGCTGGCGCGAAGAGACTCCGATAGCTTGGTGCGTAACTAATGTACGTTTGCTCGCCATGCTCGTTTTCTTTCTACTAGGTACTATGCATACCTGGTACCTAGGTAACTATCCGAGTGAGGGGCTGTCATATGCACGCACTACTTCTTTTACGCAAGGGCTGCGGGAAGCAGCTTGCGATGCGGAAAGGCCAAGTCGGTAGCGTCGCCAAGGTTGTCCGGGCAGGAAAGCTGGCTGTCTGTACTATTCAGGACATAGACGTGTATAACACCTATATGAGGTATACGTACCTAATATACCGTATATGTAGATAGGTGCGTCTATATTCTACGGGCTAGGCCCCCTTTTCTCCTCGCACGACCTGTTCGTCTGATGATTTCTCTTTTCTAGAAAAGAGATTACTTTCCAGGAAGTAAGCTCTTTCGAATGCCGCAAGCACCCGTCTAGTCTCTTCGCAGTTGCACCACGTGAGCTCTCGGAGTATTTAGGTTAGCCCCGTGCTTCGATCTCATATCGGGTCGTCGCACGATCAGCGGACATCGATGCTAGAAGCATTCTATACCTAGACATATAATCCTACATAAGTATACCAAGTATACCAAGTATACATCTATATATCACCTGTAGAATGGTATGACATGGCACACACACATATATATATATATAAGGTATGTAACGCGGTAAACGCCAACTTTTAAAGATTTCGCTGGCAGCCATTGCATTACTCGTTACTCGGTCTAAGAGGGAATTCCCCGAAATTCGTTCTAGAATTCGGTAGCTTTGCGATTTAGGAGGAGGACGTCTCCCGCCAACCTAATGATGATGTCAAGCGTAGCATCGCACCATCACATCCAGCACATACAATGCCGCTCTAATATGTCGAGATAAGCTCCCAGCCCCTTATATGCCGGGGCGCCCCTCCAAGTAGGCCAACGGCAGTAGAAAAGCTCGAGATAAGTAGACCCGATGCGGCGGCTGCAGTGGATAGCAGAGGCGCGACGGGTTCTTTCTATTAGGTAGGCAAACGAGATAATATAATATATGTATGTCCCTAATATCTGCAAGTAAGATAACTACCTCATATTAGGTACATAACATATCATTACTCACATGTGCATGCTCGTCGTACATCAACACATACATACATGTCTATATCTAGACATGCATCCTATACATGCATCCAATAGGTATAAGTCCAGTAATGCCGCGCTGCATCGTACCTATTGCAACCCATCTTCTCCCCCCCTCAATTTAGCATAATCTACCAGCTATCTTACCTACCTATTGTACCTACATACCTACCTAATATAACCTATATCGTCTTTCCTGTGCCACGATTCTAGACCCAGATCTACTCGCGCCGAGAAAGACCCAAGCCCGGCGAATGAGGAGAACCGATCGGAGCGAACATACTACTTTACCTACACATCGACATCAGACGGACGTACGAGACTCTCCAGATCAGAAATGAAATCCCCATCCTTTCTGTCGAAATAGCATATGCAACAACAAATTGCGAAAAGCTACCTTAGGTAGTAAAGGTACCTACATACATGCTACCTCCTATAGGATTAACATGGGCTTCATCCCGATATCGATCGAAGCTCTCAACCTCTCAGTACCGCACATCGGCCGGATGAGGGAAGTGCCTTGCGTTCTTACTTTTTTTTTTTTTTTAACTCTGCGCTGCCGGTTTTGGCGTTACCAAAGCCAAAGACAGTTTTGACTCGGTGAGACGCGTGTTATGCCACCATACCACCAAACACTCATCCCATCCCATCCAACCAAACCAGCCGAAAGCATGTGAAGCCAAAAACGGGACGCCCAGAACTCTATTCCACAAAACTGTTTTTTTCTTAACTTGTCTTACCCCGTCACCACCACTTATCATCACCCTCTTACGTATCTTATATGGATCCCTTATGGTAAAGGAAGAAAAAAAAAAGACCTATGGGTATCCTATCCCACACCAGCCCATACGAATTTGATAATAAATAAATTTCAACCTCGTCAAAGTCACCAAGCTTCCAAGCTCCCCCAGCTTTCGAGATCTCCCTCTCCGTAGCCCGATCTTCGGGACTCCCTTCCCGTAATACAATACCAACTACTACCTAAACTATCAACCTCGGCCCCCTCTACCTCTGCTCTGCCCCTCCTACCTTTTCTTCCTCCTCCTCCTCCCTCCTCCCCCCTTACCTTACCGCTAGATCACCTGCATCTAACCTAACCTAAACCTATCACCTACCTACCTACCTACCTAACCTACCTCTATCGACTCGTCAGCCCACCTACTTACTTACTTACCTTAGGTTAGATATTTACTTTACTTTCACTTACCTCTAACATACCTCTAACATACATACACATACACATACACACATATACGAAATACTAACTTAGCTAGCTTGGTAGCTTAGCCCATTTGAATCCACGCCGCTCCCGGCAGTTAGGTAATAGCAAATAGATACCTACCTACCAGGTAGCTAGCTGCTCGAGTCGGTTAAAAAAAAAGGTCGGCTATAGCGGATTGCGCATACGAGGCAGCTAACCTTATCGACCTCGAGTGTTTCGTAGTTACCTATACTACCTGGCAGGTAGGTAGACGAGATACATACTAAACAACCAAGCGAGCAAGCATTCGAGCATTCCTACACTCCCCTACTCAACTCATCCATCTACGCCTCTCGATCTTGCATAGGTAGGCAGCACGGAGAGAGGCATCGTAGTAGGTTAGGTAGGTACATGTACGTCGATATAGGTTGGACAAAAACGCAAGACAACAGAAGAAAAAAAAAGAAAAAGGAGGAAATTCTACTAGTTCTAGTCTCTCGCCAGACCAAGGAAGACAAAACTCCAGCCTTGCAAGCTTTTGCACTCAAAGTAGTACCCAAAAAAGAACAATACGAACACTTCCGTGAACACAGATCTAGAACACGAGAGGAAGAAGCGGAGACGTAGTAGCACCGCCATCATCATCATGATCTTCATCATGATCTTCTTCTTCTTTTTGTTCTCTTCCAAGCCTCAATCAAGGAAAGAATTTTCTTTCGTTTTTGGGTTCATAGTCTTCGGCTCTTATTGTTGTAGTTGTGATTACGGTAGGGATTACCTACTAGGTACCTGTTTCTAGACACATCCTTTCCTCGCCCCATCTCCCTCCTATTCCCGTTCCCACTCCCTCTCTCACACAGAAATCCCATAAGCGAACACCCCGAGTCGCCTCTTCTTCATCTTCATCTTCTGTTTCTCCTCCTCTTCCCCCCCTTTCTTCTCCTTCTTCTTCATATCACGGCAAGCCGCTCGCTCGCTATTACTTGGTCGCAACTCAACCTTTCACACCGAACGCAAGCGCAGACTTGTGGCATACAACAACACAACGAAACCCCTCCTTCCGGGAATTCTTCTTCTTCACCTTTGAAGTACAACGTATCAGAGAGTTGGTTGCTACGGACGGGCTCTCCATCAAGAGAAAATAAAAAATCCAAAGTCCACAGCCACAACCTGTAATCCGGAAGCTTTGGGGTAACAATTAAAAACTATTTCCTCGCTACTGAAGACATTCTCAAAAAATGAGGTAGAAAGGAAAATGAAATATGCTGGCCAGATAGACAACGAGACACCCCCCAGGTGGCATATATGAATTTGCATGCTTATCCAGTATCCCCTGGTCCTACACGGTCTGGGCCGAGCTCAAACCCCAAATGATCAGATGAGAGCTAGGCATGGCTTACGAGCAAGCGGAATGCCCGCCCTAAGGTCTCGATTAAAAGGTATAAGTACGGAAATAGAACATCAAGGCGCCAGCAACTCGGACTTCCGGTTGTTTTTCCAGAAGTCTAGAGCAGCAATCACGTCACCGCCGGCTTCATCTTCGTAGGCGAACAAAATCTAGATAGGGTTAATAACTTCGTATTTCATTAAAATGGTCGAGTTGTAACTTACCTCGTGCGTACTACTGTGTAGCATCCGGATATTCTTGTGTGGAACAATATGGACTGCTCCGCTTTCAATATTCCTGAGCTCAATGAAGTTTGGCTCGAACGCCAAGATCCACGGGTAAGATAAAGCGAATGCTTGTGGCGTTCCTTCCCAATCAATACGCCATTCCGGTCTTGCTCTCCAGCCGTTCCTGTTGACGAAGAACGAAAACTCGGAATAGTTGAGAAGGAATTCTCCGTTGAGCCGTTCTATATGGATCGGTTTCACACCTTCCTTCCTTGCGACGAAGTCGAGCGAAGTATCAGCCTGATCTAGTAGCGATTGCGTTTCAAGTGTTTCGAGAGAGACGACTTCGAAACCTCTGGCGCATGCCACGCAGAGCTTGCTCTTAAGGAAGTGGACAGATGATGATTCGGTTGGGATATAGAACTCTTTGAACGCCCTCAGCTCATCCTGGCCGGCGTTGAACATTTTGCCAAAACCTTTCTGCTTCTTGCCCTTGCTCATCGAGTCGTTCGGTTCGTACACCTTGATCGTAGTCGAAAGTGCACTAGACTTGACACAACAGACCAGATGTCTACCTAGACAGATACCTGTTTTGAAGAAGTTACAGTTGCTCTGGATTTTCTTAGGCCTCTTCGCAAGTGCAGGCTCGTTGGGATCCAATGCTGCGAGCGAGTACGACGACAACGTCTTGTTCGATAGGACTAGTAGGAGATTGTATTCTTCCAATACATCAACTTGCGTGACGTGCTGTACCTCGATGACGCGCTTGGGCACCTGGTCTTTAACCTTTCGATCCGACACGTAGATGCCATGATCGGTGCCAATAATGAGTTTACGACCGCCGTCTGTTAATCTAGTTAGCATGTAACAAAAACCTCGCGTATTTGGCACTCCCTACCGAAAGGTGTAACAGTATTGACAAGGTTGCCAGCTTGGAAGAAGCTAGAAGAAAGGGTGTTGACGTTGAAGAAATCAGCCCGTGCTCGAAGACGCTGCTGAGCCGAATCGATGAACTCGAGCCACTTTTTCCTAGCCGTCTGATTCGATGCGTACAAAACTTGCTCGTAGTAGTTTTTGCCCAGGTGTCGGAAGGTGATAGGCCAGCCTTCCGTAGATTTCTTGTCGGAATCTTTGCCGCGGAAAGGCAAGTTTGACGACGCTCGTTTTACTCCTGCCTGAGGGATAACTTCGTCCATCTCTTTAATAGAGAGTAGCTCCAAGGGGATTGGCTGAGTAGTTTAAGATTAGCCACTGAATTCTGACATGCTAAGAATTAGTTAATTACTTACTCTCCTGTAAGCTTTGACTTCTTCGTTCTTGCCAACTTGCTTTATCCGCACCAGAAGAACAGCGTGGTCGAATAGGAAAGCCGTAATATCCGTAGGATCCGTAGGTGATTTTTTGAACTGGGTTTTGAACACGAGTTCTCGACCGGCTTCCGTCAATTTAAGGTCAACTCGATCAGCAGGGCGGAACTTCAGTTGCTCGTGTAGACGACGCAGATTGAACCGGTTTTCAGCTTTGCCGGATTCGGCGTTAACTCTGCTCAGTAAGTCGCGAATCATAACAAGAACTTTCGGAATGTCCTCCTTGTCGGGGTTGTCATCTTCCGTATATTTCAAGACGTTCTCGAGAAGCAGGGGATAACGGGCAAGTCGCGTCGTGGGCTTGGTCAAATAACCGTTCAGCTCCAACTTTCTCGACTCTTTCCTCCTTTCGATCTCTTCGACAAATTTAGCAAAATAGGGGTTGCTCGATCGCTCGTTTTCGAACTCGAATTTGGCTTCAAGCTGCTTCGAACCGTACAGGATGAACGGCTCGAACTGGGGAACTATCTCCAGGAAGATATCGCCGAGATTCTTGACTACGGGGTTCTTCTGTTGCCTTTCTGTCAAAGCCTTGGCAAATCTTGAACTGACCGAGTGAATGCTAGGATGATCAATAATGTTGCTGAAAATATTCTGCACAACCTGTTCCCTCTTTGCGGCGGGGATAGGCGAAGCCTTCGAACGCAGCGGCAGGATCCAGAAATCTCTTAGGTACTCGAGATCCTTGACAAAGTCTCTTTCGGTATAACAAATTTCGGAAATAACTTCTTGCCTCTTCTTCTCCCTGTCGCCGACACTTTCGGCAACCTCCTTGGGAACGGTATTAATCCAGAGTTTCTGCTCGTCCGTTTGATCCGCATCGTCGTTAATAGTAGCGTCCTGATCCTTCCTCAGGCCAACCTGTGGCTTGAGGTTAAGTCGAGAAACCTGTTCTAATCTTCGTGGGCAAGCAATTGAGTAGCAGAGTTGGTCCCTTGTGCATGTAGGAGAGTAACATTCGGAAAGCAAAACGAATACGCCATTAACCGGGTGCTTTTCTTCTGGCTCATCCATAAGACTCTCCCTGAATTGATACATTTCTGATGACGAATCTCGTAATCGGTGCTCGTAAGTAACATCGTGGAAAAACTTCTGCGCATCTAGAGCTCGGCCAAGGAGCAGAGCCAAGTTCCTGTCTGTAGTTCTAATAATATACGAGAGGACGTCAACGGCCTCGGAACCGCTGAACGCATTTTTGTACGTCAACTCGTTCTTCGTCCGGTCGCCCGTGATGATCTTTTGGCGGAAGCATTCGGCGACTCTCGAGAGAAGGGCAGGGTAAACTAACGGCGGCCGAATCTTAGCGGTAGGAGGTCGCTCACCCTCGAATGATCTCGACAAGGATGGCCGGTGAGCTGATTGCTGCTGCTGCGAGAGCTGTTGTCGAGCTTGCTCGGAAGTCTCAGGGACAATGGTACTAGCCATTGACATCGTGCGACTATGATCTCCGGCAACAGTCGAAGATGCCATGCTCATAGTCCTCGTTGCGGTACCTGGCGCGGCTGAGTGTCCGCTAAACGAGGGGTATCCAGCCGTATGTCCATTCGCCGTGGGAGTCTCGTTTGAGGGCGCCCTCATACGATTGGGAATTATTCGGCCGCTCATCATCTGGTGAGCATCGCGGTCAGGAGGATAACCAGTCATGGACATCGATCGATCATCGTGGCGTTCTGGGACTACCCGACCTTGTGCGGTTGTGCGGGACGACATGGTAGTCTGCGGAGGAGTCCGAAAGTTGTTCGGTTGGTTTTGAAAAGGTGGCGTCTGGTTCTGGTACAGCGGTTGTCGTGGCATGCTGGCGAGAGACTGGGATCTATACGGGTCATCACGCATAGCAGGGGCGGAACCGGGTCCTCCTTGATACATTCGAGGAGCTGGATTTCGTGGAGGATATCCCTGGGCAGGTGCTCTCGGGTCGAGTCGAGATTGCCCTTGAGGCGGAGGGCCGGGATAAGGCCTTTGGTTCGGCCCCGGAGCAGGCGGCGCCCTTCCATATTGTCCTGGCATAGGGGGATAACCTCCAGACGGGTTTCGTTGGCTTTGATAATAACCATTGGCAATACTCGTATCCATGGTCCTAGTTCGGCCAGTCTCTTCATAACCCCTTTGCTGTTGGGGTCGCGGAGGGGGACGTCTCTGCATATCGTGTTGCATGCTCGACACGGAAGACATGGTTTGGGTTCTACCCTCCTGAGGCTGCATGTTCGGCGTGTAGCCCTGCGACGACGAGGTCATAGTCCCAGTACGTCCCGGAGGGGGAGCTGAACCGAAGATGTTGGAGAATGCGGCATCTCGCTGATTATTCGAGGCCGGGCCATATCGCCGTTGGTCGTATGTGTAATCAGCCATTCTCGTAGTCCTAGAAAAAAAAAGGGTGAAGATACGCAGTCAGCAACCAGATTCGTCGCCCAGGAATTTAAAGAAGGGAAAGAAAAGTTATCGAATTGCGAGGCAGTGCCGGTAAAGTGGTACAAACACCACTTCGCATACGCAGGTGCAGCTTCGTATCAATTCCCCCCAAGATCCAGGGGTGTAGACGTTAAAACGTCACTTACTCTTACAAGAGCCTAGGCGGCCGGGAACCTAGACAAGAGACTAGGATAGTCCGCAAATGGGGGATAAAGGGGTGATTGCCGACACTGACGACGGACTCACCGCCGTGGGTGGACGGCCGTGATGTAGAGCGATATCTTGTTTCCGTCCAACTTCGTGTCTTTTTAAGTTCTCGATTTTGATTTTTTTTTTTTTCTTTTTTGCCCTCTCCTTTCCCCTTTCGCCTAAAAATTGACCCAAAGCTCCCGCTAAGTTAATAATTGGATGCAAAAACGCTAGTGGAACGCGATAACAAGTGATTTGGAGGGGAGCGATGGGCAAGACGTCGGCATCGAATCGAATAGGTGGGTTTAAAGGGACAGGAAGGGAGAGGTTCGGGTTAAGGTAGGATTTGAATGATTTGAATGGACGCTGTTACGGTATAGGTAATCTGTACAGTCTGTACACACTGACTGGACTGATTTGATTGATATGATCAAGGATCAGAAGAGAGAGCATGGACAAATTGGTATCTGCTTCAAACTGCTAAGACTGGACCCCGGCACCTGGACTTGGACTAACAAGAGGCCCGGGTTATCATCGGCTCGGAATTTGATAGGTAGAGGTACCTAAGGAGTTACAAACTGTCACAGGCGTTACTTCTCCTACAAATACGTGCAGATTTACTAGTAATCTTCTGTAGTGATTGCCAATACCTGACCTACCTTCCGATATATCTACCTATGTTTGTAAATATAGAAAGTGCGACAGTTAGCCACTACGTTTTTAAGTTTCACTGAATTTAAAGTTCAACGGGGAACAGAAAAAAGATCAGTTGGTTATGAATCGTTGCATAAGGTAGTTCAGCACGTACTTACACACTAGCGGAAACTGAATCTAATAACCCTACCACCTGCATATCAACATATGCAATGGAGATGTACCACGAGTCATACTGTCATCTACCTTAGGTGTACCTAAGGTATCTATCTCCTTGTATTAGGTAGGTAATTGTCGTTCGCATGAGTGAATACGACAGTTCCTGTAAAGCTGCCGAATATATGGTGTGGTTTCTTGCCTTCAATTGTATTGTGAACTAATAAATTTGAACCGTTGAACCTCATCCATCAAATCCGAAAAGATCAGGTCGAACTTGCCGAGCTATGGGATGGGATGGCAAGTTATCAAAGCTTGTTTCTTCTGGGTTAGAAAGGATTAGGTACCTGCTTCATGCATACCTAAAGGCTAACATAATTCACCACCTAGGTACCTACGTAGCAATGCGAAACGTTATCCGCGTAGCTAAGCGTATATAAACATTTGTGGGGTAATCTTTCAAAAAGTAAATATTGATTGGTTGATCTCAATTACATAACCCATAGAACTGCGTACTGTGTAACAAGTAATTAGACAATCACGTGGTTCCAGGTTAGTAAGGTCATTCGAAAGCCGCGTCTTAGTTCTAAGAAGGCAGCTGGTCCGGCTGCGTCTGGTTTATGGGTTTATAGCTTCATAGCTTCATACAATTCTAACCCTTCGAGGCTCGACAGGTTCGGCGACGACGACGACGACAACTCCCTCTATATTCCGCGAGCCCATTGATTTAATTTTATCTTTTCCTCCAGCCCGTCCCTATACACATTCCGATCAATCATATATCCATCATGGCGGAATCAGAAATAGCGCCCAAGTTTGCCCCCTTCTTCGGCATGGTAAGCTCGACATTTCCATCGGTCCCCGTTCAGCGTACTTCCCTTTGCTGACAGAGTTTTCGATAACGTAGGCCGGTATTGCATCCGCCATGATCTTTGGATGTACGACCCCCGAATAGCGCACCGTCCCTTAAGTAATATCGCGTAGGAACTAAACAGAGTTAACAACAATACAGGCGTCGGGGCAGCATACGGGACGGCGAAATCGGGCATTGGTATCTCGGGCGTGGGTACCTTTAGGCCAGACCTGATCATGAAGGTTTGTCAAAGTCCAGCCCCAGCTCCTTCTAGGCTGGCTTTCCCTGGCCGTCCAAAACCACTCGTCTAATCTGATGACTATTGCAGTGCCTGATTCCCGTCGTCATGTCCGGAATTATCGCAGTTTACTCCCTCGTCATCGCCGTCTTAATCGCCGGAGACATGGATCCGCCGTCGCGACAAAGCTACAGCTTATTTACGTATGTTCCCCGTTACTGCGCTCTCAAAACGGATAGGAAAAGTCGGACGAAAAACTAATGTCTGAAAATAGGGGATTTATGCATCTGGGATGTGGACTCGCGGTCGGATTCACGGGCTTAGCCGCTGGGTACTGTATCGGGGTTGTTGGCGACAAGGGTGTCCGCGCGTACATGGAGCAGTCGAGGATATTTGTCGGCATGGTCCTGATTCTTATTTTTGGCGAAGTTCTGGGTCTCTATGGGTAAGTCTAGACCTCTATGGCATGGCGAAGGCGAAGCATTGTCACTCACCGCAAATAGTCTCATCGTTGCCCTTATCCTCAACACTAAGAGCAAGGGCTAAATCATACGGACTCGAACTCGAACTCGAACAAACCATATTTCACAATGGCCACTAAGTGTTCACACATAAAGAGGCACTAACCAACTATCAGTCTATAAGGATAAAGTGTAATCAGTAGCTACATGGTCGATGGCGTTTTTACGGGTATGTAGAACTAAGGGGGTATCCATTAGAATCGTTGACGGCTGGCAGGTCCGTATTTGGTCAAATATACGACCAAGGCCTCCATTGATGAATAAGATATTTTGAACTACAAGGCAGGATTGCTTTCATCATAAACAGGGTCCTTCGAATTCGTGTTAAAATTGATGCTAAATAGGAGTCGGCTAGCTACTACAAAGCCTAAAGGAATGCGGAAAGAAATGAAGAATCAATACCCTCACGACATATCTCATGACCTCATCCATTCATCTACATGGACATCCCGAATGTTGAAACCCAGCCAGTAATAAAAAAAATGATGCCCTCAAACCTGTCTAACTTGCCCTAATTGACGCCAAAACGGTAGCGCCGCCCAAATGCGTGTGATGAGAAGATGAAATAAAAATAAAATATGCAAAGGAACGGAAAGAAGCGCGATGCAGCCGTTGCAGTTTTGGCTGTGTTGGGGAGCCTAATATCGCCATAGAAATCGCGGCTGGAATAATTCCCATGCGATATACCAATATTGAAAAGGTGTTTTTCATCGACCGAAGCGGCGAGCGAGTCTCCCACGACTTTCGTTGTTGGTACGGAAGTTGCTCCAACTTCGCTCACGTTCCTCCGCACCTCTCGTCTGGCCTAATAGTTGGACAACGTTAGAAAATTCGCAGAAAAATAATTCAGGGCCGAAAGAATAGAATGGATAGATAGGACGTACCCAAAAACCAATCCCATCGTCTGTCCTCACGAATCAGAATATCATCTCCATTCTGCCTGGCTAGTCTCTCGTTTCTCGCCTGCGCAGCTGCTTCCTCACCGACCAGGTACGGATCTTCGAGCGGCCGCACCTTATAAGGGTCGGCATCGTCAGCTGCGGCTGCAGCGTTCATGCGTTGGACCACTGTTCGCACTGCGCTTTCGACTCCTCTCCAGCCGTGGGCGCCGTTAGCAGCAGACACGCGACGGTGCGCAACCCTCTGATAGTGGCGAGCTGTCGGGTTGCTGCTCATCGAGGACCAGCTCGGTACCTGGAAATGGCTAAGGTGGGGAACCTCGTTGCGACGGCGCGGAGAGGGTATCCGCGGTAAGCCTGCTCCCGGCGCAAAGGTCGAGGTCATGGGAGCCGGCGTCGGGAACGGGTTTAGCATAGACGAATAGCGTGGCGGGGATGCCAACGGTGAGCCTCGAGGTTCGGGTGGCGTGTACTCAGGTACAGTTTCATTCGTTGGTATAGTTGAATGATACGAAGGCGCCTCGGACACTTAGAACAAGACTCTTTGTTAGCTCTCCTTATCGCATATGTCCTATCGGTGAAAGAAGTGCCTTACTATAAGAAGGGGCGGCTGAACGAATGGAAGCCGTCTCAAAATCTTCGGCGCTAAGAAGCTCCAAACGGGATGGCCCGTTGTGAATAGCTGTTTCTGTTGCCATCGTGTTGACTAGAATTTTTCAATATCGCAAGCGAATGTGATGCGGAGTGGTGAATGTTAGGGAGGTAGGTTTGGTGAGAGAGCTTCGCACATCTGGTCAAATACCTAGCTCTCTTATCATTCAGGTCCTGACTCTCGGTGTAAGAGCCGAAATATTAAAATTAGGCGAATCAGATATTGGCAACCATGTAATTAAGCCAGATGACTGTTTGAGACAGAATAGCTTTCCCGAGGGGGAGTTAAATCAGGAATGACAGCTTGACTTAAACAAAAGACCGATGTTAGGTCAATGTGTTAGAATGTGTTAGGTAGGGTTCACAACGATGAACACTGATCACGACCAAAGCGAACACACCACACCACTCAGCTTCGTTCCCCCCAGGTACGTGTGTAGACCAAGTAGGGTTCAAGCTAGAGAAAGCTTGAAAAGATAGGATGAGGCGTTGGGGTGTAAGGTGTGTTATTATGAGAGGTATGAGATGATGTGCTATGTTATAAGGTGTACGAGGCGTATGCACACGTGAGGGTTGCAGAGAAGAATTGCTGAGATAGGGATGGTATGGGAGGACAAGAACGGAAACGGAGTGAGGCACAACCACCTTAACCATCCACCACCCACCACGATGGATGGGGTTTACATATGCAAGATTCCTACTGGCCCCGTTTTGTCTTACCCTTGGCCTTTGCTGTCGTGCTACCTTCTATCCAGGGCCCGAGCTGCGTCACCCGCAAGTTCTCCGTACAGTTTCGTGGAGTTTGTGGAGAAGAGGATACGATATCTCTGACGAACCTAATACATAGTAGGTATTTGCCTGGATAATTTGCCGATATCCGGGTGCTTGTCAAGTGTGTTGTTGCTGAGGGGGGAATTGGTGCAGGTTTAGGTTCCAACGTACATAGCTAGTTAGGTTACCTAGGTAGGTAGGTACCTGGATGTAAGTTGGACAACGGAGAGAGTATTGAGAACCCGATAAGTATTACGACTATGTATACTCAGAAGGAATTAGGAATTACGCCAGTTCAGCAGCCCCACCCTACCTATTTAAGTAAGCGACTATTCATCTGATTGGTTATACTCTATCTTATTGTCTCCACTATCCCCAGCTGCCAATAATGATTGGATGAAGAATATCGTCACTAAATGTAAACGGAGTTCTTGGAACAGTTAAGACCGTTCCTTTACTATCTTGACCGCAGGTTGTCGCGATATAGCGGGGTAGGTCGGGGTATAAGCATCAACTTGTCACTGGGACAATAATACCGCACTTCAATTCAAGGCTGAGAATGACGAAATAGACTGGTTCTACGTGAGAAAAACATTATTGCTATTTACTAAACTGTAAGGCTAAATATAATGATATCCACTTCTGAGGATGGACGACTCGGAACTTTGGTGTTCCTGGCTAGATCATCGCCTGCATGTTCTAGCAATGCACAGCGGCCCGCCGAGAAACCTGCTCGGGCATGATTGGGAAGCGAGACAGCTCAGCAGTTTTCATGGCAACTTGTGGTTATCACTCTATACGAGATGTCGGCACAAATAGACTAAAATGGCAAATAGGGTACTACTATGTAGGAGGTACCTATATATATGGTTTTACACTTATGTATATAATATTATAACCTTGTAATTAATTATGTCTTTCGATGTTTAAAATATGTACCTAACCTAAGGCACTTTCGGAGTTAATAGTTGACTTATACAACTTTGTTTATATCCGTGTTACGCACAAGAAACAAGAAGGAGGTACCTAACCGGAGTAAATAAATGATCTTCAAGGAACCACGTCTTAAGACTATTACATCACTCAACCCTTTCAACCCCGAAACATCACAATTGCTATTCTTTCTATTACGTCGTAGGGATTTACCTTACTTCGGATCTTCATGCCAAATATTACAAGTCTTAGAAATAATTCACTTCGTAATAGCTTCTCTTTAGTCTTCCGTCCCGCAGAACCGAGAATATCCCGCGCTACCGAGTCAACAAGCTATAGAGCACAGCCTCAAAAAAATGACACTATCGCTATTCAGTTGGCGGGTCTAGTAAACTAATAGATAGTTTAACGAATCCTCTTTTTTCAACGTTCCTGAATATAGATGTACTTATTCGACAACTTCCCTCGACTCGGTAGTAGTAACCGTGAGGCCGCCTACCAGCACCCATTGGCCGTCGCCAATCTGCCCCGGATGCTGCTCCAGCATACCCGGATTCGATATCCTTATCTGGAAACTAATCACATGCAGGGCTCGCGTGAGACTTGGTTCGCAACCCTTACAGATCTGAAGTTTCTCAATCGAGTGCAGATAACACTGCCTCGCTGCAACCCTGAAAGGTCCAGAAGTGTGCAGCAGTTTAGACGAATCGAAAAGAAGGGTTGAGTTAGGCATTCCAGATCATAGATATTTGAAACGAAGGTAGGTAGTTATTTTAACTCGAAAAGTTTCATTATCACATGAACTTAGGTAGGCTCAACATGCATTGTTTCTGTTACGTTATACCTCTCAAGACTTTTTTTTGCTTGTTAAATAGGTACCTCCTAACGTAAGGTAAAAAGATCCGCCTGCAATCTAACCGAGTAACCGTAACCGTTGTTCCCATAAACCGCTATTCGTACATTTAAATCCTAACGTCGTGGACCCTGCTTTTACTCATTACATCTCATACCTGGTTAAAAAAAGAATCTCCTCGAGAACCCAGCCCCCGGATTTTCTTTTGAAAGGCGCCATTCCCAACCATTCCAATCCCGATGCGTATGCCCTTAGTGTACCAAGTAGAGAGAGAGAGAGAGAGAGAAACAGTAGCTGTCAAGAGAACAGCATAAAATAAAATCGTAAGAGGTAACGAGTCACCATAGTCGTCGTTGATAATATACTCGTTCCTGGCCCTCCGACAACTGCCGTATCTCCTCTTTGATCTTGCGCCTCCTTTCCGCTCTACTAATCGGTTTCTCCTCAGACTTCTTCTTCTTCTTATTCTCTTCTGAAGGTTCTTCCACATCGTTCGGTGTCCCCACCTGTGCCCCAGCAGTAGCATCGTCCCTCTCCGGCATAGCCGGCTGTTTCTGCTCTAGTTTTCCATCAGACACGGTGGGTCTCACGATAACGACATCTTCTCCTCCTCCTCCTCCTCCTCCTCCTTCTTCTGCGCTATATTGTCTACGGCGGTGTGGCAGCCGCGAATCGCTTATCGTATCTTCTAGGTGGCTGGGTGAGCTGAGGTGGTCGGGGTGGTAGACCTTGGGGCTCGGCCTGGGTATCCGGGTGGGCTTGATGGCTGCTCGTAGGTCGCGCAGTGTTCGTTGTTGGATTACATAGCCGCTGAGAAACAATGCCGCCGTGCACAAGATAACTATTGAAGAAGAAAAAAACGGAGATTATGGTTAGTCCGAAAACGTTGTAGTTATTTTAGGCTGTTTACTGGGTAGGTATTTCGGAGGGGTTAAGTTCATACCGATTCCTGACGAGAGTACGACCGAGACCTGCGACGATGTCAAAAGCATACTTGTTCGAAAATATGGTGTACAATTATAGGTTATATATAGGATTGTAAAGGCTCAGGAATTGAAAGAAAGAAAAAACAATACGTAAATCTATGAAGATAGCAGTTGTTGAGGCGATATACAATAAGTTGCACACCTGGAAACTGTTGGCAAAGGACCTTTTTGGTGACCGGTTTCCTGTTTTCCCAAGTCTCGTGTTTCCCGGGCAACGCGCATCAGCCATTGCGGCCGGGGTGCCGGCTTGGCAATCTGATCCGATCCCGATTGCAGATCTTACAATAACACCCTTGCGAGGAATTCATTAAATACGCCGAATACGTTGACGATTAGATATTATTTTCTTTTATAATAGGGCATGGTGTATATGATTTATATATGCTACTTCAGACTTTATGCGCCTCTTACAATATAACATCGGCCCCTTTTATGCCTCCAAGCTTGAAAAATACTAACCTGATACCTACCTAGACGGAAGGATAATCTACAGGTACAGCTAGGTAGGTACGCAGTTTCTTAACAGTTAAACCAGTTCTACTCTAAAGAAAGTATATTGATCCAAGAGAATCTCCATGTACCCCCTGTTTCCTTCTTCATTCATTATTGTACGTCAGGTCGCACATAATACAATATGTCGAATCTAATGGACACAAGGGATTTACCAGAGCCATGCTCTTCGCGTATCTTGTTGAACAACAACTCAGCCGTGTTTGTCCTACCATCCAACGCAATGTCGCATAGTACTTTATATATGCCGATTATCCGATATCCAGTATCACTGCGCTACTAGAAAGCCCTCATCACCGTGCGGGAGAAACATGTGTTGACCAACAATACACATCTAGTCGCGGCTGGCAAGTCGCATTGTACTTTTCCAAGGCTAGAACCCATTCGATGCCTACTTCTAAGTTCTAAGTGCCGCTTTGGTCTTCACACCGGTCTTCTCATCTCCCAAAGCCTTCTAGCCTTATCGGTAACTATAAGATTGGCAGAACATGTTTTCCACCCTGTGTGCCGTGTCTCATTCCTAGATACAGCCCATAGCAATTTCGACAGCCTTGCCGTTCGTAGCGGCACGCACTTTCTCGGGCCAATTTGCACCCCGATAATCAACGGGTACGCCGTAGTTATATAGCATCTGCCTTAGGAGAGTAAGTCTAGCATTGCTAGCGGCACCGGTAAGGTGGATGGGCCGCCCTGTTGTTTTCTCAATCGGGGCTATCACCTGAGCCCGTAAGTACGGTCTCGTATAGGACCGGGTAGGACAGGGAGCACTCGATAGAAGTGTTTATCGAATACTAGACATAGTTTCTAAGCATTAGTAAAGCGTTTATGAAGTCGGACTTAACATATTCCCAATTGAGGAGGGTTATTCATGGATCTAGTTGGTCCGGTGATATATAGGTATATAGGAGCCCGTATTCCGAGTCCCTTGCGTCGTCAAATTAGACTGATAATTTATGACAGGAACGTCGTGTTGGGTCACGCTCGGCAGCCTCAAGTCATATTATCACTTAGAATAGTTAGAATCTAATCTGAATAGCTGACTCTTTAACCTATCCAGAAATCCATAGTTTGGCGGATCGCTCGACGCCTTCCCTTGTATCCCAATCCATTGTACCCATCTACCGCTGTGCCAAGTATAATCCCCCTTTCTCTTAAAAAAAATCCATCTAAGTCCAAACGCTGCCTAGCGTAACATCTCTGTATGTTTATACATGTGTATTATACACTTTTTCTTTTTTTAACTTCTTGCATCAGCCCCCAATCAAACATCGTCATACTTGACTTCTATCCTGGTATCCTTCACAATGATAAGCTTCTGGCTCGAGCAGTCGTCGGACTCGCTAGTTCTCTCCCCCCACTCCGGGCGCGACCCGGACCCCCCTTGGCAAGTTGTCACTAGTGAATCGCCTCGGCCCGGACGCTTCATGCTCTCGAGCCGTATGATACCAGCGGCAGGCTGTGATTCTTGCCTGTCGTCGTTACTGCGGAGAATGGAACGGCCGTTGGCTAGAGGCCCGCCTGTCGGGTTCTTAGTGGTCGAGCTGATACCGAAGCCGAATCTTACGAGCAGCGGTCGTAACGGCGGGAGGCAGCCCGCGATGATACCAACACCGCACTCGACGGTAGACCAAATAACTATGCGGCACCCCTTATCTATATAGAAGTTAGGTAGTTAGTCAATGTACTAGAGTATAAGGCGTGTAAGAGATCGCATACAGAGACCATCGACGGATGCCTCGCCGGCGCGGATGTACTTGTGCACATATGGTAATCGAATGCAGGTTGATATACTGGCTCTGTAACGGAACATATGTGTTAGTCTAGCCATCGCATATGAGAGCATAAAGCATCTCTCCAGGAAAGTGGCAAGCATACAAAATTCCGAGGGCCAGAACAAATATGAGCGAGGCCTTGACCTGCGGCTTCATATTCAACTTCCAGAGAATAAATGCTGGAAAAATTGCACACATCCAGTCGGTTATGATGGAAGTCACAGACATGGCTGTATTCATAACGCCGGTCTGGTTCACTCCAGCGCAATGTTTTGCATCTCCGTTCCAGTTGGCGGCGATAGGTTTGCATTGGATGAATATGGTCGCCAAACCTGTGGCAGTCCCGATGACACAGACAATTATCACTACCCACAAAGGGATGGTATAGCGCTTTTGTGATGTGATCCGTAGGAGAGCGACGCAGATGCTGACCTTGACGGGCGGAAGGCATAACATATAGCCCACCTCGAAGAAGAACAGCCCTATAAAAGTGAAGTTATTGGTAAGTGGCTAAGCGCTATAGGTTGTAAACAGTAACACGGTTCAAGGTATAAGAAACGTACATTTCATGCCGGTCTTCTTCAATTCGCCTGTCGGGTCTATTGCGTAAACGACCTCGTCTGTCGCGCCGAAACCTGACAAGCAGCCTAGATGGACAACGATGCAGCAGAAAAGGTAGGTAAACTACAGCCACATAGCTTCAACATTAGTCGCCGTTGCTCAACGTATATCCTCCAACCGCCATTCGTAAACTCCAGGGGCGGAAAACTCACAGAACCTAGCACCATCAAGTAATCGTCGAAGCCGAGTGCCCCATTCCTTACTCGCGCCCAGATTCGCAGGATGACGACAATAGACGAGACGATGCACAAGGTAATGGCGGCGGCCAGAGTCTCGGCACCGAGACCTATCAGTATACCCATCGGAGCAGAACTGGTTTTATGGAGTCTTCTGCTTCTAAATCCAAGGCATTGAAGCTTTTAGAGAATCTCGCAAGTCCAGAAGATGGGATGGAGATACCTACCAAATCTATATAGAGAAAAAAGCACGATGCTTCGATTAGGTATTTACTTGGCATTTCATGAACATGAGCTAGTAAAGTACATACACACACCCTTTTTACACTTGTCCACTCTGTTGGGAATACGGGACTGACGATAACCCTGCCTTGCATTTTTGGCCGTAAACGTTTTTTTTCCTTTCTTTGCTTGCCAGAAACGCAACACACGGACGGTTCCAGTCCGCCTATGGGAAACGACGACAATATCCCGAGCCAGATCCGCGGAAACAAGCGCAATCTGTTGCATAAACATAACACATACCAAGCATAAAAACTTTTTTATCATATGTCAATTTTTGATTTCCGATTTTGTGCGTCGAAAAAAGAAAGAAAAGAAAAGAAAAGAAAAAACTAAAAAAACGCTATGACTTCAAAAGCAGCCAAACAACTTCCCTAGGTAATTACTTAACTACTATGTACCAAGTTTCAGCTCGAGACGGCAGACTTACGGTGCCCTGTGTGATACCCGAACAGAGTCGGACCTTGATCCCCGGGCCGGGATATACCAGATCATGTAGCTCATCGTTGATATAGATTGGGGGTGGTGGGGGTTAACCTTTCGAAAGGACGTGGTGATTCGCAGCACGATGTTCTATGATCCTAGTTGCTCTTTCTTGTCTATGATTCAAAAGCTCGGAATAGCGGCACCGGGAAGGGCATTCGGTTCCAAGAGTATAGACTAGACAAGGTTCAGGCCGGTGATGGTAACTCCATTCTTTCCGACGCGGAAGTAGACCGGCGGCCCGGCCGTCTGGATACTACCTATCTTAGGTAGGTAGGTAGGCACCTAGCATCTTAAATGGGTATTGCAAAAATCCGTGATCAGATCTTGGCTGATAAGTTCAGGGGTGTTGCACGTTCTAAGCTCCGAGGCTCGGCGGTAGGTTAGCAGCAGGTATACAAGGCGCACTGACTTGGAAGTAAGGGAGGCGAGGGGCATAGGGGCTATTGATTAAGTAAAATTTGCACCGGGAAGCTGGATAGATACCAGCTACCTAGACCTAACGTTAGGTATCTATCTAAGATCTGAATGCCCTTTGTTACCTACCTAGTACTGAATCTTATCCGATAGAGTGGTGAAGGGGAGATGCATGCCGGCCCCGAATGATCCAAAGACACCTAGGTTATAACCCTGAGGCCGGAGTTATGCTATATTATAAAAAACACATTGACGGTATTCCTTAAGCGACGGTAGCCGCTGTTGAGCCTCTTGGTCTTGACCTGTCATAGGATTCTGGATTTTCTATCATATTATGCCCGACTTTATGTGCCAAGGCTGAAATATCCTGCTGGGCAAGGATAGCCCTAATATTTTGCACCGACCCAGCAGGGTAACTGTCTTGTAATGTCCTTTATTCAACTTATAAAGGACTGTCGGCTAAGTTATTACCAACTAGTCCCAGTGGTAAGTCTATAAGGATACCGGCTAGGGGGTATAGAATAAATGACAACTTGAGTATGTGAAGCCATAATGCTTCTATACCTTAGGTAGTTATAGTTAGGCCTCCTCGATGAATGACGAGATTGTCTCGGGTACCTATGCTGCTTAGTTCCACCTTACGTTGGTTGTGAAAAATTTCTAACGACCCATATACTATTTACATAGTACAGGAGTTCGTGAGTACTTCCTTACAAGGTACTATACCTAGAATATTATTTCCCCTGATATAGGTACCTAGAAATACTTTTGAGTATGCCGCAGCAACGGATGAATCTATCTATTCTCGAAGCAAGGCATAGGTTTATTGGCCACATTTCTCGAAGCCCTCTCCCTTTCATGGCAAACACTCAACTTGCCCTATCAGTGGGACCTCTTGACAGAGGAGTGACGAAAAGAAGAAAAACTTTTAAATACCGATTCAGTGGATATAAGAGGGCTTGGTACCTAACCTTAGGTACCTGGTATGTTTGTGAGGGCTCTGCATGGAAGTTGTACCTATAGGTACCATACGATGGGCTCGAGCGTTCAATTACCTAGCTTTCTTCAAGGTTCTACATAGTAAGTAGCATTCGTATTCTCCTTACCACCTCATGATTTGAGTAAGAGTTATATAAGATCTCATCTTAATCATGAGTTTCATTATGTAAGACTATTAATCTACGTTGTAAATCTCTTACGCCTCTCTAAGATCAACAAACTATAGGTATATTTGGACTTGACCGAGTGATGGGTCAGAGAGGACAGTCTTTGCTACCCACCTAACCTAGCATTCGTCAGAGCGCTCCTCAAACCGGAAAGAATACTCCTATTTTTCTGGTATATTGCTTGTATAGAGTTCCACCCTTGTCCTGAATCTTTTTTTTTTTTTTTTGTGCGCATATGTTACGATCATAGGCTTCTCCTTTTCGTCCTTACTGTATACAGTCTGTTCTGTTATCAGTCGCGTTTGTAATTGTTGATTCAGTAGTACGTATATTTTTAGGTTTTATGCATTTTCATATTTGAAAGAAAGAGAGATCACGTCCCATATAGAATTATCTTCGTTGGCTGCACAAGTGGCTTATATAACGTAGGTAGTAAAACGTACCTACCTATGTTCGTAGGGCTGAACGCCACGACGCCAAAAAACGCCAAAAACGCCAAGGCCCCTATATTATGTAGATAGACATCTTATCGATAAAAGCTACCAGGTACCTTGGTACCTAAGTCAACCGATAACAGAATTACTATCGCGAAATGTTGAAGCTGCCGCAACAATCGAGCTTGTTCATATTCACCTAATATTCACCTAATTCCCATACCAGCACTCCTTATTTACTCCCTGACTTTCGACTACTCGTAAAGCGCTCCAGATCTTCAGTTCCGAATATCCAAACTTTTTATTATAATCACCATCTCCTCTCCCTAGCGACAACCATGGGCTCCGACACCCACCGCGCCGACGAGCGGCGGTTCCTCGACGAGCGGGGCTCGAGCGCGGCGCTGGCGCCCAACGGGCTGAACCCGGCGACGATCATGGAGAAGGCAGTGCGGGAGCGGATCGTGGAGAGCTACTTCTGGAAGGAGCAGTGCTTTGGGGTGAACGAGGCGGACGTGGTGGACCGCGTGGTGGACCACGTGTCCTTCGTCGGCGGCACCCACGGTGCCAACCAGAAGCCCAGCCCCTTCCTGTGCCTGGCCTTCAAGCTCCTGCAGCTCGCCCCCGACGACGACGTCCTCGCCGAGTACCTGCGCTACGGCGGCGAGCGCTTCAAGTACCTGCGCGCCCTCGCCTGCTTCTACGTGCGCCTGACGCGCCGCGCCGAGACCGTCTACCGCCTCCTCGAGCCCTTCCTCGAGGACCGCCGCAAGCTGCGCCGGAAGGGCCGCGCCGGCACCAGCCTGACCTACGTGGACCAGTTCGTCGACGACCTGCTGACCAAGGACCGCGTCTGCGCCACGAGCTTGTGGCAGATGCCCAAGCGCGAGATCCTCGAGGACTTGGAGCTGCTGGAGCCGAGGACGAGCCCGCTTGGCGACATTGAGGATTTATTGGAGGAGGAAGAAGAAGAGAAGAGAAAAGAAGAAGACGATGTTGATATGAATGGCGATACCAACGGAGATGCGAGAGCGGATAGTGATGAGGAAGAAGGGTTAATTGAGGAGGGGGAACAGCTTTCGGATAGGGGCTGTAGGAGGTCGACTTCTGGGTCGAGTAGGAGAGGAGATTCGAGATCCCGTAGCAGGGACCGATCACGAAGTGGCATGGACGTCGATTCTCGTGGGGAATCTGATAGGGATGACCGATGAGAGAGAAGGTGACTACAACGAGTTACGCAACTGCGCCTTTGACACGGGACGGTCTAATTTACTACGAAACATCACAGGCCAATTACAATGCGAAACTGATCTATCTTCATGCCACGGGCAGGTCGTAGGAGCCAGGAAGGATCTTTTACAAGTTGTTAACAGGGGTATTATATCACACAGATGCTCTAACTTTATGATTGTTGGTAGTCTCCAACAACTCCAAAATGGGGAGTATAGACTATATCTTTCATGTAGCCTCTAGCGTTAGGATGCTCCCTCCACAACTCAAAACAGGGTTTGTTGCAAGATACGGGGTGCTAGGACGTCGGCTACGGAGAGCAGCCGCGCATCGTCCCAGTACTGCCCGATGAGCTGCATGCCTCCAAAGCTAAGCAGTTTTTGCTCCTCCTGGGATGGATCAACAGGGATATCCATGGGGACACTGATGGCGGGCAATCCCGCGAGGCTGGCGGGTACCGTGAAGACATCGTTCATATAGGAATCCAGGGGCTTCTGTCTCATGACGTTCTCGAGCAAGGGTGGAGTGGTCGGCGCGGTGGGACACAGAAGGAAATCGACTTGTGCAGGGCCAAACTTGTTTTCTAGATGTACTGTATCTTCCATGTCGCTGAGATCAAAAGGTTGCTGGTCCTCGAGCGGATTGGACAGTTTGAAGACTCGATCGAAGTCTCTCCTCACGAGCCGGCGGACTTTCTGGGCTTGTATAAAATAGTTGTCCATAGCCTCCGAGCTGAGCGTGTACGACCCAAGCAGAATGCGACGCTGTACTTCGCTTCCAAAGCTAGTTCCTCTTGTTTTCGCATACAATATGCCCTTGAAGGAATCGCTAGCTTGTTCGCGATTTCGTTTGCCATAGCGAATGCCGTCGTACTTGGCAAGATTAGACGATGCCTCGGCCGGTGCTATCACGTAATATGCAGAAAGGGCGTTTTTCGTAGAAGGTAACGATACCGGAACGACACGCCCCCCTAACTCTTCAATCTTCTGAGCGACGGTCAACCAGCCTTGTCGTATGCGGGGGTCTAGCTCTTCGATGTTATACTCTATTGGTATGCCAAAGGTCAAGCCCTGTATCGTACCCTCTTTGGTTGGATTCCATGAATCGTACCCTTTTCGTTCCGCAGTACATCTTTGGCGTACGGAAGGAGGTAGAGACGTTGGGTCATTGACATCATGTTCTAGGTAGAGCTTCTGTCCTACGATGGCCGTGCCTATGGGTCCCACCGTTCTGGCGAGTAGTCCAACGGTATCCAAGGAGTTTGCGTAGGGCACGACACCCCAGCGGGATAGCATGCCGTACGAGGGTTTGAAGCCGACGGTGCCGGTATACGCAGCGGGCATGCGGACAGATCCTCCCGTGTCGGTACCCAGAGCTAATTCGGCTTCTCCCCTCCTCACAGCGACAGCACTTCCCCCAGAGCTACCTCCAGCTGAGTACATTTCTAGGCCGCACACATTGCGAATATCCTCAAATGCGGACGTTGTGGAGTGCGTGCCCATACCAAACTCATCCATACCGGTTTTGGCCGTCACAATCGAGCCCCTCTGCCTTAATTGCCTCACTATAGTGGCATCGAAGGGGATCTTGTTACCGGTAAGGATGTTGGAAGCACATGTTGTTGAGAAACCTAGGGCAGAAATATTATCCTTGACTGCGAGCCGGATTGCCCGCTCGTTGTCTTCGATATGCGCTTCATTCTTAATGGGAGGGTCTATATTTGCGGTGGTTTGGTGAATGTAGCGACACCGTGTAACACCGGCTCTCCGTTGTAAAGAGATCACCCTATGGGCGGCTCTAATTTGGGGATGTCTGACATATGTAGACATGTGGTCCCGGTGTTATTAGGCATTCTAAGCTGGAGGTTCATATAAATGAGTTTTTGTATGTTTTGGCGTTTTGAGGTGAGTTTCTTGTACTATGTACCTCCTACTGTGTTCCAAGAGCCTGTTATCGATAAGTTACGCGCTAATGCCGTAGCTCTCCAGCTGTGACCTGTGACGCAAGAGGTATGTATCAACGAAGCTTGGCAGGTACCCGGACGGTCAACGGCCATATGAGCCTAGAACTTCTTAAGGCATCTTTAGGCTGACAACTCACCTGTACTACCGCTAAACCATTACTCATTAATTCCCCCTAATATAAATGTCTACGGGGCACCTACATCATATAACATACCTACACCTAACCTAGGGCTTGCCTTTTACATACATGTATATCTATGTCTGTTAAGTCTTGACGACTAGATAGGTATGGACATACTTTATATCTCTACCTAATATTATCAACAATTATCAATTAATAAATCAAAATGGTTCCAAGGATTATCCTCGTCGCGTCCCTGGTGACGGTCGCAAGGTCATCTCAGCCTGGAGCTCCCGCGCCGGTCGCTGCTCCGATGAGAAATCTCGAATGGGGACAAATCAATTTCATACACACCACAGATATACACGGCTGGCTTGGTGGTCATCTACAAGAGTGAGATAATCGAACCTAAAAAAAGGTATTAGATGATCGACTGTTGCTAACTTAACCTTATTTATCCATCAGACCGCAGTACTCGGCCGACTGGGGTGACTATATTTCATTTACGACTCATATGAAAAAGAAGGCAGATGAAAAAGGTGTAGATTTACTAGTCATCGATACCGGTGACAGGATCGAAGGAAATGGCTTATACGACGCTTCCAATCCGAAAGGCAAATATTCCTACGATATCTTCGCCGAGCAAACCGTCGACGTTCTCTGCACTGGAAATCACGAACTATACCAAGAAGACTCGGTCGCGCGAGAACACAACATAACCGTTCCCAGATTCAAGCACTCCTACATCGCCTCCAATCTCGACTACATTGAACCCGAGACTGGCAACCAGATTCCCCAGGCCCAGCGCTACATAAAGTTCACCACCAAGAATCTCGGTTATAATGTCGTCGCGTTGGGATTCTTGTTCAACTTCGATCGCAACGCGAATAACAGTGTCGTGCAGCCCGTCGAAGAGGCCATGAAGGAGGAATGGTTCCAAAAGGCCATAAGAGAAAAGCCCGATCTATTCCTCGTCGTCGGCCATGTGGGTCTTCGTATGAAGGAGTTCGAACAGATCTTTAAGGTTATCAGAGATGAGAACTGGTACACTCCTATCGCATTCCTTGGTGGTCACGCACATGTACGGGATACGAGGAAGTTCGATGACAAGGCATACGCCATCGCTAGCGGTCGGTATTTCGAGACCATCGGTTTCTTGTCTATCGACGGTATCACGAAGAAGAGTAGGAGCGAACCTTCTACCGAAGCAACAGTCACGTTTAAGAGGCGCTATATCGACAACAACCTCTTCGGCCTGCAATACCATACCGGCCTAAACAAAACTACCTTCCCCACTGAACACGGTCGCAATGTCTCAAGACTCATCGCTGAAGGTCGTAAAGCTCTTAACCTCGATGACTCGTTCGGCTGCGCCCCGCAAGACCTCTGGATGAGTCGCGCCCCATACCCCAGCGATTCTAGCATATTCAGCTGGCTTGAGACGCAAGTCCTTCCCGACTCTATTGTTAACAAGGAGAGGAAGGACGTCCCGCGCCTAGCTATTGTCAACACGGGTGCTATCCGCTTTGATATCTTTAAGGGCGCGTTTACTAAGGACTCGACCTACCTCATCTCCCCTTTCATTAGCAAATTCAATTACATTCCCGACGTGCCCTACGCCGTCGCCAGCAAGGTTCTCGAGCTACTTAACAATGCCGGCCCCGTATTCAGCGGTGCTCTCGACGCGCAGTACTTGACGATCCCTGAGCAGGCGGTCCCGCGTGGCCCGTTCTTTGAAGCCGCGTCTGCGGAGATTGACAACGAAGGTAGACGGCCATTTTTCATGGAAGACTCACCGCAGAAGCCGCTATCACTTTCGGGTGAGAGAAGTTCGTCTAAGCAGGACGAGAGCAAGGGCAAAGAAGACCCTGAGCTCGTAGGCGGATACACCACGCGCGACGACCTCGGCGACGACGGCGACGATGCCGTACACTCTCCTATCAAATTTTATGCGGTGCCTAACTGCATCCAATCCAAGATCGCCTTCCCCAGCAACGGCAACGATACCGCAGCTGCCCCGGACCCGGAGACGGTAGACCTGGTCTTCATCGACTACGTCCAGCCGTGGGTCATCACCGCGCTTAAGTTCAGCGGCGGCGACTACGGCACCGCGGACGTGAAGGTGTACACGAATAACACCCTGACGGACGTTATTGCCGGGTGGGTTAAGGAGCATTGGAAGAAGGACTGCTAAGATCGGGAGAATATGTGTATGACTGACTGAGTGAGAATGAGCGTGGAAGGATTAGGTACCTACCTGGACTATAACTCAGGTATGGACATTTGCTTTTGATTTGCAACGGTACGATACGATACGATACGATACTACGGGACGGCTTTCAATTTGGCTTTTGGGATTTCAGACTGCGCATTTTTCGTATTTATTTTATGCTCGACATGGCACGGCTTCGGTTGCGGTGTCGGTTTCTGGCTTTTGGATAGGTACCTTAGGTACCTACAGTGTACTTCGCTACAAATATAGCTACGACTTGTTAAAAGGATATGAATAACAGGTACCCGCAATAGAATACGCGCTCGATTATTCAAGAATTACCATAGTAATAGAGAAATACCGAGATATTTGGTAGAAGAGCACAAGTAGACTCAACTTCTCTCATCTACCCTAGTATAGGTACTTAGGGGGCTAACCTAGGTATGCAGTAGTTTTCGACAGTAAAGAGCTAAGTACCTCACAACTAAGAGAAGTTGAAGCTTTTGTTTGATCGTTTGATCGTTTAATCTACCTACCTGAACGCTAGCCATAACATTATATCCATTCGAAAACAAAAGCCGCTCTTCGCAACGTCTACCTATTTTTCACCCCCTTTCCATTTCCCCCCCTCTCCACCCCACAACCACCAACCCAACCCAACCCAAGACAAGACAAGCACCAAGCACCCCGTGGAAAGGCAATAAAATAAAATCCCAGCCAAGCTTAGTCACCGCAAGTCTTTAGCTTCCCTTCCCTTCCCACCCTCCCTCGACCTAGATCCCTGCCCTAACCTAACCTTAACCTAACCTAAACTATTTTTCCTCGCGTCGGTCCGCCCAAGCACTCGCAAACGCCGCCACCATCAAAAAAGTGCCTGCGGAGAGAGACAACAAGATAGCGAGACTAGCCCGGTATGCGTACGGCAACTTGTAGAACGAACTAGTCGACCTGAAGGCGCCATCTCGGAACGCTCCCAACGTAGGCTGCTGCTGCCTCTGTCGCTGTCGCTGCCGTTGTCTCTCTCGCTGTCGCTGCAGCTGCTGCTCGACGTCGACGTCGTACGGCAGCGGGGGGATCGCGTCCCACCACTCCGCGCGGGGCATTTGCAGCGGGGGCGTCAGCCGCGAGTACGCGGGCGGGGCGACGTCGTTCGAAGGGTCAACGATATTCGCCATCGACAACAATATGTTGAGAGTGCTTCCGCTTCTTTGAGCCGGATGTTGTGTTGCGTTGTCGGGTACGCATTCTCCTTGCTCTTGCTCTTGCTCTTGCGCCGAGGTTTGGGCCTGCGGAGCGGCGGTATTGCTGGCCGAAGAGGAGGAGGAGGGGTCCTCCGCGGGAGAACTAGGGCTAGATACCTGCGCGTGGCTAAGGGGCGATGTCCCGAGAGCGGTAGCGCTGGTGCGTCGTGAACGTTGTTGGCCGTCGCGCAACGGGCCCGGGGAGGAAGCGTAGGCCTCCTGAGGAGGCGTAGCGCTAGACGCCGTGGTCGACCTGATGCCCGGGATAACGTCGACGGTTGCAAGCGGTTCGGCGAAGGTGGCTTCCTTACGGCTGTCTTCAGACGACGACGACAACGACGACGATGACGACGACGAATTGGACGAGGGGACAGCAGGGCTGTGGCATCTGGTAGGTGCTGGGGTTCTTGTAGGGCTTGTATTTTCTGCGGCGCTGATCGATGACGACGAATGCATATCAAGCCCGACCAAGGTTGGTGTAGAGTCGTTTGCCGTAACTAAGGGGTTGGGGGCGCTGAAGGCAGGAGTTACAATGGGAACACTTCTCCTCCTGATACTATTCTCGCCGTGGCGAATGGCGGCGGGATATTCGACTACGGAACGGATAGTCTCGTAAAATCGGACGTGCCCATTAGGTGCTTGAGTAGAAACACCAATGCTTTTGCTCGCGCCTTCTTTGACAGCGGGGCCACCTTGGCTAGCAGTCTTGTTATCACTCCCGGAAGAGATGTTGCTAGTATGGCCGTTGATATTGCCCTAAATACCACTGGCAGAGCCACTGGCATGATCATTAGAACCGATATAAGTATCAGAACTATTATTAGACGGGGGAATCTGAGTTGTAGCGTCGGTGGTGGTGGCGGTAGTCAGTGCATGAAATTTCCGAGAGATCGTCGTCAGCAAACCGTGGAACGAGATACGTGCCGCTCTATAGGAGGGTATCGGCGTCTCTACAGACCGTGACGAATCTGATCTTCCACTGCTATTGAGTGAGTCGGGGTTAGTTTTATGAGACAAATATGCTGACTTTGGAGATGGGCAAGACGAACAGCGAGGATGACGATAAACGGACAGACTCAAAGCAGTCTCGTTCGCTGTATTGGTGCGAGGAAGCCTCTGGTCCATGATATACACTTGGTTTGTGTCCTCGTGTATCATCGGTAAGAAATCCCATCACGGCAAGGTGATCTTGTGCATCTAGCAGTTTGTGAGTCTGGAACCGAATCGGCGTCGGGTGTTGTATAGCAGTCGACCAGCCTAGGCATTGTCCACGGTGCCGATTTTGCTGTTCGACCGTATCTGAAGTCCCGTCCTCTGTGGTCTTAGTTTGACGGTTGCGAATATACTGATTCCATTGTTCTTCGACGGATTGACTATCAGGGACATTTGGGAAAGGCGGTGGGGGAAAAGGAAGAGGAGGAGTATTTAGGGGGTGAATCAGGTCGGGTCGATGAGACATTGTTGCGTCCGATTTGCTCTCGAGTACGGCAACGCTTATGCTAATTTACTTGTGATATGATATCTTGATTAATTGGATGTATAAAGAAAGGGGGTATTTGATATATTAATGAACGAAGATGCTGAAAGCCGTAACGAAAGACTCCAAGAAAGATGCCAAAAATGTAGTTGACGATACTTCCTCCAATGCCTCTTCAGTCTTGGGTATAGAGAACTGGTCCAGGTAGCGAGAAGAAATTGGGGAGAGGTACCTAACCGTACCTAACCTATTGGATCTGGTCGAGCAGCTTCCGCCTTCTCCTTTCTATAAGCTCTTGCTGTACCTCCTCTAGCGTAGGCAACTCCCAAGCTTTACCATCTCCTGTGTCGCCAGGTAGCGGTTCCCATCCTGGAGGAGGTTCTGCCTTCCCTCGCTTCAATAACTCCTCAAACGCCTCTCGTTCCTTCTCGGCCTCGTAGTGAAGTAATGCATCGTCTTCTTCATCGGGTGCGTACCCGTAATACTTGGCGTCGACTGCTTTCCTCAAGTCCTCGCGCGCCTCCAACGGTTTCTCCGAGTCCTGTAGCTTCTTTTGCGCAGCGGCTTCTAGAAGTTCTTTTACGCCGGGTAATTCCTTTGCTCGCCCGAAATACCTATACCCCTTACCTCCCCCCGGTATCTCCCTACCCATTTCGTCGTAGACCTTGCCGCCGCCACGCATATAATTAGGGCCTCCTAAATTCCGAATTTGTACCTCCCACATGTGCTTCTCCCGCATGAGCTTATTTATTTCGTCGTTGAGATCTCGAATCTGGTAGTCGCTAAGAGATGTCTCCTGGATCCGGGACATTTTCCGGCTGATTTCCTTCAGGGTCTGGCCTCTCCATTTCTCGCAAGCCGGGATCGAGTCTACTTCGGTAATGACCTTGGGTCTTCGTGCTCGTCCTGCGTCGATAATGCCCAGGTCCGCAGCTTGCGCTTCGCGGAAGCGAAAGAGCATCGACTGGGCTTTCTCCGAGTTACGCGCCTGGTTCAAGGGTTAATATTTGGACTACACATAGGTACCTAATGTAAAGTCGTGTGAAATTGCGTTTACTTACCATATTTGACTATTATTATATTATATCTTATGAAAATGGCTCTTGATGTAGTCAACCTGGAGAAAAAATGCCGACTATTGACCAAAAGGTTGGAGGTACATGTATTTTATTAATTGGGCGCTGATGAGAATGAGCATAGTGAAATTTCTCAGCCTTGCTTCCGTTGAGGCTGACTGCCCAGGTGGCTGAGAGGGTCCTTGAAGGTGGGGCACTCGCAGCTAGTATCGGGTAAAATTAACCAATCATAGAGCCCTAAAACGCGTCGCGACCTTCAGCATTCAACTAATTGAAATTAATTGAGAAGTACCTAGGTATCTTAGGTAACTAGGTATCACAGCATATATGAATCTTCCACCTTCAGCGTGAATGCTTCAAATTCTCACCATTTCATATTCTTTTTCTAATCAACGTGACGATACTACTACCTTTCCTATCGCTTCAATCTATTCCTCCAGAAGATCTATTAATAGAAAGCGTTACATTATCAGATCTTAATCTTGATCTTGATTTTATTGAAACGCCTATTATATGCAGCAGCCTGCTCATGAGTTAAGTGTGCAATCGTTAGCCGTCCATCATTCACAATACTTCACAACAGGAATCCAGCCATCTATTCTCTTATTATACCTTCTCCTATCCCCGGAAGTGCTGGGGTTTCCTAATACTCCTAACGACTTGATTCTTTTACAAGATTTATACTCGTATAGGCAAGTGTCTAGCTTCAACTTCCAAGCAACCACCAACGAAATCTACCTATAACTACACGAACTCGGTTTGTAGCCTAGCTGTGAAGAAACTTGTCACGGACATTGTTGGAGTCGTAGGACCTTCTCTTAGGCCCATGACGAATGACAAGACTCAAGAACAGAGATCTGAGCTAGGAGATAACACCCCTTTTAGCACGGCGTCAACTTCCCATCTGTTGGGCTAAACCGCTCAGTCGTTTCGGGCATCCCAGCGCGCGGGGCAAAGACGACACATAGCACACGTTGAGAATGATATTCATTCGATGACGGTCCCTCATAGTTTTCAATCAGAGCCTTTGCTGGGGTGTTTTGGACGACTGCTTGCTTAGTCTGACGATGACGGGACGGACTGATCGCCAGCGCTGTCAGGGTTCTCCTTTTTTCTTTTTATTCTTAGCTGCGTCAGCAGCGATACAACTCAAGAATACCCGGTGATGACCAATTCCAAAAAGCCAAATTTGTAGGCAGCCTGAACGAACCCAGCTTCTGTCATCGTGCAGAAACGGGGGGAGGGAATGGTTGTCAGTGAGAACTTGAGAGCTAATCTGAGGGTATATCTGTATGTTGAATATATCTACTATGTACTATTTCACTGTCTGGCTACTATCGCGACGGTTTACCGATATCACGAACGCAGGAATTAGAAAGTCCTATTACGCCTAGAAGGGTGTTGATGCCAAGCACAAGATGCTGATGAAGGATCTCTGTCAAGTAATAACAAGGTTATCCGAACAGAGCAGACCCTATTTCCCCGCTAGCTCGACATCTGCCTGGGTTTATAAGATGAAATAGCAAACACCTCTACTGAAGTTTACACCGGAGAATATTTCTGGCAGGTTTCTATGATCATCTCTGATTATCGCCCCGTTTTTGTCCTTTAACCTGGAGCCATGAGCCTACTAGACATTCGCTTGGAGGCTTCTAATCATCTAACACTTGGCCTGGCATAGCTAACATCAAGCTGGCAATCTACAAAAGAATCGACTCAATGCTATTCTCAGGTACTCAACATGATTCTCGGTAGGTAGTACCTAGGTAGTTGTAGCCCAAAAAAATCCAAAAAAATTGACCCAGTATTATCCGTCCATCGCTAGCAGCTCTTATTACTAGCTAGATCTAACCATTCTCTCTCCGTAGAAGAGGAGTAACCATATAAGAACCACTTTTATCGTGTCATGGCCATACACCGTCCCCTATCAACTTTGTCTCATAGCTCGTCTAAGCCCTCGAGGGAATAAAATACGGCTTGGAACGAACACTAAATGCCGTATCGTATCATACCACTCATTCCTACGAGTACATAATCAGTTACAGAGCCCGGTACCAACGTAATTACGTCAATTGCTTTTCATTCATATCTGTCTTAGTTAGTGCCTATATATTTAAGACACCTAGGTACATCCGTCGCCGTCGTTAATCACATCCGCTTACTGCTTCTTCTTGCTATCCGAGGCGGTCGTAGTCGTAGTAGGCTTGCTGTACAGCCAGAGGGCGCAGAAGCCCAGCCACCCGGTGACGGTGGCGACGATGCCCGCGATCCAAGGCCACGCGCCGCTGATGACGTAGCTGCGGGGCCACTCGTCGTGGGCGAAGTGCCGGACCGAGACCGTGTTCTTCTCCTCGACGTTGCTGTAGAAGGGGCGCTTGTAGTTGACCTTGAAGTTGAAGATGCCGTGCTGGTCCGGCAGCTTGAAGGATACCGAGTACGTCGTGCTGTCCTCGGACGAGATGGTGGGGTTCAGCTGGAGACGGTGGAACGGGGATAACATGCTGAATTCGAGCTGCAGCTCGTCGTTGTCCGGGACAGTAAAGGGGATGTACTTGTCCCAGGAGTACTCAGAGAGGGAAATAGAATAAGTCTAATCGGTGTTAGCAAGGGGGGAAGCCACTTCGCATGTTTGGAAGAAGAAAACGTACCACGTCGTTCTTGATGCGATAGATCTTGGGGTTGCTGGCGTTGCTCTGGCCAACCTCGTTCAGGTGGTGCTCGATCCAGTTCACTCTCAGGACGCCAATCTCCTTAAAGGTCCATCCCGCTACTCGCTTGGCGAATTCGCGGTTGACGGTGCTGGCTTCCTTCTTCTCGCCGACCTTCTTCACCTTGGCGTCGAACCACTTGTCGCTTAGCATCTCGGCAGAACCGACGACGGTCAAGCGAGCGGAGTTGCGTGCCTGGAAGCTACTCACAAGGCTGAGCTGGGAGCCGCTTGCGAAGAGCTCGTCGACGACTTCGGCCTGCTCCTCCGGGTGGTAGCTGTAAGATGTGAAGGGAGCGCGGAGGATCGGCGTGAGGAGGGCACCCGAACCAAGGGTCTGGCCGGTGCCTCTTGGGAAGGCGATAACCCCACCGTCGTCGGAGGCCGGGCTGAAGAAATCCTTGATATCCGGGCGAAGAACTCCCGGGGTCGGTAGCACGAGCACGTCATGTTTCTCCGCAGCAGATAGGACGTCGTAGTTGAAGTGGTCGACTACGAGACCCTGTCGATCGGAGGGTAGGTGGATGTCTAATTCGAGGAGTAGAGAGACGATGGATGTCGGAGCTGGTTGCGAAGCCGAGAGGGCAAGGAGGACGTTGCCATTGGCGTTAATGAAATCGAGGAGGATCTTAGGTGTTAAGTTTGGACCGAGTCCTTTTTACTTTGTCAGTTGCACTTGTTCGAAACCCCGATCTGGCGGGGTTGGTTGCTATACAACAAGCATACCTTTTGACTTGGTTGGAAGAAACAGAATATGGTCATAAGATCTCTCGCCTAGGTGGAACAAGCTTAGACCTTCACTCTTTGGGGTTTCGTAGTTGATCTGAAATCCTCGACCTATTACGATATTAATCAACATATGCTGCTAGCACGGACGACAAGATGAAGTAATTCGACTTAGACAAATAAATAGCTTTGGTTACTTACCCTCCAGGTCACCTAGGAATTTAGAGTAGCCCTCCTTCTCGGCGACATCCTCGAGGATGACCAGCAACCTATTCCCGCTAGAGCTAATCGCCTGGACGAGGGCCACAAAGAGAAGGAGGACAAAAGACAAGAACGACTTCATCTCGATGGGTTTGCGTCTCTATGGGTCAATTGACTTTAAGGAAAACAGGAGAGGAAGAAGAAAGGGGGGTGCGACAGCAGATTTATCGCTGCGCATGGGACCTGTTGTCCGTTATTTATTATGTTAAGAAAATAATTAAATTGTATGTGTTTTTTAACAACTTGCTGCCGTTTTTTTGAGGTCTGGTATACGTAGCCCGTACCTGCCAAGCTCCCAATTGTACATAGTACATGGGTGTACCGATTACGTCGCCCAGGGCCCTATCACTTGCATTAAGGTACCTAACACCGGTAGAGCACACTCCGATTTTCCGGGTCGTAATAGATCTCTATTGGCTGGTCACACCAGTGTGAATGACAAGGTTAGACTAGGTACCTCATGTAAGCATCTCATTATTATTTTGTACTTTTGCTCACCAAATATTCTCACGATTTATTTCATTCTTCTCTCTATAAAAATACTATGTAGAATTGCAGATTCTCCTTTTAAAAATGGACGCAGGTCCCTCCCGAAAGAGATTGCGGCGTAGTACACGAAGCTGCTATCAATGTGGGCATAAATTTATCTTGAATTCTACTCCTAACTACTATATATTCTGAGTTGACGAGTTTTAAATCCTACCAGGTAGAAAGCGCAAGGTCAAATGCCAGCTCATTGACGAGAAGGTTGATACTTGTGCTGAATGCGTAAAGAGCGGTACTCTATGTACTGTTCAACCGCCTGGATCAGAGTTGGGCAGTGAAGACTCTCGTGTTGCTGCTAATAGGGAAAATGGACAAGAAGCAAGACTGGAGCGCATCGAATCTCTCTTGAAGAAGTTGGTTGAAACGCAAGAACAATCTAAACCAGCTGGAGCTACGTCCGAATGCGATCCCACAGTTCCAGACTCTCTCTGGAATGATTTTGTAAGTTGAATTCTATCTAACTAGCAATTTTAATTCAAAGGCCCAATTCCTTAGACAATGCAATGTTAGTTGTTCCAATCGACGGTTGATGATACTCTTCCTCTTATCGACGATAATAGCTTTGACGTTCTTCAACCAGAAAACGTAGCGGATGAGAAGCAGCCTCTTATAGCACTTCTACCATCTGCACAAGATGCGGCTACTATATCAACAAACAGTACTGCTTGGCTGTGGGGAGCAGAAACGCCCCTTGGGAGTGTCCTCAGACCCAATGACACCCTTCAACTATTAGACACAGCTGCTATTTCAAGCGGCAGTGCCATGCACATTGCCAAAATATTGCTATTATTCGCCCTGTATATACAACCACTCCCCTCGCATTTCGATGCTCAATTTTTAGGACCACAAACCACCGAAGAGATCATTAAATTGATTGTAGACCGAGTCAGGTTATTCGCCCTCTCCCACGAAGACGAGGCTTCTTCGTTGGACGGTATAGAATGTCTAACCCTGCTAAGTTCTATTTATCTTAACGATGGCGCGATCCGAAAAGCATGGATGGTATTTAGAAGAGTTCTGGACATTGCCAGATTAAAGGGGTTCCAAAACAGCTTCTCCTTTTCCGCTCGAAACTCGTCTCGTAGCGATATAGCCCTCCAGCGGCGCCTGTGGCTCTCGGCCGTCTGTGGCGATTGCTACTGCAGTCTTCTCCTCGGTCTTGAGCCTGCACTTGGTATTGCACCCTTCGGGCCTGACGACGAGACCTGGGTGGATCCGCTGGCTGATGAGAATGCCAATGTCCAACGCTGTATTTGCCTAATCGTGTCACGCATTGCGCAGAGGAATGCCGTCGGTATTGGTGGAGATCGCAGTATTCTTCGGGATATAGACGAAGCCCTAAGTAGATTACAGAATTCGATGTCTGCTTCCTGGTGGAAGGCACCGTCGTTTCGTCAAGATCGATCTCTGGATTCGGCCAAGGAGCCAAACCGTCTTATATGCCAACTGTGGTTTTATCAAGCTCGAATATTTGCGCACTTGCCCATCGCTTTTGGAAAAGATTTGAACGCTTCGCTTGACAGCCTTGAGAGCTGTATAGAAGCATCTAGATTTACAATACATCGATATCTTGGATTGCAACATGCTAAAGATCAACTATCTCGGTGCAAAACTGTTGAGCAATCGGCTTTCATTGCTGCAGTAGTCCTTCTCCTCGCTAAAGTCCAGCTCCAATATCGTAAAGAAAATGCATCGGCTTTTAAATACGATTCAGACCGGGCTCTTATTGAGCAAGTCATTAGCTCTTTCGAAGCCTCTGGAGAAGTGGGAAGTAGGGAATACGTCGCAAGGCAGAGTTACGAGATTCTGTCCGCCATGCTAGATGTAACCACCGATCCAGAAAATACCGTACACATAACGAGTTGCCCTGATCCCAACTCTATGCTTGGAATACCCGGTGATGGCGACACCAACGAAGCCATTAAAAATACTCGTAGCGTGACTAAGTCTGGGATGGAGGATATTATTGCGTCTTCGATTCAGACAGCGCTCAACGCAGATGGTCCAGCCTCGCGCCTAGTCAAACTAGTATTTGCAACGAAGGCATCAAACTTTAGCACACCGGGACTCCTTCACTAGTTACCACGTCAGTGATATCCTATGGGTAATTTAACAGATCTAAAGGATCCTTCAATAATATAAGAAAAATACAATAACAAGCACCTGGCCTATTCTAGCCTTCTAATCTCATCGATGTCTGTTACGGTTTGACGTTATTTTTGTGGTGTTCTAGCAAATTTCTCCCCTTTCTCACTATACGTGCATTTTCGATGAGCGAGTCTTCCCCCTGACCATCAATAGCGAGGTACGTCATAAACGCAGCCAATTCTTCAACTCGAACACTCCAATTCTCACCCAAAATAGTAGCGATAATTCCAGGTATCATCAACCCCTTTGTTGCAACTCCTCCTGGCCTAACAATGAAAGTCTTCCATATGGTAGCGTGACTCTCTGCAAATGCGAGAGACCTAGTTTCAAGTCGGCCCTGAAGAAAAGAAATGTTAAACATGAAAAAAAAAAGAGGGAAGCTTGATGGATTGGTCTATGCCTACCTTCATCTTACGCGCTTCTTCCAGAAAACACAACTTTTCTTCCTGGTCTTGACGGACGAATTTGCCGCTTAGATGGACGTGTTTAAAAGGAGGTCTATCCGACTTTGTTTCCAGTACTTGTCCCATGCTTTCTATGAAGGCGAGGGGATATTCCAAGTCGGCGCGTATGTCGCCCGTGTTGGTTCCCATGTTCCTACAACGTTCTTCTTAGTAATGCGCCAACCATGTGTCCAGAGAAAGTGCTCTTTGTATCAAACTTACCAAAGCATGCCCACGGCGTCCGAGTGTGCGTGTAGGATCTCTTCCGGCCAGTTTAAGAAGTCTTTAATTATAACGCATTGGAGCTTCGGATGGCTAGATATGTCAAGGGGTAGGTCTCGACGTACGAATGCGACGATGCTTGAGATCTCGGGATGCGCGAGGCAGTGAAGGAGAACTTGACTGCCGATGGACCCGCTCGCACCGACGATGAGGGTCTTCATAACGACCAATGTGCTAAGGTATGATGATAATGAGGAATTATATGAACTGATATGCCAAAGCATACATTTTGGAAAAGAGATTGTAGGATTTACAATCACTACTCGTGAAGATATCTATATATGATTAGCTCTCGACCGAGTCGGCCGAGAAGGAAGAGACAGTCCTCATTAACACATGCTAGAACTAATTTTCTTTGTAAAAAGCTACAATAAAACACCACGGCTCTAGGTAACAAGAGATTACCGTTTATTTACCCCCTAAGTTTCTCGTTGGTGATGCTTGGTCAGTTGAGTACCGGTACCTACCTGGGTTGTTCGCATGGATAGGAGGTAGACTGTCAGATTTTATACAACGGTGAGACTCAATTCTAATAGGATGATTTTAACTCTAATACCTAGGTACCTAACCTATACCTAGTACCTGAATTAATTATGTTTCTATCCTTGAATGTGTATTAGGTATTGGCAGCCATGATCGAAATAATGTATCTTCGTATTAAAAAATTGTGAACGTTATGTCATCAGTAAGTCGATGTCTTTTCATCATTAAAAGAGGTACCTAAGCTTAAGAGGTACTTCGGTACATCCACTCCGCACAGACCACCACGTCATCCCGCAGATCGAATTGGGACATCTTGAGCTCTCACAACCTTGGACCCGTTCCTCAACCTTCCAAAACCCGCATTTCGCCGACTACTTACTCTCAAGATCCGTCTCTTTGTCACGCTTAACCAGACGCCAATTGAAACCTGTACGTTCTTCCCTTACACTACTACCACCACCACCCCCACCTCCCCCAAGAAGACTAAGCTAAGCACTTACTTACTTGTTAAAAAGACCAAGCAGGCCAAAAAAAAAGAAGAAGAATAAGACCATGTCGGCCCCAACACCCGCCTTCTTCGCCGGCCCCCTCCGCTACTGCCGCTGGGCCGCCCGCGAGCGCCCCGCGTACTTCTGGTCCGTCGTCATCGGCGGCGCCGGCCCGCTCATGCTGGCCACCGTCCCGCCCGTCATGAAGCGCCTGGGCTACGAGCGCGCCCCGCCGATCCCCCTGACCTATCCCAGTACGTCGTCGTATCCTAACTTGCACCACCACTCTTCCTCTCTCTCCCTCCCCCTCTTTCCCCCCTCTTTCCTTTTTTTTCCTCTCTCCACTATAACAAGTTAGACAATGGAAGGGGGGGATAGGATGGTATAGCGATGTGGAGATACGGAGGAAGGAGGAAGAAAGAGAAGGATAGCTAGGAAGAGAGAGAGAGAGAGAGAGAGAGAGAGATGGACAGAAGATCAATGATGAATGAAAATGCTAACGTATTCCCCCCACCTCCCTCTACAGTTCCCTCCGGTCCGCGGAAGACGTTGACAGGCTACGACGACTGAGCGCCACACACATACCGAATATATGAACAAAACAAAACAAAACACAGGCATAGGCACTAGAGGTGGAGTCGTGGAGTCGTGGGACCGAGAAGGCGGGATCTACTACATAAATGTATATATGAACCAAAGAACCAAAACTACGCTGCGAGCTTAGGGCTCGGGACGAAAGTACGAAGATGGGGGGAAGGGAAAGGGAAGGGGAAGGGAATTATACCCTTTAAAAGGAAAGATGTATCGAATGTACCTATTACATCGCATCAAGACGAAACCAAAACATCCCTTAAAGCCTCACCAGAATCAACAATCAACCAACCAACCAAGTCCAAAAAAGAGATCGCCTAACTAGGAGGTACCTAGGTTAGGTAGTTTCGTTTCATTTTACTCCCACACGACCCGTATTCGCGCCGCGCTTTGCCGTGCCGTGTTATTCATTTCGTCTATTCATTCACTCATCGGCTACTTTAGGTATACAACAGGTAGCTTATGTGCGTCTAGGCCAGCTGGCCTGACTTGGCCTGACTTGGCCTGACTTGACCTACCATCTACCTATCCAGGATTTCTGAAAAAAGTCAAGTCTGTAATTACCTAGACCTAACAGTTGGAAACGACGATGGAGAGGAAGAGCATACCCTCTTCCTCTCCCACCTCCCACCTCCCACCTCCCTCCTCCTTCCTTTCATCCTCCCCGTGCGCACGTCGTACCTGATTCAAGCTAGCGTGCAAGCAAGCAAGTTACGCAGAAAAGCGCTAAAATCTCCAGCAAATGCTCGTCTATACACCGTTGCTTTGCGACCGCATCTTCCACCGCGCCGCCGAAGACCGTCTTCGTTGGGTCAGACTCTATCTTTCCCTCTGTATCAGATTCCACTCGTACTAAATTTTGTGATCAACTTATGTTAGCTGCCGTTTCTCTGTTTCTCGTGTAACCAGGTATTAGGGCCCAGTATCATGTCATGGGTATCCAACTTACCACTCGCCCGTCGTCGTCTCCGGTATACACTAGCTGCGGCATCGGCGTGATGCACGTGATCGCCGCCTCCGTATTTGTCCCCGTCTCGCTGCGCGTGTCGATGTGGTCTAGCCGTCGTACCAGTTCCAGCGCCCACTTGCCACCCTTGATGGTGCGCTTCCAGATGTTTACCCTGCCTCTCCTGTGTCCCGTAAAGATGAGGTAATTCTCCAGCCACTCGTTCCCCGACCCTTCGTAGAAGGAGCATGAATATACGTAGTCGTCGACTTCGGAACACACGTTCTGGTCGAGTATCAAATCGCCGTTGATCGTGTATAATACGACGTTCGGACCCGAACATAGCATTATTTCTCCCGATACGTCGTTAATGCGGGCGCACTCGACCGCTCGAGTGCTGGGCAGTTTTCGCACGAACTCGAGACGATTTAGATCCCAGAGGAAAGCATGCCCGTCTCTGGAAACAGTGACCAGCGTGCTAAATGCCTTAGACACGGCGATTGTTGTGACCGGAGTCTTGTGCCCGAATAGTGAAGAACGATGTAAAAGCTCCACGGATTTACCTGAGGTTGCCTGTATAGTAAACACAGATACGACGCAATCCTCGCCGGCGGTGATCAATGTCTTCGAATCGGCGACGACGATACATGAAATTTGGCCTGTGTGCAAGTTTTCGCTGACGCCCGCAGTCTTCCGGTTCTCAGTATAGAAAAAACGCACGCTATTGTCCGCGAATCCCCACTCAAGGTATTTGTCAAAGAAAGGGGGAAGGTTGAGGCGGAAAGGAGATGAACACAGGAGCCGATCTAATTTAGGCGAATAAGTAAGGGAGGCAACTCGCTCGCGACTCTCGAGAAGCGGGTGAGGTATCCTAGCAAGAGCATGGCTAGCCGTATCTAATCTCTTCACTGGAAATGTGACGTTCTCCCGCGGCGGATGGGGCTTGGTGAAGACTTGATGCGGAGTCTGCCCGAAGTTGTGGATAATACTTGTAGTGGCATGTCGTTCATTCGAATCCGTAATGTTATCAAGATCTTTGGCACCATAGTACGAAAGATAATGGAACACATTCAAATTCTCCACGGCCGCTTCGCCACGTTGTTTATGACCGAAAATTAGGTCAATCCACTGATGAAGATGTTGGCTCACATAAGGGCTCTCCAACGCCTCGCGATGTTTTGCGATGAATATCTTCGGATCGCCTTTAGCCCACGGAGGCAACTCGACGTGGTTTACTCGACCCCCTGAACCTTGGCGATCGCCAAAGTTATATCCGTTGACGTTTGTTAAGAAGTCAGGAAGATAGAAAAACTCCGGGATCAGTTCTCGGACATCGGATCCGTTATCTTGCGATGCCGATTTCCACGATCCCTCGATCGAGAAGAAAAGTCGATCTGCATGGTCGAAGGAGCCACCTTGCAGAAGGATAAAGGACTGCACAAAAGGAGGCAACCGAATCAAGTACGACGCGACAATCATAGCAGATGAGTAGTGCGTGCCGTAGTGGAAAGGTGTCTCGCCAATCTCAGCCAGACTGGTGTATCTAGTCTGGTAGTCTTGTTGCCGTCGTGCGGTCTGCGCGCCCATAGGCTTGGATAAATCTCGGAAAGTAGCAGGGTTGTTCAAGTCCAACTCTTCGCTCGTGTAGTCTGCCAGGACCCAGGGGAACACCGGATATTGGGTTAAGTCGTTAAATGTACGCCCCGCCATCGTGTTTATGAGCATGAGATAGTGGAAGTTGGATATTTCACCTCGCTGCCATCGCCGCATCAGGGGATTCCAGGGGGAAGAGTTGAAGATGCTGCCGAATTTTGACCCGAAAGATTGAGGAGATTCTTCAAAGACTTTGAGCGAATCAAGACGCCAGGCATCCTCTGGATTAGGCAATGAGTTAGCTCCCGCGGTATGCGGAGTTTTGTTAGCGAGCTTGGAGAATATTTCGTCTCTCATCGCCGGATTCCTCGCAGTTAAAAGATAACTACGGCCGTCGGTAAAGAAGACTTCGATCGCCACGTCTCGAAACAGGAATCGACGTTTCGATATACTAATAACATCATGCCACTTCCAGCTGCGGGAGTCTTGAGAGGCGCGACTTGCGCTCTGGCGAGTTTCGCTGGCCTTGGAACCAGTTATGATTTGAGAGAAAGGATCGCGTTCTTCAGCCGGCGCTTCCCATACGTTGACGATCTCTCCATCCGCACACTGGAAGAAACTATCCATCAAATAAAGGGCGTTCTTTCCAACTAGAAGAATACCTTCAAATGCTTCCAGACCAATAATGCGAGAAACATTATAGACTTGTTGGACGGTATCGCCTTGCTGCAGGCGTCTCATCACTCTCCTATTCTTGTCTTCAAATCCATCATCGGCATCATTTGGGTCGTTGGGGTCGGCAATCATCTCAAAGTCATCTTCAGGGACGCTTGCCTGTCCAGCTTTAGATTCGGCCTGTGCATCAGCCGGCGTATCATCAGAGTCGTCTTCCGCAATCTCATCTTGGCCGCTTATCTGCCCTTGGGTTATAGATGGGGGTGCAGGCTTTATTGGCTTAGGAGTCGCAGCAGGAGCATCAACGGGCTCTTCCTTAGGAGCGGGAGCTGCCGATTGGTCTACCGTTTTGCGTTTAGGTTGGTACTGGTCGTGGTCGGTAGAAAAGTCTGGTAGAAGTCGGAGACGCATACGATTCCGCCCTTCCGTCCTGTCTAGTTTCCATTTAATAGGTTTAGGATCGTATAATACGGCTCCTGGTCGGTTGAGGTCCTTTTGCATACGAGAAAACGACGATGAAAAGAAAATGACATCGTCCTGTTGGTCCTGCATAAGACGCTGATGCTTGAAATGCTCAGACGCGTAAATTGATTTCATCCAGGCGGAATTGGCCATATCATGGCGTAGTAGGATATTTTCACGTTCGACCATTTCCGAATGCCATCGCCTAAGAGTCTCCTTCCGCTTTGTCAGTCTCGATTTAGCAGTCTCTGTTGTGCGCTGGTTTTCTGTATTAACGAATTCTTCCCAGGTTCGCGAGAGACCTCCCAGAAACAGCACGTCGAGTGAAGCCCGATGCTCATCGACCCAGTCGATAAATGTGTCCGTGTCAAGTTCAGTAAGTTTCTGGAAATCCGTTACCAGCTGGGACTGATCCGAGACTGAAGTCATAGATAATCGAAACAGCGACATGCATTCGCTTGGCTTCTGAACGAGCATGATGCGCCAGATATTTACAGCAGCAAGCCGTACAGCTCGCCTAGCATCTACCAATTTCGTATAAAGCTGATACCAGAATAGTTTCATATAATCCTCATCGGGTGATAGAGACTCTAATACGACCATCTGCCAGTAAAGTATCTTCTCCATCGAAAAGTTCGCTTCCATCTCGGTGGTCTGTGGATCGTCTATTTCCGAGAGTCGAAGTAAGACCAGCTTCAGAAACGAGCTTCGAATTGTCGTCACCGCTTGGCTACAAAGCCTTACGGTTTTCATTTTCGCAACATCTGGCTTTTGGAGATATTCCAGCAGAAGGCCCGCAAAATTCAATATCGATTCGGTACCGTTCATGAACCATCCTTCGAATATTGCTTCGACCATATGGAGACTGAACCTGGCCATATTGGTGAGCACTTTTGGCTCATTGAGAACCTTCCAATCAAGTTTGATTGCTGTCGATATATGAACGATGGTGCTCTTCAACACGTAGGATTCGAAGTAGGCCTGATGCTCTTGAAACCCAGGAGGTACTTTGAGGAATAAGCCGAAACCTGGAAATTCCTTTCGTACCAATAGCTGGTCTACGAAGACATTGATAACAAGCTCAAGGAGGCCTTCAACCAACCCATGGCCGATGTTTTGATTTGTTACCTTCGTCTTCGGTGTCATGACATGAACGAGACGAGCCGGACTAGTTTGGGTAGATTTCTGGGATGTTAGCAGTATGAAAGATGAAGCCTTTCGTAATTGAGTTCCCCGGTGAGCGTGTGTAATTTTGGTAGCCGGTACGGACGTATCAGTCGTGCTAGACGTTCTAATTACTGGTGCAGCACTTGATGATCCGCCGATCGGGCGAATAATAACATCGCCGCCCTCGAAAGTGAGTGTCGAGTCCCTAGAGTTGAGTTCTGTTTCGGGATTTACTGGATCTGCGCTTACGATGGCCGGGTAGAGAGCAGACAGGAGTAACCTCACGTAGTCCGAGGAAAGCGCAAAATCTCGAAAGTCCGCCGATCTGCTATGTAGGTCGGACATGAATCGAATGACCGCTTGGAGTACAGAAGCGTTCCCAGCGTTACGCTCAGCCCGCGGTTCAATTACTTCTTTGGGGGATACTTAGCTTAATTCCGCAGAAATAGGGAGACACTTACCTCGTGATTCCAGCTCTTTTTGAAGCGACATTGATCGGGCTCGTAGTCTCGTTTCTGGAGTCTCGCGTTTTGTTACCGGTGGGTTAATATCAGGTGGAGGCGAAGCTGGGTCCTCTTGGGCCTTAAGGATATCTTTCAGGGCATGCTGGATCATGGCCGTGATGATTGTCAACGCATCGGGGTTCGCTATTTTGCATTTCCCAAACGTTTCTAATAAGCTAAAAAAGTCGAAATTCTTCTCGAAGTCTATTTCTGCGACATCGTATCCGAAGAGAATACTGAAGCAGATGGGCCAAAGAGTTGCGATATCCCACCACCGCTTGAGACGGTGAGCCATGATACAGAAGCCCCCAGTCTTGCCCGAGAACTTGCTGACATAGGCCGACCCGTGAGTGACTAAAAGCCTAGCAAGTATCTTGCACCCGTGCGTTACAATTTCCGGATCGTTTTCTGTGAGAAGATACAAAAGCCACTGGGCCATCATCAGCTTGGAACCGTCTCGTAGTGGCCTTGCGTCAAGTACCTTGTTTGTCACAGTCTTAGCAAACTTCCGAATAATTGCCAAGTTCCCTTTTTCGCATAGCAGCTGGCTATACATATCCAGGAGACGTACGCCGACATCCCTCTTCGTGAGCAACCGCAGGTCGTTCCCACCCGCTCCGTTTGCATGGACCAGTGGACGTAATGGAATATTATGGGAGGGTCGCCTATTTGTTGCTTTCGGAGTACGGGGAAGAGATCTCGACGTGGGATGAAAGGAATAAGTAATAAATAAAGCGAGCGATTGGTGAACTTCGCTGTTATAGTTACATTTGACGAGACTTTTGATAGCGTTTATGAAATAGGGGAGCACAGCCTCTAGCAGAGGCTCCGATTTAATGGCATCGAGAAGCCTTTTCACAATTCCTAGAGCACAATAGCGTTAGTATAAACTGGGGGCGCTTACTTAGATCCCTAGTAACTCACGCATTCGAAGTAGCCTGCGGTTGTTATATTGATGGTATTTGCTCATCACGGCGAAACTCACGAACTGTTTATAATACAGTTCTTGGACGAAGGGTCCGCATTTTCTCCAGGCATCAAAATCGACTAGGAGAATGCGATATGCTAAGGGATTTATGATCACCGATTCGAGGGGATCTCGATGTTTATAACCGACAAACTCCAGCACAAGGCTGAGTATCTGGACGCATAGTTTGTCCTTTTCGACATGCGAAAGGGTGAGCTTTTCGGTCAGAGTCTCGGTTCCGGGTCCGCCAAAACCAAGCTTGGCTTTTAATAATATTGCTAAGGTCGCGTATCCCCCATCTTTCTCCATAGCCTCGCTATTTCGCCAACTTGAATTGATACATAGAAATACCATCTCAATAGCACGTACTAGCGTTTCGGCCGAAGAAGCCCTCTCTATTAATTTCAACGCGAGTGGTGTGAAACCCGCAAGTTGCCAGAGGGCATCATCGAAGAACTGAGGAGTCGCCACGATAGGATTCCCAGTCAATACCGCCACCCCGTTCGAACGAAGGAGTGCATCGTTGATCGAAGGTAGGGCCGTGTTAATAGCTATGCCTGTGCCATTTTTAAGGACCATTTGTACGAGAGTGTGAGCAGGTCCGCGAGACAGAGAACGATATAGCTGTGACTCGCCGAAATGCTCCTTTTCTCTAAAGATAGAAGAAGGCAGTATACTCAGAAGGATTTTGTGCTCTGGGACAACATTGCTAGCTTTCTCCCTAATAACTTTCATGATGTCAGAGCCATCTTTCCCGGTACTAACAAGATCATTACGGAGGCCTAGGGCAGCGGATGCCGTATAAGTTTGGAATCCTCCAAGGCAGTCCTGGAAGTTCCCCTGGTAATGAGTTCCTAGCCGACTAGGCACTGATAGAAAATCATCACTCAATACGTCATCAAAAAGATGGGCTGTACCAAGAGACCATCTTGAATGTATTAATCCTGCGCCTAGGTGAGAAGACAGCTCACGTGGGGTTCCTAAAAATGCCTGGACAGGCATGGCCTTGTTACTCGAGGAGGTGAATGATGCAAAACTCTCCGTGCTGCCGTTCGATAGCGGCGGCTGAACAGGATAAGAAGCGCGTATCTGCTCAACAAATTCGCCGTTCACGTATAAGGAAGCTCTGCTAGGTGTCATCGTTTTAGGCCGTCGGTGAACCACCGCGATATGATACCATATCCCTTGTTTGAATGTAAAGGTTCTAAACCTGACACTCGGCCGCTGTGAAGTGACCGAAGTTTGCAAAATGAAGTTTTGGGTATCTTTTTCGAGATATGCGAGAACAAAACAAGTTTGGGTTGAGTCAAAGGCGCCAAAGATTGTAGTATGTGATTTCGGATCGAACTGATCGACCCGCACCCACGCAGTAAATGTATATCCAGCAGATGACTGAGGGGGGAATGGACGACCTAAGCTTGGTAATTCAATAGAAGAATGACCATTCTGCGTCAAGTCGAATTGTATGTATGAAGGGCCATTATATTTGCGCATTACCTCTAAGCAGAAATCTGATGCGTCTAGAGAGGGATTCAGCAGAAGTTCCTGTGCGTCCACTAGTCGGTTCACACCGAAAGGCATCAGAGATCGACAGATAGATAAAACTGCCTCCCTCTCAGCATCGTTAACAGGAGAATTGTCGTCGAAAGCAAATCGTAAAAATCGAGACAAAACGCCCGTTTCATGAACTAGGCACATGTTTATGTTGGAAACATGTGAAATGGATGATAGGACTTTGAGTACCAGCAAGGATGCCGTGTTTTCTGGAGTCTTTTTATTGCGTGGCAGGGATTCCCAGAAATCCACGATGGTACGAACAACCTCGGGGTTTTGTAAGGTTGACTTGGGGCCAACGGTCTTTTCGATCGCCGCCTCGATCGATGCCATATGGTCGCCTATGCGAGCAACATCGTGGTCCTCGCTTCTCGCACCATCTTCCCCGGTACCAGGCTCATCCGGTGCCACCAGAACCCAAGGCGCAGCGTCGTCTAGTGTAGCAGAGCAACATAGCTGATCCAGGGCAGGGTCATTTACAGCCAAGGAGAAGAGCTTCCCAAACAGCTGACAGCTTGTCCACAGGTCTGAATCGCTACCACCAAGGCCGATGCTCGCTATAATTTGCTCTAAGGCATCCCAACCACCGCCCTCGACTCGTGTACGGAAATACCGCCGGTTACCGGGATGCGCACGGAAGGCAGCAGCGAGAGCGCCAAATACGGCATCGAGGAGGCGGAAAAAGTTTCTTTTTTCGTCATCGTCCCGCTTTTGGAGATTATAGAAGCCGGAGAAGGACCGTAGTATATTGAGGAGGTGGTGAAAGCCTCGAAGATGTCTAAAATCGTCTTGGACGGAGCTCGGCGGGGCAGTTGCGGATAGATGTTGCTGAATTTGTCGTATGTGGACTAATAATGGCTCGAATTTCGGGTAGCCGTTGCTTACGGGGGCGGAGAGAGTAGAAGATACGGCATCGAAGAGAGCTTGGAGGACTTCGGTAGCTTTAGAGGTAGCTAGAGGTGTCGACGCGGAGGTGGACGATCGATAGCGACCCGGCCGTGTGGACATGATAACGGTGACAAACGACTAAATCTCGGTGGAGAATGACGGTCATTCCTTTCTTCATATTATATTATAAAAGGTGATCCTGTTACTGCTAGGACCCTATTGGGGTCTAGGCTGTCGTTTACGCCAGAGAGCATCGAAGAATTTAAAGGACCAACTCTCAAGCGTCGATTTTTGGGAACAAGCCAATGCGGCGGGTTTGGGTTAGTTGTAAGATTTTAGGGAGGTCTACTTGATCAATGCCGGCGTTGAATGAAGGATTTGAGAAATTGAGACGGCTTTGATAAACTGATAAACACCTCCCCCCAAAAGATCCGCGCCAACAAAGGTGAAGTTGATTGATTTAAGAATTCAAAGCTCTACAGCTAAATGCAACGTCAGTAATTTTTTTGTTGTTAGTTGTTAAAGGTCGTTAGGCTGTTAGCCTCAACTCCCTTAGGTACCTTTAGGTAAGGTAGGCAACTAACATATTATTAGACATTCACCTCGTTCAGGAAGTAGGGAGTCTTTAATCCTTGATGGCTTAGCTATAACGTACGTACTAAGGTAAGGTGGTTGAGCCTTGAGGTAGTGCATGCATTTGTGTCACCATGTGTGGCGCTTGGATGATTAAGCTCTTAGCGTCAAACAACCATAGCTGACATAAGCCAGATAAGCTATTAAAGGTACCCAGGTACATAGTACCTGTTATTAGGTACCTTTGTCTGCCCATAGAATAAATAGGGGTAAACGTCATAAGTCAAACGCATGATCCAGAATAAACAATATTGAAGACAGTGAAGTTTGAGCAATATGACCTTCATCTCCAAATAGGAGTAATTAAAAGCTATAAATAAGCAAGGTACCTGTTATTTGGTACCTAGGTGGAGTGACCCCTAAAGAAGCCAAGTCCTAGGGATATACTACATACCTTAGGTATATATAAATAAGTAAAGCCAACACTCAATCTCCAGGATTGTGGTTTAATCACTAATATAAGCAGCTATTCCCATATTGATTTACATACCTCTCTTACTATGGTAAAGTCAGAATCCCAAAGAGCCCACGATGAATTCCCAAGCCATGAGATAGTCTTTATCCGCTGGTTTCCTGATCTTCAACAGCCAAGCTATGTCCCGGCCTCCTTCACTCAAAGCATAACACATCGACTGCGCTTTAAGCCATTCCCAATCTCTTGGATACCATCCGGATTGGTGCCAGTCGATAATAGCCGCAACGCGAGGGGGAGTATCTCCATTCCTCGGGTAGACGAGTATGTTACTCCTGTCTAGGTCGCCGTGCGTAAAAACCACCGGTTGGTCATCTGTCAAGCCGGCTAGCTCGGGAAAATCCCGGCGAGGGTTCCAGTCCGGATGTAGGCGACAGGAATAGCGCGCGAAGAAATCATGGAATTCCTTTACGCCTTCGAACGGGCCGGCATTCGCATCGCCCGCGTCACTGAAGATGATATCGCCTATTCATTGTCGTCCGATATGGCCTGAGGCAGTCAGTATTCTAGCCTCTTTTTATTTCTTTTTTTTATTGTATCCGAGTAATCTTACCGATAAAGTATGGTTCCGTCTCCTGGCGGAGGTTACGCCATGCCTCCACGAACATACGGAGCTGCTCGCAAATTACGTCTTGATCTTCTTGGCTAAATGACGGCCACGCATCTTCCAGCGTATCGGCATTGACAAGCTCCATATATATGAAGGTCTCGCCATTATCATGGCACCATCCATATAATTCTGGTGTGGGTACTTCGTCTTTCATGTATTTGTTGAAATACCAAAGACACTGCGCTTCGGCTATCGTGATGGCAGAGCCATACTTGACGACTAGTCCCAGTTCTTCGAACGGGATTGGTGGAGGGCGTGGCGACCGCGCGCGAAAGCCGTTGATCTCGATATCCTTTTCTCGAATCTCCTCGGGAGACGGGAGGTCATATCCCTCCTTCTTAAAAAAATAAGAGTCTCGGAATACTATGTTTTCTGCGTTGGGTAGTTCTGCTATGTATATTGTCTTAGGGGTTGTCCCGCCAGTTGCTGGTGCAGCCATGTTGGAGGGGCCGAGAAGCGAGCTATCAAGATTTCAGAATCAACTATTGCTGAAGATGCCTCCCTTATTTTGTAAATGGGCATTAGCCCAATGCTTACTGACTTGGTGCCCCGTGATAAAGGACATACAGAACCACGCTTACTCGGTGCACTCTGTACAATGGAAATGATTGTCATCCAATGAATGACACTGTAACTTTATAATTATATCAGCCAGAACACTTTGCCACAAATTGGTAGCGCCGTTGTTTGTGTCACCGTCGCAATGACAAGGTGAAAAGCTCAAAAGGGAGGTCAGTAATAGCCAATTATTGCGCTAGACGCTGTGATTTAGTGGCTAGCCACAGCGGCTAACACACTGCTTTAGAAGGATTCCCGAATCAATTTCTGAAGAGTGCAAACACATAGTAAAATGGTAAAATAGGGTCGCAAGGGAGACATTTTTTTTAGCGCTTAACGATAGTAGACTTATGTGACTGGAGAGTCTGGGACATCACTGCTAGGGATGCAAATCGTATGGACAAGCTCTATTACTGCAGTTTGGTGGGTAATGCAAGACCTCCTTTTGAAGCAGGCTATGATTATAGCAACCCTAAGCCTAGGAGAGTTTGCATTTTACCTATCATTGAGGGTTCTCCTGTCCTCTTGTTATTTCTAGAACATAGCCGACTTCTCCTCGGATCAACCAACAGAAAGAGCAGCGTCTATTCACTGTTCTCATGCGCTCCTGTTTACTTATCCCGGGCCGGGGACGTAAGGGTTGTCTCGGTGTTCTCAAAGCCTCACAGGCGTCATGTCGTAGTCGCTGGTATAGATATTTAAGTAGGTAGATAGCCTCTTAGACGTGCTTCTAAGAACTTTGAAGCCTTGTGGTAGTCTGTTTTTAATCTATATTATTTCAATCTCGTTGTCAGAGTATCTACTATTTTTTCAACTTGTGTCGTTAACTTTACGCCCTGATCCCTCCTGCTTTCCTCTTTACCATGGGTTTCTTTAGCAAAAAAGGAGGCGAGGGAGTATCCAGATCTGAGAAGATCACGGGGAATGCAGTTGTTCATCAGACTCAATCCACGGTCTCGACAGGATCAACATCAGGAGAACAATATCGGCCTGTCTTCCTCCTATGCTACCCAAGCGCAACATTTAAGTCACACTGGGCCCTCTTTGTCCCTTTAGCTGAGGACAAGAACTGCAGGGCGGGACGTAAGATCCATGTTACTGGCAACGTCCAAGAGGGCTTCAACCATGAGATCATACGGAACTACGACCTGTCCGAGACGCATACTAGGCCACAGACCCCCAAGGAGATTGGCATCGTGTCCACGAGGTATCTGGTTGAAGTTGCCAAAGATCTTGTCTATGCTAAAGATACCACGGCTCGAGACCCGTTCGAGGAGTTTATCCTATCGATCCCGGCGCCCAGTCAGAGTCTTGATAGGGTTTCTGATGGCGTGAGTACCTACTGAGGCATACCTCGACTCCCGCCGCCTTGAGCTTGATTGCTAATGATTTAAAAGAGAGGCGATCTGGCCCGCCACGCAGGGTCACTCTATCGGACTGTCAGTGGTGGATTATGCGCATCGTAGAGAAGTTAGTAGAGCAGAATTATATGTTGCCCCCAACCCGTGGTCCCAATAAGGGTATGAGCCCACTGGAAATATTGAAAAACGCTCCAAAACATTGATTGTAGATTACAGGCTGGTACTGTAATCACTCTCGCAGTGTTGTATCTTCTGGCGTTGTGTATTTATGTTCTGTGTACTAGGAGTAAATGAGGTTCTATTAGGTGTAGGACGGGTATGTATCAGTTAGGTCAGGTACTAAATTCAGCTTCATCAGTGTCGCGGCAGTGTATCAATTCTTGACATCGGGGTCTCTCCCTCATGGTCCTCATCCAATTGCAGCAGGATTCCCCTTTGAACCAAACGCGAAGTTGCTTCTTTCACCCACCACTGGCAATCTTTAACTGCCATCCTCTTAGGAGGGGATCCAGCGACGCCGCCAGTATCTGGGTTCACTTTATTAAGGCTGGGCCCTGGTGCTGGCACTTCCCTACAGGCCTCGTCAAAGGAATTGAAAACGATGTTTTCCGAGTCTCTCTGGTCTTCTCCGCTTGAGATAGCGGTTTCGTCCTTGTTTGCTTGAGTTAAGTGCATCTCAGAAACCAGCCCGATGGGAAAGGCACTGGGGTTTCTGTCGTCTTCGCAAACGTCATAGTTGCGGATATATTCATATTGGAACCCGTTGAGACGGTCCCCTGTTACGTGAATGCGATCGCCGGTATTCGATTGCCGATCGTCGGCATCGGTGTAAGGCAGCCAGAAGGACCAGTGGGCGGCGAATAAGCGGGATGGGTATACCAAGACGTAAAGAGTTCGACGCATTGCGTTCGTATCAGAACAGGAGTTGTAATAGTAGGTGAGTTCAGGAGATCATGATTGGGTACTTGCGTAGTACCTATTAACCATACCCCGTTGTGGGAGGAACAGCAGCCACGTATGATTCTAATTGGTCAAAGCTTGACCGACATCATTCTTGAGCCAGCCTCCTTTAAACTATCGCTACAAGGTATCTCCGGGTATCAAGCCTCACTTTAACGGTTGGGTATCATAGTAAACTTCGCTGACGAGATAAGCCACTTGAAATTCAAAGCAATATCGTGTATCGATACTGTACCTAATAACCGTTTGATTGTGCGTCTGCTTAGCAAGGTTATCAAAAGATAGGTAGGTAGTTACATCTTAAATAGTAATAGAGTTTAAGATAGACACTTTAATAGTCAGACTGGTAGTTATTCAAACCAACTTATCCCTAACCTAAGTACATTTGGATATCGTTGACGTATGTCACGGCTAGTTACATATTACGCCGTACCGTGCTAACCATATATCATTCCGTACGCTTGCTTGATGATATTGAACTTATTAATAACTGTAGGTTTCCGACGTGCAATGGGCAATACAGTAATGGATAATACAAGGGGAACGATAAAAAAAAGTAAAGAGTTACCTAGTCTGGTCGGGTCAAGTGAGCAGCATACATAGTAGATGATGGAGGGAACGGCTACCTAAGTCAGTATGAGTGTGCAACTTTGGTCATCTTCAACAGTCGGTGGGGGTTTGTGTTTCCCGGATGGCTGGATGGGTGACACTATGCGGATGGGGGTTTCACATGTAAGAGTTTTGGAATCTGGATATGTACTTTGGATGCTCTCCTAATGTTGGCATATCCCAATTTCTAAAATAATTGCGGTCAACACCCTCAATAAACCCCAACTTGAGCATGGTGCGTGGTCTTATCTTAATGCTCCAGTCGTTAGAAAGGGGGAACGGAGGTTGTTTGAGGAAAGCAAGAGAGCACGTGTAGCTCCGCCAAGGATCTGTTTGAGTCAAGTAGACGCAGCTGACCCAGGGTGGCAGGGCCGTTGCCGGGTGGTAAATTGATGCTGCAGGGCCTAAAGGCGTGGCAGGCAGGCGGGTTGAGTTGGTTACTAAAAAGCTCGGACACTGGAACAACACACTGAAAGCAGGCTCTAGGCCACCCCTTAGCTGGATTGTGTCATACCATCGTTATCTGAGGTGAATCTTACGAGCTTAGGTACCACCTGCTGTAGTACATGAATAATTATGCACCCGAGGTATACGATATATGGTATAGGTATACCTGGTACAGATGTGTTCTAGCTTCTAGGAGCTCGTCGTCTAATCGATTCTTTGTTTTCATCAACCAACGGATATGATGAATTGATACAGGTATGTAGATTGAATCTGGTGTCGCGTCCTCGTGAACCTTTACCGTGGTGGCAAGTTTCAGGGTCCAAATGCTGCATAACGTAGGACATCCACGTATCCTAGCAGCCTAGGTACCGGTAGGTACATCTCCAGGTACACTACGCTACTATCTTAAGCCGTGTCGATAAGATAGGGGAAAGATCATTGTGCAGAGGGTGGTCATCCCTTATCACTAACCAATTGCCACTGGACCTCTCAATAGATTCACTTTATTCTATACCTGTTTAGGTACTCATCGACAACCGCGTGAGCCGGAACCGATTGGGATGGACCCGCTCCACTGCTGAATTGTACCTACATGCCTCCGTCCAGGTACGCAGACACGATTTAATCCCGATTCCGGCAGTTATCGAGTCATGGGCATGGGGAAGACTTGTATTTTTGATAAAAAAAAGTGTAGATCAGTGTTTGATAGAATAGTAAAGTTACTACCTGTTACCTGAATTCAGCATCGAGATAGGCATGGTAGAAACACGATAGAGGCGTGCCAATTAGGGGAAACACATCTAAGGCAACCTGCTATCCTTCAATCGTCATCATCTGCCGGTCTAGGTACTGTCCCCCAAGGTACCTCCTATCCTACAAGAAACTAGCAGGGTTAGGTAGGTACAACTTACAAGGCATACAAGGGACAATGTACCCAAAGACTCGGGGGATTTCCACCAATATATGGGTCTAAGCTCATTAGGGTTAGCTTTATGGTCAGCCTGCCCCAGTGCGAGCTAACATTTCCGCTCTTATCTGGTTGGCCCGACGGCTGTGTGCGTCACCTGCACCACTTGAAGCTGGGGAAGGTTCGACCTAGGCATTTTACACGGTCGCAGGGTCCTGGTCGATACCTTGTCACCGTAGGCTAGGTAGGTACTATTTGCTATTTGTATTGATAGGTTGTATGTAAGCAGGTAAGCCTGCGCGCTTTGGCTTGTGGCTGCCACCTTTTATCTTTCCCGCTTTCGCACATCAAGAGCTTCTTTCTTCTCTTCCTCTTCCTCTTCTTCCACTTCACCTAATCATCCCAATCTCTCTCCATCATCAACACAAAGCCATTTCATCTTTGTGTGAATAAATACACCTACCGGGCACCATTAGCTTGGACTCTCGGATTTCCTCATATTTCCTTACCTTGAAAAGTCGCAGGCAGACTTATCATTCACTGGTGCATTGTTATCGGTCCGCAATCTATCCATCATTCCCATCAACAAATCATCAAAATGAGAGGCTTCCTCGCCCTCTATCTGGCCTGCACTGCGGCTGCAGCGCCCTCGTTTAGCTACGAGACCATCCACGACGGAGCAGCTCCTATCCTGTCCTCCGCTACCTCGGAAGAGGTCCCAAACTCTTACATCGTCAAGTTCAAGAGCCATGTGACTGAATCATCAGCCGCTAACCACCACACCTGGGTCCAAAAGATTCACGGTGAACGCGAGGATGAACGGTTAGAGCTCCGCAAGCGTGGTCAAATCCCGCTGGTCGGAGATGTCGTCGACAACTTCAAGGGCTTAAAGCATACCTTGAAGATTGGCTCCGAGTTCCTTGGATACTCGGGTCATTTCGATGACTCCACCATCGAGGAGGTCCGAAGGCATCCTGATGTAAGTAATCTGTCGCTCCAACTAACGAATCACCCGAAAAAAAACAATACTAACTTTGCCGCTACAGGTCGAGTTCATCGAGAAAGACTCCATTGTGTACGCTCTTTCGGACAACGAACCGGATCTTGAGAAAAACGCGCCATGGGGTTTGGCGCGTATCTCTCATCGCGAACAACTCTCCTTTGGCACATATAATAAGTACCTCTACGCCGCTGATGGTGGCGAGGGTGTTGACGTCTATGTTATTGACACTGGTATCAACACTGAGCACGTTGACTTCGAAGGTCGTGCCTCTTGGGGCAAGACCATCCCTGCTGGCGACGAGGACGTCGATGGCAACGGTCACGGTACTCACTGCTCCGGCACTGTCGCTGGTAAGAAGTACGGTGTTGCCAAGAAGGCCAATGTTTATGCCGTGAAGGTCCTTCGATCTAACGGATCTGGTACCATGTCTGATGTCATGAAGGGTGTCGAGTGGGCTGCTGAAGCACACTTGGAGCAGGTTGCCAAGGCTAAGAAGGGTTCTCGCAAGGGCTTCAAGGGATCCACCGCTAACATGTCTTTGGGTGGAGGTAAATCTCCTTCCTTGGACCAGGCTGTAAATGCTGCTGTTTCCGCTGGTCTCCACTTCGCCGTTGCCGCCGGCAATGACAACGCCGACGCTTGCAAGTACTCTCCCGCTGCTGCTGACAAGGCCGTCACTGTCGGTGCCAGTGCTCTCGATGATAGCCGCGCGTACTTCTCCAACTGGGGTAAGTGTGTTGACATCTTCGGACCTGGTCTTAGCATCCAGTCGACCTGGATTGGCAGCAAGACTGCTATCAACACCATCTCTGGCACATCCATGGCCTCGCCTCACATTGCTGGTCTGCTCGCCTACTTCCTCTCCCTGCAGCCCAGCAAGGAGTCCGAGTACGGTCTAGCTGAAATCACTCCTGAGAAGTTGAAGTCCAACATCGTCAGCATCGCCACCAAGGGTGCTCTCTCTGACATTCCCAGTGACACTCCCAATCTACTCGCCTGGAACGGTGGTGGTTACTCCAACTACAGCAAGATCGTTGAGGCGGGTGGCTACGTCGCTAAGACTCCTGCTGGCAAGACCGTCAGCATTGAGGAACTCGAGAAGGCTATCGAGCACGACTTCAACGTTGTTTCCGGTACCGTCGTTAAGGGCGTCTCCTCTCTCTCCGGAAAGGCCGAGGATCTTTCTCACAAGATCCACGAGATTGAAGAGGATCTTAAGGAGTTCTTCGAGGAGCTCCGTGTATAAAGTAATGTAGCAGTACCGTCCCTAGCTAGTAGAGTTTGCACGTGCTGGATAATTGGGCATCTGGCAAGCATGGCATAGATGATCGAGGAGTAGTGTTTTTTTGGGCATCCGGTAAATTCGGCCTCTATATCTGTACAAGTGGAATGGTTTTTCGGTAGTATGGTTTACGTCTTATTAGGCCTGTCTAGGTAGTCATGGCTGGAATAGCAAGTTTGTCATTGTCATTTCTTGTGATGTGCATCGTGAAGTGGTATGAATCTTTTTGTGAAATAGCTAATCGAAAACGTTAGCTACGAAAAACTACATTGTTACGTCAGAAACATGGAAATGATTTAACTTGGCAATTTGCGATAATATTTCTTTGCTGCCTTTACATACGAATAAATCTTACAAGTCCACATAGTTCTACTTTCGTATGCAAATAAAGCGGCGGATGATGGTAGCTACTGCGTACCTGTATTTGTGTGCCTACCTACCTTACGTACCTACGTACCTTAGAGGTAGGTAGTAATATAACTTATCAAGTGTTTATTTACCATCATACTCATATACCAGAGGTAGTTAATGGTACTATGTATGTCTATATTTTTAAATTGGGTTGGGTAGGGACGTTTATCATGTAGAAAAAAATCAAAGGAGTGAGGCCCTCGGGTATATCAACATTTCAGACATCAGTGTAGCTCCTCCGCCAAATCTAAACTCATTATACCAAGAAAGTGCGTCCACCCTGAGATCCTCCAGGCTACTACATCCACCTCTGTAGAACCGAATTGTGAAACGGTATTTGCTGATTCTATCATGTCTTCATCTTCACGTATTCCCATCTTAGTACATACATTCATCGGACTTCAGCAGTATCATCCCCAATCGAGATCTAACACATTGGGAAGGGCGAATTTTTGGTTAGTTTACATTCACACGGGCGTCTGAACCGATCCAACCTTGTTGTTGGATCTCCCGGTCTTTTTGTCTCTCGTATGCCGTCTTCATCAACAGTTTTTGAATTGTCGTTTTCTACCCCTACTACCCCTATTATATCTAGAAACACTTCGTCCTTACCTAGGTAGGTGAGAATGCAGCGTCGGAATAGCACCAAGTTCCATTACCTCGACCGTCGGAAATCTGCGTCCTCTGCGAAAAGCGTACATCTGGAATATATTCACCCTGAGACGGCCGAGCGCGATGCTCAAGCTGCTGCTTCGCAAGCTTTCGCGAGGGCTAGGGCACGCTCGAACACCGACACAACTTTATGGCCACCACCGCGAAACAATGACCAAACCAGGGCCGTTGGCTCTAGCAGTACACCTGACAGATGTAATTATAACTCCCCAATCAAGCGCCAGCAAAGTGTCCGCTTTGTGCGGGAGCACCCTAGCCATAGTATACGAAGTAACACCATAGTTGAGAATACCACACCAGCCTCTACAACAAGTACTGCCAGAGGTAGAACTGGTAGAGACTGTATTGAACCCCGACTTCCGACCAGTGTCTCGGCGGCGGGAATGGCCTCTGCAGCCAAAGGTGCAGCAGGTGATTACATTAACGCACTCTTTACGAGCGAGGAATATTATACGCCCGAAGACGACATTGCCTCCGTTCCTTCATCGTATCGGAAAATTCGAAAATCTAGGTCTATGTTCACCTGCTCTGAAGCCAGTATAGCTTCTCGAGGCGACGACCAAAGCACTTCTTCCGTGATAAGAAATCAGCTCCCTTCAATGTCTGCGAGTTCATTAAATAGGGGCGTAGGCGAAAGTACACCAGCAGCAAGACTCAAGGCACCAAAGTCCATGTCCTTCTTAAGGGGTCGCTATGACCAGTCGATGCTCTTTTCTAAACGCCGCGGGAGCGTTCCCATTGCGCTATCCAACAACGAAAACATTAAGACACGGAGTAATATGGAAACTCCTATAAAATCACAACCATTAGCATTCTCTCGTTCAAAATCTATCAACGCTGAGAAGTCCCTCAGAAAGAGCATGAGAGATGGGAGTAATGATACCATATCTATGGATGGGAAGGTGCGCAAAGATGGAAGTCTAAGGAATCGGGCGCGGAAGGTCTCGAACAGCTTTAAACATAGATTGAAGAGCTTATTTAATTTAGTGAAAGGAGACAGCGACGAAGCTGAGTTTCCTCCTCAGCACATCGAAGCCTCGAAATCCCATATTATGGACCCTGGTTCTCTGGGCTATACAGGACATGGTGAGCTTCAGTTTGATCCTACGGGTGACGAAGCAGCTATATCGCGCGTACCGTCAGGAGTTCCGTCATTACACGCCGTTCCATCGTATCAGCAACTTCGTTCGCGACAAGGCAGCCTTAAGAGTCTGAGAAGCGAAAGGAGAGTCTCGGACGAAAGGTCTCGCGTAACAAGTTGGTCGAACTCGGAGACCAATACACTTAATACGTTAGGTAGCCAGAAAAATGAATGGGATCGACAGCGTCTATCGGTTATAAAAGAAAATGGAATGCATGTCTCATCATCATCAGCAAGACCTGGTACCAGTATTTACGGCACCAGTCCAGATACAAGTGTTCGTTCTTTTCAACCACCGTTACCACCCCGGCCAGTTCCCATCGACAGCCAGAGAATCTATTCGGCGCTTATGAAAAGGCTCAATGACACAAATAAGCATTCTCAAAGAAGTGAACCTCAGCGGCCAGAAACCGTCGATGGCTTTATTGATACGGATGCAGTACCTTTGAGAGGTAGCTCTCGAGCTCGAGACTATGAAAAGCGATCGTCTATCTCACGAGCAACCATCCGCCACGTTAATTCCGATGACCCCCCAGATGCATCTCCAGCAAGCAAAACTCAAAAGAACTGGATCATCAATGGACCAAGGCTTGATGTGGAACCGGACAAATCTCCTTTCCATACGAGGAGCAAATTGGACATAGGGAAACGTGAGCTTTGGTCACCTACATCAACAATCAGGACATGTGAAGTCAGAGAGCCCACTGGCGCGAGCTTTAAATCACCTCCTATACCACACATAGAGAAACCCTCATCTCCGGTGAAGACACTATCCACTCGTAGCTCAGCTTTCTTCGCCAGTCCCACGTGTCATCTATTCCGCACTCGAAGCCCATACAGGCGTGCACTCCAGAATACGATGAAATCTGAACCTCAGAGCACACGGCTTAGGTCCCCAGAGTTTAATCCTTGGATGCGCTCACTAACAAGCCTGCCCATCAGATGCCCGAGTACGTGTGAGTCTGAAGTGGACAAGAAACTGTATTATACTGAAAGTGTGTACTCTTGCACAACAGAGGAGCCGCCGGCGGGATCTTTGAACAACAATACACCAGCTGTAACAGAGAATTACCCGAGGCATTCAACTAACCACGGAGATGCCACAATATTCGTCAACCCTCCCGTCTACCGACCTACTCCGCCGCCGCCGCCACCGCCTCTTCAACAGCGAGTCGCATCTTCAGCAAGTTCTGTCGAATGGAAAACCTGGCTATCTGCTAATATTTCAAAGCTTGAGGGCCAGGGTCCGTCTGGTGGTGGTAGCACGGGTACGGGTACGGATACAAACATCATCGAATACGCCGTTCCGTCGACTCGCGCATCAGGCCACGTCCGCGAAAAAGCGCAGATCAACGACGAGGACGAACAGATTCCGTTAGAAGTATACAGGCCCACGAGACCCGACAGCGCGCTCGCAACCATCGACAACCATACCCGAGCCCCCCCGCAGACGCCGCGGAATGTTCCGAATTCCTCGCCAGGCTACGATTGCGGGAAAGAAAACGAAATTCCGGAACGTCCTACTACTGCAACAACAACAACGGTCTTGTCCAAAAGCATGCTGCGTACCACGCCGTCCTTGTCGAGCGTCAGATCGGCCCAGGGAGCACCAGCAGCAACGACGGTAGCGAAAACGGCCACGGAGCCTTCGAAAAAGGGTGCGTCCGACTCGGTCCGCTGGAGGTCCCTCGCGCATAAGCCGTCGCTTAGCGTCATATCGGGGAACTCTACCCCTCCGCCGACGACGACGGCGATGATGATGACTTCTTCGACTATGAAGTTGGTACGGAGGACGCCGGGATCCAAGATCCACGCCACGACGCCGACGCCGAGCCCGGGGTTCGAGTTGACGGTGGATAAGAATAATTCGGGTTCGGGAAGAAAGAAGGGCGGCTCGACGGCCGAGTCCTCGAGGAGGATATTCGGAGCTATGACGATGGTGACGAATAAGCCGGAGAACGTTAGCCCCAAGGATGGTAATATTGCGGCTGGGGGTGTCGATGGGGATGCCGATGCCGATCCGTACGGGATCCAGGGGTCGGGGGTTCTGGGGCCGGGAGCGGAGGTGAATCCGCAGTCGATAGGGAGCAAGAAGATGGTGAACCTATTCCTTAGTAGCAGGCGTAAGCGCATGGCGAGCGGGGAGGATGGGGGTGTGTTCTCGTGATAGACGCGCGGGAGAGCAGTCGGTCGGTTGGTGGATTGGAGAAGAGAAGAGTGTCGAGAGCGGACTCGAACCGCGGCAATTAGGTGGCGACAGCGGCTTCTCCTGCGGGAATCGTCGCTGCGGCAGGGATTCGGGGAAGACCGAGGGGGGTGTTATACGGTACAGCTAGGTATAAGGACGGAGGCGGAGGCGGAGATAAGGGGGAGTAGCTAACGAAAACGCTTGTACAATACGACTATCGCTTCCATTATATGATATGAATAGGAGGAAATAGTTACTTACGCTAAGGCTAAGGTTACCTACCTACTAGAGTAGAGTACCTAGCTACTTACCTTACCTTACAATTGTAATAGAAACAGCTGGATTATACCTCAAAGGGGAGGCGGGTGCAGTGATGGTTTATATATATCAACAAGCCCTAGCTGTCGGCTTGGATACCTGAGGTATAAGATATGATTTATCTATTAACTTAGATACGATACGCTTAATATGTTTTAGTCTCCATTCATTGCAGGTCTTTTTATATTAGATCCTTAATACTGTAAGTATGTGTCTAAACTATAGGAGTCCGTTCGTTAAGGCGGTTACTTACCTTAGGTAGTCTTCGAGGCATTAAAGTTCGTATTCTTAAGTAAAGTACTCGGATTCTACATACATACTTACCTTAGGTTCTAGGTACCTACCTAGGTAGCTATACGACTCCGGAGCAAGAAGGAAGAAAGCCTTTATTTTTTTCTTGTGTTTCAGAACGAAATCTTGATCCAGACCAAAGCCTAAGTGTGATTGGATGGCGCGGCCGGGCGAAAAGGAAGCAGCAAAATACGACGGTGTCACGATTCCTTCGGGATTGTGATACAATATCATTATTCCCTGTAATCTGCAGCCGGTCTGCAGCTTATCGACGTCTTATATGCGGAACTTGTTTTTTTCCCTTCTTCTCTTCCATTTTTCTGTGTGGCGGCTTACTGGCTAGGAGCTAGGGCAACTATTTTTCGGGCCTTTCTTGTCTCGAAACAGGTAAGACTATGGGGAACAAGTAGGCGGTCGTACGTGTTCTTCGTAAACGGGGGGCAGGGGGAATATCGTGTGTGTCTGTCATTTATGAAAGGAAGATGTGCCTACGTCACACTATAGAAGGGGGTAGGTACCAGGTACCTAAGGTATATAATAGGAATATTCTCTTCTCCTGGCGCTCTGGGAAATGAGTTTCGAGAGTTTACTCGGTTTGCATCTATGTATCTTCCCATGCACATGGGACCATGGATGTTGTCTGCGTACCTGTGATATCACCATCACCCTCATCATATGATTACGAAGTGCCCCAGTCGTGAACCTACCTACCTATCCTATCCTATCCTAAGGCACCTAGCTTTCCATGGAGGACAACCACCGTTACCGCGTCGAGTACAGCGAGAATATCGCGCCGAAGTATCCGGCGGGGAACCACGATGGAATCGAAGTAGTTCCTAGCGACTCCCCCTTTTATCCTCATCCTATATATAACGCTCCCGCTCCCCCGGCGAAGGGTGGCCAGGAGTGGCCTTCCGTGCCGAATGGTTGGTCTGGTGCGCCGCTATCAGCGGTAACAGTACCCGAAGAGCATAGTAGGGAGGAGAAGCGGAGAGTTCTGGGCCTTACCGTTCCGGTATTTTGGACGGTGGTTATTGTTATAGTTGTCGTTCTCGCAGCAGCCATTGGGGGCGGGATAGGCGGGGGGGTTAACGGCGCAACAGAAATCTAACACGAGTGTAGCGAGGTTCGTATTACTTGAACCGCATTTCAATCTTTTACTAAATAAAAACCCGCTTTTTATAAAGCGACACGACAAGCACATACCAACCATCAAGGACATCAGCCGCGCCGGCTTCCGCAACGACGACCGCACCGGCCAACGGACCCCTTCCCTCCGACGGCGGGTGTCCTCTGATCAACGGGCAGACGTACACGCCGTACGCGGTAGACGGTAAACCCATCCCGCTCGCGCAGGGTCTCGAGGGACAGCAGTTTCGGCAGCAATGTTATACGAACTACGTCGCGTCAGGGACATCCCAGACGCACGATATCCTACGGATATTCATGCCCAGTCTCGAGAATTGCATGATGGCTTGCGCTGAGGTAAGTTGTATATTTTGGCTTTGTATTTCTTTTCTCTCTCTTTCTCTCTCCTCCCTTCTTCAAATGAGTGTCTCGGGGTTCACACAACAAGCAGACTTTTCTTTTTTTTCAGCTATGTTTACCCACTATCGTATTGCCCGAGACATCCCGAGCGTGAACCCCCCTTAAACCTCCTGCTGACGGGTGATCTGGTAGTACAACTCGGCGTACTACGCCAACTTAGGGAACGGGACGGGTGTTGGTGGCGGGTTCTGTGTGGCCGTGACGATCGTCAAGGTTGATGCTGGGTTCTGCTACTTGAAGAACGGGACCACTACGAACAACACCCTGGGCCATCCGGATATATATTCGAGTGCTGTGCTACTTACCAAGATCGACTTGCCGGATTCTTAAAATCTGCGGGCTCGCCGGGGTAATAGTGTTGCACAGTTATTTCGCCCCGGCGAAGGTAGATAAAAGATATAGCACCGTATTATATGACCTTGGTCGTCTAATTCTAATATGAAGATGATACACGATGGATTGCGTGGATAAGGGGCTAATTGACGGAGGGGACTTTGTACAACATATATTTAAATTTTGTATATATTATTCAGCTGAGGATGAGATATTGAATCACAGAAGCAGGCGACCATATCATAACACATAGATAGGTACTTTTTGGCCTGCCACTTCCCAAATTCTCAAGATCGACTCTTGGTCAATTCGCTCTGCACTCTAGCTGTGGGGCCGCCTTTAATAGGTCTGACAGTACCGGTAATCGTCTTCTCTCCCTCGGTGATATCGTGGAGAGTCTTCCTGTTGATGGGCTCGTTGGCGTGGCTCTGGGCCCGCGCCGTGGGGCCTCCCCTAACAGGTTTATCCAGGCCTGTAAGATCCTTTTCCGCTTCATTGATTGCGGATATGGTGTGTGAGTCTATCCTTCTCGCGTGCTCGGGGACAGGGTTGGTCTTCTATTGAAAATTAGGTTGGTTAGCAACGAATCGTTGGGTAACTCATATGGCAGGAGGGCCAGGGGTAAGGACTTACAGAGGAGGCGACGCTCTGAGCGAAAGCTGCAGGGCCGCCCGCTACAGGACCATCCAGGCCTGTTAGCTCCTTTTCTCCCTGAGTGACATCGGAGACGACTTTGGAGTTGACGGGCTGGTCGGCGTTCTTTTGCGCTTGTGCCGTCGGACCACCCGCCACAGGCTCGTCCTGACCTGTGAATTCCTTTTCTCTGGCGGTGATTTCAGATATGGTCTGCGAGTTGAGAGTTCTATTGCCAGTAACGACGAACGTCTTCTGAACAACTGGTCTGGCAGCCGGAACCCGCGGGGCGATGCTTGAAAGCTTGAAAAGGTTGGTGATTACTGATCGAGACATGATTTCGAGATGGTTTCGTGTGATAGATAACTGCAATGTAAGCTGCCCAAGAAAAATCTGTATATTTTTAAAGTTCAATTATACACTAGGTTAGGTACCTGACATGTCGACATCTTGGGGAATTTATTTAGTTGAATATTGCTGCATTTTTTGATCGATGATGGCTTCAACGTCATATAACACCGATCAACTCCATAGCTGACCTCATGTGTCGGATCTCGTTAGTCTGTACCTGCAGTAGCGCCATAGAGCAATCTGAGCTAACTGTATTAAATCTTTCTAATAGGGGGTAAAGAGATGTTAGCTATAGTATAATAAATGCAGGTCGATGATGTCAGAGCGTTACTAGGTATAAGACTCAACTTTTCTAGCGTAATGATCAACGTCTATTCTATCCTGACGTATGGTGCTAGGGTTATATTTTAACTGAGTGAACTTCGATTACACAGTGCAGCGTGTGAATTGCAGTCGTTCTGCACAAGGTCCTATACTAAGTGTTAACCGCTCCGACAACCTATATGATACGGAAAGGCCTCATCTAATATTTAAAGAAACTTCTTTATTAAAGTAGGTACCTATAACTATAACTCACCCATGCCTTCATCATCTCCCTCTGTATACTGCACTAGTAAACCCACACTTGTTTATATGACTGCAATTCAATACGCGAGACCAAAGCTCTCCACCTTATAAGTATTATGGGAAGAATATATGGTAAATCTCAGGTTTTTTTTTTATCAAGATGATTTTGAAGACAGCCTTCTACCTCGGTAGCGGTACCAAAGGCATATCCGCCTCAGTCCGTAGAGATGCTTCAGGCTAAAACCAAGTACACTGGATCTGTTACTTCGTCCATTTACCCCGAAGCTTTCGACTGCGGAAATAGCTATCCCCCCAATAATCAGCTTGCCCGCATATTGGCGTCGTATTGGCCATTTGCCATCTTAACCGTAATGATCTAGATTTCATAGGCAGGATATATAATATTAGGTAGCCATGGGGGAATGAATCCAGGTTGGGAATTATGGCTTAAACGACTATGGGAGCAGCTACCCCTTGAGCGACAATGGCTTCCGTAGTATCATTAAGCATTACCGCGCTCTTGATTGTTAAAGGCGTAGTTGCTAAGGATTTTCCTAACTGTCAATCTGGGCCTGTAAGTAGATCGGAAAGCCCTTAATTTAGCTATCGTGAGTAACTCATGGTTATGTTCTGCCTATAGCTCGCTTCCAACCAAGTATGCAACACTACACTTGATCCGTGGTCGAGAGCTGCTGCTGTAAGAACCTCACCCCTATTCGCATAGGCGAAACTACCTAGGACCTAAAGTACCATTATACTCAAATTCCAATCTAGCTCGTGGCCCAATTCACCCACGACGAGAAGATATCCAACTCCTGGGACAACTCGCCTGGGGTCTCGCGTCTGGGCGTCCCCTCCTACGAATGGTGGAACGAAGCGCTCCACGGCGTGGCCAGCTCGCCCGGTGTCCAGTTCGCCAGCTCGGGCAACTTCAGCTACGCGACGTCGTTCCCGCAGCCCATCACCATGGGCGCCGCCTTCGACATGCCCCTGATCCGCTCCGTCGCCGAGACTACGAGCACCGAGGCCCGCGCCTTCAGCAACGCCGGCCGCGCCGGCCTCAACTTCTGGACCCCCAACATCAACCCCTTCCGCGACCCCCGCTGGGGCCGCGGCCAGGAGGTCCCCTCCGAGGACCCCTACCACGCCGCCCAGTACGTCTTGCAGCTCATCCCCGGCCTGCAGGGCGGTCTCAGCGCGGACCCCTACTACAAGCTTGTCGCGACGTGCAAGCACTACGCCGGCTACGACATGGAGAATTGGAAGGGGAATCGGCGGTACGCTTTCGATGCCAAGATTTCTAGCCAGGACTTGCAGGACTATTACCTCGCGCCGTTCCGCGCGTGCGTGCGCGACGCGAATGCCCTGTCCGTCATGTGCAGCTACAACGCGGTCAACGGCGTGCCGACCTGCGCCGACCCCTGGCTGCTCGAGGACGTGCTGCGCGGTTTATACGGCTTCAGCAGCGAGGACCGCTGGGTCACGGCCGACTGCGACGCGCTGCAGAACGTCTGGACGGACCATCGGTACGGCTCCTCGGCCGAGGGGGCCGCGGCCGCGAGCCTGAACGCCGGCACGGATCTCGACTGCGGCCAGTTCTGGCCGCAGAACCTGCCCGCTGCGTATAGCTCGCGGCTCTTCAACGACACCGTTCTCGACCGCTCGCTGATCCGCCGCTATGCATCCATGGTGCGCCTCGGCTGGTTCGATCCCCCGGCGCAGCAGCCGTACCGCCAGCTCGGATGGGACGCCGTCGCGAAGCCCGAGGCGAGGGCGCTGGCTCTGCGGGCCGCACAGGAGGGCATCGTGCTGCTGAAGAACAACGGCAGCGCGCTGCCCCTCGCCAAGGCCGTGAAGCGCGTCGCTGTGGTCGGGCCCCTCGGCACCGCGACGACGCAGATGCAGGGGAACTATTACGGCAGGGCGCAGAACATCTCGACGGTGGTTTCGGCGTTCCAAGCCGCGGGGTACGAGACCTCCAACGCGCCGGGGTGCGCCCTCACGGGGTCCTCTACGTCCGGGTTCGCGGCGGCGCTCAGCGCGGCGCAGGCCGCGGACGCGGTGGTGTTCGTCGGCGGCATCGACATCAGCATCGAGGGGGAGGAGCGCGATCGCGAGCAGATCACGTGGCCCGGGCGGCAGGTCGACCTGATCAAGCAGCTGGCGGCGGCGAATGGCGACAAGCCGATCGTCGTGGTGCAGATGGGCACCGTGCTCGACAGCTCTGAGATTAAAGCGCATGCGGGTGTCGACGCGCTTCTGTGGGCGGGATATCCGGGACAAGACGGCGGCGCGGCGGTGGTAAGTATTCTGACGGGCGAGAAGGCGCCTGCGGGGAGGCTGCCGGTGACGCAGTACCCGGGCGACTATGTGAACCAAGTCGATATGACGAACATGAATTTGCAGTCTGGCACGGAGAATCCTGGGTAAGAAAAATACCTACCTACCCCTTACCTCTCCTATTCATTAGTGCTTGTAACACTCACTTACCTATGATATGAATGACTTGGGTTATGGATTTAACTAACAGAACGACGCAGACGTACTTATAAATGGTACACCAAGGAGCCCGTATTCCCCTTCGGCCACGGGCTGCACTACACCAGCTTCAACGTCTCCCTCCCCGCCGACCTACCCACCACCTTCACCACTGCAGACCTCACATCCAACATCTCATTCACCCAGACGGGCCCCGTCGCATCAGGCAATTATCCGGACCTAGCGCCCTTCGTCTCCATCCCCGTTTCGGTAACCAACACCGGGACCACCACGTCCGACTACGTCGTCCTCGCGTTCCTCAAGGGCGAGTACGGGCCCGAACCATACCCGCTCAAGAGCCTCGTGGGGTTCGCGCGGCTCCACGATATCGAGCCCGGGGAGAGCGGGACGGGAACAGGGACGCTGGAGCTGAAGCTCGGCGCCGTGGCGCGCAGCGATCGGGACGGCAGCTTGACGCTCTGGCCCGGGAAGTACAGGCTGGTGCTGGATATCGACGACCGCGCCGCGTGGGATTTCGAGATCACCGGGGAGCAGGTCATGTTGGAGAAATTGCCGCCGAAGAGGTCGTAGGTTAGGTACCTAAAGTAAGAAGAAGATAGGAAAAGGGAAAAGGAGTTGCTGCGATCTCCGATCTGCGATGGAGCGATGGAAAGATTCTTAAGGTCACACACAATACGAGTACCTGTTACGCTGGATATTTACCTAACACAAAGATTGTGGATTAACATTAGGTATCTGCTATATGTCTTCAGATAGAATAGGTACCTAGGAGGTGTGTATGTGCCTAATATAATCTATGAAGAAAAAAAAAACAATCTACTTTCTTTTCCCAAGTTAATCGACACGGCATAATTGGTAACCGACTTCCTCCCAGCGATCGTTGCCCACGCAGGGGTGGCACCAGAAGACATCGTTCGGATCTACGGCTCGCTTGATCCGCAGCAGGCGGTCGTAGTTGTCGCCCCAGAAGCTTCGTTGCCAGTTCGGCACTCCGGGGTTGTTCTGCGTTTCTTGCCGTTAGCACCTGTACTAACTCAGGGAGTCGGACTATTCATAAGGAAAGCAAGACAAGGTAGCTTACCTCGTTCAAGTAGGATCCCATCTCAGGTGCTAATCGTCTGAGTGGTTCTATCTTAGCGTTGACTTTAGCAAGGGCTTCTACCTTGGCGGTTTGGTTTAATGGCTGAAATTGCACGCTGGTGACTTTATGGAGAGATGTGATGTTAGTTTTCTTGTTAGAGGTAGGTAAGTGATACGATTAGACGTGGGAGTAATGCTTACGAGCATGGGCAATAGCCTTCCTCCACGACGGATTCACAGAATCGCTGCCTCCCCTCGGCTTGGCATTCTTGACTCCTTGGCCGGCTACGAGGAAGACTTCGGCCTGGAAGTCCTTGAAAGCTTCGCCCACCGCGATCGCTTTCTTGGCTAGGGTCTCGGCGTCCAAGAGGTGAGAGCCGAGCCACATATCCGTTCCCGCGCTGCCCGAATCGTAATGGGTTTCAAACCAGTCCTGCAGCCGAGTGTAGGTTTGTGTTGCTATCGTCGGAGTTACTTCCGGCCAGGTCTTGTTGACGTGCTCGATGATTGGCGCCCATATATTAACCATGTCGTTTTCGTCCTGTGTATCCGTCAAGAGGAAGAACCCGCCCATACCGGTCCCGCCTATGGATACACCGGGGTACGAGAAGTTACCGGAAACCACGCTGTAACCCGACACACCCTTGGAGTCCAGGTAAGGGAACTGCGAGAGCAGATACCCCGCAAGGTCCGCATAGTACGGCGCATTGACTTTGGGACTCATGATCATTACCGTCGCTGATACAACCTTTGGCGAGGGATATGTCATTAATGTAACTGAACTCATAACTCCGAAGGTCGAACCACCTCCCTAAGCCGGAGAAAATAGAAATTAGCAATGCTCTCTCTTCGTGGTATTAGCTAGTGTGGACTTACACCTCGCATGGCCCAGAATAAGTCCTGATTCCGGCACTCATTCGCCACGACGATATCCCCCGCAGGTGTCACGACTTCCATCTCTAGGATCTGGTCTGCGGCAAGTCCGTATTTGGGCGCGAGGATAGAGTGACCACCCCCCGTGAGATAACCGCCGACACTAACAGATCGGGCGTCACCACCCACTATGATCTGGCCAATCTTGCCGAGCTCCTCGTATAGGCTCCCAAGCTGAGATCCGGGTCCCACGGTTGCAGCCGTGTGATTGATCGTGAAGTCGCACCCTCGCGGCTGGAACAATGCGTGCGTCTCCAGGTCCTGCATGTGGTGGGTCCATATCGAGAGGGCTCCCGGGGCTTGTGACCTGCCCTGGTAATCGTGTCCCGTGCTTTTCACTATTATCCGAACGTTGTGCGTCCGCGCTGTTACGCGTGGTCAGACGGTCGAATCCCTCGCCGATATTAATATAACTTGTATAATCTAGGATAAGCTTACCAAAGTCTACACTCAGCTTAATATCCCGAGCCGTAGTCGCGTTCACGACATATGCAGGATACCCGTCTGGACTGCACGGAGCATTCGGATCTGGAAGACAAGTATCATTATTATACTGATTCCACATGTTTGAGACCGGGTCATCCTGGGCAAAGTCGTAGGTGAGCCATTCTTGAGAGATAGTTGCGCATTGGGCCGCGTTATAGGTCGGTTCCTTGGGATGGCATATGGCTCCTGGAGGCGCTGCTCGAAGAAGCTTTCCTCCGGTAGACTGGTTGAACTGGGCCCAGGTATCGGCGGAAGGCCAATCTGGAGAACCGGGGGCTGCCTTGCAAGCTGCTGCTACCGGGTCATGTCTACCAGTTGTTTTTGAATTCCCTGGAAAGGCATCGCTATAAGCGAAGGCGGAAGCGAGGGCAAGAAGTCTCAGTGAAACTGTCATGACTCTATTAGTATGCCCCGAGACTAGGCGAGAAGTGGTGGTAGTAGGAGTAGTAGTACTAGACTTACACGACAGTTAATACGGAAGGACACGATGGGCTTCATATATCAATTCGCAACTCTGTATTCAGCTTTCCAAACTCCGGCTCCAGTTCCAGCTTACGTTACGTAGCTCCTATGTCGTGGTGAGGTTAACCAGCAGTTATGCTGTGCCGCTTACCCAGTATTTACTAGTGGTCAAAGTTATAATGAAGAAATAATGCACTGTCAACCAGTCTTCATGCTGAGTGAGGGTTATCATTGGAGCTGTGCCCTTTTTTTATGAGCTGTGGCTATGTAGAACCCCTTGTACAGATCCGTAGGAGGTATATAATATGTTGGTTATGTCGTATTGAAGAAAAACCGAGGCGCTGACCCCTTTTACAGGTACTAAGAGGTACATACCTAAACCAAGGACAGTAATCAAGACTGTACTCATGCACGGTGCTATAAACACTAAATTCTTACTTTTGGTTCTTGGTTCCTGGTTCCTATTCTAGTATCATCTCGACTTAGGTTGCTAGGTTTAATCTTCAACGTTGGTTCAAACAAATATTCCTAAAAAGGCTAGGGAATAGCTTCGCCTTGACCGAAACGTGTAGCTCATTCCCGAGTTTGGTACTTTTAAATGGGCACTGACGTGTTGCGTATGAGCAAAGCCATAACGGGTACCTGGGAAGGCATATTCGGACGTATTAAGGATAGGTATATCATGATTGAGTTTCTTAACATATCCAAGTTAACCTAGCACTGTCTGTACCTATCTTTATTATTGCAGTTAAACCGCTATAAATGGTCTGATTAGTGGGGGTTAAGCAGCAAAATGGATGAAATAGTATTAACTCCCTCGTTCTCGCTTTCGATATCAAACGCGGTGACGCGAAGCAACTCGTGGCCCAATTTATTATATGCCGAAGCTTACAGGGTAATCCTTTCAGCTGAAGCCCAGAACAGTCCTATTACATCATTTACACGCTATTATATCCCTATCGTAATTACACCCTGTGAAGTCCTATCCAACAAAATTCCATCCTGATAGTTCGGGAGATATTCCAGGGTTACATTTCCACTTTATAACCCTCCCGAGTAAGCATTTGTTTATGACAAGTCACTATTCCTGCGCAGGCCGATTCACTTCGGTAGTATCAGAGCCAGCTTCTAAGCCACCCGCCGGTCTCTTTTCCTCCAGACCGAACTCCGTTTCTAGATGCGCCCTGAGCGCAATCTCCTTCTCGAGGAAGCATATCAAAAATCCCAGTAGCGCAAAGGCTAGAGAGACCTGCCATATCAGCTGCAAACTGCGCGCGTACACGTCGATGACACGATCTCTCTGCGGCTCTGGGAAACTTCGTATGAAATCGGCATTGGCATATTCGTAGGCGTTTCCGCCAGATAGTCGGTCCTCTATCTGCGGGTCGTCAATACGCCATGATTCCCTTGCAAACTTGGCGTTGAAGATGGCAGCGGGTATGGAAACACCCCAGATCGAGCCGTAGGCGCGCACGAATGCGAATGCGGCAGTGGCAGCGGCCGTGTCGGATTCTGGAAGGTCGGCTTGCACAGCTGGGAGGTTGGTAGACATCATGATGCCAAGACCGAAAGCCGCGATAATTTGAATAATAACCCATTCGGCATGGGAAGTGTTTCGGTTGAAACGCGAGAAAAGACCGAGTGCCAATACTATCAAAGCAAAAGCGACGATGTGTAATGGTCGATATCTCCCTGTTTTCGTCAATACAACACCAGCAATAGCCCCGGTGACGACGGACAGGAGAGCGGTAGGTAATAGCGCGAGACCGGATACCGTCGGCGACATCCCAAGAACGGCTTGGAAGTAAATAGGTAAGAAATACAAGGTCCAAAACAAACAGATGAAATTGATAAAGGCGATGACCAAAGCCGCAGCAGGGGTACGGCGCTTGAAGACACGCTCCGGAAGTGTCGGGTAGTCCCTTACCCACGGCGCCCCTTCGTATATATGGAAAAGAACCAAGCCGAAGACCCCTAAGAAAAGGGGCACGAGGATTTGGTACGATTTCCATTCGTAGCGCGTTCCTCCCCACGAAAGAGCGATAAGAACAGAAACGACGCTCCCGATGAGAATGGCATTTCCCGCGTAGTCGATTTTCTTGAGTCTCTCGAGTATGGACGTCTCCCGGTCATAGTTGACTCGGAGGAATAGCAGATGCAGGATTAAAGCCGCCCCGGAAACTGGGAGGTTAATGTAGAACACCTAGAAACCAAAGATATACCTATTAGCAATGTTTTTCTCGATTCTGATTAATTATCGGAAGGATTTGAGGGCATAAACACTCACCCATCGCCACGTGGTGCCATCGACAATAGCGCCACCCACCAGAGGCCCAACAGCGGTTCCCAAAGAGAAGACGCCGAATACCAGCCCCATATACGCGCCGCGCTGGCGGAGAGGAACCAGGTCGGATACGACCAATTCGATGAGAAGGTTGATGCCGCCGCCTCCTATCCCTTGCACAGCACGTCCGGCAATCATCATCGCAGCGCTATCCGCCCCGCCGGCAACGCCGCTGCCCAGGGCGAACAGGCTCACCACGGCTATCATCATCCACCGGCGGCCGAACAGATCGCACATTTGGCCGATAAGGGGTAGGAACGCGGTACTGCGGGACGAAGAAGAAGGTCTAAGTTAGTAAAAATGCCCGTATATATAAGTCTTGAAGGTGTAGGCTTAGATTAGGTTAGGTAGGGGTCGGTTTAGCTTACCTCGTCAGAAAGTATGCGTTGACGAACCAGACGTATAAGTTGCCGGCGTCGAGCTCTCGGGCGATGACGGGAAGAGCGGTTGAGACTACGGTGGACTCGACGGCGGCGAGCAGAGTCGTGAAGCAGATGGCTGAGAATACCGCCCAGAACCGCCAGCCCCTCGGCAGAGGAGTCGACGGGCTGTTGTTGTTGTTATCATCGTGGTCAACCGGAAGAGGCTTCCCGGGTGGAGGGTTCGGTTGGTCGCGAGTGAGCCCATATTCGATATTTTCGTTTCCCATATCTAAATAAAGATGCGATTAGGTGCTTACAAGAAATTCAGGAGATACTAGTAAAAAGACCACTGCATTCCGAAGTACGCTTTTCTCTGCGATGAAATTCCTGCCGGCCAGGCTTAGTTTTCGAAGCTTCCTGAGGAACTTTATAAGGGCTTCCAACTTTTCCATGGTAGTATGTATTAATATTTCCCCGTATCAGGAGGGATATGGAAGTTATTAGATACGTTCTCCAGGTTACTAATAACGGCGCCTGTGAGGATTATCGGAGGTTTCCTAATAAGGTAAATCGCCGAGTGTGGATCTCTTCGGCGCGCCGGCCGGGTAGCGGATGGGCAACCGAAGCAGGGCAGGCACATAGATGATAGCATTGGCGTGATCTAGTAAATCTTGATACATATATCATCTGATAAACTGCGATTAGGCGATCCAGTGAACTCAATAGAGCTATTAGTCGTAATAGTATAACCATGTAAGGTGACTATCTGGGAAGTGTCGGGTAGTTTGATCTACAAGAGTCCCCTTCGACTGCGCTGCACGCTGGGAGCAGGGTTATGTAAAGGTCGGGGGTACTAGAACTTCAATTTCAGTACGTAGTAAGGACTTTGGTAAGAGGCAAGGTACCTATTTTTAGTAGTAATATCCTTACGAAAATATAATCTGCATCCCATGGAGCCCTTTTCCTCAGCCAGATATATGGCGTACCATCAGCTAGAACGCACAATAGTCTTCTTAAGATCATTAACCAAGCCAAGCAGCGCATTCTCCCTCGCGCGAATCGCATTCCTCGCCAAATCCGGTACAATAACCAGAGAAATACCACCAAAGGACTCGAAATTGCCCCTGTACCCGGCCGTCTGCTTCGGCACCGTCGCTTGGGCGACTAATTCCCTGGCCCGCGCCATCATCGCGTCCACGGAGTTGACGAGAAACACGGCTTGGGTCTCCCCCGGCATCGTCGACGGCAGGGAGAACGAGCCGACGGAAAACCCTGGCATCTGGAACGGGAATTGGATACCTCTGTTACTAGCGCGGTTAGAAGGTGCTGCTGTTGATGATGGTGGTTCTCTATGAGAGATGGAAAAAACTTGTTGTACGAGTCGCAAGATCCGGTCGTACGTCTCGATCAAGCGTAGGTAACACGAGTACATGAGGAGTTCCGAGGAGGCGTCTAGAGAGAATGCTGGGAGGTTGGTGTTGTTATTATTACTATTATCTCCGACCGTGCTGTCGGTGATGCTGCCGCTGTTCAGAGGGGGTGGTAATCTCGCACATATTTGGCTTATAATGTCTATGAACGCTTGCGAGATGTGGAAAGTCTCGTCTATACTAAACTGCCTTGTCCCTGGTTGTGATGGGGCGCCGGTGGTGTGGACTTCTGGGATCGTGTGTAAGTGGCGCATTAAGCGGATATTGAGGTTTGATAACCTTTCAAGTAAAGATATAAGATCCGTAATGGGCTCATCGGGAGATAATATGCCCCCTCTCGGGTCTGGCCGGTTGGAATCTGGACCTGCTACCGCTGGCACTGGTGATTCAGGGGTATTGGTTGCTAAGATTGAAGGGTTTATGATGATATGATGCTTATCAACCGCGCCAATTGGATCAGATATGTCGATATCCATTTGAGATGATTCAATATCAATTGATATTTCTTGCTCGTCGGCTTGAGCAGGTGGATTCCGAGTCCGACGCCGTGATGACGCCGGAGGGCTGGAAACACATTCGGCGTTAGCGCGAATGCAACGTTGACACGGCTCGTCGTCGTTATCCCGTATGCATTTTAATTTAGATCGGTGACATTTGTCGCAAGCCCGTCGAAGCTGATTCTGGCGTATTGGCTGAAAATGTATCATGATGCTGCCCGCTTCCATTATAAGTGCCGCTGAGATAGTGGATCGACTGGCATTTACGCATCCTTCGCTGTTGAGAGCTGGTCTAACTGTATATCATTATGCATGTACTTCGTATCCATGTTATTTATGCAATTATCAATAGTGTAAGCGCTATTATAATGGTAACGCCAGGAGGCGTATATTAAGCAGTGATATAATCCTCAAATTCGGTTCTAGTTATCAAATTCATATAATGGAATGCGACATAGTTTCCTGGCCGAATAATCATATTTCTGGAGATGTCGTTCAAAAGCTTAGCATATCATATTTAGTCACTATTGCTTGTGACCACACCCCTTGAACATATAATTATTAACATGGAAGGTCCCAAATCCCAAATACTGCTCTACACTACGCTGATTCATATAAATAAAAGAAAAGATCAACTCTCAATCTTTGAATTCTTTCTGTTTCCCCTCCAGCCTCAGCTTCGTCAGCGCAGAAGCCAGTCTACACATCTGTTCTGGGTTTTCTGATACCTCTTTCCACAAGGCATGCACGTCGTCCCCAATTCCAATCTCTTTCGCAGTCTTCAGACTTCGCGGATCCACAAATGGTGCGAGACAAGTCCAGAGGTGTTGTACCGTATCGAAGAATATATTGATACCGACATCGCCAAGCCCCTTGATGGTCTTGAGTTCTGCCCTAATCTTTGCCGGGTCTTCGGAAGTGAGCTGGAGAATTGTGTTCAAGTCGCCCCCTATGAGTTACGAGACGTCAATCGTGATATAATCTTTTCCATGTTCGATTTATACTTGACTTACCGTATTTATCCTCGATGAGTTGAGCGAGGTCTCCCATCATAGTCGCTGTCTTTTCTCTGGACAATTCGTAAGCAAGTCTTCTGAACGGACAGCACGACCGCAGAAACATACCTGTAGTGCGTATAACCACCTTTAGTCAAAACCTCGGTCCTTTCTTCCCAAGTGCTCTTCTTCAAGACGTCAAGCTTATGATACCCGGCCTTGATGACTAGATCGACTGTCTTGGCAGCCAATGAGTGAGAGATTCTTGTTGAGGAGAGCATCGCATTTAAGAGCAATGCGAGGATTGTATCCGGGGTTGGTTTATCTGGGTCAGATAAATCCGTTTGACTGAGTGGGAGCTCTCCGTATTGAGAGATCAGCTGGCGAATCTTGGGATTTGACAGTGACTCTCCGTTGGTATATTGTTCGCTTCCCTTGTCACCTTCATCTTTAGCACCCGACTTGGTTTTAGTAGAAGATTCCGTTTTCTGGTGCTTTGTCTCCGGCTCCCGTGCTTGGACAGTTGCAGCTTTGGTATGAGACCGCTTTTCGCCAGGGTTTGGCTCGGAGTTCTTATTCTGTGAGCGCGTTGTCACCATTGTCACTTAACTTAGGTAACTAGAGTGCCATTTTCCTCCTATATTAATTGATGAAACTAGAATGATATAAATATATAAATCCAGTATTATATTTTCACCTCGATCATGATGTCATAGGTTACCGCCAACATTAAACATGTGAATTGAATTCGAGGATTTGGTAATTTAGATCGCATCACTATGATGATATCAAAGCCAAAGAAAACGAAGTGGGGCAGAGCTTACCCCTATTGTATGTATAACATCTATAGATAGGTATCCATAACATTAATATTTAAGACTCGTATCATCCTCATCACTTTTACCAGTAATAGGATTACATAGGTTCCTCGTATGAAGTTTCTTATACTCAACACTCCACATCTATACCGAGAGGAATCCGTCGGGTCGGATCGGTTTACCATATTCTACGGCATTCGGGTTCGTAGTCGATTGTCGTCTTGCAACCTTTGCCCCAATACTTGTGTCCGCAGTGGTGGCAGCCGTTCTTCCGAATTTCCTGATAATCCCACCACAAATCGTTGCCAGACCTGACGCACTTAGGGTTTCCTTCGACGAGGATGGCGCAACCGAAATCGGCTCCTAATCCGTGGCAGGCTCCGAGATGAGGTCTGCGGCTTCTACAGTAACGGGTCAGTCATGTTTTTATTCTAAGAAATATCGTTAAAATTGGTCATAATAAAGAGGCGCCTTACGAAGCGGATCCATAGTTAAGCTCGTCATCTCTGATGATCTGAGTATTCACGGCCACGTCGCAGGCCTTTACGTGTAGAGTAGAGCACATGATGCTTCCCCGGCAGTCGTAGAGCGGACCAGCCCATTCTGTTATAGACGCGTTGGCGGAGCTGACGTCTCGAGGGATTGCAGAGGCATGGAGCAGGGTCGCGAAGGCCGACAAGACGAATATGTTTAAACGCATATTGGTGGCAGAAGGATTTGAGATTCTCTTAAATGCTGTTTGTATTGATTATGTTTGTTGGTGTTGATATGTACCTAATGTGAGGTAAGTATAGCAGGCAACTAAGGCGTGCGAACGTTGAGGAGGTCGTGGGTTGTTTTATATTCATAGACCTGTAGGAGCCTACGCAAGCACCCATAGTGCTAAAGTTATACTGATAGAAATAACATATTGGGGCTTGAGCTTGCTTCGTAAGAAAGTTTTCTTAAATTTAAAAAGGTGACAAAAGGGGTCATAGCACATTCTTCTATTTCTCTAGTTACCTGGTATGTATACCTTAGGTAACCTTAGGTGCCTATATATAAGCCCCTTATCGTATACAGCGGACGGGACTACTATGAGCTTCTTTTGAACCGTTGTATTGAATCTAGGGTTAGGTTAGGTTACCTTTTTTTCAAGTTTATCAACCCACTCCTTCCAGACCGCGCCAATATCATTCTTGTAAATCCACGACATATCTTTTCCGCCATCTGTAATGATCTTGTTCCTGACACGCTCGTCAAACGTAGGATTCCCCAGCCCCTTCAACTTAGCGGCACGTTTGTCGGCCTCGGAAGAGAGATGGGCGTACATTCGTGAATAGTACGGTAATCTAATAGTGTCAAAAAGCGGTAGAGCCTTACCGGTATCATTTTTCCAGTACGCCAAAGCTTGTGCTAAGATCCAACCATCCTCCATAGCGAAGCCTGCGCCAGACCCAAACGCGCCAGACAAGGCGTGCGATGAGTCTCCAACGAGTACCACTTTGTTATCCCACGCAGTGAGTTGAGAAAGCTCGGGACCAGCAAATGCAGCGAACTCGCGCCACCCGCCAGGAGGCACTCTCGCGAGCGCTTCTCTTATTGCGGGGAGATATTCCTGCACTATGTTAGCCACCTGAAATAAAGTTTAAGTTAGGTTACGTAGGTGGGTATGCGAAAGCAACGGTACCGTAAAGTGTGACTCGACATGCGCGTTATCAACTGGAACGCCCCAGCTTTTCTTATTCGCGCTATGGGTTGCTGGATCTTGCCACGCCCTCGAAGCTATTTCCCATAGCCCCTCTCCGACAGGAGAGAAATAAACGTGCGTAGTTGGCGTATGCCACCAGCCAGTAATCCCAAAGCGAGGGTCCAAATGTTTAACGTTGTCCCAGGGTAGGAGAGCCCTCCATATTGTTGTTCCTGTGAACTTTATTTCGTAATTGGGCCAAGCCGTATCTCGGACTACCTATTTTTTATCTTTTGTAAGAGACATTCCCGTTTTCACGCCAGAAGATGAAGGCTTTCTTACGGATCTGATACCGTCGGCACCAACCACTAGGTCCGCCGTCACAACGCTGCCATCTTCGAAACGTAGCTCGACACCTTCTTTGCCTTTATCAACCATACGCGTTAATCTCTTAGAGAGATGTATTACGCCAGGTTTCACATGCGCTAAGAGGGCCGATTGAAGCTTCGTCCGCTGAGTTCGAACTGGGGCTCGCTGCTCTAGATTCCGCGGCTTCTCACGACGGTCAAGTTCTTCGCCGGAGCGCCCGTTCCTCCGAAATGTTTAGTACTGATGTCTAACGAGTATATAGATACTCACATATTCAAAATTACCCATGTCGGATGACCACTGGTTAACGTATCAGCGACACCGAGAAGCTCCAACACGTTCCACGAATTTGAACCAATGCTTATACCAGCACCTACTTCCCGTAGAACTGTAGCTTGTTCGTAGATATTAACTGAAACATTGGGAATTTTGGATAGGGCGATGGCAGTTGCGAGGCCACCTGGACCTCCACCGATAATAGCCACACGCAGGTGGCGGCTGGAGGAGTTCACAGTCATGATGTAAACAAGCAACTATTTAGATGAAACCTGTATTTACCACCTTTTTAAGCATTAATTTACGTTTTCTACTTTATATGAGTTCATATCTATACTCGACTTATACGGAATAATTACAAACCCTTACAAAGCAGTATAACGTCAACCATCACGTGAATGGCGTGCGAACGACCTACTCCTCGCCTGGAAGTTCCTGATAAGAACAAGGTTAATTGAGTGGTATCATGGACATACGACTTTGCAGTTAGGTAGATTGTTAGGAGAGGAGTTCATACTGATATGTATCAAGACTATTCGGTCTTCGCCGGTTGTGTTTGATAACTGCAATTATCCCTGCCTTGATAGCTAATGTAGAAGCAACTCAGGACTTAGGTAGCTTACCTGGTTATACCAGATTGAAATGATTGGTCTCGGAGGATATCGAAATTCTCTTGGCCTATGCTAAATTAAAGATACTTGCCAAAACAAACCTTCTGGAAATCCCTCATGTATTAGGCACTGGGTTTATTGCATTGCATCGACGTATACGCTGCTGTAAGTCCAAAATGCAAAGGATACGCATCTGAGCCTCAACATCTAAAATACCATAGTCTTGGAGCCCTTGGCTATGTTAGGGACTGATAGAGGTATGTTTACCTTAGGTACCTAAGGTAGGTATGTTGGCTATTTGAGATACCAAAGTTGTCTAACTGGAAACATTTTGTCTTCAATTGCTTTACTGAAGTGATATTCTAATTCAAGTGCGCTTTTACTTTAAATATGACATTGATAGTCGGTAAAAAAAAAAAAAAGGAGAATCGAGAATGGTAAAAAGTCGAGTAAAAATAGAAATCTTGATGGGTCATGACCGCTGCTAGTGGGTGGTCACATGCTAGAGCCAGCTGATACAATGTCTCTAAACTATGGGTACATGGGCACTACCTACCCCTAAGGTCAGGTACCCGGAAAGTGGCCTCTAAAATACCCCGTATCTTAGCATCTGATTGGCCCGATTCAATTACCGGACTAAATCGATAACGGGTTAAACCCCTGTAACGGTTGTAAAAATGCTGTTAACAACAATAACCTAGAATTCTCCGGTTTCTGTAATTCTCCCTAGAACAATACAATTCGTCAACGTTGCGACAACTATCCACTTGCCATGAACGCGTCGAGACACACTTTTGTATACGCGCAAGTTCTCGGTCAAAATGACTCTCCAGCCCGTGAAAGCCCCCGAAGATGACAAGGATGGATCCTTCTTGTCTCCTGCCCGATACGACGATGACGTCTCGTCGCTACATAGCAGCCGAAGCGACCAGGATACCGATAGCGAGGACGACGAAATACTAGCCGCTGCGCGGAACAGTAGGGAGCTACGCGCACGCGATCGCATGGTTCTGATGGAAGAGGAAGAATTAGACCAGCTGATAATCGATTCGCGAGCGAAAAAGGAACGGGAAAGGAGAGGGAGCAGTCTTCAGAGACGGGGCAGCAATATCGCGCTACCGAACCCGATACGCCTGCTCAGAGGTTACAACAAGGTACGGTCTTCGAGTGCGATAGAGGATAACGGCAGTTCGGTCGAGGATTTACACCATGAGAAACGGAAGAATAGGCGGACACGACGGACGGAAAAAAAGCACCGCTTATTCAAGGAAGCGCGCGATGGCGAGGATGGACACCTCATGTACGAGATGGAGCAAGGGGGGCTTAAAGATGGGAGTTCCACGGGCGATAGCAGCGAGCGAGACGATAGCGACGAACTCGACCGCAAACACTTGATAGGAGTATCCGCTGCCAAGACGGCGAAGTCGTGGAAGTGGAAGAAATGGCTATTGATACATGCTACTATCATAGTCGGTGCCGCGTTCTTGGCCCTCGTTATTTGGAAGCTTTCCATTAGCAAGAAAGGTGTTACTCCTCAGTTGGTCAGCAATGGTACAGCTTTGTTCTTGCCGACTACCCTCATTATCAGCCTGGATGGGTTCCGCGCTGATTTCCTGAATCGGGGCCTGACGCCGAGATTAAACGCTTTCGTCAAAGAAGGCGTGTCACCGCTCTATATGACCCCGTCGTTCCCGTCTGTAACTTTTCCTGTAAGTCACTATAATCGAATCTCTGCCATTGACAGGTTAGGTACCTAGGGTTAACCAATACGTCCACAGAATCATTATACTCTTGCAACTGGCTTATACCCAGAATCTCACGGTGTAGTTGGGAATACATTTTGGGATCCGGATTTGCAGTCCGAGTTTTTCTATACAGACCCTGACCGGAGTCTTGACGCCAAATGGTGGGGTGGTGAACCCTTTTGGGTGACCGCCGAGGAGCAGGGCGTCCGCACCGCTGTGCATATGTGGCCGGGGAGCGAAGCTCATGTCCAGGGCAAAGACCCGAGCTTCTTAGACAAGTACAACGGTAAAGAGAAATTACCTAAGAAGGTTGATCGGATCCTCGAGTTCCTTGATAAGCCAGGCGTGGAGAATCCAGATGCGGATCCCGCAGATATAAGACCGCAAATAATAGCGGCGTATGTTCCTAACGTTGATGCCGATGGTCACCGCTTTGGTCCAAACAGTACCGAGATACGATCGACTATTAGCGAAGTTGATAACATGCTCGACCAGCTCTTCCATGGGCTGGAGACGAGAAATCTTACCAATATCGTTAATGTCATTATCGTCTCCGATCATGGCATGGCTACCACGGATGTCAGCCGAATGATACAAATCGAAGATCTAGTAGACATAGATAAAGTCGAGCATCTCGACGGGTGGCCACTAGTCGGCATTAGACCCAAGAATCCGGATGACTTGCAGCTGCTTTACGAACAAGCCGCCGAAAAGGCGAAATCTAACCCCAATTTCGACGTGTACTTAAGAGATAAAAATATGCCAGAGAGGTATCACTTTAGCAACAACAAGCGTATCGCGCCTCTGTGGATCGTGCCGAAGACCGGATGGGCGATCGTCAAGCGAGAGGAATTCGATATTAAGGAAGCAAGAGCGAAGAATCTTGTTTACCACCCCAGAGGTCTACATGGTTACGATCATGAGCATCCTCTAATGAGAGCTATTTTCGTCGCCCGCGGGCCTGCTTTCCCACACCAACCCCACAGCAAAGTGGAGGTGTTCCGTATGCAACCCCCCCCCCCTTATCACCCTGTTCTCTATTTAATTGGACACTAATTACGTGCAGAAAACATCAACGTGTACAATATCCTCTGCGACTCCATCGGCATGAAGGCCATGCCCAACAACGGCACGTTGCATCTCCCCTTGAAGATCGTCGGTCTCCACGATGCGGAGACGGCTCTCGATGAGCCGGCGGACCCCGTTGTGCCCGAGTCAACTTCTTCTTCCACGGATGTTGCGACGGCGGCAATGTCTATTCTCCCGGTACAAACTAGTTCCGAGGTCCCTCAGCCCTCGGCGGCGGCTGGCGTGGACCCTAACCCGGAATCCGTTGCGAATACAACCACCCCTGATCCGGCTGCCGATAAGCCCCAAGAGCAAAGTCCTCCATCAGGCGAAGATGACAAGGCCGAGAGCGAAGGCCCGCCGTCTTGGTGGGGAAACGCGTGGGATTGGGTAAAGGATAAGTTCGACGGATTAGTTGACGCGGTTAAGGGGATTGGCCAATAGTTCCGTTCTTTTCTCAAGGATGTACCTATGCTGGTTGCGGTTTTTTCTTTTTCTTTTTTAGATTTTCATTTGTGCGTGTTGTTGAGCGTCTGCTATACAATAGAGGATGTGTATTTTGATACATTAGGTTACCTACCTCCTAAGGTAGGTACCTAACATAAGGGGCATTCAGTTGGAAAGGCATTGGCGCTGGTGGCGTTTTTTTACAGTCCTATCCAGCATAGGGATTTTTTTTTTCGATTACCTAGGATATTTGCTAGTTTTCTCGGTGGAAGAGTTAATTAGAGGCTTACCGTACGGAGATACTTTGACTTCATTTTCATCATGTCGTCTTGGAAGAATTTGTGACGTGATCTTACTCGCATTGCATTGCAATATAGGTACCAACCTAAGGCAGCTGGGTAAGCTGAGTTAACCAATTGGTGTATATATAATTTGGTGTAAGTGGGCGTTAGATAACTTGTATACGTTGACGAGTTTGCGAGACTGAATCGTCGTGCTCTGCGTAGAAAATAAAGCCATTCGTCGATTGCAGCAAGCTGCCAAAAATCATCTAAGCCGTTCAGCTTCCTCTTTTTAATAATATAACTTCGTTTTGGTTACTACCTAGGTACCTAACGCTGCGTTGTTGCGGTCAAGAGGGTGGTGGACTTATGTACCTGTATGCAGCTGCAGCCTGCAGAAACGCAGATCAAGTGGGCCTTCAGCCGCAAAGGGCGCCACAGCTTGGCACGATTGGTCGTCCCCACCCTCCCTCTTCAGAGTGGGGACGCTCAATTGAAATTTACGTCATGGGGGGCCCCTCCCAACCGTCCCTGACCCTGGCAAAAGCCCCACGTCGTACGAGGCTGGCATTGAGTTTTTCTCCATAGGTTTAGGTACATGTATGGCGATAAAAAAAACTAAAAAAAGAAAAAAAAAAAAAACTTATCTCTAAGCTAAGATACATACCTCTTATAAAACCAGACACCATCACTACCACCATAACCATACCGTCCGCGAACGGTAAAACCCACATGGCGCGCGAGCACTCCGCCTAACCGCCGACCGGCGCAACCACACAATGAGAATAACAATACCAAGTCTTGGGGTATATCGATTCTTGAAGCCGCCGTAAAACTACCTAAGTTTTAGGCACCTACCTGCCTGCGTACCTCGCGCAATGGCAGCAGCAACAGCGTCCCGAAAAGCCGGGTCGTCGTCGTTCGTCCCCCGCGCGGTGTTCGAGGTGTCGCAGAACATCACGCGGTCGTACTTCCTGGGCCACCACGCCGGCGCCCTCGGCACCATGCGCCAGTCCCTGTCCAACGTCAGCCTGATCCTCGAGTGCCGCGACAGCCGCGTGCCCCTCACCGGCGCCAACCCCCTGCTCGAGAAGGCCCTCGCCGGCCGCGACCGCATCATCGTCTACACCAAGTCCGACCTCTGCGCGCCCCAGGCGTCTAACCGCTGGGTCGATCAGCAGAAGAAGCTCCTGTCTAGGTTTTACAATAACGGCTCGCTGGGCGGTGAGCAGCAGCAGCAGGAAGAAGAGGAGGAGGACGAGTATGGAGCTTATGGTGGGATGGGAGCAACGGAGATGGGCTCGGGGATGGGCACCGAAATCTTGTTCACGGACACGGCGAAACCGCGCTCGATCAAGATGCTCCTGGCCGCGATCAAGCAGCGCGCCGCGCACGCGGAGTCGCTGACGGGCCTGCGGGCGCTCGTCGTCGGGATGCCGAACGCGGGGAAGTCGTCGCTGCTGAACGCGCTGCGGGCGGAGGGCATGCGTCTGCCCAAGGCGGCCAAGACGGGCGCGAACCCGGGCGTGACGCGCAAGCTGAGCATGCCGGTGCGCGTGATGGCGGAGGACGCGGCGGCGGGGGTCGAGGGGGGGGCCTTCGTCGTCGACACCCCGGGCGTCTTCGTCCCCTACGTCAGCGACGTCGAGGCCATGCTCAAGCTCGCGCTCGTCGGCTGCGTCAAGGACGGCATCGTGCCCACCGAGACCGTCGCCGACTACCTGCTCTTCCGGCTCAACCTGCGCTCGCCCGAGCTGTACGGCGAGCTCAGCGCGCCGACCAACGACGTCGCCGAGTTCCTCGACAACGTCGCCACCCGCACGGGCAAGCTGCTCAAGGGCGGCGTCCCCAGCCGCACCCTGGCCGCCGACTGGGTCCTGCACCAGTGGCGCAACGGGAACCTCGGCCGTTTCGGGCTCGACGATGTCACCGAGGCGAACCTGGCCGCGCTGAAGGCCAAGGCGCTGGCGGGCGAGGAGCACATCAGTCTGAGCCAGGCCAAGAAGAGGGAAAAGGCGGCGCGGAAGGAGAGGCGTGCTGCGCAACGGAAAGCTATGAGCGAGAGCTGATGATCCATATGAGACACATGGAATGGAGTTGAGAGGTATATAAGCTGCTCCCCAAAAGAAAAACATATTCTAGTCCGCATGTACCAGGTATCAGAGTAGAATACGACACGATACGCTATATAGAACCTAGACATGTACTGCGGTATATTGAGTATCCGTATCGTCATTGTACATAATGTACCTAAAGGTTTTGCAGTAAGGAAACTGCTATTGGAGGTATAGCAAGGTATCAGAGGGGGTATATTGTAGATACAACACCGCGCCTGTAAAATAGCAGAAAAGAATCCCCCCCTCCCCCCCCCAACACACACATCCTCCCTCTTCGAACTGGTGGCTTCGTGTCCTGAGACCTTTGTCCCAGGTGATTTCCTAGCACCCGGCTCTCCCAATCAATCCATTTGAAAATTTTGTTAGTACAGCCAGAAAAATAGAAGTAGAATACCAGTAGTATAACCCCAATCCCCCCTTTAAACCCTTCGAAAAGAACGCCTTGTTTTCCCATTTGCGCGAAACAACGCCAAGCAATGCATCTGAGATATAACCCTAGGTACCTAGTGTACTGGGAGACCAACCCTAAAATACCGAATCGACTGTCGTGTGAAGCTGGCTACAACCTCAAGGCGCAAACTCTTGCTGCCATTTTACCAAGTCCCGTGTTAATATGTCCATCATTTCGATACAAGACATGTCTTTGAACTCCTTCAGTGACGGGAGACCGTGGCTAACCCCATTGGTCGCCGACCCGTTTATAGCTATACTGACAGTGTCGTGTTTTCTGCTGTCGCCGTTTACCTTGATCGAAGGTACTGCCGTGGCTGATCCATTGCTGTTCTGTTCTGTACCAGCTGAGTCTGACAAAGGCTCGCTTGCGAGCTCGACCTGCGTTCTTGTAATGTATTCTAATATGTTGTTCGCGCGTCTCTTCATGTCCGTCATAGTAATCCTCGAATTCATCCCGCCTTTTGTTTTGCTATGTTTGCTAGTAGGTTCGTTGGTCGACTTTGTATGCGATGGGCCATTCTCGTCGCCGTTCCGGGTAATATCGCGCGACACCGATCTGGCGGGAGATTCATCATGATCACGATTATCGCGGTCTTTAGTATACTGATTTCTGCCTTTCTTTTTCTGATTGGTAGCCTTTTTCTTGTGGGATGTTGTAGTAACCGGGGCGGCAGGGGGGGTGTCGGGAGGGGGCTGGGATGAGACTGGAGGATCTGGAGGCTGCGCGGATTCTGTTGTCCTATTTGCTGCAGCACGAACTGCAAGAGGTATCTCTTCCGAGGGGTCGGAATCTAGATTCGGGTCAGCTCGTTATATTTTTTCTGAAATGTCTTTGGAATATTACCGTCAGCACGGCGACGTTCAGCTCGGCCTTTTCGTTTATTAGCAGCTTCAGCTCGTTTCCGCTCTTGTTCTTCACGGCGTTCGTCTCTTTCAGCCTTTTCGCGCTGATTCCTTGCTGCGTTCCGGGACTTCTTTGAGGATCCGTTGCGGAGTGCTGATTCATCCTCCGACTCTTCAGGAGGGGTAGATTGAGGCCCTTCGACTTTCGGGGACGGAGATTTAGATGTCGTTCGTTGTCGCTTGACACCTTCAACCTTCCTGCATACTTGTTAGATGAAGCACTAAAGCTTGTTTACAGTCGGGGACCTACTCTTCACTGTCATCTCTACTTCGCTTGGGACGTCTGGACGGGGGTTCGGCGACTTCGGGGATCGCATCTTCCTTGCTTGCTTCAATTGCTCGGCGTAGTTGTTCCTCTTCATCATATGCGGCATCTCGGCTGTTCATAGTAGAGCGCCGTTTTGATGTATGCGCGGCTGTCGAGGAACGTGAGTTTTTAGGTGGGTTGCTTTTAGGGGAAAGCGCACCATCCTTAGCTGTGGAGGTGGCTCGCGAGGCAGCTCGGGAAGGTCGGTGGATGGGAAGGAATATCGAGTATTTTTGCCTGGGTGCCATATTGTTAAAATTGACAATCGGAATGGATTGGTGACGGAGGAAAGTCGATCTTGGAAGGGGGAAAAGGGAGTTGGAGAGACCAAGATCGGCAGAGGCGCGACCGTCAGCACTCCGCCGCAGCTGAAAGGATCACCAAATGCGACTGTCTTCAATTTGGTTCTAGATTTCTAGGTTTTGATGATGAGACTCACCCATTGCTTGCCATATATATTTTATGTAGGTCCTTTCGACATCGTTCGCAAAAGTACTGAACATCGTCGAGATTGGATTCCTCGGCAAAACCAACACAGGCACCGTGCTGCCATGTGTTGCAGAATTCGCATTGCACATAAAAACCAGCCATGTCATCCGTAACTTCGATAGCGAAAATGCGGTCGTGGTCAATTATGTCTCTTGGATCATGCTTCGAGTTCTCGTCGAAGGGCGGAGGTCCTGGGTATTCGTCATGACCGCAGATGCAGCGGACGGCTTCGTCGTCCTCTTGGACCTCGTCACCAGCAGATGCCATATCGAGTAATTCTATTTTGGATTGTTTGTCTCGGTCGTCTTCTTTACCGCGCGTACTTCGTCGACGGAGGACGGGATCGTCGTTCGTTATAGTTGTTGAATCCTCGGGAGGTTCTGAAGACAAAGACCCACTACCGGTTGACTTTTGTGGTGAACCGGTTTTGGTGAAAGCTCTTGTACTCCGCTCGGCACGGCCAGATGCACTGGACGCACTCGAGCTATTATGGGATTGTGATTGAGTTGTTCGCGCACGGGAAGAGCGTCTGGTAGGAGAAGCACCAGCCATCGCTCGTAGGTGTAGGATGGGAGCGACTGGATGATGAGTCGGATTGAGATCGGGAGATCGGGGGAACGAGGGATGAAAGTGGGAGGTGGGTTTAAACGCGACGGCGATTTAAGCAGAGGATGTAATTGGGAAGCAGTCTCTTTTATTTGAGCTAGGAATAGGTGAGGTTATAGGTGATTGGGTCGCGACAAAGACGGAACTTGGTTGGAAGAGGGTGAAGAGACAAGAATTGCTCCAGGGCGACCGCGAAGGAGCTTCTTGAAGGGAATTCTGGCTACGCGAAGTCAGAGGAAACAGGATAAGGACCTTGCAAGTATACCTTCAAGTCTATCATGACTGAATTTGATATTCGTAAAGGCTGCGTTAGTTTGTAAAAGTAAGAGCAAAGTAATAGAGGGGGGAGAATGTGTGTTGGTGAAGGCGAACAAGAGGGTCACTTTTTGGAGAGGTAGAGAGCAGCAACATTGTTGTATTAGGTATTGTTCCTAGCTGGCCCTCGCTCGGGCGCGGGCGTACTCGCGCAACCAAAAGCAATTTAGCGACCATCCAGCAGGGGACCCGGCAGCTCCTCAGGTGCTATGGATGCTAAGGTTTTTTTTTTCTCTTTCTTTTTCGGGTTAAGTTCTTAGCTCTGGATCCCCAATTGATCCGGGTCCCTCTTTTTCTTGTCGGCCTTGTATCGGTCCGTGCAATCCATTGGTGGTTGAACTTTGCACAGGTGAGCGTGGGGCACCGTATTTCACTTCTAGTTGTTCGCACCGTATTTTGCCCCATTGACATTGGATATGCATGTGTCGATGATTCCCATATCTCACACATATGAGAAGGTGGGAGATTACCTCATCATACCTCAACGCTGAAGTGAACCTGAGATGAGTTATATGTACCTAACGTTTTGGTCGTGGCGATGCATTGTTCACGTCCATGATTTCTGTGCTTACTGAAGAATTAGAATTAATGAGATAGATTGGAATATACATACCTAAATTTCTATGTTGGTAAGTATTGGGAAATACTTGAATAAGTTTTATGTTGAATGTGGACATCTTCGCTTTGGGGTTCGAATTAGTACTTTGAGGTAAAATAATGGGATTAGAGATAGCGTCGATACATTGGAGATGGGGAAAGCGATAGGAGGGGGAAAAAAATAAAAAAAGGGACGTCACTTTACCTGCTGTTGGCGGGCAGGGCGGGCAGGCAGGCAAGAAGAAGGTGGGATTAACCAGCGTCGGGAGTCGGGACGAGGTGGAAGTGGAAGTGGAACACAGTATTTTACAACTGTAAAGAACCATTCATACCTTTCATATGTACCTAGGTACCTATGTAATGCTCATTAGGTATGGAATACTCATAATTCTCATAAATGCTTGTGTTCTGACCAATCCGACTTGCCAACCGCATCTCACTTAGACTCACTTCAAACCTCAATTAGATTACTAATGGGGTAATTTCAGGGCTGATTGGCCCTTGTACCTATGTATTTCGTGTATATCTGTCGTAGTACCTAACCTATTGTACATATTATACACAATTTTGGAACCTTGCAAGTGTTTCGTACAGCACAGTACAATACCCGTGGACATCGATCCTAAACCCTTTCGTGTGACAGTGTGGGCAGCCATCGCTCAGTCAATTACATATCGCCAGCACAACTGATCTCCTACCTTGTAGGTACCTGCCACCTTACTCAACCGCTACCGAAACTTCCAATACCTATTAGGAACTTCCACCCGATCTCTTCTTCAGACTTCAGACCAAACCCAACAACGATTAAGCATATTTTGCTCTTGCTTTCCCCGCGACGTCTTTGCATAGCATTGTCACATTGTCACGGCATCGGCATTTCTTTTTTAGCTTGTACAAATCCGTCCTTATCGTAAATCCCATTCTATCCATATTCCCCGCCAAAAGGGGGACCGGGACCATCTTGAATACCTAACCCAACGGAACGACACGGAGACTCGTCTCTAGGTTGTATTGGTCATCTAAGCCCATCGACATCAACCAGCTTCCACGGGCTGTCATTCTTTGTATGTACAAAAAGTCCATTCGGCCTCTTTTGCTTTCTTAGAGTAGCGGCACCCTTGCCGGAGGCGAAGTGGCGCTTTTTTTTTAACTAGGCTCAAGCGACTGGCCTTCGATAGAATTGCTTGTCATCTATCTACTTAGAGGTCCCGTATTAATCTTACCATAAATATATAGAAAAGGGAGCAGGTCGCTGCAACGAAACGCAACTACGAAGTTGTGTAATTACAATCTTTAAAGCCTGTTCCGAATCGCTGCTACGATATCTTGTCGCGCGAACCATCGACGCTCGTTCTAAATACACCGATTGAGCAGAGTAGGAATATATTTGGAGGAGACAGCTGGACTGTCGATGCTATAATTGTAAAAGCGGGATGTAAAGGGTACGTTTGTTTCCCTAGTGAGGGACATTCACAGTAGAAAAAAAAGATATGATTGTTAGACCCGAGACGTTTGTCGGCCTGAAAACTGGTTCGACCAGTTGATATGGTTTCGAAAAGCTACCATTTCGTCTGCCGTATTTCCCTTTTCTTCGCGTCGCCGTTGGGAGAATGGCTAGAAACGATATCTCGGCAAACCGAAGCTCTAACAGATTTCCCGTCGCATGCAACTCATTACCGTCAACGGCGCCTTTTAATTATATCTAACATCATGTGTTTCTGCGTCATATCTCCGTTCAAAGCCGTTTGGCTAACAGTCTGGCGATTTATTCGCGGAGCAGGGCCTTCAGAGAATATGTCTCCTGAACCTTCGTCACTGTTTCCTGACCGGCCGATCCGACCTCTCCCGAAGCGTCGACTACGCGAACGACTTTCGCCCGATGTCGCCGATAGCATTCAATACCCCCCTGCGCCTCAAACTACAGCGCCGCTGTTTGTCTACCCATATAATACTAAAGAAGATTTAGCGTCGTTAGGAAGCGAACCTCTTAATGTAGTACATCGAGAAAATACAACTGAATTGGGCCAGGAAGCTAGTTTCCGCAGAAACGGTCTAGGTAACGACAACGACAGTCATTCCCTGATTGGACAAGCTCGGAGAGCTTTCGTTTCACGACCACTCCACGATTCTCTAGGAAATGCGGCTCGTACTCCTCTACGACAGGGCCAAACTCGACAACCAAATCCGCAGCCGCCACCTTCTACTGCCTCGTCCGCAGATGGCTACGATTCCTTTGAGAATAGTAACAATAAGAAGAAAAGGAAGATTCCAACAGCTGGCGAAACAATTCTAAATGGGACGCACGTGTTGAATGACCTTGGAGCGTTAGGAGTATCATCGCCTGTGGGAACAGGCGACGAAAGGTCTTTAGATAATTCCGGATCAAGTTCTGCAGCTTATTATCAATCTGGAGGCCTGGCAACTGGCGGGCAAGGGATTTCTGGTCCCGGTAGAGGCAGGTACGGTAGGGTACGGAACGGTAGGAGCCCATTAAGAACCCTGTCGGATCCGAATAGCAATTGGGGAAACCGGATCCCTAATAAAATCAGACCAGGTGGTGTACAATATCCATCGCCGCCTGCAGGTAAGCCCCGTCTCGTGAAATTTTCTTTACCTCGAATTTTCCCTATGTTGCAAGAAGTTTATATGGTTTTTCTTCTTTTTTTTTTCTTTTGGGCAGATGTCTTTGCATAACACCAGCTTTTCAAAAGGCATTTTAATCTAACATATTTCCTTACATTACAGGGGAGAATTCTGGAATTATCTCCAGCGCTATCGCTAGTGCCGAAAAGCTACAGGTGCCTCAAGGTCAGGAAAATATAAGTCTTTTACACCAAGAAGCATCTACAAAGTCAAGCCCAACACCCTCTGCGCAATTCACCTTCACGTTTGATTCCCAAAATCCTGTTTCTTGGCCTGGTTCCGACCCGGCGCCGTCAAATATGGGGCCCTCTAACCACATGAACCCGTCGCAATCGGACTATCGAGACTCTTACAATAGTCTTGGTCCTAGGTCCCAAACTGGATCAGGACATCCCCCAAATGGACCAGGAAGCGTCCATGGAGGAGCCGGCGCAGCAGCCAATGAATCAGCTAAAGGAGGTGCGCAAGGCAACGCGCCACCTAAGAAATCAAAGCGTCGCGGGAACTCGCTCTTGCAGGCAGCCAAACAACGCCGTCGGGAGACTGAATACCAGAATTTCCACCACCCACCTGCGCCAGAAGATATCTGGATATGCGAATTCTGCGAGTACGAAAGGATCTTTGGTAGTCCGCCCAAAGCATTGATTCAACAATACGAGATCAAGGACCGTAAACGACGCCGGGAAGAAGCAGAACGGCGTAGGTTACTGGAGAAGGCCAAGATGAAGTCTCGCAAAGGCAAAAAAGCGAGCAAAATGCAAGCTAAAAACAATGCCAACCCCTCCGATCGCAACCCCGCGTCTACGACCGGTCACGCCCCTCCTCCGCACCCGAATGATCACGGCGAAGATCAGAGTTCGCACCATGACCAACCTCACGAGGAAGATCAAGAAAATGGTTACGATTCGGAGGATCACTACGAAGAAGAGGGGCTGGAAGTAGATATGCCTGATCATCCACGAGTGCGCGGTAGTAAAGGCGGCGGCAGAGTGGGTAGTAGTCAACGAGACTATGCGAGCCATTAACAAGTATCCGACTCTTATCTTCGATTGGTTGGACTATTTGGCATCCCAGCATTGATAGCGTGTGTGACCGTCATCTTCTCAACTCCTATTGCATTTTCGAAACCATTCTTTCGCATGAATTATCTAGGACCTCCAGCCTAGATAATGCTCACCCGCTCGGAGTGTGAACCAATTCCAAGTGCCATCTCTCTCCTTCCGATCGTTCAACCCGTACGATTTCGGAGTCGGGGCTACCTGTCAACCGCGAAGCCCTGTCGTAGAGTTTCAATTCACTTCTCAACTTCTCAAGATTAGTAGTCGCTAGTCGCGCAGCGGAGGTGGATCATTCTCATGGATTGATTAAACGGAGCCAAGCATCGATGAGGTTGGCATCTGCGGTCGAGAATCATTGTCAATACCTGTAGATCATGCACCCAACGTGCTATGATCAAGTACCCCTTTTAAGCACTGTCATTAGAACTGCCTCGGGGCCTATAGACCAGATAGATGATAAGAAAACCATCGATCAAACGTATTGATTTACTCGATTCTGCCCTCTCTTTGTAAGTGTATTGTTAAACATTAGGTACTGCCTAATCTACCTATGCTTGACTTTCGTACTCTCAATGCTATGCACCGTATCTCGGGTAATCTTATGTCTACCTAACCTATTAATATCGAGCAAGCCCAAAATGAGTTCAAGGGGCCAAACGTAGTGGAGCACGTGTACACTGTTCCCATTTCACAACCATTGAGCTGAGCGTCACCTGTGTGACATGGCCCTGTACCTACATACGTACCTAACCTAACCTAACCTATATTTCTGGTATATCTATCTGGTATATCTAGTTGCGTATCGTCCTATCAATTAATCAATATATGTAACCGAGTGCAATGTATTTTGGCTGTGGATTAGTTTGATAATTAATTGACTGTAGAAACCAGAATTTGACGAGTAAATGGTAATACCGAAAGGCCCCTTGATATGTATAATAATACGGTGTAGGTATATACCCAATATAACCCGTCTGCCCGTCTGCCCGTATGCTCGCGTTAGTCAGTTGAATGACGTCATTTAGAACTACTTAGGTAGATTCAGAGGGCTGGCAGGGTTGGGGGACCCACGATCCAACCTCCGTACGTGCGGCAATGCGCAACACTACGTACCTGTTTAAATTGTAAACCTCGAAAATTGTATTTGGCTTACCTCTTAAGGTATTCGATACTTGACAACATTATCTAAAGGCGTATGCACGTGTAAACGTATACCTAGACGTGTACCTGCAGCAGTTTTATTTGGGATTGAATCGTTCACGTTATTGTACCTGTTGTCCATAAGACGTGGCTTTATGTTCGAAAGTAAAGATTCTAATTCGTCGGTTGTTGAGGCCAACGGTAGGATGGATATTAGCGCAGTTTTTCGGATTAGTGTAAGCTGAGTTTGTTTTCAGGGTCTTATCATACAAATGCTATTGCCGCAGTAGATGTTTTAAAACATCTGGTTATGTAAGTGCCAGGGTGGAGTTTTTGCTGCGTGGGAAGCAGTAGTAACCCCACGTAGGCTGTTAAAATGACGGCACTGTACCTATTTCGTCTTAATTTAAACACCTAAGTGGATCGCGCATAGTGGTCACAACTTAGTGTGGCTTAGGGTACCTTTTCCCTTTTGTGTCATCATCATACCTCGACCTCCCAGGATTGTCGTTCCTGAGGAAAGCTTCCCAAAGTCTATCTTTTTTTTCTCTTTTTGTTCCAAACGCGCCGGGAAAATTCATTTCAAGTTTTGCTTACTTCCCCGTGTTTTGCTTACAACACAAAGCCGATTTCAGATTTATAGTCGCGGCTTAGTACCGATCAGATCTAATAACACTTTAGTCAATAATTTTATATTCTCATGCGGTCTTTAATATAGTCGATTCAGGCTAGGGCCTTGAGCCTGCGGGTCGCTCAGTCAAGATGTTCGGCTCGTCGCGAAGGCATCGACCGCCAAACCCTGTAAGTATCTCGCCAGGCCATGTCTCTAGTTCATCTCGAGTCGTCGCATTCCATTGTCTTAGGGCCTCAAATATCAATTACAAGATTACACAACTCATGGTTCTTTATTCTATGAGGGCACTAGTGTTGAATGTCTCTCGGGTCGCTTCTTGGTTGGTTGATATGAAGGGGGTTTCCCAATTGGGTCGGATGGTCGATTCATTCATCATGACGACGTTCCTAACCCATATCATCATGTTTATTCACTTTATTCACCTTTGAAATCTATATCGTAAAGGCTAATAGCAATTCTAAAAATCCCACAGCCTCTGAATCCCAGAACCGCGGATCCAGATGCAACTTCGGCCGCCGCATCCGCCTTCATGTCTGCCTCAAATCATAAACCCAGCAGGTCGCTCTCGTCGGCTGCTGCCGCCGCAGCGCTTCGAGCACGTCCTCATACACCTACAAACGTAGGTGAAGTTCAAACAAAGCGGACAGTACGTCGTAGCGTCTCGATATCATCAGCAGGAAGTTCTGCCGTGCCTGCTACAAGCTCGCGCCCAACGCAGCTTAAAAGAACTAGCAGCTCAAGCAGTATGGTAGATCGTACATTTCGAAGTCCTTCACCTCATCGAGCTGGCTCGATTCAACCGACCAACGACCGCCCACCAGTGCCCCAGATTCCCGCAGATCATAACAAGCCATCACGCCAAGCATCCACAGGTGTGGGAATGCAGACTTTTCGGACCGCATCGCAAAAGATAAAACCAGGTCAATCTTCGTGGTATACGGCACCATCGGGTGACCCAAGTAACGTAAGGACGTCTGACCTTCCCATGAACACATCCAAACCCCCACCATTAAAGCCTCAGGATACCCCTACTACGTCGCAGAGGCCAGACAGCAGAAGCTCTTCGGTAAATTTTTCATATCCTACTGTTTTCCGCGCCCAGTCACCGCCTGCGTCTCCTACTTATACCCAGGCACCGCAGTTTACCGGTCCAGCGCCCCGCAGGCCTGCTTCGCCACCTAGGTCGAATAGAGCTTCTATTTCTTCGATTACAAGCAGGAAGTCCGACTTACCGATGGTATATGATCCAAATTCTAGGAGAATGGTCCCAAGACCTGCGGTGGACAATGACTACTACGTTAAGGAAACGACAGAGAAGCAGTCAAGGAAGAAGAAGTACAGCGGGGCCCAAAAAGAAGGTAATTACGTGGAGAAGGCGACGGGCTTGGGGGCTGGAGGAGTCATTATTGACGCAGGCACAAGCGAACGAGATCCGCCAGAAGTCCAGAACATCGATGCGCTGCCGGGAGGTGGGGGCTTGCGGCCGTTAGAAGGCCCTGAAATTAATGCCACTACCACAGCATCAGACCAGCGAGTACAAGATCCAGAGGAGCTCGACAACAATTATCAACCGTCGCCAATACAAGACGCACACGTATCGACGATTCAAGGTCCGTCTGTCCAGCCAATTTCTGATAACCTACGTCGGGACTCGCCGCATTTAGAGACGAAACCAGGTGTTGTTGCAGATGAGCCTGAGGACGTCTCTGACGAAGATGACGCTATCGCTCACCCTTCTCGAAAGGCGTTGGAGGCGCTAGATGCAGTACCAACGAGACAGTTCATATTTGAGCAGCCTCAAGATCTATCATCTTCCAGTAAATCCGCTCGGGTCGCTGTTCAACAAGATCAAACCGACAGATATCTAGAACAAGCCCATCCCGAACCCGACCATGTGTTGGAAAATAAGTCTTTATCTGGAAGGAATAAACCGGCTGTGGAGGTTTCTGGTAAAGAAAGTTATGTGCGACGATCGACTTCGAACAGTCCAGCTCGACAAACTCGTTTTTCAGCAGCCCCGTCAAGTAATCTAGCAGTACGGCACACACCTTTGCCAAGATCGGCATCTCCTATTAAATCGGCTCTTAAACGTACCAGTTCGACGTCCAGAGAAGTGTCTCCATCGGAAAAGGGCTCGGATGCGTCAAGATCCCGCGGCGTTTCTCCGCCACAGGACGAGAGTACGGCGCCCCGTAAAAAGTCGGTCCGCGTTAGTTTTGATGATCGAACCATGGCTACGGTTGTGGGTGAATCTGCAGGAGATATAGACGATTCAGGCTCGGCAAATTCGGTGCAGGCAAAGCGGCCTTGGTACAGCAACATCGGGCGAAGTAAAAGGAGAGAATTCGCGCTCGATGATGATGAAATTATGAAGCCCAGGCCTGCTTTACCAAGCTTCGGAAGTGTTAGAGAGAAAAAGCCAAGGGAACTTGAAGAGCGACCGCTTGTACGCCCTCACGAACTAACCCAAGCACCCGGATTGCGCCCGTCCGGCCAACATACTTCTAGCAATTCCAGAACTTCAACAGAGATGCCATTAGGGCAGTCAAGTGGCCAGGCTATTAGTTCCGACTTAGGCCGTGAACAAATTCCGCGCAATGCACCGAATATATCAAGGTTTAGAGAACCATTGCCACCCGTTGTGACTTCGGTAGAGGGAAGCGGTTATATCTCAGATAGCGTCGAGGGCACCGATTCCGATGATGATCTCCTCAACAGTATCGGAGGAGCAAGTGATACGGAAGATTTTCCCAACACACAGATCACGCAACCAGATACTCCGGATAACTCCCAAAACGACTCGACCATTCTCGAGAAAAGACATACTAACTCAGAGGTAAATGTGCCGAACGCAATTCACGTCCCACCGCACGATATTCCCGAAATTGCTATCACACAGCCTAGCCCAAGAGTTCCAGAGCAAGGTACATCAGCTGCAAGCGTATCAGAAGAACCCTTTTTCGACGTCCCGGGCAGATTTCCAGATGATGGATCAGAAAAGCTGTCTGAGGTTCAGACTACGCCGGAAGACAATAACAGCAAAGCCAATGGCGATATCTCCCTTTCCTCTCCCATCTTCGAGCCGAAGGCAACAGTACACCCTGTCCAACCCGAAACACTCCCTCAAACTACGCTCGCGACGACAGCTCCATTAGACTCAACGGATAACGGCTCCACGGACGACTCAGATGAAAGTATATACAGTGATGCATATGAAGATCCTTGGGAGGCTGGGGGAGATGGTTTCTTATCTCTGAATGCTGTCGTGGAGAAGCCTATTGAAAAACTTGTACCGCCAGAGTTGCCTGATAATGCTTCCCAAAAGCCTTATGAAAACTACCAGCCTCAGCGGGTTGGGGACATTGCTAGTACTTCAAAGCCGGAACAGCATCAAGATGATTGGGAACAGGCCAAAGCTTTTTGGCGTAGTCTTACAGCTGAGAAGAGGCTTCAACTTGAACGCGAGGCTATGGAAGAGGCCGGAGTTCAGGGAGATGAGGACGAGGTTGAACGTCCTGTTCGAAAGAACAGCGTCAAAAAGGCAGCTTCTCAAAAACGTTTAACGGCTGAAGCGCAACTCCGAACATCAACGCAACAGGCTGAGCACTCCTTGTCTGCAAACTCCATAAAAGTCTCTACAGAAAGGTCCAGGCCTAAGGCCACTCAGGAGCCCTCTAATCAACCAGCGCCGTCTTCGCGAATGCGCATGTCTTTGCGTGAAGGAAAGCCTGCCCGTGCCTCAGATGGCATGCGAAAAACAATGAGACCTCAAGCTGCGGGAGGAGCCAACCAGTCTTCCCGACTGACCACCCAGAAAGAAAAACCTACGCCTGCTTCTTCAAAACCGACGCAACATGTGCAACAGATTACTCCGGAATTACGTATTAACAGGACAAGCAGTTCATTTCCTACTGACGAACACGCTTTACAACGTCGGGGGTCCGACGCCAGCGACAGCAGTTTCAAACGAAACCGCGCTACGCGGAGCAGCGGGTTCGGCCTCCGTAGTTCCATGCGTCCATCATCTGCCAATCCAGCTCAGGACATAACTAGGGGTTCTGGGCGGTTCAGTCTACGATCTCTCTCCCCAACTGGCTCTGCATTCCGACAAAGCCTACCTACTAAGGCTACGGGCGGAGTAGCGACCCCTACAATGCGACGCACACTACGATCTAGTAGTGTGTCAAGTCAAGACAAAACCCGTCCATCTATTCATTTTCCTTCGTTTGGTCGGCCAAACAAGAACCATCCAACGAAGCCTTCCAAGAAATCTAGCCGGTTTGGCGACTCGAGCGACGAGGATGAAGGTGGGATCGCCGGCTTCCGCAGCCGCTTTGATGATTCGAGCGACGACGAAAGTGTTCGTCCTCGTTCTTCAGAGCCAGGACCCCTGTCGAGAGGCACTCTTCGTGGATCTGCTGCTGGCACAGCTGGCTTCAGGAAATCTACGCCTGTACCAGAAGTAGACGAGGGTTCGCCGGCGTTACCTGATAATGATGAGAATATGCCCAGCCCTATGCGTACCCCAAGAAGCAAAGCTTCCGTCAGCAACATAGGATTAACACGTTCAAATTCGGAAGCCCTGGGGACTACTACATTAACACGATCACGGTCTGGTCGTGGCGGATTCGATACTTCTATATCGACCCCTACTACACCAAATAGAGAAAGACGAAGCTCCTTGATGGGAATATTAAGACGTAACAAACGAGTCGATTCGGCAAGTAAAATTCAACGCTCCGGGCTCGTGGAGAGCGCGGCTAGGCGTGATACTAGGTTGGAACGAAGTAATGAGCAATTGAAAGACCTCCGAAGCGAGAATTCTTCCAACCTACGGCTCCAGAAGCGGTCTTCCGTGAGAAATGACAGCTGGCCCTTGGGTGAGCCAGCTGGGAATGAAGGCATGAAACGATCAGATTCGGCCGGCAATTTACTCAATGGAAGCAGCACGGATGGACCTGTTCAGAGGCCGGAGCTCAATGGCAGACGAACTACGAGCCTGGGACTTCCCGCAGCATACGAAAACGAAGGAGATGACGTGATTGACGAGACAGGACACAAGAAGAAAAAAAAATTCGGGACACTGCGCCGGATGTTCGGTCTAGACGATTAGAAAGCGTTTACTGCCGAGAAGAAGCAGCGCAAGGTTTTAGTAAAAGGTGGGCGTCGGACCGCGTCGTTACGGCGCGTTGGCTATCGCTAGGGATCGCGACCCTTTATTTGTTCACCAAGACTGCGGGAGTTTCGGAAAAGGGTAAAGGATTCGGGAGCACATCGAAAGGGCATAAATAATTTCCAAGTTGATACCCGTTACCCGTGCGATTGGCATAAGCTTGCAGGTAGACTTGGCCAGGCCACGATATTAATAGGGCGAATGGGTTTGTTTCTTTTGTATAAGAAAAGGGGGGGGGGGAGCACACGCATATGCAGAGTTTCTTCGGAAATCACGCTTGTCTAGCGGGGTCGAGAACTCTTCGCGGGATTTATTCTTTCTTTTTTTGTTTCTTTTTAATTATTTGCAAATGTGGAATGTGTGATACTGGCTGGCACCAACAAGAGCTACTTGCAGAAATGCGCAGACGGCTAGAGAACACGAAAACGTGCAATGTAAGAAAAAAAAAACGAAAGGGGTTGGAATTCAATATATGTCTTATCAGATAATGTAATACAAGACTTCGCTTAGCATCCATAGTTACTAGCCCCCGACAGGGGGAAGGAGAGAAATAAAGATAATGATTTATTTGACGCAATTTTTCTCAGCGGGTCCTGGGGAATAGGCCTGCTTAGTGCTGGGGAAGCTTGGAAGCTATCGTGAGACCAAGCTTAGGTGCGTTAGGCGCTCCGTGTGACAAGAAAAAAAATTACCTGGAGACCGGGGGGTTAGGATATACCCCCGCGCCACTTAACAGGTATTGTATTGTACCTAGTTTTATAACCTTGATACCATCGTGACCCCGGAACATCGGAGGCGGAGGAGTGCGGCTCTACTATGAACCGATAAATACAACAATCAACTACCCCTGGAATGGGCTGAGTAATATAAGTCGAGTTAATGTGACATTAAACTCGACAAGCAAAGAAACAAATTCGAGCAAATAACACGAGATGAATTGGATCAGTAAGACCCAAGGAAAATGGCGTTATCTAGTATCATTGTACGTACATTTTGGGCGGTGACAATGGCAAGACATGGAGACTCCTCCCACTAGGTATCAAAAGGTAGGATGGCAGGATGGTAGATAGTAATAAGATAGAAAACGGTGTAAGAAGAAAAAGAAAAAGACAAGAAGAAAAGAGGAGATGTATGTATGTCATGGGAACAACAAGTCGGGGTAGGTAGGTAGGTATGTAAGAAGCACAAGCGAAGCGAGACCCGAGAGAACTTGACTTGGCGACAGCAGATCCCACGAACATGGACGTGGCTTCGGCTTCCGATGGGGAGGGAGGGATTAAAAGAAAATGCTGCTAGTACAGTTATATTAGGTACTATACTACCTAACATATGCTAGTATGTAAGAAAAAAGAAGCGGCTGCATTTTCGATATCGCCCACCGGTACTTAAAAAAAAAAAAAAAAAAAAACGTTACCTATGTGTCCCCTTATTCCTGGGCTTCCTGTCAGAGGTAGTTAGGTACTACGCTACGTGTACAACACGGCGTGGGCGGGCATTCCTGTTGGCTACCCGTTCCCGGGGGGGCGTTCTCCCATCAATGTGGGTTGCAAAATTTAGTGTGCATAGGTATTTATACCATGTATTATAACTACTATACTAATGCACTTCGCTTGGAGTCTGGCTTTCTGGGTATTTGCGGGGCCGCAACTTCTGCTAATATCCTGCATTGGCTTGTTGAGCTGTTTCCCGACTGTTTGGAGGGGGGGTTCTTTGTTCTTTCTTGCTTCGGTGTACGATGTTACACTTTACGTTAGGAGGTACCTACCTAGCCTAGTGCAAAGTCGAGTCCACTATACAAGGTATTGGGATGTATATTTAGATGTACATATGGGTATTTATGGATATCTATGACATGTATGTAGATACCTACCTAATACAGGACATTCCCATTTTACAAAATACGTACACTACACATGATATGTGTTATACGTAGCCCTCCGCATAATACGAATGGGCAGACAACCTTTCAGCAGCTCATATCACCAGATAGAGCTATAAAAGAACGAGAACGGACTTGGTCTAGCCAGAGAAACTCGTCAGTCTTGATAAGTCTAGAATGGGCCTTATAGAAGTATAGAGGCTAGTCTCCACATTCAAGCACCTAAAAGTCACCTAAGCTTAATCGTACTACCCCTCCAACCTCCATTAGGGGGGGGGCCCTGGGGGCGGACTGGGGGGTACCGAATGGGGGGAAAGAGGGGGGAAAGCTGGGAAGGCTTGGGCCTATATATACATCATGTAGCTACATCAGAGGTAGGTAGCTGCTACACAGCTGCATACTATATTGTAGTACCTAAGGCCTGTACCTATAACTCTTCGAAACAGGTACTATGTATAAGAGGTACGCAATAGAACTCCTTGTTGTATGTTGTAAGATGATTGATGTTAGGTATCGCATTTGCTAAGAGCCACTGGGGTATAGATCGTCAAAGGCTAGAGAAGGCGAAGAAGGGCCCAAAAAAAAAAAAAAAAAAAAAAAAAGGAAATAATTATTAGTGAGCACCGTCCAAGGAAGATCGTGAGTTTTTTCGGTCCCCTGACCTCTCTCCTGGGCGGTGGTTTAGTTTTTCCCACTCTCGTGTGTTCCCAGACTTCTTTACCAATATTTTTTTCTGTCGGTGTGAACTTCTTCCTCCTTTTCTCTCTCGCATTCTTCTCTTAAAAAGCCCAAGACGATTCCCAATTGCGAGTGAATTGCTTTCTAAAACATTGATTCTCTTTTACATTCCAAAAGAGGCATACATAGTTGAGATCCATTTTGACGGTAGAGACGCACATACGTCATTTACCTCTAGGTACTCACACACAAATCCAATTCCCATTCATCAGCCCGAGCAAACTGAAGCTCAGTTTCACTTCTCCAGCAACTCGATTTACATCCAACGCTGATAACATTTAACACATAAAAATCAAACTTCTCTTATTCCTCTTCCTCTCTAGCCTCCTTACTTCGGATCAATACATCCTAGTCTCCTATCGCCAGGCTTTTTTCTTTTTTCTTTTTTTTTAATCTTGTTCGATCCAATAAACATACTTTTATCCTCCTAAACAAAGTACGAGTGCATACTTACGCCTCATACCTCATACGGCATACACAATGTTATCACGAAACCTCCTTCGCGCCTCCGCACGAGCTGCTGGTGCCTCTGCCAGAGCTGCTGCTCCTCGAGCAACTCTCCCTGCCGGTGCAGCATATATCCACAACAGCAACAATCCTCTCAACAACGCAAGCAACAGGGACAAGAAGATCCCTACGCCTCCTCCCGGTGCATTCGCCCGTACGGACGACAGTATTACCGTCGAGTACCCAGAAGAAGATGCACTCCCTTCCTCTGCCCCCGTCCAAGGTCGCGGTGGCTTCCACATGAAGCGAACCCTCGCCTCCTTCTCGCTCGAAGGTAAGGTCGGTGTAGTAACTGGTGGCGCTCGAGGCCTCGGGCTTGTCATGGGTCAAGGCATCGTTATTAGCGGTGCCAACCTGGCAATTGTTGATATGAACAGTGAGTTTTTCCACCCATTGATACACCCATTGATACATATCCCCTTCTCTTGCGCTCCACATTCTCTGCAGATCTGCGGTGAGCTGGAGCAACAATTTTAACAGGCCTTGGGACGAATTGCTGACAATTCATTCCCAACAAAAACAGAAGAAGAGGCCGAACGCCAAGCCGTCGAGCTGGTTGACGTGTTCCGCAAGGAGAACCCCGGCGCCACCAGGGTCCCCAAGGTCACCGCTCATTACGCCGACGTGTCGGATGCGGACTCGGTCCAGAGCTGCATCGACGAGATCATCAAGGAGCACGGCAAGATCGACCACCTCGTCACCAGCGCCGGCTTCACCGAAAACTACAACGCCGTCGACTACCCCATCGACCGCATGCGCAAGCTGTGGAGCGTCAACGTCGACGGCACATACCTCTTCGCCATCACCGTCGCCAAGCACCTGATGGAGCGCAAGAGCCCCGGAAGCATGGTTTTCATCGGCAGCATGTCCGGCGCCATCGTGAACGTGCCGCAGCCCCAAGCGTAAGTTGCTCTCTTGTCGCCCCCGGTGATCGAGACTAACCAAGTTTCGTATTTTTCCAGTCCTTACAACACCGCCAAGGCCGCCGTCCGGCATCTGGCTGCTTCCCTCGCCGTCGAGTGGGCCCACGCCGGCATCCGCGTAAACTGCATTTCCCCCGGTTATATGCTGACTGCGCTGTAAGTAAAGCCATCGTCCACTATTTAGTTGATACCAATCTACCAATCTCGCATAAACGGCAAGCTGACCAGAAATAGCACCGAGAAGATCCTCGACGACAAGCCAGACCTCAAGAAGCAGTGGACCTCGCTTATCCCGCAGGGGAAGATGGGTCAACCCGTCGATCTCATGGGCCCCGTCACGTTCCTGCTGTCGGATGCCAGCTCATACGTGACGGGCGCCGATCTCCGCGTCGACGGCGGTTACACTCTCACTTAAAGAGGTTTAATCGTAACCCCCTAAACTTTCATCCTTATCCATCTTCCAACAACCTTTTCTCATTTCTTTAGAGGGAAACATATTCGGTGTAAAAAAAAGGGGGGGCAACATAGATAAATGATTTCTTTTTATTCAAAGGGAGTTAATTGGGCGGGGATTTTTTTTTGTTCTTCTATAATAGAGGTTTACTCTTTTTTTCGTTTTCAATCCCACGAGGATGAAAATCGGATTGGAGGGGTAAACTCGTTCCGAAGAAGGAAAAGAAGAATAAAAGAAGAAGCCATAGTTGGTTGGCTCGTCCTCGCAGGATAGGGAATGATGGTGATGCTAGTAGTGATGTTGATGGCGATGTTGACGACGACTATTTGTACGTCAACCAGACAGATAAGGTGTAGAGAAAGGATCCAAGCCAAGGTACGGACGGAATCGCGCAGCCATATAAGTGTTTTCGCAGTTTGGCAGATAGGGTCAGTCGACTCAGGAGAAATATATTGCGTGATGAACAATCAAACTTGAATATGTCCTTTCATTTTGCCTTTTTTTTTTCTTGGCGTCTTATTCAGTGGTTGTGTTTGACGTAAGAAGAGCGTAAAGATTCCAACCTATTTTGCGTAATGATCACGGTTGGGAAAAGAGAAAAGAAAAAAGGTAACCAGGAGTCCAATTTCATTAAATTAAAAAAAAAAAAAAAAAAAAAAACAATTTGAAATGGGGAGAAAGGAATCTGTTATTATTACGACTGTTGTAGTTTTGGGGCTCCCCTTTTCCGACCAGTTCGCTCCGGCGCATTTTCGTTGCAGCTCAGGCCTTTTTTTTTTCTTCGCTTAATGACTGACTGACTGACTGCCCCGAGTTTCTTGCCTTTAGGCTAATAAGTCCGTTTAATTGTTTTATTTTCAGAACGCCTATTCCTTTTCACGCTTCGAACGGCAAATGAAATGGAATGAAACATATCACGTCATGACATACTATACAATAGGTAGGATAGATTAGGTTATCCGCTCATGTAGGCTTAATATATGCTATGCTATGCTATGCCGGCACTTGGATGGTTGGGTGGTGTTTGTGGTGTGTTGTAGTGGGAATGGTCCATACTATAGTACTATAGGCTGGTTTGGGAGGTACGCGGGCAGGCGGGGTGAGCAAACGGAACGGGTATTATACCTTGAACGGGAGGTAGGGGGTCCACTATCGCGGGGTGTTGCGCCGCCGAAGAAGGCTTGTTTGGAAGTGAGAGGTGAGAAATAGATTTATATTAGTTGGCTACCTGCCTGTAATTAGAAATGCCTTGGTTTGAGCAGTTGCTAACATGATAATTGAACTTATGCAGGTACGAATACTATGTGCTACCTTTTATGGAACATAATGAAGAGACTTATACGCCGTATCTGCGCCTAGGTAATTATAGCATCCCGTTAATTGATTATACATGATAAAGGTATTAACCATCTAATAAGAAAGTCTTCATGGACGTTATCTCAGACTCAATTTAATTTCAATGGTAGGTACCTAAATACCTAGGTAGGTATATTAGGTAGATAATCTAAGAAAACCATGTAAACCTATACTAATGAACTTATCTCATGATCCCTTTTTCCTTGGATGGGATAGTATACGGAGTATTCAAGTGGCATACTTAATAGGTACCTACCTACCTATCTATATAGTAAAGACATTAATTAACATTGAGCCAACAACTATTCGTCCTATCCAAACCCAAACCTTTCCAGGATAACCATACCTCCCTAACCTACCTAACCTAGGTGCCTACAAAACACCCGATAGCCATCGGAATAACCTCCATAAAGACTGCTATTCTTCAGCCCGCGCTAGCAGCGGTACTCTCTATGAACTCGAGGTACCAGATCTTCAAGCCGCTGACGAGCGCGACGAGCGCGAACGCGTCGCCCAGCACGCCCGTCGCCCCGCTCTCCAGGAACTGGAACTTGCAGAACTTGTTCATGCTCCAGCTGCCGTTCACCGTCCACACCGCCACCACCTCCTTGCCGTCGCTCGTCGCGTTCTTCCCCGCCGCCGTCCCGCTCAGCCGCACCAGCTTCCACCCTTGCCCCCACTTGTCCAGCTCCTTGACCTCCTCCCCCCGCGTCCGCCGCCACTTGAAGTCCTCCGCGCGCACCTTTTTGCCCGTGCCCACCTCGACGGATAGCTCGTGCCACAGGCGCGTCCAGGAGTGCTTTTGTGTCATGTGGACGGTTTTTTTGGCTGCGCCCGGCGACCCAGACCCAGACCCGGAGCCGGAGCCGGAGCTCGATTCGCCCGCGGAGGTGGTGGGTCCGCCGGGGTCGGAGGCGGGGTCGGGGAATACTTGGATGACGGTGCGCTTGCCGCTGCTCCACCGGCTCTCGTGGCCCGCCGTCGCGACGACGGGGTCCGACTCGCTCGGCCCCGCGTGCATCTCCAGCAGCGGCTTGCCCGACCACCCGCTGTGCATGGTCACGGCGTAGAGCGGCGTCTCGGCGTGCTCCCCGAGGTGGAACACCTTGGACATGAACTTCTTCTCGAAGTACGCGTTGAGGCACTGCGGGAACCGATTTCTTACTCCCGCGATGGCGCTCGCGCCCGCGACGGGCGGCGCTTGGCTGCTTCCGCACGCGGCTGCGTAGGGCGGCGCTTGGCTGCTGTCGATTGCGGTATACGGCGGTGGTGGCGGCGCATCCTCTTCTCCAGCTTCTTTCGGGTTGCCCATGTTAGGAATTTGATTTGGTTATCTGTTTACAGCTGGGCAATAACAAGTTTAGTTATAATATTTAGGTAGGTAAATATGAAAAATATTTGTGGAGTTAAAAAGAAAAACGAGAGAAGAAAAGCTTCAGCGAAGAGGTTATAAGCTGACCGTCTATCCGCTTAGTTGCATATAAGTATCATGTTACAGGTATGTAAGGAGAACTAGGTACCTTCAGCTGAAAGTCCAATAACATGGCGCGATGAGAGTGGCTGCGTAAGTTGTGCGTTACACGGCTGTTTCTATTCTTGGTGATCGTCTTATTTTATCTACTCCAACATACGAGTTATGCAGTATATCTTAAAACGTTCAGACCTTATGCTCAACACTCGACGGCGACAGGTACCTAGACGAGAACAACCGGTCTTGGCGTTCTCCCCCTTTTCATTGAAGCCTCGACAAATTCTCCATCCATAATACCGTGAACATACGAATCTCCAACCAAGGTATAGTTGGCCCCAGATACCTTTTCTGACTGGCTGCCTATGGGACGCAGTATCAAAGGTACTCTACCACCATTGAGTATCCATATCTCGTCGCCTTCCAGGGCATCCTCCGGTGCAAGCCCAATGTAGCCTTTCCTTGAGATGAATAATTTCCGGTCCGACAACCTATTTGAGATTAAAAGAGGAAAAACTCTCAAGCGGCGCTTGTAATTAGCTCCCATCTCTCTTCCGGTAGCCATGTGCCGGTATTTCGTGTTTGATAAAACGTCCCACCACCAACGGTCATGCAATAGCCTTAGGTTCTTTGCCGCCCTCTTGGGCTGCTCAAGACGGTTTTTGGGAAAGTAACAAAAATCCATACACAGAGTTCTCCAGTATGCGTCGAAAATAGTTGAACCAGAGACATACGGCTGTTCTGGCTCCTGGTCAATCTTGAGCAATTCGCGCCAGCTCTGGCATACTTCTGATCCCTCTAGATTGTTAGAGGTGAGTTTCATGACTATGCCATATCCCGCAACCTGGTCGCAGAAAAGCCCGTGTAGGCGTAAAGACCCTTGGGACGGGCACTCGGGATAGGCCTGGGAATTCGAGTGGCAAGCACTGAATAGCTTTGTAAGGACTTGACGTTCGCTCAACCCCTCCAAACGCCAGGCCTCAGATGCTCTAGGTTCATTCCAATCAGGAACCCAGGACGGTAAGTCGTACTTAATTTGTCCAGCTTTATCTTCCGATACGCTCTGCTGCTTTGGTAGAACATGGGATAGGATATCTAGGTTCCCGGTTCTTCTGATGCACTCGAGGGTGGCCAACGAACAGATGTCGGTGGTGCTCTTTTTGTAGTCGATAATATCCCTAAGTATATCATCTACCAGACCTAATATCCCAAAAACTTTGTCTCGGGGATCTGTAGCTTCACAGTTACGGAATCTAGATGCAATCTCTACGAACCCCAGGCGGCCATTTTGATTTTGAAGTTCGAATAATAAGTTAAGCACTCTCTGAAAAGCGGCATATGGTACACCTGAATCCGCGTGTCGGGAACTGACCAGGATGCTTATAGAATTGCAACAATTGCCGTGGTGGGCAAGGCTTTGTATGATGCCTTCAAATTCTTTATCCTGGAAAAGGATCGGACCGGTCATGTAGATGAGTGATTTTGCGAGGACGGCTTCCTGCAACGTCCAGATGCGTTGATACCATGGGTTTTGGAGCCACTTGAACAACTCAAATGCTGGAGGTTCAAAATTATTTCCGGAGCTTGCCCGCTTCGCCGGGTCCCAGTGTAAGTCGGGGTCGGACCCGAAGTGTCGGAGGAGCTCAATAGCTGGTAGCTGGCTCAGTTCTAGACCGAGCCATGCTATGACGCATTCCGCTCGACTGTAAATCACGTCCATCATCCCTACTTGATGAATACGTTCCAGATTGTTGCTTTGATTGATACACACTGCATCAACCCAGAGTCGGCGGGTTTTATCATAGTTTCTAAGATATCGTAAAGCAGTCTCCAGATTCTTCGTAACTTTAACCTCGCGGTCCATAATCTCGATAGGCAACGTATCTTCCATGTCTCCCCAGACGTAAGATAAAGCCTCGAATCTGGCTTGCACTGGTTCAACTGACAAGCTGCCTCGTATAGGATCGTCAAATCTTCCCCGGTGGAGCAACAGAATGCGGACTTGCCGCGTTTCTTTATCTAAAGGTATATCATATGCTGCACTAGGATCCATATCTTGTTATTCGATCGTGTTGACATAGGTAGAGTCTAGGTAGGTACCTAGGTATATACTGAAATAATAGAAAACAAGGATACCTCTTGAGTATTTTGCAATAAAGTGACCGGGCTTGAGAGAAGAGCGCCTCAAATTGCCCATGTCTGCCTCCTATGTAGTGAGATGGCTAAGCCCGGAACGACACCTTGCCGAAGCTATTTATACAACAACGCCGCTCACAAGTTGCTAAAATCATCCATGTCATCGATAAGATAGTATTTATAAGGCTGAGCATTGAGGTTTCTCACGTAGCCGCTCATCCTGCCACCATCCTACTACTTTGCGAGCCTTATAATAGTCAGTGTATGTCAGTGTATGCGCCTGCTTCCTGTATCAAATTTCTATTGAACCAAAGCCAGCACATATGAAGCCATGACCTTTACTAAAGAAGAAAGCAAAAAGACGGTTGGCTAAGGTAGAGAAATATGACAGAGTTACATCTCGCGGCTCTACACGGATGTCCCGAAATCGTCGCCCTCCTCCTTAATGAGGGTGCTAGAGTAGATATGTTTGAATCGATCTGGGGTACACCACTCTACGCAGCGAGTATGAACGGTCACGTCGAAGTTATGAAGCTACTCATTACGAGGGGAGCTAACGTCAATACCCACGTTCCAAAAAAGGGATCAGCCCTATTCGGAGCAGTTTGGGGAGGAAGCATCGAAGCCGTAAGCCTACTTCTCGGCCACGGCGCTGATATTAACGGTGAAAATGGTAATAGGAATACTGTCCTCACTACGGCTCTACAGAGGAGATATAAATATAGTGCGCTATTTACTTCAGAACGGCGCGGACCCGGACCATACTCTGCAGAATCCTTCGCGGCATTTCATTCCTCCTTTACACATCACTGTCTACTTAAACAATCTAGAAATAGTCAGGACTCTCCTTGACTATGGCGTTCAAGTTGATGCGTGGCACTGGCGTGGAATTACTGCACTTGAGTTGGGTGTGGCACGAGGCAGTTTGGAAATTCTAGATCTACTTTGCTTCAGAGGCGCGACCTTAGATAGATGTGGCCAGAGACCTTATTTTGCTCTCTATCTTGCCATTACCAATGAACAGCACGATACTATAAAGTGGTTGTTGCAGAAAGGTACCGATACCGGCGTTGACAGAAGCGTGGCTCTTTATCTCGCAGCCCACGAAGGCGTTTCTTCAGTTAAACGCAATCTCCTTGCGTACTTCAAACTTGGCACTGACGCGAAGTGTCCTGAAGTTGACGGCACGTGTGACGGAGGGAAAACACCACTTCATGCTGCAGTCGAGAAAGGGCATCTTGACATCGTGAAGATGCTAGTTGAAGCTGGTGCCGACATCAACGCTGAAGACGATATGTCTAAAACACCTTTATTCTATGCCCGTATACATGAGAACAAGGAAATAGGAGAGTTTCTACTGGAGAATGGAGCCCTGCAACTATCTACATCGCCTAGATCTATATTTAGAGCCCTAGCCCTGAGGATAGGGGAACTCTTCGGGGTTTTAAGCACTTGAATACCTGTTGGAAGATTTCGGATTGCAAATGAAACTGCCACTCTACATTGAATAGAAATACGAAGATTTCGCGAAGATATTTAGTAGTGATGCATCAACTATCAGTTGAACATCGTTGGACTTAAGCTCCCAGAAGCTAGATACTACCTAAAAGGGCATCTCATTCTGAAGATACTTTATTCCATAACGCTTGGACTTTCTATGGCAGTGGGACTGTGACGGTTGTTTATTCGCCTTCAAAAAAGAGTACCTAGAAAGACAAACGTTAGTAGGTCTTATTAGGGATATGAGGATACGTGGATATAGCAGAAGTCTATTGTCTAGGTACCTTATAAAGGGTAGTCCTTCCCTCGAAGGAGGTTGGAAGACTAGGCGTTACTAGATCTCTACAATAGACTGCATACTATTCCTCTGGCATTCACTCTGTATGCGACATCCATCACGGGCATAACCTGACAAGTCTCTACTGCTTCTCACACTTCCTCTATGTATGTCATATATTAGAGGAAGATTGTTCGATACATTCAACTGAATTACCCCTGATTCACGAAACATAAACCGTTACATTAGGTAGTCGGGTAAGTATGTATTTCACAATTACTAGCTGGCACCGATGCTTTCGCTAAAAGGGTGAGGCCAAATTCGAGAATATAAACTCTAATGAGGAATAGATTACTTAATGATTTAGAAGCACCTCATATGATACGTACCTAGGTACCTAGAGTATTTCTAGGAAAAACATGTCTTCAAATACGGTCGGTCCTATGCTTATCTTACCGGCTAGAAATGATCCTTCGCGTGTACAAATTCTATTTAGGCGGCTCTGCCTATTAGAACCTCGCGAGGCACACCTGTAGGAAATGCGCCCGACGATATAAGGAAAATCTACCGTTGGAGATTGAAACTCAAATCGGCTTCATCGGAGACACGCAACAACGTCACCGAGTTAAGACTTGGGCAGCCTCGTGATGCCAACTTGTGTCAATCCATAATCGAGTAATCAGTAATCCTCATGCATACATGCATGTATGTAGGTCCCATGCGATATGCGATCGATCGACCCTCGAGTTAGGTACCAACCGCAGCCGCGCATTGCCGTTCTTACATATTTCGGTACAATATAAAAGGGATGCTACGAGCCTACCAAGTTCCTGAAGCACGTGCTAAGAGGATGATGGGATGGGTTGGGTACCTAAGGTAGGTTACCTGAGTCAAGGACAACGGAGGGGAAAGGCTCAGGGGGGATAGGGGGTGGACTTTTCTCGGCTAGGGTAGCCCGGGATATCGCAATGGTTGCGTTGTCTTGACTTCAACACCGTCCGCTGAAGCAGGGCGAACGCCGATTAAACTCCATAGTAGCCTCCCCCACGTAATTATGCGCAAAACCCTCTGGATCTCTCGGATACCCCCTCAACCAATAATGGAATCCCTCTCCAGCAACTACTACTGGTCTTCTTCCGCAAATTTGACGTTGTCTACCCGGCATGGATGCTGGAGTCATTTTCCCACGTCCTTTATCTCGAATGAGATCGAGATTCCCTCCCGCTGCAAAACAAAGCAGAAGCTCTCTACTTATCTAGCTGTTCAGGATCGTATGCATCGCCTGGCGAAGATGCCGCGCTAGAGGTTTAGGACCATATACCCGGCGGGGGGAGCTTGCTTAACCTGAAAGTCTATATGCGTCTGCTAAGTAGCTAGTCCGGGGACTTGCTCACATTACAGTTGAAGCTGTCGAATCTTGAGGCTCTAGCTTGTGGTGTGGAGTGTGACACGGTGAATAACTCGACCCGTTTATGCTGCGGGATTTTTTTCTCGGCCGCTGATATACCCTGGGGTAGCCATTGATGTCTTCTCTGTTCCTTACTTGAGATATCTGTCAGGCAAATCCCGCCGAAAAAAAGAAGAAAAAGGCAGTGCGGAGAAGGAGGAGTAGTAGCAGTTGCTTTCCACGCCGTTCTCGAGAGCAGGAGAAAAAAAAAGTAGCAAAAAAGTAGCTTAGATCGTGCGAGCTATGGATTACCTGGGTCAGCAGAGACAGCACGGCGAGCCTGCCGACGACGATGTCGAGGCTCAGGGGGCCCGTCACTCGAACGGTGCTAATTACCAGAGCGAACAACAGCAGCAGCAACAACAACAAGAAAAAGAACAACAAGACCAACAGGCAGCTGGTTCTCAGCGTCCCGAAAGCTCTGGGCAAAGCGGCGAACACGTCAAGTTTGGGGATGCCCGTCTGAACGTACCGGCAAAAAGCTCTGATCTGAACGAATATGAAGCCCTCGACCGGTTCATCACGAACTACGAAGCGGAGCGCCGCGCCAGCCTCGCGAGCGGGATGGGCGGCCGGCGCAAGAAGCCGAAGTGGTGGCAGTTCTGGAAGTCTAGCGAGGGCGAGGCAGAGGACACTTCCAGGCCCACAGATGTCGGCAAACCGCCGGACTCGTGGCTTGATACTGATATCCACACCGGTTTAAGTAGCGCCGAGGTGGAGGAGCGCCGAAAACAGTACGGCTGGAACGAGCTGGTGGCCGAGAAGGAGAACATGCTCGCCAAGTTCTTCAGTTACTTCCGAGGACCCATCCTTTATGGTGAGTGAGCTTGTCCTTTTAGTGCCGCTATTTACTCTGGGCATTCAGGAACGTGGACTAAACAAATGCTCCAGCTATGGAACTTGCCGCTTTGCTAGCCGTCGGCCTAGGTGCCTGGATCGACTTTGGTGTCATCATCGGAATTCTCTGCCTCAACGCATTCGTTGGCTTCTACCAGGAAAAGCAAGCGGCTGACGTAGTGGCAAGCTTGAAGGGCGACATTGCCATGAAAGCGACTGTTGTGCGTGACGGCAAGGAGCAGCAGATCTTAGCGAGAGAATTGGTCCCCGGTGATATTGTAAGTACCCTTCCCCCTTTCCCCCTATTTCTCAGTTAAGCGAGTCATGTCGGACGTGGACGGGAAATAACTGGCAAGAAGAGACCAAATGCTTACCTTGTTCCCCCATGACGTAGATAATTATACAAGAAGGACAAACGGTCCCTGCAGATGCTCAATTGATCTGCGACTATAATAGGCCTCAGGACTTCGAACAGTTCAAGCAGCTGAGAAACGAAGACAAATTCGGCGAAGAGGAGGAGGCCAAAAACAACAAGGATCTAAAGTCTAAAGACCAGGAGGAAACTCCCGAGTATGATTACGAGACGTCAATTCACTACGGTGAGCCCCTCGTGGCCTGTGATCAGTCCGCTATCACTGGCGAATCCCTCGCCGTGGACAAATACATGGGCGACGTCGTGTATTACACAACCGGCTGCAAGCGAGGAAAAGCTTACGCCATCGTGACCACGACTGCCAAATACTCCTTCGTCGGAAAGACTGCGTCTTTAGTCCAGGGCGCCAAAGACCAAGGCCATTTCAAAGCTGTCATGGACAGCATCGGGACGGCGCTACTAGTCCTCGTCATGTTTTGGATCCTCGTCGTCTGGATCGGAGGTTTCTTCCACCACCTGAAGATTGCCACGCCCGACGTCCAGAACCTTCTCCATTACACGTTGGTCCTGCTCATCATCGGTGTCCCCGTCGGTCTTCCCGTGGTCACCACCACGACGCTTGCCGTGGGCGCGGCCTATCTAGCCAAGCAAAAGGCAATCGTCCAGAAACTGACGGCCATCGAATCCTTAGCGGTAAGTTGCCTTAAAAAAAGAAAAGAAAAAGTACTAAATCCTCTCTACCACCAGGGTGTCAACGTGCTCTGCTCGGACAAGACCGGCACGCTCACGGCCAACAAGCTCAGCATCCGCGAGCCGTTCGTCGCCGAGGGGCAGGACGTGAACTGGATGATGGCGGTGGCGGCGCTCGCGAGCTCGCACAACATCGAGTCGCTGGACCCGATCGACAAGGTGATCATCACGACGCTGAAGCGGTACCCGAAGGCGCGGGAGATCCTGCGGCAGGGGTGGGTGACGGAAAAGTTCACGCCGTTCGACCCGGTGTCGAAGCGGATCACGACCGAGTGCCGCCTGGGCAACGACCGGTACATGTGCGCCAAGGGGGCCCCGCGCGCCATCCTCGACCTGGTCAACCCCAGCGAGGACGTGCGCAACCTGTACAACCAGAAGGCGCGCGAGTTCGCCACGCGCGGCTTCCGCTCCCTCGGCGTCGCCTACAAGAAGAACGACGAGCCCTGGGTCCTCCTCGGCCTGCTGTCCATGTTCGACCCGCCCCGCGAGGACACCGCCCAGACCATCATCGAGGCCGCCCACCTCGGCGTCCCCGTCAAGATGCTCACGGGCGACGCCATCGCCATCGCGAAGGAGACCTGCAAGATGCTGGGCCTGGGCACGAAAGTGTACAATTCCGAGAAGCTGATCCACAGCGGCTTGACGGGCGTCGTCCAGCACGACCTCGTGCAGCGCGCCGACGGCTTCGCCGAGGTCTTCCCCGAGCACAAGTACCAGGTCGTGGAGATGTTGCAGCAGCGCGGATCGCTGACGGCGATGACGGGTGATGGTATGTTGTCTTGCGCGTGCTAAGTAACCTGCCCCTATTTGGTCGCCCGTGCTAAATCCGTCGCAGGTGTAAACGATGCGCCGTCCTTGAAGAAGGCCGATTGCGGAATCGCTGTCGAAGGATCGTCCGAGGCCGCCCAAGCAGCAGCTGATATCGTCTTCCTAGCTCCCGGTCTCAGTACCATTATTCTGTCGATCAAGACTTCTCGCCAGGTATGCACCTGTCTCACGCTATAGAATAGAATACCCACTCCCCACCCCCTGAACGGTTACGAAAAAAAACCAAAAAACCGCATGAACCAAAGGCGTCATGGCTAATCTCATATACAGATCTTCCAAAGGATGAAAGCCTACGTGCAGTACCGTATCGCGCTTTGCCTGCACCTCGAGATATACCTCACGACCTCGATGGTGATCATCAACGAGACCATCCGGCCGGACCTGATCGTGTTCATCGCGCTGTTCGCGGACCTGGCGACGGTAGCCGTGGCGTACGACAACGCGCACGTGGAGCCGCGGCCCGTGGAGTGGCAGCTGAAGAAGATCTGGGTGATCAGCGTGATCCTGGGGACGCTGCTGGCGGTGGGCACGTGGATCATCCGCGGGACCATGTTCCTGAGCAACGGGGGCGTGGTGCAGAACTTCGGGTCGATCCAGGAGGTGCTGTTCCTCGAGGTCGCGCTGACGGAGAACTGGCTCATCTTCGTCACGCGCGGCGGCCAGACCTGGCCCTCCTGGCAGCTCGTCCTCGCCGTCCTGGGCGTCGACGCCCTCGCCACCATCTTCGCCCTGTTCGGCTGGCTGTCCGGCAGCGGCGGCGGCCTCATGCAGACCACCCCGCCCACCTCCTTCCAGAACTCGCACAACGGCTGGACCGACATCGTCACCGTCGTCGTCGTCTGGGCCTACTCCATCGGCGTCGTCATCTTCATCGCCATCGTCTACCTCGCCCTCAACAGCTTCGAGTGGATCAACAACCTCGGCCGCAAGGACCGCAACAAGAAGGACACCCAGATCGAGAACATCATCGGTCATATCAACAAGCTTGCTAGTAAGTTTTTAGAAGCCCAAAAAGAAAAAAAAAATACATGGTACCTATGCTTCGATTTCTTTTGCATGATGGCTAATCAAATACACCCACCCGCTATAGTCGAGCACGATCCAGACCCCAAGACCGGTCACGACCGGTACTTCATCGTCGAGAAGACGCCTGCCGACGAGGAAGATATTTGATCCATGGCAGTTACCGATGATGGATGGAACGGGTACCTGACTCGAATGGGCTGGATTCCGTGCCGTTCTATCCCTTGTGCAAGTTACTAACCAAGGATGTTTTTTTTTAATCTTCTACGTGCGGTCGAGAAGGGATATTTGAGATTTAGGAAGGGAGAGGGAGAGGGAGATATATACCATCTTGGTGTGTATATTGTCATCCTCTATGTAGCAAACGAACGATGTTGTATTTAAAGGTGGCATTTATTATAGCCAGCTAATAAGCCCCAGTTGGGGATAATATAGGGCTAACTCGTATGCAGACAGAAAAAGGAGTTGGCCAATTTGTACTTCCCCTTTCCTCCATAATAGTGAATCTTTTCTCTATGAAATAAATGTTCAAAATGGCTAAATCCCGTATTTAAATTAGTAATAGAGCACCTCTGTAGAAAGTAAAGCGGCACTGGAGAGAACGATGGCAGGTAGTTTAAATGATGCTATAAAATATGTATGTGTCCCAGGTAGCTATACACAATGCCTCCAATCCTTTCAGACCTGATGCCCAAGCCTCTGGTATTTGCAAATTCCGTGACAAGTGCCGTGACCACAACCAAGACTGTGATGTTGGCGATAAAAAAATGCGCTGAATGGGTACCCTTTTCCGTTCTTTTCAAAAAGCGCCGATCTATTTATGTTTCTACCCAAGTTATGTACACTCAGATCTAGCTACCCGTGGGAAGGTTACCGACCGTCGAAGCGGGAAAATAAACGGCCCTCATCGCTGCTGCTACTTGTAGTGGGTTTTGCAAGGCCAATCTTGATGCCACGTCCCTCTTTCATCGAGTCCAAGCTAAGATTGCTCGCAGCACTATTGCGTCGTCGATACCGTTTGCTGTTTTGAGTTGGAGGACTAGGCGATGCGGGACTAAGCAGATCTCTCGTGCCATCGAGATCGCCAGCCGTATAAGCTCTATCAGGCGGAGTTACAGATGGCATATTTTCATCAATCGTGGTAATGGGGGTGGGATGAATGTGAAGATTAGCCGTTACGGCGTTAATAGGCTCTGCTGCTTGCAGAGTGAAGTCGGAATGATTTACAGGATCTTCACGTGCCTCGTGCCGTACACTCGACAAAAGCTCTCCGTTAGCTGGATATCCATTAGAACCAGAAGGAGTGTCAGATTCCAGCGCGTCGCTGTTACGGTGAGTACTAAACACCATTTAGTTCTCCGTTTCTAGTGGTGTTAAGAATGGGAGATAAACATCGACGCTAGACGAAACTCACTGTTTGAAAGAATTATAAGCCGACAGGCTGATACTGCGCGCTCGTTGATAACTTTCAAACTCTTCTAGAGAATGCTCTGCCCCCTTGAAGTTTTCCAAGGCGTCAAACACGTGCTGGAAAACCTGAATGTCAACATCTCGAGCCCAGAGGAAGTCAAGGTGTTCATAATGAGGAATTTCAGTTGCGACGGTCCTATTAGGTAGCTCTCGCATCATCACCTTGATGTCGACCAGCGAGTCGCTTCCACCATAGACCAAGACAATAGGGGTCTTAATATTCCGGGTCGGATACTTGGCCACTTTCGTGTACTTGCTCGATGTGTTGATAGAAAGAGGTGTTTGCACATCGTCGTCGTACATTTGGAACGATTGGTTGCGAATGATCTGGAACCAATGGACGACCGACTTCGTACTTGTAAACGAATATAAGTGTGGATAAGCCGCGAGCTTCTGGCTAACTGATATGTTTTTAGTCTTCCAGCCAAATAGAAAAGACAAGCCCATGTCGATAACTTTCATAAACAGAGGTGGGTACAGTATAGACTGCCACATCGTAGCGGATGAGAGGATCGAGCGTCTGCCGAAGAGAAGGAAGAGGACCTGAGGCGAGGCCTTAATTAGAGCGTCAACAATGCCGTTATTTAGGCCAGCAGGTGACATAGCCGGGGCCAATGCTATGAAAACATTAACCTGATCATTCAACTTAGGGTGCACCGCTAGGCTGGCGAAAGCTTGCGCGGTGCCCTGAGAGAAGCCGATATAAGATAAGGATTGCTGCTTTGTAGTCTCCAGGATGTAATTGATCGTATCCGGGATATCGTGAAAGGCGAACTCGTCGATGGAAAAGTTCCAGAACTCGGTCGTTGCAGGGGAGTGGTGAATTGACTTTTTGGAGTATTTGTTCCCACGGTTGTTACCCAGCTAATAATATTTCAAGATTAGTATGTGTAATCCCATAACTGAAGAGACATGTTGCTAAACGCACCCAGACATCAAATCCCCTTTCAACCAACACAAAAGGTAGAGATCTCTGAGCATCGGTAAGACAAACCCAAACTTCGCTATTCATTAGGAGACCATGGTGAAGATAAACGACGCGCTTCTTTATGCTGGCGGGCCCATCATTGACTTTCATGTCTTCCTCGCCTTTCCTCCACGCGAGACGGTGTATTCCAAGTAGGTATCCATCTTTTGTTTGCAACACATGTTCCTCGGCCGTGTAGCCATACATGGCACAGAGGTCAACAAAATCGGAGGCATTTCGAATCGACGTCGAGATGGCTAGAATACAACGTGTTAGTGTGTGAGGGAGTGAGTGTTAGGAGGGTGTATTTCAAATCGTACATTTCCTTCTCTGTTCGGCTCTCTTCTGCGCTGGCGTGGTTAACCTATTAAACAACCGTCGCGAAGCTCGATAGAAAAGATTCAGCAGGGAATTTGCTGGATATAGGAAATCAGTATAAGAATGATAGTAGGTGGGATATATAGTCTTTTTTTACACACGTAGCGCTAATGTTAACACTCGGATGAGGGCCTCGAGTCCGACGAGAAAGAAGGAGCCGACAAGGGCAACGTATTCGACGCTACATTACATAAATTAGTATCGTCGGAGATACTTCTCTTCTTTACTTGACTTGTATAGTTCAAGATTACCTAGGAGGTAGGTATTAGGTACTACTAACATGTCTAAGCGACCAAAAAATGGTAAGGGCATTTTGGCTTCGGTATGTTTTGGTATAATAGGACTTATAGCTCAAGTACCTAACCTAAGAGATAGAAAGTCGGTGGATATCAATTCAAGCGCTGCGCTATCGCAACGAGCTGTTCATTTTTCCTTTGGTTCGTTTAGCATAGGTTTTCCGTCCAGATGATTGACTACCTCTGAGGATGAGGAATTATGATTATGATTCTCGAGGAGAGATTTGGGCTTTGGGCGATACGATAAAAAGGAAGTGATCCGTCGCGGTGTAGGTAATTGGTAATTAGGTCTTGGTGATGTCACATGCGAATAGGAAATGCAGCAAGCTAGAGGTACCTAAGGTAAGCGTAAGAAAGATAGGCAATAGGTATTTCGATACCCATGACCATGACCACAACAACTAATAATATTTATAAAGAGAAAGAGAGAAAGAATGGGTGAATTGAGGGTTAAGAACGCGATTCTTGATTACCTTTGTACCTTGGATAAATATTAATTAGATTATTTAAGAGCTTAAACTTTGAGAAGGCATAATATTGAAATCATACATGGTAATTACCTACCTGGTAAGCTTCTCCCGTTTCATTTCGAACCATGGCCATGGCGATGGGGCTCTTTTCCCTGCCGTATATTAGCTGAGACGTATTATGTATTGTACTATGCATATTCCGTACCTGTATAGTATTGTACAAGCTAATGTACCTTGCACAAATAATTTAGGTACCTAACCTACCTACCTACCTGGTATGTACCAGGTAGCTAGCTCCACGGCATTACCGTGCATTTCCTCGAGCTCGGACCAACTCACTTTTTCGCAACTTTCCCGATAAGAAACCCATCTGATCCGATTTCGTGTTATTACTTGGTGGAATATATTCCTCTCCCCTCTCCCCCCCCCCCACGTACGGTCAGGTCAATATGCCAAGCTCATGTAAAGAAATAAGTATGTACCTAATGCTGCGTGGACATACCCACAAAGAACGCAATATGTCTTTCAGCTTGTGTGGACTTCCGCTGACGGCCCACTAACTTACAGGAGCCGCGCTGGCGCAATGCCTGCAAGAATCGGAGTGCGTGATGGTACAGCGGCATACCGCAGCCGAATGTCTGCGCTCACCGCTGGCCGAGACCCTCCCTACGAAGTGCCAACAGCTGAAGAAGGGCTTCGGCGAGTGCAGGAGGGGCATGATCGATATGCGCAAGCGGTTCCGCGGAAACCAGCCTATCACCTTCAAGAGCCTCGAGACGACCGAGAAAACGGGAGAAGGATACCAGCTCTACGCCGGAAGGTCCGCTTTTGCTGGCGCCGTCCGTAAAACCGACGGGAACGAGCCGGAGCCTCAGGACTGGCGAGAAGTAGAGAATGAAAAATATCGGAAAGAACAGGAGTCGCAAAATAAATAAATAAATAAAAAAGAAAAAGAAAAAGAAATTATACCATACAAGAGAAGAACAATATTGGGCGGACGTATCACAGCAAGCGAGCAAGCAAGCATTGGAAGGCGTTGGGGTTCGATTGGTATATCCGAGCGTGTCTTGAACCGGTTGCTTACTATCTTCAGGCGTGGCTTATATATAATGGGTCAAACTCCATCAACGTCTAAAAAAAAGGGTTACCTTATTCATGCACCACTATATTATGTTCTATACACCGCCAGACAGGTATACCCGACCTATCTCGGAAAGATGGGGAGATTGTTCACTATAAAGCCGAGGTGGCTTATTACGGCTACACGATTCAGGTTCTGATCGTATGTACCAACCATCTTTTAAGAGTCGAACTTGTCGAACTTGTCGAATCCACTTATTAAAATAATTCATACCTAATACATAGTCCGGCAGTCCGGATAGTATACCAATAGATATGCAATTACCTAAGCGACACGCATCCGATCTTATAGCTCAACCATGGATTCGTATATAATGGACAAGGATCTGTTAGATCGGTCTTGGCAAAATTTCACGACTCAATAGTGAATTTCTCTTTTTTTTTCTGTGTCTAATAAAGCTCATTTTCAGCCATTTTCGCCCCCTTCACGCCGCGTAACGTTCGTACCTTGTATGACGATGCGTACAATGTCCGACGTCTATAATAACCCTTTGGCTATGGTCATGCCTTGTCTACGAGTAGACTCGTTTTGAAGCACACATATATAGAATTGAATGTCTAACCAGGTTATTTACTTGCATACGTATCCGCAATAGGGACTTGTTTTGTTATTCGAATGGATGTGAAGGATACATTCGTAAATCAATACCTCACCCAGGAGCTTGCAAGCTATTTTCGACCGTCGACGACGTCATACGCGTTCAACCTTAGGTACATTAACCTAGGTACTTAGTACTAAAACTCAATGGGTCGTCTAGAACCTCAACCTCCACCGGCCCGGCCGCAGCGTCGACGTACAATAACCACCGCAGGCGTCGTATTCACGATACTACTGACAGCTTGGCTATGCTACTACACACGTTATAGCGAACTACTATTCCCCGTAGCGTCCACAGCAATGCCGCAAGACGCGCTCTCCCAACCTCACGCCTCCCTTACGAAACCAACCCTCCTCGCCTCCTTACCTCCTTCCGCCCTCCCCAAACCCCACGGCGGCCCGGAATCGCCGCGCCTCATCATCATCGGCGACGTGCACGGGCAGTCTGCCGCGCTGGACGCGCTGCTGGCCAAGGTCGGATACTCGCGCGCGGGCGGCGACGTGGTCATCTTTACCGGGGACATGGTGAACAAGGGCCCCGACAGCGGGGGCGTGGTAGACCGCGCCGTGGCCATGGGCGCGTACAGCGTGCGCGGCAACCACGAAGACCGGGTGCTGAGGGCGTGGGACGAGATGCAGGCCGCCGGAACCGGCACGGACGCCGATTCGGAAACGGAGACCGACGAAGACGAAAAAACAGAAGCAGGAGACGACGACGACGCGGAGACAGGGACGGAATCGAAGAAGAAACACAAGAACAAGAACAAGCACAAGCATAAGAACAAGCATAAGCATCATAAGAGCAAGAAGGGCGACCGCAAGACTGCGAAGAGTCTCACCTCCGCCCAGCGCTCCTGGCTCGCCGCGCGCCCCGTCATCCTGCGCCTCGGCACCGTGTCCCCGTACTACGGGGACGTGGTCGTGGTGCACGGGGGCCTGGTCCCCGGCGTGCCGCTCGAGAAGCAAGACCCGCAAGTGGTCATGAACATACGGACCATCATCACGCCCTCCTCATCCTCGTCCTCTTTCTCCTTCCCCCCCGAGTCCCCCGAGTCCCTCTCGCCCTCCCACCTCAACCTCAAACCCAGCGAGGGCCGCGAAGGCCACCCGTGGTCCAAGGTCTGGAACGCGCTGGAGAAGGAAAAGCAAAAGAAAAGGGGGAAGGCGCGGCACGGGGACCCCGCCGCCGGGCCCCCGACCACCGTGGTCTACGGCCACGACGCCAAGACGGGGCTGAGCGTGCGCCGGTACGCGTTCGGCATCGACACGAACTGCGCGCGGGGCGGGGCGTTGACGGCGCTCGTGTTCGAGCCCACGTCTTCTTCTACATCTACGTCTACGTCTTCTTCGTTAGCGGGAGGAGGAGGAGGAGACGACGGCGACAACGACGACGACGTTTCCCATTCCGCGGATGGCCCCGAAATCGACGAGGGTCGTCGAGACCAAGATAAAGAGGATAAGGATGGGGATGTGGATAGGGATGGGGGTGAAGGTGAGGATGAGGATGATACAGAGCTGGCAGCTGCTAAGCACGGCATCAAGCACCGGCTCGTTAGCATCTCCTGTCGAGGTCGGTGATGGACGAAATCGGAAATGGGAAATCAGGAATCGTAGAAATAATAATATTATAATGGTACGTCACCAGCTCGAGGAAGAAAGCCTCCCTAAGGTACCTAGGATAGATATAATGAGGAGGATACGCATTAATAAGTGTCCGGGAATCGCGAAGAAAGGGCCGTGGGATAGAGTAGAGAGGAGAGATCTAGAAGGGGTTATCATAGGTAGGGATAAAACGGCCATCATGGTTAAAAAGTGAGGGTTGGCTCGGAGATGTAGATCGGCTGGCTGCATTTGTTTTGTCAGAGCTAGCTAGGTATTGAGCTACGTAAGATAGCTTCTTGGAGAATGAATTGCTTTGCGGGCAGTAATTAACTAAAAGAAGAGTGCATACCTGGCTATTATAATGCATTTGGCGGTGGCGTTTTCTACGGTTGTTGTTTGTAAGTTGCAGGTAGCAGGTAGTTAAGTCAGTTATATCAAATTTCGTATGCTATACTTGAATAAGCATCCAATACTACCCAACCTTTTTTCGCCATCATCACTCCGATACAACGTGATATGTCAATTTTATACAAGGTAGGTAGGCTTGGATGACCCTTTATTTTTCTTTTTGATAAGTTTTCGGCTATGGACTTCATATTTTTATAGAAATCTGCCGGCCGGTATATTTTTTACCGAGCAAAATTCCACCTTGACAGCTAGAACTTGTTATTTATTTACCCCGGAGCGAAGAGGCCACAAGCTAAATTTCATTATGCATTCTATTTAGAAACTCCCCTCAAAAAAAGCAGGCCAATTTCATTTCAGAAGTGCATGCACATATCATCGTTGTCGTCGTGCGAACCCCGAACCCCCCTTTTTATATCAAGCAGCAGCAATAGGCGTGAAATTGCGGATGGATATTATTTACGCCTGGATCTTCTTCTTGATGATGTCCTTGAGGGTCACGGCGTCGGCAGCGAATTTGCTGATGCCCTCGCGCAGCTTCTCGACGGCCATCTGCTCCTCGTTGAAGTCGAAGCGGTAGAGCGACTCGTCGTTGATGTACGACCTCTTGGGGATGTCGAGTGTGGTGGCGGAGGAGGGGTCGAGCTTCTTGGGGACGGGGGCAGTTGAGTTCAAGAGCTCCTCGAGCAGGTTAGGCTGGTCATATTGGTTAGCGATGTTGAAATTCTCGAATATACCTACGATCAAAGTTATCCACTTACAGAGATGGTTAGGTAGTCACAGCCAGCCAACTCAATGATCTCACCGGTGTTTCGGAAAGAAGCCCCCATGACGATGGTCTTGTAGCCGAACTTCTTGTAGTAGTTGAAGATAGACTGGACGGACTTGACACCGGGGTCCTCCTCCTTGGTGTACTCCTTCTTCGTCACGGCCTTGTACCAGTCAAGGATACGGCCGACGAAGGGAGAGATGAGGAAAGCGCCAGCCTCAGCGGCGGCAATGGCCTGGACGAGCGAGAACATGAGGGTCAGGTTGCAGTTGACGCCGTGGTCGCGCTGTAGGATCTCGGCGGCCTTGATACCCTCCCATGTCGACGCAATCTTGATCAGAACGCGGTCCTTGGAGATACCTTGCTCCTTGTATAGCTATATGATGATATACGTGTCAGTAAAAGTGTCTACTTGAAATTTAAAAAGAATTTCCCATTAAAATACAATAAAGACATACTTCGATAAGGTGTAGAGCCTTCTCAACCGAAGCCTTGGTATCAAAGGAGAAGCGGGCGTCAACCTCGGTCGAGACCTTGCCGGGGATGATCTTGAGGATTTCCTTGCCGAACTCGACCAATAGTCGGTCAAGAGCGTTGTCGACTTGGCTGTCGATGTCACTACTCTTTCCCTTGCCGTATTCTACAGCAGCGTCGATCAATTTGGCGTATTCGGCCTTCTTGGACGCGGCGAGGATGAGGGAAGGGTTGGTGGTGGCATCTTGCGGCTTGTACTTTCCGATGGCTGGAAGACTGCTTGTTAGTATTTGTTATTGACGAAGATAATATTATACCAATCCTATCCGACTCGTTTGGTTGTCGCGAGTTGGGTATACATGATATGATGCGGGCTATACTAACTTGCAAAGTCACCTAATACGTTTGTTAGTGCGACCGCGTCTTTGATTTATTTGAGGATTGAATCAGTGTAGCTTACCAGAGTCGCAAACAACGACCTAATTCGTAAAAAAAATTGCGGAAATTAGCTAGTTGTCGACTTTTAAAAAAGTTATAGTTATTGCAAGAATTGCGTTCCATCACTCGAGAAACGGTACTGAAGAGATAAGCTGAGAGAGAAACCTCCTCTCATCTCGAACAACAAAAAAACTCACGATGGAGGGGTAAAAGCCGACTGAGGGGTAAACAGTGAACTTACAGTGCCGGTGGCCTTCAGCTGGTCAAGAGAGTTAGACATTTTGTATTAGTGCTACTGGAAACTCCGAATTAAGGTATATGCGATGGAGCGACGAAGGGATTGTGAGCGATGCAAGACGAGCTGGTTGCAGAATAGGTTGTAAGTTGTAAGTTCCAAGTTAGTTGTCTTTTTCTGATGATGAGACAATAGATCCAATATTGTTGGGGCAAGAACGGGTTATCCTTATTACTTTATGTATCTACCTACATAAGCTTAGGTACCTAGCCTAGGTCCTAGGTAACGTAAAGGTACGTAAAGGCTAGCTACCTACATGTACATAGTAGGTACAGGTATTATTATTTGCCCGCGATGGTGATGGCGATGGCGATGGCGGGGCATTTATCAATGGGGACGCAGCGTCATATGTCCACAGTTACTATGCACTACCTACGGGATAACCTACTTCTATACTAGTTTGCATGTAGCGTCCCGTACCTATAAAATTTAGCAAAGCACCTGATTTGTCCTTTCTTGGATCTGTACCTATTTCTTTCCCTTTCGACAAGCTCGGCCTTGGAAAGCTCTTAGAAATCGCCTCAAAAAAGATACCCCTTTGACTTAACACCGAGATCAGCTTCTTACCTTTAACACAACTTCGCTTTACTATCAAGTAGAAGTATAACTCGACAAAAAAATACTAAAATCAAACTTAAAATTTCTATTATATTATACTATAGTATTCCTTTTATTTTCATAGCTTAGCTTATTGTTCTAAATAAAACCATAAGGTAAGTACCTAGTAACTTCCCGTGTTAAAGCATCTATCTCTTCTGCTATTCTAACGGCATTCCGCCTCCCGTAAACCCCTCCGACCCTTCCGGTCTCTCTCCTACGTCTACGTCCAAGTTACGTATTTATTACTGTAAGCCTCAGATATTAGCGAGGGGATCTTACTCAGCCAACCATACCTAAAGTGCCCATCGTCTTGAGTGTACAATAGGTAATACACTACGGTACACATGGACATATCGACATCGTCGCCTCCTCCACGTGCGGGCCTTGATCCTTGATCCCCTAGGTACCTCTTACATAGTGGTAAGGACGTTCCCACACTTCTTCGCCAAGAACAAGAAAAAAACTTCCCCGACAAATAGTGCCGCAAATACGTTAGAGGTTTTTTCTTTGATCAATACTGACTGCTGTTTGTATTTGTATACCATCAAACATATATCTACCTAGGTACCTATAATGATGTATGTACCCAATAAAAGAGAGTTCCTTAAAATCTCCTTTCTATGAATGTAGGTACTCCCCTGTCCTTGGCAAAGAGGATTATTGTTCCCCTGTCATCTTTTTACTAGATAGATTGCCCGATCTTCGGCCGTCTCCTTTTTTCCCTCTTACCTAGGTATTTAATTTTATATGCCTCACTCGACAAAGAAAGCAATCAGAACTAGGAGCCAAGAGGATTGCTAAGCAGTTGCAAATGACAGAGGTACCTAGGTACATAGTAGTATCAGGTCAAGAGCACTAAAAATGTCTAAGATAATTCGCATTTATTGCTACCAAGTATAGGATATGATTTTGAGGAACCTAGTATCTACACGCTAGTGCGATGTTTTTTACTGAACTGCAGGCTTATATATATAGGTAGGTATGCTAGGTATTTCTTATTCGTAAGCAATGGGGATAGTCTTTTTTTTGTCTTCCCCGCGCGATGCAAATATGCTTCGTAGACCCGAGAGTGAGTATAAAGAAAACCGGTTCCATCCAAGAAGGGGAAAAAGGGGGCAAAGAGACATAATCTAGTCTTCGGTGATATCACCGTACTCCCACATACCCAAACGGTCAGCCTTAGCTTGGGACTCAACTTCGCGCAGCTTCTTCAGCACTTCCTCCGAAGTACGTCCGCGCTCCCATGCCTTCAACTTCTTCGGTACGAGCGCGTGGCCGTTCGCCACGACATCCTTGTTGATGGAGTCTATAAAAGTGCTGCTAGGCTTCTTCTCGTCGAATAGAGTGATGTAACTCAATCCTTCCTTCGTATCCACGAAATCGAAGCTGGCAACGAGCTTTCGTCCCTCTGTAACCTCGAAGATGTAGTTGAGCGCATCGTTGAAGTAATCGGGGGCGGTAGGTAATTGGATGAATGAGAGGACCGCATCGGTGGCTTGCGCCTTGAGTTTCTGCGTCGAGAATTGCGGCTGGTCTAATGCTCGGAGACTAGACCAGGGGATCTTTTCGCTGTTACCATAATCTATGTAAACGACTTCGGCAACCTTGGCAGTTCTGTCATTCGACCGCACTCGCGCACGGTACCATTGACCGTCAGCTGAGAACTTAGCCGCGACAAGTTCGCCAGTCTTGGGAGGATTGGCAAGGGGCTTGTTGTTCTTAGAGTCAAGGTGGAATTTCTTGAACTCGCTCATTAAAACTTCTAGCGCAGAAGTTCCCTTTCCAACCTCCTGAATCTTGAGTCTCCCATTTGCATCAATGTTAGTAACGACTATCTCTCGGTAATCGGAAGCTTGCTTATCCGTGGGCACGGCATCGTTAGAAGCTTCCACATTGGCGGTCTCTTCCTCAGCATCTTCATCCTGTGACGGATCCCAGTCGCGCCAGATGCCTTTACGACCTTCCTTTGCACGCTTCTCAGCAGCTAAAAGCTCGGTGGCATTTCCAGATTTCTCTGCCGAGTATTGATGGACGGATGCAAGACCCTCCTCGACTAAAACCTTAGCGAAGCTCTCACGGTTGATGTAAAGATCGCCAATGAAGCCGCCAACTTTGTCGATATCGTGGATATCGATTTCGCAGTCACGCTGGTTGCACCGACGGTTCGCAAGATCCAGTGCCTCTTGTCCAAAAGGCTCGCCCTTCTCCTGAGGTAAACGAGGTGCTCGGGGAGCGCGAACACCAGCAAGTACCATGGTAAGCTTAACTCCCTCCCGAGGAATAAGAATGGTGAATCTCGAGCCGGCTTTGCAGAAATCGACTATTGCGGGAACCTTCTTCTGACGCGAAAGAGTTGAAAGCTGGATCTTGGCCTTCTGCACGGACTCGGAAACATCGACGTACGCCCTGGCTTTTGAAGGTTTTCCAGACCACATACCCTTTTTCTCCTCTTTCGCCTTCTCCTGCGCTGCAAGCAACTCGTCGTAGTTCGGGGCTCTATCAGTGTCATCCTTGCGGTGTCGGATCACAGAGCACCATCCATCCTGAACTAGCTGAAGATTGATATTCTTTCCCTTCTCAGTCACAGTAGCTACGTCACGTGCTTCGAAGTCATCGCTGGCAGGTCGATGACCATCGATAGATACTTTTACGTGCTTGCCAATTAGCTTCTTTCGGAGATACTCCTTTGCTTCCTCTCTGAAAGGAGCTTCAGAGGGCTCGTTAGCTCTTGGGCCGCGAACACTGCTAAGGTTGATTCGTTTCTCGGCGCCATTCTTGGCACGGACAAAGATTGCGTCCGCTCCTTGGATCTTCGAGACAATCATATCGGATGAGCCACCACCTTCAGCCTTGGCTACGTGGTCTTTGTGGAGGCGTAATTTGGCCGCCTGGGCCTTCTTCTCGGCCTCTCTCAAAGCAGCCATATTCGGACCTAGTAGGGTAGAGTGGAAATCATTGCACCTTGCAAGTCCGTCGGCAAGTAGGAATTCCGCAATACTGCCGCGAGGGTGCAAGATAGAGGCGATGAGCTGTCCCTGAGGGCTAGTGCCGGCGATTTCAACTTTGACATCACGTTGAAGAAGTCTCTGTTCGACGTATTGTCGCGCTTCGTTTCCAAACTCCTCTGCTGGTTGAGTCTGACCAGTCGACTGGTTGACCCTTTCTGTAGAGGGTGCACGTATACCAGCAATAAGCGTCATAACTTGCAGGTGCTTCTTGTCTGACAACTTAAGGCGCACAAGAAGGCGATCGCCGCTTAGAACGCGCTCGACAATTCCATCAATACTTTTGCCCTTCCATTCGTTGATATCAAGGCCGCTTATATCATTTTGGACTTCGATAATTCCACCGATGCCTTCCCAAAGCCCCCTTCCCTCGGCCTTAGCTTCTGCTTCTAGAGAACGAAGGGTCTCAAGTCGTTCCAGAACCTCTTCGGATTCTTCTTTACGGCCTGCATCTTCTCTGACCTTGAGCCAGCCCGCCTTGACTAATTCATCCGGCAGTTTGGTTCCATCCTTGAGCTGGGCAACACCGTAATCTCGTCCAGACGTGGGGATGGTATAGAGAATGGAGCATTGAACCACTTTTCCAACAACTAGCTTCCGTAGGTAATCCCGAGACTGGAATGCAAAGGGATCGTCGCCATCTCTCTTGAGATGAGGGCCAGTGACGAAGGCTAGGGAGAAAACGCGTTCTGCGTTCGGATTGCTCTGGCTGGTTAGCACTAGAGTGTCGCCGCTTAGGACCGATTTCACGTTAGCAAAGAATTGTTTTGCCATTTTGCTAGCGAGGAGACGGTTGAGTTAAGAACGAGAAACGTGGAGGGGAGGAATGCAGGGAATTCCTGTAATCTGTCCAAATAGTCAGCAAATAGTTAAATACTTGTGCTAGCAAGCTTCTTAGTAGTATGGACAACACTAGTTGGGTGGATATTAGAAAGAAGAAAAACATATGACTGTGTACACGATATTGTACGTCCTAGTCCAGACTCCAGAGCGACTAGGGAGCTATAAGTCCCTAGTTATATAGCTCTCCATAAAAGCCACAAGGGTAGTTTTATATTGCCAATCATCACATAAATTTGCAGATTTATGCAATATTCCGCATGGCGTGAAATAGCAACGTCTTCTTAGGAATATTTACATGTTTGTATCGGGTTGCAATCGTTGACGTTGTTGGTTGTCGACAAAGCTAAGGGACGTGACGACTTATAGAAAGGGGGACGAGCTAACATCATGACAGGTGGCATTTCACTAGGACCTTTGACGACCCACGTGCCCGAAGTTACATGCTCATGCATGCTGGTAATTATCGTGACTGGATATAAAACGGGAAAAGATATCAAGATCTGAGATTGTATACTGCTGGACTGGGCCAGGTACAGACAAGTATGAAAGAGAGTTGTATCGGCAAGTGGCATGAACACCAGTCATTCTCGAGCTGATTGGTATTGGAAGGGCAGCTTTAGAGCTAGGGGTAAGGATGGGAGCTTGGGCTGATGGGGGGATTATTGGAGAGTTTGAATATAAAGAATGAATACAAAGAATAAATATTATTGGACTTACCCAAGTACGGGAGGTAAAAATGCCTCGAAGTTAAAAAATAAAAATAAAAAAGTGAAAGACAGTTTTAGAGCATTCAGGGTCGAGTTGTGACTAGGTTAGAAGAAGCCAAATACTTTTTAGAAAGTGTTGTCCTTAAAGCTCAAAATGCATATGTCGTGTGTTCTTTTGGATTTTGACAACTTTCGTCAATTTGTGGGGAAAAGCCAAGTCCAGAGCCAATTCTTGACTTGCTGAGAAGCTGGAACACCAGTCGAAGCCAAGTTCCCTTAAGCGCTTAAGCGAAGTGATTTGCTGAAGAGCGGGGGGATGAAGATCTAGCAAACGGGGCTGACGGTCTTTCCCCATTTTGCCCCTCTTTTTTTTGTCTAAGACGTGAGCGGGGTACCTCTCTATAATCTCGATGCGCTTTGTTTTAAGCTATGTGTATAAAAAAGAAAAAAAAAAGAGAAATCAATGTAGAGTAAGAAGAGAAAAATAGATAGGTAGACTGAGATTGGTCCAGAAGCTTAGGTACACAACTAATTCTTCATTCCCAACTAGTATTCAGCTTGGTTGAAGGTATATAGAGGGGTAACCTATCCACGTGTGTATGGGAAAATTACCCCTAAATTCAAGGAGGTGGTCTACAGTTATATATAAGGTATGTCCATAGGTACCTAGGCATACATTCGACGTGTAAAGTTTGAAACTTAGCAGTTAGTTAAAAAGAGTACACGAGAAACTGAATCACTATGTTGAATTTATTTCCATTGGCGATCATGTTTATTTATTTTTTAAGCATATGACCGGCTATACATCGTTCAAACTGATTCAGCTGAACTGAATACCTTCACTAGGTCTTCAACTATACGGCACATATTTAGCTGGAGATGCCAATAACACCTAGGAAAGATCAGGTTAGTCTCAAATGTCAATCACAGAAAGTGATATATAGATATATAAATTTAAATGACTTACCGCAGGCGGGTCGGGGACCGGCGTTACCAGTCTTGAGGGACTCCTCGTTACCTCCCTTGCCAAGATCGTCGGTACCGGCGTGGAAAACGACAGTTCGCTGCACCCCAGATTAGCATGTACAATAACACAACTCTTAACAGTTTGATGCTACTTACGCCGATGACGCTCTCGGGACCAATCAGCTTAACAAGCGAGTCCTGGATGGATCCCTTGGCATTGCCCTGAGCATCAGTAACGACGTTGCCCAAGTCACCAACGTGGCGAGTGTCGTCAGTTCGGTCACCGTGAGTCTTGTTGTGGGGGTTGACTGTATCGAAAATTAGTTTCCTTTAGAAGCTTTTTGCATAGGCCACCTCCATCTCCAACGTCCTCAGGGGGGATATTGCATCATTACGTACAGTGAGGGCCGGCAGACGTGCAGCCGTTGGTGTTGTCACCGAAGGTGTGGATGTGGAAGCCACGCTTGGCGTTGGGGTCGTGGCCGGTGACGTCCCACGAGATGACGGTAGGGGAAGACTCGGATTCCTGTTCAAAGGTGACGGTTCCGGTGACCTTGGAGTCACCACGGACGACAGCGACTAGAATTATAGCATCTTGTCAGCAATGACTCGGATCGTTGTATAGGGCTGAACTAAAAAAGGCACGCGCTAGAGGTTTCCCCAAGGGAAAGCCCGAGGGAAATCTATTAGAGAAGCGTCCCCTAATGGACTCGTATGATGCCAATGGTCAGGTTTGGCCCAACAGGTAGCCTCCCATTGCTCCCGTTGTGTCCAACAAGGTGTCCATTCATCTCAGCCTTGGTGTACGACAGGGACTACTAGTTGACAAAATGCGCGCAATTGTGCTCATGCAGCCATCCTGAATGCGGAAACGATGGGATTGACAGTAGTTTATATAACGGAGACTATTCCACGTACCGGCTTTGACCATTTTGACTACTTTTGTCTTGAATTTTCGTTGTTTAAGGCTAAGATTCCAATGCAAACGTTGGTCTAAGTAGTAGGATGTTTGTCGATTTTTTAGGAGAGGGGGAAAAAGAAGAGGGGAAACTTCTCACGGTCTAATTTGTACTGGAGAGGAGAGGGGATCTCGGAAAGACACTTCTATGCCTAGGTAACCTTAGGTAAGTACATTAGGTACATTAGGCTAACCTTTAGGTAAGTACTGGCAACCTTAACGCAAGAATCTTACATAAACAGTTTCACCGCGAAAAGAGCGTCTTCTGTTATCCCGAGAGCTACGGAAAAGGTAGGTAGGTACCCCCTACTGTAAAGCTGTTAAGGTGGGGGGTTTTTCTCATAGCTGTGCTCTGCATAGCTTAGGTACACTAGCTAACTAGATAAAAGGCTGCCCCGCTTCGCGTCATTCGCGTCATTGGTGTTGTTGGCGTCATACACTTTGGCTGTGTGATGCTTACAAATGATATCATTTTTTGTCATTTTATTTCTAAAAGCTCGGACTTTATGAAACTCGCTCTATAGCTGGCAGGCCGAAGACAGGACTGGCCCTCATTGGCTGCACGTGTTAGTTAGAGTATGCAGACGGTCTTCTTCGTCCGAGTACCTACCTACCTACCTGGTATCAGTCCGTTAGCATTCGTTAATGAAAGATACCACTAGTAGCTGAAGTTATCTGGAGTTGGTATTTCAAGGATTGGGGTGCTCAGGTTGAGCGAAAGCAATACCAGAAACAGATTTTCAACCAGGCTATGTGGACCACATGTCGATTAGCGACGATGTGGAATCTCGGAGTTACCGTCTGTTGTGGTCCTGCTCCAAGTCCGTCTCCTTTGTACGATATAGATGCAATTCCTCCCTCATGTGTGAAATGAAATGAGCGATGGTGTAAGTGAAATATTGTTATAAAAATCTATTTTTGAATTAGGTAGATTTGCGAATTCTTCGTTACCTATATATAAACTCACCTAGTTGCCTGCAAGGGGCATAAGGATGCCCTCAATAGCTTGCTTGTAACGTTTGCGTCTCCGGGACTGTTTGGGATTTCCTTAGGTGTCAAACTTTGTTAAGTTACCTATATCATTGTGTGTTATCACCGTCATATCGATGTATCGGGGTGCCAAGTGTCAATGTCGATATTCATTCGCCGGCACATGTAAGAGTGGGCTATGTCGATAAATAATGTCCATATACGAGGCATTGAAATTTCCAAGTGCTTCGACGGCCTACAATAGGATAGCAGTATAGGAAAGAGAAGGTGAGGGAGTTTGCTTCAAATTATAGAAATAGGCAAAGTTAATGCATATAAATCTACCTAGGTATGTGGATAGTTACAAAATATTTGAAGATGCCGCGTAATACGACTAGGATCAGCCTAGGAGGACGCCAGACCGAGTGTACCTTAAAAGGCTTGTCATATGAAAACTGCCTCGCTGCGGCTTAACGGCTTGCGTCGACAATGCTACAGATGCGATGTTATCATGAAAATCGATGGCTAAGGTGGTTTCATACGAATAGGTATAGCGTAGTAACGTTTGATTGTCATAACAATGGAATGGAATGGAATGGATACAGTACGGTACGTAGTACATAGTAGTTACACTTATATGCGTATGCGGTTCTAGACTCTTGAGAATAAACCCCAAACCTTTCCATTCAGGTACCTAGCTGCCAGGTAGGTAAGCAGCTTATGTCGTGTGGTAGTAGTAACAGAAAGTATGTGAGATTTGGGGCAATTAGCGGCTTCAGGGTCCTGGAAATGACGACATGTATTGTATAATTGTTCTCTGTGGTGCAACACCGCGGCTGTAATGCACTTTAGAGGCAAAGCTACAAGCGCATTCCTTCGAGATTGATAATAACGTCAACCCTACCTAGAGTATTCTAGGTTTTTTAAGAACGGCGAGGTCCAAACCAACCTTTTAAACTTAACCTAAGGGATATGCGACATAATGTGGGCTACTTGGACATCGGTTGATTCCGGTCGTCACAAGTTCGATAAATTTAGATCGCTGGTTTCAGCCCTATGACCAGATATCGCAGTTCCGAGAGTTGGTTATAAGATGTACCATTTCATTTCACATGCCTACCTATCCTAAGTACATATATGTTCCATAGGTACGCAAGTGGAGGCTATTGCTGCTCTTCATCCTCTCGTGTCTTGTAGGGAAACTAGAAGGGGAGCTTGGCAGAGGATGAATGCGATACGGCACGGAAGACGTGGCAGCGTACCACTGGAAGTGCTGCCCGTTACAACTAACCGCATAGTACAATAGGTACTAAGCCCATGCGGATATCGCAGTGCCCGTACGTACGGTTTGGCCTCAGCGAGGAAGCTAATGCGCGAAGACGACTGTCTCAGGTAGTTAACTTATTAGTGTTACACATTTTTGACCGGCGAACCGAGAAATCTAATATATAATATTCACTGATAATAGATAATGAATATGTTGAGACAGTAAATTTGTGACTTACTTTAGGGGAGACAGGGTCTTGGATTGTTTACCGACTCTTTCGGAATTGGCTTGATGATACTGTAGTTGACGATTCACCCGAGGAGCGAGGGCACTTGGCAACATGTCTGAAGTATACCTCATTGCAACTCAGGACCCCGGGAGTATATAGAAATGTCTACCGAATTTGTAGTGAATTTGTATCCGAAGCGAAGCGCTGATCTTACTCTCTAACCACATGGATAGAGTGATTGGTCATTTGCCGAAACGCCAATAGTTGACATTTGGGTCGACACAGTGCTTTGCTTTCTTAAAGTGTGCACTAATTAAAAGTCATAGGTAATATATTTTACACGTGGGGAGATTGTGGGGTTTATCTCTAACTGTCGACTATAATTATTTTCCACATCTTTTCGAGTCGGAGTTGAATAGAAGCAGGTTAGTCGCAAATATAAAATTGATTAATACCTAGATCCATAGGTATTGAATAAATACATTCGATAAGCTTCCATTGGGATAAGAAAGTTAAAGTAGTTATGTAGCGTACATAGGCTAGGTACGTACGCCTCTGGAAACCAAACTTCAATTGGTGTTCTGGAGGATTGGATATCCGAGAAAAGGAACACACTGTGACAGGGTATATGAAAAGTCTAGGTTAGGTTAGGTACCTCTTTATGTCCTTAGGGTGTTTGGGTGTTTGATGCTTTACCCTTTGTCGGCTAATGGACTAGGTATAAGTACCTATACCTATATGCACGTAGATATTGTACCTAGGAGGTACGTATCGGATAGCGTTTTCGGCGTAGGTAATTTCTCGAGTCGTTCTTTCTCGCTGGATATAGCCTATTATATTACAGAAGATATTAAATATTTTACCAGGTATAACAATGGAGTATAACAATGAAAATTACTATGTACATATTTTCTACATAGTAAGTGGTGTTGCACAGCCCTCTTAAAAGCCTCGATGCTTAGATGTTACAACATAAGAGGTTGTGGCTTGGTTGTGATTGCGGTAGGCGGGTCCAATGTTTGTGGAGGAGGAGTACGGGTACCATACCTGACTCCAGAGAGGGGACCGACAGTTTTAAGGTTGCCGCATAGGTACGGTACCGTAGATTTTCACGGGTCCACCACCGGACCACGCTCTTACCGACCCTTGAAAAAAAAAAAAAAAAAGAAAGTGAACAGCTGGAGAACGGCCCCCATCACACATCAATTCAGCCCAGCCCACTTCTCAGGTAACCCCAAATATTCTTCCATCAAACAACATTTCATTCATTTCATTCATTTCATTCCCTTAGGTACATTCGCGCGTAGAATGGCAACGGTCATGGTCGTCTTGACTGGTTTCTGGCTTTGCAAACCTTTCCTTGTCACTACAACTCCTACTTCAACTATTAAATCTACAACTACGACTACGACTCCAAGTCTTGCTTAGCCTGTATCATTAATTATTACAGTTCCATTTCTTATATCCACCACCGGGCTTTTAACGTTGATTCCGGCTTCCACGCACTATTACGCCTTAATCCCACATAGTAAAGGTTTTATTTACGACACCAACGATCAACGGCTTGACGATTAAACTTCCCGACCCTTCTTCGATCTACCTATTTTGTCTTATACCCCATTTTACTAGATTAACTTAGACGGTTACCCTCACTTTATTTAGTGATAAAATAAAGTGAAAAAAAAAAAAGAAGAAAACTACACTTGGTGCATCGTCTAACCTAGTATCTTTTAAATTCCCCGAAGACGAACTTTATTGTGAGCTTTCGCTGAAACCGGGGCCTCTATGGATGCGAATTGTCTAATTCTAAACAATATAGAGTTCTAGTCTGCCGATGCTTATCCATGCGACAGCATCCCATCAGTCCATTCATTGATACCCAATATCTCCACTTTACGGTCGGCCGTTGCGCAACAACCTAGTTGCCGCAACTCAACATGTCCTTTCGAGACAACGACCAGCGCCGATATGGCCATATCCCTCCTGTGCAGTATCCCGTCGCGAACCAGTCTTCGCAAGACCCGTTGTCTTATCCGAACAGACGGACAAGCTTCAACAACGGCGATGACTCTGCTGGATTTACTTCTCCCGGAACTCGACCAAATTACCAGCCGACCTTGAATACGAATGTGGCAGGACTCCCTAGCCGCGACGAGCTGTTCCTAGCCAGCCCATCCGATTCTAACAGGTCCAACAATTATGGCAATTCGAACGTCGCTATGGCCGGATACCAGCACCAGTACCAGCCTCAATCACCACCTACACCATCGACGTATAACCCGCAAGCTTTTGCTCGATCCCATTCTACTTCGATACCATACCTCCCGCACCCCTCACACAGGTGGGCTCCACCAAATGCGACGCCTGCTCCCTACAGTCCTACGAGCGCAACGCCTAATAGCTTCACACCCGCTCCATACAATCCCGCCGCATATTCTGGCGGGACAGTACCTCAGCGCCAAGCGTCCTATGCTGGATATACTAATAACCACACCAACAATAGCAGCAACAGCAATCAATCTTATGGCTCGCCATCGGCGAACCAGTCACCCTACTTCCAATCCCAGCCTGTATATGCTGCTCCCACCCAGTCGAGACACTCATCCACTCCGCCGACCACCTACTCCGCAGGCTACGGGCAAACCCCCTATAGTTCGGCATACCCTTCTGCTACAAGCACAGCGGCTCCGACTCTCACAACCGGTTACGATTCAACGCAGGGACGTTATAATACAAATTATTCGAACGACAACACAAGTCCACATGCTACGTTTTATTCATCCGATTCGTCCACATCTTCCCAGACGCCGTATCCGACTTATTCGCAGATCCCCGTAGGCCCAAATTACTCCCCTAGTGATCCCCATTCATTTTTGAATCGTACATCTAGGTCAAATTCGGCAGCGTCGCCGCTCCCTTCACCTCCTGCTCATTCACAACCAACAGCTGGTTTAGCGCGGCACCCGACCAACGCGCCTTTACCTAGCCGGCCTGTTGACGATGCCGAAGAGCCATACCCGTCCAATGGCACACACGTTCCTGATTTATCGCAGGAATACATGACACAAAATAGTATCATGCAGGACATTGAAGCCGAGCTTGGAAGGAGGAATGGTTCGATACATGGTCGACCTACGGCTTTCGATCAGCGCAACGGTGCCTTGCCCGACAGTGACCTACAAAATCTCCGTCGATTTACGTCCAGCGCAAGTTACCATTCAACCGCCACCACGGTAGCGAACCAAGAAGAGTCGTCTGGGGTAAACCGTTACTCCTCCAATGCGTCAACTTTAAATAGGAATCACTCAACCAACCCATACGTTTATGAAGACTATGACGGAGATGAGAGTGATCCTGAGGGTGCTGCAGGGGCTTGGGCATTGCAACAAGCAGAAGAGGATGATCGTCGATTTAGTTCGATAGGCGGGACATTATCTTATTTTAACCCACCGGATACGCCCTCGCAACCTACTCTTCCCACCCATAAAGAGGAGCCAAGCAGCGATAGTGACTATGCTGGAATGGACTTGGGCCTTATGGGTGGAGGTTACGCAGGAAATCTTACGTATGACAACAATCTCGGGTCGCCGCCTGCGTCCGAAACGACCCTAGGAGATATGCAAGCTTTCCCGACCCCTCGCAGTAATCATACATCCCAGAGGAGTCGCGGGAGCAACAATCATCCAGTATTCGAGCAGGCCGAGGTGGATTACGAGGGTACTGGTGGCCTCCAAAAACCTGCTCCACACCGCTTGAGCTTCGATGAGGGTGAAGAGCGCGTTTCCCTCAATTCGAGGCAGAGTGATAGCGAATCTGCTCCCAAAGAAGACTATCCAGACATGTTCTACCACCCAGGCCTGTCGAACCGCCCCCTCCCGGCTATTCCTGCTAGCTCGGACAGCAGTTCTATGCTGTCTGTCCAGTCTCCTACCAAAGCTGTCTATCAACACAATTACTCTCTTAGTGTGGACTCGCCGCCCTATTCTGGACCTGATGCCCTGTATGGACAAAATGCGCAGCAACTTCAAGTTGAGAGGTCTATATCACTATCCAGCCACAAAACATCCCCACACGTCCAGCCACCGGGTAGGTCGAAGACTGATGCCACCGAGGAGCGTAACGCGCGGTTGAGACACGTGAGACAGCAACAGCAATTAGCAGCTCAACAAGGACTGCCGTATGAAGGTTACGAAACTGGGACGGCTTCATCGATAAATTACGACGTAATTACTCTCCCGAGCGGTCGGCGCCGAAATTTCCAGCCAGAAAAATTTACTGTAGTCGATGTCCGTTCTTGCACGGAGCCGTGGGCTTTGAGTGGTATTGCTAAATGGGTTCGCGAGATGGCTGAGGGTGAACCCGACTTAAAGAGGAAGACCCTCGAGGATGGTCTCGTTAGACTCTTCTGCCTTAAGGTCCCTACGATGAACGTTGCAGACGCCGAGACCCTGAGTACCCAGGTTACAGACTCGATGTTGGAAGCCGGTATCCTCGTCCCTGAGGAAGAATGGCTCAAGTTTGGGCCTGGTTCTATATCTGGCGTGTTATGGCAATTGACTGGTTCAGGTTGTTACGCGCCGAAGCTCCACAGATACGACAACGATACATCAGGACATGAAGTACAAACACGATGCTACTCGCATCATTGTACCAGAACGCTTAAGAAGGCCAATTTGGACGATCTTATGTCTAATGGCGTCAAGACAGTTGACTGGGTAACGTTCTATAACATGACGAAGGAGGGTACAGAAAGCAAGTCGAAGAAGGAGATTTCACGACAAAATGTGCTTCACGAAATCGTTACTTCAGAGGAAGTATACATGGATCGCCTGGATGTTCTTCGTGTCCTTTACCGGGACCGGCTCCTCCAATCTCAGCCAAGGATTATTGCCGAAAACAAGATTGAGAAATTCGTAAACGACGTTTTTGGCAAGGCCGACGCTGTTCAACAAGTCAACATGGATCACTTATTGGCACAGTTGAAGTACCGACAAAATGAGCAAGGTCCTTGGATCGTAGGCTTTAGCGACATCTTCAGAGAATGGGTTCGAAAAGCCAAAACGGCATATGTTGATTATGCTTCCGCCTTTCCCTATGCACGGTATCGAGTGAAGAAAGAGGCGGAGAAGAACTTCCTATTCAAACAGTTCCTCGAAGAAAACCGGGCCCATCCACGTTCACAACGTCTTGACTGGACCAGTTACTTGAAGGACCCTATTACGCGTCTACAAAGATATTCACTCCTCCTAGAGACGGTATTAAAGTATATGGTGCAAGAGAGTGAAGAAAAGTCGAATCTTAAGAGGGCCATCGAGGAAGTCAAAGCTATGACCCTCGAATGCGATGCAAAAGTGGACGAGATGCAGAAGAAAGTGACGATGATTGAGCTAGACCAGATGCTAGTTCTTCGACCAGGCTTTCATGCCGATCTCCATCTGGATCACCTAGAACTTATACTTCAGGGCGATCTTCAGAGGATGGGTTCGAAGGGTATGCGATGGGTAGACATGCACGCTTTGCTATTTGACCATTACTTGATCCTCGCCAAACTAGTCGTATCAAAAGATGGTAGGCAAGACAGGAAATACGATGTGTCAAAGGAGGTGAGTATTGTTTCACTAAGTATAATTAGCATTTGCTAATATCCTTTAGCCTATCCCTATGCCTTTGCTATTCCTCGAAAGCAGCCAAGACGATCCGGTCTGCAAGCAAAAAGGGATTACTGCTCCGTTGACCCGAGCAGCAAATCCGGCCCCTGATAACAAGCTTAATAAAGTAGCATCAAACGGTACCGAGCGGCCTGGCCTGGATCATACAGTCACGGCTTCCTCAATCGGCCCCCCAATCGTTACTAGGCTAGGAACCAGCAGCTCAGGAGATTACGAAGGAAAAATTCTTTTTCCCTTCCGTGTGAAGCATTTGGGGCATGAAGTATACACTTTGTTTGCTCCGTCGGCTCAGACTCGACAGGATTGGTGCGACAGGATTATTGAAGCGAAGACTCGCCACGCGAAGGCCCTCCACGCTCAAAATGCCGAACCATTCCGGTTACGTGTGATGGCCGACAGCGCTTTTGCTTACGACCCAATCGCAGCCATCGGCAAGTATGTCGGTGGTGTGCATATACGTGGAACTCCCCTTGATAGAGCCATTCGGGAGGTTGAAAAAATGTACGGATCCGGTCGTGGCCCGCCTCCCATCTCTCGAGCATCAGTTAATTGTGCGACTGGTTTCTCTGCCTTCGGTAAAAACATGGTTGCGGTTGGAACAGACGCTGGCGTGTGCGTATCTGAGGCTAGTGATCAACGGGGTTGGAATAAGGTAAAGTCTCTACTTGGCTCGCGTCTTATACTGTTGACTAACTATCTCCTTAGACGGTTACGGCTAACCGAGTCACGCAAATCGCCGTCCTCGAAGAATTTTCCGTTGTTCTTGTGTTATCTGACAGGAATCTTATTTCATATCCTCTGGACGTGGTATCACCCCCGTCTAATTTCCCCGTTCCGGCAAACGATAGCCACCGGCGGTCTCCCCAGAGGCTTGCGAAAGACGTATCGTTCTTCGCTACAGCCCGTATGAAGGACCGGATGCTGGTGTTCTACAAGAAAAAGGAAAGTCTTCATACCACTTTCAAAGTGCTCGAGCCCGTGTTCCAGAAAGCAACAGAAAAGAAATCCCGCCTCTTTGGCGGGTGCCGAAAGGCTGGTGTGGGTGTGACAGAGAGTTTCCGAGATTATGATGAGTTCTTTTTCCCTACCGAATGTTATTCGCTCAACATCTTCCACACATACATCGCTGTCTCAACGGCTAGGGGCTTCGAACTCTTAACTTTGGACAAGAAGATTCCTATGTCGATTCCTGATGTCAAGCAACCCGCTATTGCCGACATTGCTTACCGCATCAAGGAACAACGACCTCTGGGAATGTTCCGCCTAAACGATCAAGAGTTCCTCCTAGCATATGAAGACTGTGCCGTATACGTAGACAAGTATGGCGATGTCAGTCGTAGCGTCATTATGGAGTATTCAGGAAAGCAGAAGAAAGCAAGGGGTGCCACAATGTACGGGCAATACCTGATATTATTCAATGAGGATTACGTCGAGGTGCGTAATGCCGAGAACGGTCGGTTGCGCCAGATCATCGCCGGAAGGGATGTGAGAGTTCTGGATTATGGCGTTCGGGGACCAACCGGGGGTTCATCTAACGCAAATGGGTCAAGTCCGTTACCGAGCGGCGATAACGGGCTTGGATCGAGCGGTACAGTCAAGATTTGCATGGCGCATCCGGAGGTTGCAGGCCAGCAAATCGTTTTAGAGATGATACTCAACAACGGGCACTGAGAGATACCATGAGTCGCACGCTTTGGTTTAGGTACGACCGGCAGCGCAGGGGCAAACAATTTAGGGGTTGGTTGGTGTAAATGGCGGGGGGTTACATATTTGCTTATGTGGCAAGGCTACCCGCATGCGAATGTTTTTCTCAAATGGATATCCGGCCAAATCAACGGCCAACTTTCCTTTCCTTTTCCCAACTACTCAAAGACGGCCCAGGTGACGAGCTATGATGATAATAATTGGAGCGATGTATCGGATCCAATAGCATAGTAGCCGCTCATGGGTAAGGCTCTGTGCCATCTAGGGTATTTCAGCCGTTTTCGAGTTTTGCATTGTTCTATTTTTCTTCTACTTGCGGGATGATGGGTTGACCTGAACTACCCTTGGTAATAGGGTAATCCGTAGACATCGCTGTTACAATTCTATTATATACCCCCTTTTTATGGCATGTTATATTCGTATTGCAACGTATTTGCCTATGTTTTGGTTTTCGAATTTGTTCTGTTTGCGCTTAAGTTATTTCGCGAAGTTATATTAAATATATTTGGAAGTATAGACGAGACAATTCTCTACCTTCCCCCCATATCGTGTATTGCTTTCATGAACAAAATTGGCTTTTGAAATCTCTCTATGGAGCAACGTTAGCTCGAACATTTACTAGGAAATTGCAAAGTCTTCTTCACTACCTTAGAACCAACCAGCACAGTTGAGTTTATGCTAAAACGTGAAATGTCTCGTACACTCAAGACTGCGGTGAGTTGAGTTGAAGTTAAGTACCTACCTGTATGAATGAACATTGAATGAATGGCGATTAAGGGGTCACTCCCCGTATCTGAAACTAAACTCTTTGACTGCATTTAGCCTAACCTGTGCCCTTGGATCTTTTTATTATGAAGCATATATTGAAGGAATGTGCGTTGATAATGATGGACATATCCGTTTCCAAACTTTCCATATAACCAGGATAACAATTCCCTCCCTTATCGTACAGCTTGCTACCTAACCTTAGGTACCAGGTAACAAGTCCCCGTGCTCACCCCCCCTTACAATATCAACCCAACCCAACCCAACCCATCCCCCTTAGTTCCCCTCCCCACCCCAACGCACCCGTATACTCGTCGGCACAGGCGAATACGCGCTCTGATCAGGCGTCAAATACACCCTCAAGCCAGTCCACTCGTCGCCCCCTCCCTCCACAGCCCTCCGCCCAACCTGTCCCCTCCACTCCTTGAACTCGCGCCCCCCGCACTCGCCCCTCGGGCCCGGAGCCCGCCGCAACCCCGGCATTTCTCCCAGGAACGCTTTGAACGCGGCGGCGAGCGCCGTCCGCGTCAGCCCTTCCCCGAGACACTTGTGGTCGTGGGCGCCCCAGGGGAGATACGACGACACGGGGCGGTCGAGACGCAGGGTCTCCGGCGAGGGGAAGGCGTCGGCGTCGTGCGACGCCGTTACGAGGTCGATTATCGCGCGCTGGGCGGGGACCAGCGTGTATGTTCGGGCGGAGGAGGCGCGCGAAGAAGGTGGGTTGGGGATTGGGCTGGGTCCCGTGGGGCACGACGGGGACGGGAGGCAGGGGGTGTCATCTGTGATGTGTTGCGCGGGGCTGTTTGGGGGGACGGTGCGCGCGAGGACGACGGTGCCGCGGAGGCGGATGCCTTCTAGGAGGCTGGGCTTGTTAGTGTGTTTATATATCTGGATGGGTGGGTGGGTAGGGGGTGGAAAGAACGTACTAATGCATCAGCTTGTCGTCGGCCTCGGGCGTGTCCTCGCGGGCTAGGCGGTGCAGTTCAGGGAGGTGTTCACTCCCCGTTCCTAGAAAGTAATCTAGGCACTGCGAGAGCAGACCTGACATGATAGTAGCTCCGGCCGCACTACAGGGTCCAGTCAGTCGGTATCTATTCATCCAAAGGTAGTTCCCAGCTGTTAGGTTTAGCTCAGACACGACACGCAACTCACCAAATAGGCATAACAGTCCCCGCAACACACTCCTCAACCGTCTTACCCTTCTCCATCATTCGAGCAAGTAACTCTCGCCCATAATGCGGCAGCCCAGGCCACTCATCTCTCCCCGACGTCGTATCCGTATCCGTATCCGACTTGTCCTTCGCGGCAGCGGATGCGAAGCCCAGGCGCGCCGCCACGCCCGCCAACCAGCCGTTTGTCTTGGCGTCCGCTTCGGCCTCGAGGCGCACGAGCTGCTCCAGCCCCAGCGCGAGCTCGCGAGACACGGTGCGCAGCTTGAACGAGCTCGCCGGGTCGCCGTCGAAGAACACCGCCGCGAACATCGCCGACAGCAGCCCGTACAGCTCGTGCTCCGCGTACACCCCGTGCGGCGCCGTCTCCGCCGTCTTGATCGGCAGGCCGAAGAGCGCCGCCACGAAGCGCGTGTTCAGCGGGATGATGACGTCGCGAACGATATCGACTTCGAATTCCCTTTCCATTACCGTCGTCCCCAATTCCTTGTTCTTCTTCTTCTTCGAGTTTGTCGTCGTCGTCGTCGTAGCAGGAGGGCTAGGCGGTAACGCCCTGCCGGCCTTCCTGACCAGATTTCTCGCGGTCCGGTCGAAGAAGTGCTTGATCTCCGCTTCCCACTCCTGCGGCTGGTAGAGACACCGGGCGACGAGGTCCCGGTTCTGGCGGTTGGCGGCGCCGTCGCCGGCCAGGCAGAAGCTCTTCGCGAAGGTCTTGCCCGGCGGGCTGACGAGGTAGGATATCGCTTCGCCCCAGGGCACGTGGAAGTCCTTGCTGTTGCTGAGGATCTGGCTGACGGCTTTGTGGGACTTGATGACTACGGGGTCTATCTGTCTCGTCGGCTTCTCCCACTACAGTGATAGGCTTTAGTGTTAAATGTCTGGAAAGGGGTGTGATATAACTACCTAAGGTAGGTAGGTACCTAGGTGGGTAGAATAGAGAGCCCTTATGTGCTTATGAGGAGCCAGGGCTGGACAATGGGGTTGAAGGGAAAGTTCCTCTTACCGAATATAATTCAGATGTGCCCAGAGCGTCGTGTATGACCTTATTCTCCTCGGGTACGACGAAAGGGAAATGTGCGTGGATACTGTTGCGCGCGAAGTGGAATGGAAACGCGCGGAGTATCAGCTTGTGCATGACTTGCCCTTGGTCTACTTTCAAGTCGAAGTTGGCCTCGTTGTAACTAAAAGGCGTCTCTCTCAGCTTCACATCCTACTTACTATGTACGAGAAAACGCAAGGAAGAAAAAAAAGTGAAATGATATTGTACTTACCCCCAATTTGTCAAGTTCGCGGGCGTATAGTCGGTAGTATAGAAGCGGTCCCCGCGGACGAGTGCCACGGCATCAGAGAGGATGGCGCGGCTCGTCGTGACGTTGACGCAAAGGCCGCTGCCGGACATAGGCGGCTTGGGCTTTTCGGCGACGACTATTACGAGAAGTCAACCAGCCATAACTCATTTTTCGGTGAGGAACGCAAGAGATGGGGACAATAACGTACGCCCCGGATACAACTCAACGGCGTCAGGAGAGTCGTAAAGCGACATCAACTTCCCCGCGACCGCGGGGTCCGGGTTGATGTCCTCGAACGTATCGTGCTTCTTGAGCCCGAAATGCTGCCGGAACTCGTTGAGCGTAGCGACGTGCCACCCTCGCGCCTGGGCGATCCCCAGGATCTCGATTACCCTCAACGCAGTGGGGACTTGGTTTGCTCCGAACGCGCCGGCGACGTCCTCGACGGAAGCGACGAGGATGTCGACGAGGTCGTCGTCGGAGAAGGTGCCATCCTCGCCGCGCCGCAAGCCGGCGAAATCCCGCTCGTCCGGGTTGTTGGGGATGCCGCGGCGGGACCTCGCCAAGGCTTGGAGGACCTCGTCGACGCTTGCCCGGGCGGGGTCTGCGCCGTCGAGGATCTTGCGCAAGTCGTCGGTTACCCATTTCTCGTCGCGGGCCGACAGGGCGCTGTGCCATCTGTATATAAGATTGAACTCAACGGAGACCTGGTTGCCTGTGGCTTCTGGGGCGGGCGAGCGGTTGAATATGTTCTTCTTCTCATGCGTCCGCGGGTCAAGGTCCCATGTTGAGGTAGAGCGGTTGACGTTCAGTATTGTTCGAACGTAGTCCTTCAGGATGATGTTGACGTAGAGCCCGCATGTGATGAGGCGTCCTGTCTGGAAGAGGTCGTTGTCGTATTTTTCCCAGGCCTCCAAATTGCCGCTTTCAGTAGTCGTAGCAGCTGGCCTCGTGAAGCGGCCGCTCTCATTAATCCTGACAAATATTAGCATTCATGAGCCGATATAAAATGTTCAGTGTATTCCTTCTAGGTACGACCTTACACTGCCAGCTGAGTTACAACATAGTTATGAAATCGATTGAACATCTAAGGATACCTGTTAATACGACTTATTCACATTGGGACTAAGGACTACCTGCAATTAAAAATACTCCTACTCCTGGCGGAAATCCGAGGAGATTCCTTGACGAAAAACAGTCTGACTTAAGTAGCCCGTCTTTGAAAGTTCGCATTGCCTTTTGCTCTTCAGCATTGCGCCCATACAAAGGCGAAAGGTCGAGATACGACGAAGTCAGGTTGACATTCGGATCCCGCGAGTCCTTTTGCTTAACAGTCAGTTACTGGATCACAACAAGCAAGACTTAGGTACATGTAACTGTTGCACTCTGTTAACTCACAGTCTGGAATATATCATGGGTAATGATTGTAGCGAGGTAAAACAACACACTGGATATCTTGTTCGGATGCTCGCGGAACGATGTTTCATCTCTGGCCATGAGACTGTCGTAAATCAGACCCGGATCTGGTAGGTTAGGTCCCTGAAATACCTTAGCGGGAGTCGTCCGCGAGTAGCGCGTGTTGGCGGCTCCCATAGCGGGAACTCCAGCGTTGTTGTAGGAGCCATCTGCTGTACGGTAGCAAGTATCACCAGATGAAATCTGAGCTGGAGGATGCTCAAGCGAGTTCCAGAGTGTGTTGATGAAAGCATCGGTAGCTTGCTTGCCTTCCCGGGAATTTGGGGGTAGTTTGGCTAGTAGAGTTACGATACGCTCCTGCAAGAGCTTGTTGTCATCCTCTTCGCCAGAAACCGTGGCGTCCAAGACATCTTCCAGGGTCTTGTAGTCGTCGATACTTAAGTTTTGCAAGTCCCGAAGAAGGCCTGTCTCCTTAGATACGTCATCGTTCCCCGGTGTGAACTGATACTTTGGAAGAGGTCCAAGGGCTCTGGTGATAGCTTGGATGGCCTGAGCAAAGGGGGAAGACATGGCTTCTGTATTTGGAGAAGCTGCGTCGGGGGTGACCTCTATCTTAGAAGGACATATGAAGTCTCTAGCCCACTTATACGGGGAGAATCCACGAGGTGCTCGTTGGGGACCTATATTTCTCGACTTATTCAGCTCCATCCTAGTAGGCCTTGTTGACGCAGCTATCGTATGAAGTCGACATTGTCATGAAGAAGGCTCTTAGTTTACATTGTACCTAAACGGGCAGAGAGTTGTACACAGTGGAACTTGACATATCGTAAACTATTTACTATGTAAATCCAACACGGTGTACATGAAGGGGCCACAGAGCGGCTGGTCGTAAGTATAAAAACCATCAACTTAGGTACTCACAAATTGACTTGAGACATATAAAACGATAAAGTTACTTTGTGAACGCACATGGTATACCTACGGACATTATCTATACCTATGATATGATTGAAAATCAAAGCTGGAAAGCGTAACAAATTGTTTACTTATATGAGTTACATCCTTTTCATGTTATATAGCAAAAACAGCCTATAAAGACTCTATGGGGCTAAGTTCGGGACCGAAGATACCTACATGTGCAAAGCGCGCGCCAGATAGGAATTGCTATAATACAGCTAAAGAAGCCTTGGAAATGTATGCCCAATACGCACTTAGGTACCTATTCTAGGTATTTGAAGTATTTCTTCAATTAATCCCATTGGTATGGAATCGTACTGATCATATGGTTCGGGGCTCCAAGCCACGATCCTCTCTAATCATGCACTCATGCATACCCCAGTTGGGGAGTAATTATGAGTGGCTTTTTATAATCTCCTTGGCGGTTGTAAACATGACAAGGCCTGTTCAGCCTGCCTTGCCAATGTTAAGGTATCTGAGACATATACACGAAAATAGGCGCTGAAGGTACGCCGTTGCTAGATGATTCTAATTGGCCATGCCTGTCTTATGTCGATCTAGAACGCACGATCATTACGAATGACATAAGGTCCTATGAAGAAAATCGCCAAAGCATAAATCATACCCGAACCGGATTGTTTCACCGAGATAATAGGGGTTTTATCACTAGCATGTGGCTTGTCGTCCAAGTCCTAGGTACCTTTTCTTTAAAAACCTTTCTTCTAATGAGAACTATATTCGAAGTCGAATGCTTTTAAAGAGCCTATCAGATTATTGACAAGATATATAGCTCTAAATATATTATGTCCTCAACTGGCTACTATTTTTCATCATAATACCTCAAGTTCAATGTCTTCCTAGCTACTATCTACCTCTATGAAGAGGAACCTAACAGCGTGTACCTAGCCTTAGCCCGTCCAGTTACACGCAAGACAATTGAGAACTACGTGCGTAAGCGGATATGTCATTCGACCCCAGCTTCTACGTAAGATCAACATCGTGTTGCACAAAGTTCTACCTAGTCTTATGGTAACATTACGCCCTTGTGTAATTCTCTAGTTTGACTTTACCCAGATATAGAATGGATTGGCTGGCGCAGTGTTTGCTTAACACATGTGAGTCCTCTTATGCTACATAAAATACCTCTACCTACCTGGTAGGCATGTGTAAAGGTAACTGAAGTGGCATACGCAATTACTATGTTAACACTCCTTAAACAGGTACCTTAGGTTAGGTACCTATTCGAATTTTATTGTTTACCAAAATAGCACGACTCAAGGATTATTTTCAACAAATAACTCAAAATGTAACAATAAGACAATGTTATTACCTCTTCTGTCGTGCTGCGAGCTGACAAGGCGCATATGTCCTACCCAAGAGCCGACGACTGTTCGACGTAAACTATCATGAACTTGATGGATATAAATACAATACCAGGTAGGTAGTCGGGGTTTCACCCACCGCGCTTCCTCCTTAAGGGATCAGATAACTGATTGAATATTTTCATGTAGGTAACGGGCTTGACATATTGACTCAACCCATTTGCAATATCTAAAGGCCTAGGTAGCCTAGCTGTAATCTAGACGCTTATGAAAATTATAAAAATTATGATCACAGACACCAAACAAACAGACTTCATTCTAACTATACTCATTTATCTATGTTCTCGCGTCGCAGATTATAGCATGTTGACATATTCTTCTTGTTCTATAAACAATCGTATTACCTTCTCACGTGACAATGGCGACATACTGGATGAGCATTGCGAATATTATACCCATTCGTAATCGGTCAATGCGGATCCCTTATACCTACCCCTCCTAAAGGCGATTACTTATCCGGTTCAATTGGAGATGATATCGAGCTTCATAGTTACAATGTTTTTTTATAAGAAGACATGAGTGAGAAACGTAGAATCAAGTCTGTGGCTGTTGTTGGCGCAGGCGCTGCAGGTGTGTGAAGCTATCATGTTTGAGATTCTTGCATAAACACCTGCACTTTAATGTACCTAATATAAATGTTCTGCTCCGACTGACATATAATAGGGGCTATCTCGGCGGCGGCGTTGAAAGCCGAAAACTACTTTGAACGGATTTGGGTATTCGAGAGGCGGGAGACACCTGGGGGAACATGGTACCTCTCATGCCCCCCCCCTTTATGCCCGTCGCCAAAAATAATCGCACCCGCTTACATCTTGCAGGATCTACGACTCGGACCCGGAGCCTGCATTAGAGGTGCATCCGGGAAAGTTACCTCCCGAGGTCGATCCGCCGCTGGAGATCCCGAAGGACCTCCCGCAGACCACACCGCCTAACCAGCAAGAGCGGTTCTCAAAGACGCCCATCTACAACTCGTTAACGTGAGGAACTACGCTAAGCAGACCTACCTACCTGCCTAAAGTAAATCTTTCTAACAGGCTGGAAATTGCTAACGCCAAAAAAACCAAGAACAAACGTCCCCGACGTCGCCATGTGCTTCTCCGACCGGCGGTTCGCGTACGGCCCGTTCCCGCCGCACCACGTGCCGAAGCAGTACGTCGAGAGCTACTTCTCGGCGCACCGGACAGACTCGCTGCTCAGCCTGAACACTACCGTCGAGGACGTCACTAAGCTGAGACCGGATCCGGAAGACGTCCTCGGCCTCGAGAGGTGGAAATTGACCCTCCGGAGGTACGACCCGGCTCGCCGCGTCGACGTCTGGTGGGAGGAGGAGTTCGACGCTGTGATCCTCGCCAACGGGCATTACTCGGTTCCCTACGTATGTTTTTAAGTCCACTCACCCAGAGGCCTCTCCTACCTACCTAGGTACCGACTAACATCCTCCCCCCCAACCCCCCCAGACCCCGCCCGTCAAGGGCCTCGAAGCCTACATGCGCGCCTACCCGGGCCGCGTGTCGCACTCCAAGAGCTACCGCTCGCCGCTCGCCTTCGCGGGGAAGCGCGTGCTCGTCGTCGGCAACTCCGCCTCCGGCCACGACCTGACGGCCGAGCTCGCCGCCCCGGGCTCCGGCGTCCGCCTCCCCGTCTTCCAGTCCCGCCGCTCCAAGTCCCGCTGGGACGGCCCCCACCCGCCCCCGGGCATAGTCTGGAAGCCTGTGATTAGCGAGTTCGATCCAGCTGTTCCTTCTTCTTCTTCGGACGGGGATGATGGCAGTAGTAGTAGGAGTGGTGGTGGTGGTGGTGGGAGTATCTTGTTTGCAGATGGGACCAGGCTCGAGGACGTAGACGCCGTGATCTACGCGACGGGGTACAAGCCTTCTTTTCCGTTCTGGAACGCGGCTGAGAACGGCAATAGCGACGACGACGACGACGGTAGTAATGTGTCTGCTACGCCGCTGTGGGATTACCACCAGGACAAGCTCGCGGGGAACTACTGGCACACGTTTTTCCGGGCGCACCCGACGCTGGGGATCGTGGGGATCCCGCGCGCGCTCACGTTCCGCAGCTTCGAGTACCAGGCGGTAGCGCTGGCGCGGGTGTTCTCGGGGCGGAACGCCGCGGCGCTCCCGTCGGGAGAGGAGCAGGCGCGCTGGGAGCGGGAGAGGCTGGAGGTCACGCGGCGGGAGGGCAGGAGGTTCCACGATATCAACTGGGAGAATGGGGAGACGGCCGAGTGGTTCGAGGGCTTGTTCCGCATCGCGGGGCTGAGCACGCTGAAGGGCGAGGGCAGGATACCGCCGCCGCTGACGGAGGAGGTCGTCTGGGCTGTTGAGCATTTGAGGAAGTATCCGGAGCCGGAGCCGGGGAAGGGGAAGGATGGGGATGGAGATGGAGATAAGGATAAAGGGAGAGATAAGGCAGGAGAGGAGACTGGTACAGTTGTAGAGGTTAAAAGTGCACAGATGAATACTCAGGATGATGGTTGGGTGTTGGTCAGCAGGCGGCATAAAGATTTACTAGGATTCCTGTAGATAAAACTGACGAGTTTGGGAAACTGGGTACATACGTGGTTCGCCGGGGTTATGAGGTTATATTAGGTATGTTAGCAGAACTGTCACCGTAAGATTGGGATAAAGATACTTGATATTAGATATAGATTGAATAAGAGGCTCAAATAAAAGCTTTCATATTAAGTGTTCAATTTGCTGCGCTGATATTCCGTGAACATTCTCGAAACAAACAATTCAACGCCGCCGTATCCGTCATATACAACCCAAATTACTATCCCGAAATGGTGATCCTGTGAAGGAATGTCCTCATATACTCTTAACCCACCCTAACAACGCCGTTCTGCTAAATCCAAAAGAAATAATTACCTTCGCCCTGGCTTAACTCAGGTTGCGCCCATCCGGATTAAACACGTCATTCCGCCAACCACCCGCCTCAAACTGCTCAATACGGTCTCCCGCTCGAGAAGCCTCCTCGTGCCATAGCTTAACGAGGCTCCCTGGCGCATACACCCCCTTAAAGACTCCACGGCCCGGCTGGTCCACACCTAATCTAGTACTAAGATCAGGATCCTCTTCAGGCACCAGCCTCGCCGCGACAGCCTTAATGAAAGTCCACAGATCCTTCGGATCGATGATCCTCGTCGCGCGCAGACGCTCCCGAGCGAACAGCAGCTCGCGGTTCGCAGCGTGTAGCATATCGCTGATAGACTTAGCGAGCTTGGCTTCCAACGTCGACTTAAGGATAGGGCGGAGCATTGGCTTGATGAGCCAGCTAAACCAAGACAACTTGCCCTTGTGGATCTTGTAGTTCAATTTGTGCACCCTTACCCGCACGCCGCGCAGCGTTAGGATCTGTTCTAGGCGCTCGCGACATATCTCGACTTCGATATGGATGTCGATACCGCGCTCGTCTAGCGCAAAGCTTGCGATACCCTTGTCGGCTAGACGAAACAACCCGCTGTGAAGGCGGAGCCAGAAACCGACGTCGTCCGCACGTGCTGAGAGGCCGTCTATCTTGATGAGCATAAGATTCTTCATGCTGGCATTAGTTCTGAAACGGGCTTTGCGAATTTCAACATCGTTATATGTCTCGATCCTTAACTTGTGCGGGAGGAACGATGTATTGTTCACTGTGCTCCCGGGCTCGATAATGAGGTTTTCCAGCAAGAGGTCAAGTGTTGGTGTACTGACTTCGAGGCGTGGGATGGGCACATGCTGAACGGCACTGATGAGTCGTGGGATGAAAACGTTCAGGGCGTCATGGATTAATTCGGTATTTGTGGTTGAGTCGCTAGGAGAAAGAACATCAAAGATACGAAGAGTGGTGGTTTTTAGATTCTGGATATCTTCGTCTTTTGCCACACTCTGGAACGTGACAGATAGCTGTTCTATGAGTTTATCGAGATCTAGTTTCAGATTACTTTCCAATCCGACATACTTGCTCTTTTTTCTTAACTCTCGGAGTTTCTCGTTTACGTTGGTTAAGAATTCCGGGTCCAGAAGAAGCTTTTGTAAGCTATCGCCAAGGTCTTGTAACAAATCCTCAAACTCGGGATCATTATCCTTATGGCTCATCACCTTCTTCAAAAGCTGCTCGCACTTTTCCCACTCCTTCCTATCACCAAAGCTCTTTACGAACTCCCAAAGATTGGAAAGGGCGCGATCGGTCTCCCGGTTTTCCTGGACGTCATCTTGGGCAACGTCGAGTAGTTCCTCAGCAGCTCTCGAGTAGACTATAGCGTAGCGTTTGATGAGTAGCGAAAGTGTTGACACGGACTGTGTATAGTCTTGACGTTTGCGGAGGTTGAGGACCACACGCTGTAAACGCTTTAGGAGTGCTTGACCCTCTTCACCGGAGAGCTTATCTTTGGCACTTTCGACGGTAGCGGTTACGACTTCGGCGCTCTGATTCGCAACAATCTTACCGGCATCTTCGAATTCATTCTCTAGATCTTGGGCGGTCTGCGGCTGACCGTCAGTAGTAGTTGTTGACTCGGCTATGCTCTGCAGTTCCTCGTGCGAAGGCTCCAACTGCTTGCCTGCTTCTTTAGCAGCACTACTCAAGGCGAAGGCTGAGTCCCTCAAGACCTCGCGGCCGATTACGTTTAGATCGTGGAGAAAGGCACTAAAATCGGGGTTCGTGAGCAGCAACGACCCAACCGTGCGCACACTCTGGTACGCAGCAGCAATATCGGCTTTGGTTTTGGTTTTCTTGGCCCTCGCACTGAGATCATCCACATCGACTGATATTCGGCTTTTTCTGAAGAACCAGATAATATCTTGAAGTTGATCCTTGCCGTTTTTATGTTGGAGCAGGGTGATGAATTGCTGCAGCCATAGCTTTATTAGGCGCACCAAGCGACGACCGCTGTGGGACAGGTCTGGATTTTCGGGATTCAATATGTCGCTTTCCAGTAGAGTACGCAGGTTAGCAATGATCTGTTCAGTAGTTGGCATGTATCCTTCGCTCAGAGCTTTGATCATCTGATAGCTATGGAGCTTTTGATACAGCTCCCGCTGTAAGTGAGTGTCCTGCTCATATTGAGGGAGCAGTGGTTCTCGCTCGGGGTCAGAGTCCTTCTTTCGAAGTCCAAAACAAGAAGACAGCATTGTGTTTAGCTAAACTTGATCATGCTCCTATGAAGAATAGTCCTCCTTTTCCCTTTTCCCTTTTCCCTTTTCCTTTTTGCTGGTGGAAAAAAAAAGGTTGTAATCCATTGGTGGTGACTTTTTGGAAGCAAGTTAGTCTTGACGAATGAATGACGTATACGTAAGAGAAGAGGAGAAGAAGAACCGAGTTTAAATTGCTACCAGAGCCAAAATTAAACCGGGCTTTTCCCGATTGTACAATACAATTGGAATGCATGCCAAGCCGGATATTACTTGATTAGGGTACATGCATGTGTAGTGCAAACGCTAATTTGAAGCTTAATTTTTGTTTCTCTTTTCCCTTCAGTGATGAAATATCCATTTCAACCAGGGACCTACATACTAGTAGAGAAACCAAGTGGATCGCATCAAGCTATATTATATACAGACTAACCAGACTTATAACAAAAATGTCAAAACCAACGCTTCATGTTCGAAATGGGAAAGGTTTACGAGGTAGGTATAAATACCTAACCTAAAGCATCCTTAATCTTGTTAGATATTCTACTACCGTACCAGGTAATACCTACCTTTTAATAGGTAAGGCCGTAAGGAACATGCCCGTAATCTCAAACATTCGTGGCAGTGCACTCCCGTTCTAACATCGACGGGAATTATATTCAGGGAAGCAGGAAGATGCTACGCAATCCGGGTAGTAGCCGACTTTGTGACTCTACAAACTCTACAGCTAGACACATGCATTAGGTGGGATGGGATGTCAGCGCTGGCTGGCCGCGAGTTAGACCCCAAAGTTGTTTGTCTCGCAGGATCTATACAGAGGTATGGCAACGTGCTCGCCAGCCCGCGGGCCCCGACGGGTCGTCCACAGGTGCGACTATACCGATCAACTCAGAAGGGTATACGCCGTGAGACAGCATATCGTCACACATAGCTAAAAGCTGAAGAACATGGAAAGCCTGTGTAGACAGAATTTCTATTCTAGGTCCTATCTCGCAGGAACAACCCCCTAAAACTCGAGAGGAATTATATCGAGATCTGTATTTTAGTTCATAAACAAGAAAGAAGTGCTTACTTGGGTAGAAAAGACTCCCTAATCCACACTCTCTTCTCACGATAGGCTCGATAGCGAGGAACCATCTCGACTAGGAAATTTTCTTGACCCACAGCCTTAACCTCGCATTCGCCTTTTATTTGACATTTTATGGCTACCTGAGACTTATCGTGACTAGACACGCCTTTAAAAGCAGGTCCGCCCCCCTCCCCCCTTTTAGGCCGAGCCGCATAGGAAGTAGGTCCGCGGTCTCGCCATCCCGTCTCGTAGTCTTTAAGTAGCACATTTTTCTTCTGTTAGGGGAGATGTTTCACTCGTTTTGATTACATACCGATATACCTGATCTTCTTTTACTATAGAGTTCTTTTGCGTCGTCTACTTACCTAGGTATCTTGTAATATCTAACCTACTTGCTTACTTGTTTGTCTTGTCTCGACTCGACTCGACTCGAATCCCCATTTTCCGCAACAATGAGCGACCAAGCCGGGTCGTCCGCCGGCGGCGACGAGCTCGCCAACCTCGCCATCTCCTTCGAGGACTGCACGCCGGAAATATGTCCCTACGACCAGTCCTTCTACCCGTACCGCATCGACCTGGTGCCCAACGCCGTCTTCCTGGCGTTATTCGGCGTCTCCCTCCTAGGCTTCCTCGCCGTTTTCGCCTTCACCCGGCGCGGCGGCGTGTTTACCATAGCTATGGTCCTCGGCCTTATCTGCGAGATATTGGGCTACGCCGGCAGGATCATGAGCTGGCAGGACCAGTGGTCTGAGAACGGCTTTCTGATGCAGATCTGCGTATGTGACAGACACATAATCCTTTTCTCTTCTTCTTCTTCTTCTTCTTCTTGTTGTTGGCCTTGGATTAAGAGAAAACTCCGTATAAATCTCGATAGTGAGGAGTGTATAGAGGGCGATTTACTAACTCGTACCATATCATTGCAGTGCTTAACCATCGCTCCGGCTTTCCTCGCCGCCGGCATTTACCTCTGCATCCGGAGGATAGTGTTCGCCTTCGGCCCCGAGAACTCGCGGATTCCGCCCGAGTACTACACTCGCATCGTAAGTTACCTAACCTAACCTAACCTAACCTATCGTACCTCTTCCCCCTTTTTCACCGCAGCGAGAACTTAAAGGGGGGGAAGGGGGTTATAAAATACGTAACTATAAAATCGAATTCGACTGTTGACACTATTTATTACATCGCAGTTCATCCCCTGCGACGTCATCTCTCTAGTCCTGCAAGCCGGTGGCGGCGGCCTGGCCTCCTCGGCCTTCCACACGGGAGGATCCCCCGACACGGGGGACCACATCATGATCGCGGGCCTAGCCTTCCAAGTGTTCATGCTCCTCGTATTCATGCTGCTCTCCCTCGACTTCCTAGCCAACACGCTCCGGCGGCGGCGGGCCCTCGGTTCCGCCGCCACCGCGCTGGACCAGGACCCGTCGCTGGCCGCGATGCGGCGGTCGCGGCTGTTCAAGGCGTTCCCGGCGGCCCTCGCGCTCAGCACCGTGTGCGTGTTCTGGCGCAGCGTGTACCGCGTGGCCGAGCTGAGCGGCGGGTGGACGGGGTCGCTCATGGCGCGCCAGGACCTGTTCGTCGGCTTTGAGGGCGTCATGATTACCGTCGCCGCCTTGGTCCTGAATATCTTCCACCCGAGCCTGTGCTTCGGCGAGGTTATGGACCGCACGTTTGACGCTAGCAACGGTGATTCCCGCAAGAAGGCCCGTCGGAACGACTTCGAGATGCTTCCTGAAGCCAAGCCTAGCACTGCCACGAGTGTTACCGATGCTCGTGGTACCAGTCCGAATACGAGCGATGTTGAGCGTGAGGTTTGAGAAAACGGGCTAATAACTGACTGATGTTAGATAGACTTTAAACCTTACCGCGTTCGATAGACTGACTGGTAGGCACAGGAGCTAGTTGGATATCCCCTTTTCTTGCTCATCTATGAGGTGTTCTAGATTCTTCTATTCTACATAACTTTTTAGAGCCTAAGGCGAGCAATAGCTGGTTCTTAGTTACCCTATTTTTATAGAACTATAGTTGGGAATAGTAGATTTTATATAATTAATCAAATATAAATCGCGTATACGAAGGTTATAGAAAGGCAACAAAAATTATCATGTAATTTTATCAGACGATGAAGCTCTCGGGTCAAGAGATATTGTATGCATTCACTGAGCTATTCAGCTATTTTCCTAGCATAAACTGCAAATACTTCCCGAACATGGCCCCGCCAGTTTTTTTCGTGGCTGTCCTCTGTGAGGAACATGGACCGCATTTGGATAAATAGTAAATGCATGTGCCCTGCCCCCTCTTTTTTGAATAATCAGTCGACTCCTATTGCTATGCCGCGAGCAGTGACTTAGATCTTCTGCTTTAATTAATCTTTTTTTCTTTCGATCATAAGCCGACCGCGTGGCCCTAAGTCCGTCTCTTGAAGCTAATCAATCCACAGACACTTCTGTCTGGTAGATGTCATATTTCCAGCGTACCAACCCCCGACCAGAAAGATCGAGGGAATTGTCAAGCCCAAAAACATGTGCCCAGCCTCAAAATGTTGCTGGCTACCCTACCACAAGGATAGATACTGCCATGGCGTCTCTCACGGAGATAAAATAAGTAGGCTGAAATAGTCATGGAAGATCATGATCTGCCTAGCTAATGTAACACAATAAAGTCGAAGAAATAGGAATAAAGGATTAAGTACGAAGTCTACAGGGGTTGGTAGATTGTGCGTTTGCTGCGTAAGTAAACTACGGGGTTGCTTAACTGCTGCCAGCGTCGAGCGGCAAGATTTTGGACTTGTCCTCGAGGAACTCTTGTCTGTGCTTAACAATGGCCTTCGTAATGCGATCGAAGTCTTTGACTTTGTTGGCCTTCAGTTCGTTAAGAACCTTTTTCAGGCCTTCAATGAATCTGTTTCTTGTTTCACCGGTGAACATATCCGCGGAGCCGAGTTGTGTAATAATCTCGGCATCTAAACCGAAGTACCATGAAGTCAGTTATCCAAAGGGGGGGATGTTTCGTAGACGGGGCCTAGGTGTTTAGGAATGCTAATTCAAAAGCAACTCACCAGGAAGTACCATATTCTCAAAGTGCTGGAACTCGCAAGCATTACCGTTGGGACACTGCTCTCCAGCTAGCACATGCGGGCACAATGGCCGCATGGGGTCTATCTTGGAACTATAAGTCATTGACTTCAGGCCGCCAGCTACTTCGTCGAAGTACTTGGGGTGAAATCTATATGCACGAAAATATCCAAGAGGACTGTGATAAAGCAGATCCTCTAATTGGGCTGACTTTTCAGGCTCGTCCTGGCTAGAAGTCAGTAAGGGGTGCTCATAAGAAGAGTTGTTCTGTACTTCTCCATTTGTCTTTTCAGGTGTGGACAAAACCGATCCCTCGCCGGGTTGGGCAGGACCAGCCTCGTCAAGCACATCGCAGCTGAGTTGCTTATCAGTGTGTAGATTACTTTCTTCTTGGGACGAGAGTGCTTGCTCAGTAGCATTTTGAGGTCTTGAGGTATCGCTAGTAGGGGAATTCGGTATAGATTGTGGTTGGTAGGATCCATCATTGCTTGGAGAGCGCTCCTGGAAGCGTTGTTCGGACCCATCTAGCTTAGACAGGTCTTGTGCGTCAACCTGGACATCTGAAACGTCGATAACTGTGCTAGGGATAGGTTTGGTCTCCTCAACAGATGTAGTCATAGAATCATTTTGTTGTACTCCATTAATGCTAACCTCAGCCTGAGTTTCTTTGTCGACCGGAGCGGGGTCCCGAGATGATTCAATAGCAGCCACGAGGATCTCATTATGAGTGGAAGTAGACCGAGTCGGATCTATACCAAGGTTGGCGTCATTTAGATCGACAACCTGGTCGGGTTGAGTTATATCTCCTTCGGTCATAGAAACGTCTGTCATTTCCTCAGAATTTGTCTGCTGCTCGCTAGAAGGCTGTGACTCGACATGACTTGGTTGTGGGGTGGCAGTTTCTGGAAATGTGCACGTTAGTATATTAGAGAACAAAACACAATGTGATGCTTGATGTTGCAATTAGACTCACCAGGAGAGACATGCTCGTTTTCTGTACTCGCTCCGATAGGTATAGGCTCGGCAGCATGTGCCAACCTCTCCGCTTCCTCGGCTAGTCTGCGTCGTTGCTCCATGCTCGCCTTGATTTCGAGCTCAAGCTGGGCTGCTTTCGCAACAGCTTCTTTTAACCTATCTTGTTTTTCTTTCAGGGTAGCTTCCACGGTTGGCAGTTCGTAGCTCACGATCCTATCGCGTCTCTTCACGTCGGCCGTCTCAACTCTTGTTTGTACCGGGGGCGTCTCGGAAACTCTAGGAGTTCTAGTCGATTCTATTACTGAAGGCTGAGTTTGAGGTGATTGAGGAGCATTAGTCTTCTTTGCCGCCTTTTTTGCTTCGGCTTCAGCAATTAATCGCTTCGTCTCTTCGATTCGTTTATGCAATAAATCCAATTTAGCTCCGTGCACAGGCGGTGTTGGTCCAGTGCTGGAGCTGGGACTTGAACGCTGCTTTCGATTTAGAGAATCAGACAGCGGCGGAAAGGCGGCCAGGGGAGTCTGTCGAGGAGGATGAATTATTTCACCAGACGAGTTGGGCTCATCAGTAGGCGATGCAATATCCATCTCAACATCTTCATCGTCACTAACGTCAATGATCAAAGTTTGCTGAGTGCGGGTCCGTTTGAGTGTATGAGGAGGAGTAGAATAATTATCAAAGTCCGCTGCTACTGGTCGCTTCAGGTTGCGGTTGATCGCATGTGCTGGTTGAGTGGCCAGAAACAGACCGGGGATACCTCCTTCCCTCGGTAAGCTCGTCTCCGTAGATGCAGAGCGCCGATTTATTTCTGAGGTGGTTATCGCGCCGGCTTTCGTATTTGTGGACGATTCTGTATTCTTTGATACGGAAATCGTAGTCGGATTACTCGCGGGAACAGATGAAGGTGTCGTGGGTTTAGCTGCATTTTCAGCAGCCAGCTTTTCGGCCAAGGCTTTCTCCTGCGCTTTCTTCAACATGGCGAGCTTTTGATGGAGGAGTGCGTTAGTCTCAGCTCGTGTCTTTGATTTCGCCGGTGAAGCGTTCGTAGAAGGTACGACACCTGCATTGGTCGAGTTTGCCTGAGGGGGTGGCGTTGGTGCAGACGGCTGGACTGCGCTTGCGGTTTTCTGCGCCTTCGCCGCTAATTTCCGAGCAATTTTGTCTTTCCGTTCCTCAGCGGCAGTCTTTTTAGTTGGCTTGATGTCATTGCTATCTACCGTAGCCTCGACCGTTGCAGCTGGCTTTGGCTTTGATGTAGCTAAGGGTTTGTCCTTGGCATTCTGTGATTCGGGTGCGGCGTTAGAGGATGCAGCTGGAGCCTGTTGCTCACTCTTAGTCTTTTGGGCTGCAGCGGGTTTTGGTATTGAAGCTTCCAGGCCCAAATCCGTAAATAGGCCCTTGATAAGTTTCTCATCAAATCCTTCCTCAATGTAATCTTGATATCGGACCTTTAAGGGCCACAGGCCAAGAATCGCCTCTTGTGCCTTCTTTTTTGCTTCGGCTACAGAAAGGAAAGGTCGGACTGCGGTGTCTTGTACCGAGTTAGAAGACGTCCCATTTGACAATGGTGCGTCAACTGATGGCTGCTGTGGGTATACCATATTTATCCCTGGCAAAGATTGTACTGGGTTTTGAGTGGGTTGTGCTTCTAGTGGCCGTTAGATATAGAAGAGAACTAATATAGATATGCAGTGCAACTTACGCTTAATTCCATAATAGGCGGGTTTGCTCACTGATACCCTACGTTGGATCTCTCTAGGAGATAGGTAGGGAGAGTACGAACCAGACCTCTCGCGTTCTTGGTAGGAGGGATCCCAGTCTTCGCCTGGTGAATATTCGCGTTCAGCATTAGGAAACGACGTGGATGTGCTAGTAATGACAGCTTCGCCTCGAGGGGTTGTACCGTCATATATGGATGACCCGTCTGCGTCGCCAACGCTTCCATTCTCATTCCCCATCGCACTAGGAGGTCGAGAAGGTTGGGGGATTGGTGCGGCGACATCGGTGGTATCCTTAGGCTCGTACAGATCTTCAAATTCGCCCTCGCTGAGTTCTCCCTCTTCCGGGGTATGCTTTTGTGCTTGGGATGGCACAGGTAAATCTCGTTTCTCCATGGGGCCTTTCTGGACATTAGACTGCTTAGCCGTAGAGATAGGGTAGTTAAATGTCGCTTGTGTGGGAAGCTGATGTAGCGCGGGTTGTGGCTGAGGTTGCCAGATATTAATATTTTCGGTCCGATATGGCGTAGGTGGTAAAGAGCTGCCCATCCCTAGGCCGGGTATACTGCTCGCGTTGTATTGGAAGGAATTATGGGCGGTTGCGTAGTTGCTCGCGGCGGCGGCTGGCTGTTGGAAAGCCCCATAGTAAGGTGGTTGAGCATTTGGGGAAGGAAGTGGCTGTTGGGCAAATGGCGGAAGAGGCTGCGAATGAGGTTGCGAATGAGATTGTTGGGCCTGATATGGGCCGTACCTATAAGGATGCTCTGACATCGTGAACAAAATCGACGCGATGCATTCGGAAGCCCGTTCCTAACGTTTAAGCAGCAGTTCTGTGTACTAGCTAAAGACAAGACGATGGTCCGGGTAGGGGATAGCTAGTCGCATAAGAGTCGCGTGTATGTATAAGATGATGATGTTTGTACTGGTCAATTAGTTTTACGGAATAAAAACAGACGAAGGTGCCGGATGGAAAGTCTGATTGACATGGCAAAGGGACTTCGACGCGTCTCCTTCAAAGCGACAGATTGATCGGCGGCGACGAGCAATAAATGAATTTGAGGATGGCAAAAAAGCCTGAGCGGCAAGAATTTCGGGTGACCGAAATCAAAGACGACCTATTGCCAAAAAAGAGAATTTCTTTCACTGGATGCGAAAGGAATAAGTTAGGTAGCTTGGAATTGTACTTGGATCGTAGTACTTCCTAGGAGGTAAGTAGGTATGAGAAAGAAGTATTTGATGAATTTCATCAGATTATTGTTCTCGTTGGTTTGAACATTAGAAATAAGGTTCTTAAGATATGGCCCAAGCGCCCTATGATGCCTTAGGTAATCCACAACCAAAAATACCAGTTAAGTACAACCTATTATGTACATGATGATAGGTACCTTAGGTACGTATCACATGTACCTAATTCAGGTATCCATGTACCTTAGGTACCCAAACCCCCACCATGGACAGACCGGGTAGACAGCAGACAAGCCAGCACATTACCTACAGGTAGGTTAGGTACCTATGCGCGGAGATACACCTAAAAACCAAGTCTACCCAAGTCCAAAGGCGGCTGTTTACTTTCCACAACCCCCCGTTGCCATGTGCATCTGCAATGTCAACAATCACCTTCCGTCATTTTGTACCACTATCACTGTCTCAACGACAACACCCGCATAGGAACTGGTTTTTCGGGGGAAATTTGCCTCTAGTCATTACTTTGGAGGCTTGGATTTTAAATTGGTTTCTTTCGTTCAATACCAATAGTTGTTTTACCCAAAAATCCATCTTTCCTTAGGTATCTATTCTATGGCATCGTGTCTTATAATACCCATCTCCGCAATTCACATAGCAACGTTTTAAATAACGGCTACACACGATAACTACCAGATTTCTGATTAATGACGTTGAGATTGAGCGAGCCAATGATACCTTGGAGCCTTTATTTTTACATTGAATGCGCTCGAAATGTCGCTACGCAATAATCCTTTTATTCGGAAGAACTCACCTTCGCCGTCACCGTCGCCGGGTCCGAGCAGTGTGGGCAGACCGAAGTCTGCTATATTCCCCTCCCAGACAAATGCTCTAACGAGAACAGCAACACCACCCACGCACAATCGCACGCAGTCTCAGGCAACGATAGCTGCTGCCAATCTCCTGCCTGTTGGCACAAATGGCCCTCGGCCGCACCGGGTCGATTCCAAAAGTAGCGGACCAAACTCAACAACATTTGCACCATCTTTTATCAAAGCTGAGGAAGACCGCCGGAGGAGCTTGGACCCTGTGAAAGGCATCGAGGGCGAAAATGACTTTTCTGGCAAGAGATATGTCTGGCTTAAGGACCCACAAGCTGCCTTCGTTAAAGGCTGGATAGTCGAAGACCTTGGAGAGAGTCGTATATTGGTACAATGTGATGATGGCAGCGTAGGTCCCTCTATCCTACAATAATTACTGTTTGCTATACTAATCTGCCTTGTAGCAACGCGAAGTTGAAAGTGAAAGTGTGGATAAAGTCAACCCGGCCAAGTTTGACAAGGCGAACGATATGGCAGAGCTGACGCATCTGAACGAAGCATCTGTTGTCCACAACCTTCACATGAGATACCAAGCCGACTTAATATACACTTACTCAGGATTGTTCTTAGTTACGGTCAACCCTTATTGTCCTTTACCGATATATACGAACGAGTATGTCAACAGGTACAAGGGCCGAAGCCGAGATGATACGAAACCACACATTTTTGCCATGGCTGATGAAGCCTTCCGTAACTTGGTAGGGGAAGGTGAAAATCAGAGTATATTGGTCACCGGTGAATCTGGCGCGGGAAAAACCGAGAATACGAAAAAGGTAATCCAATATCTCGCTGCAGTGGCTCACTCAGAATCCCCGTCGAAGGGTAGAGGACAACATTCTACTCTTTCCCAGCAGATATTACGGGCCAATCCCATACTCGAAGCTTTCGGTAATGCGCAAACCGTTCGAAACAACAACTCCTCTCGATTTGGGAAATTTATTCGTATCGAGTTTACTCGGAACGGAGCTATCGCCGGCGCATTTATTGATTGGTATCTGTTGGAAAAATCGAGGGTCGTCCGCGTCAATCCCCAAGAGCGAAACTACCACATTTTCTATCAGCTCTTAACGGGTGCCGACAAGCAACTGAGGCAGGAGTTCTTGCTTGACGAATTTGAAGTACGAGATTTCGCTTACACCCGTGAGGGTCATGATACTATATCTGGCGTGTCTGATATCGATGAATGGGAGTCACTTCTCGAGGCATTTGACGTGATGGGCTTCTCCGATAACGAGCAGAAATCCATCTTGCGCACCGTTGCTGCGGTCTTACACCTCGGCAATATAACTGTTGTGAAGGAAAGCCGCATGGCTGACCAAGCCCGCCTTGCCCCAGATGCTAAGGAGGTAGCAGCTAGAGTGTGTAAGCTTTTAGGGATCTCCTTGGAACCATTCCTACAAGGGCTACTTCATCCCAAGGTCAAGGCAGGCCGTGAGTGGGTAGAGAAGGTTCAGACCCCGGAACAAGTACGACTTGGCATCGATGCCCTAGCAAAAGGTATATACGAGCGTGGCTTTGGGGACCTTGTTACAAGCATTAATCGTCAGTTCGACCGCACCGGACTCGGAATTGACGATTCTCACTTCATTGGCGTACTTGATATTGCCGGATTCGAGATTTTCGAAGAGAATAGCTTCGAACAACTCTGCATCAATTACACCAACGAAAAGCTTCAGCAATTCTTCAACCATCATATGTTTGTCCTAGAACAAGAAGAATATGCAAGAGAACAGATTGAGTGGCAATTCATTGACTTTGGTCGCGATTTGCAGCCAACGATTGACCTCATCGAATTACCCAACCCTATCGGTATCTTCTCCTGTCTTGACGAAGACAGTGTCATGCCAAAAGCTACTGACAAATCATTCACAGAGAAACTCAACTCCTTATGGGATAAGAAGTCCAACAAATATCGCCCGTCGCGGCCTGGTGCTCGGCAGGGCTTCATCTTAACTCACTATGCAGCTGAGGTTGAGTATTCAACTGAGGGTTGGTTAGAGAAGAACAAGGATCCTCTGAACGACAATGTCACCCGACTCCTAGCTGCTTCTACAGACAAGCATATCGCGAACTTGTTCTCAGACTGTGCCGATACTGACGATGATAATACTACATCTCGAAGTAGGGTCAAAAAAGGGCTATTCCGAACGGTTGCTCAAAGACACAAAGAACAACTCAGCAGCCTCATGTCCCAACTCAATTCTACGCATCCCCACTTTGTTCGGTGTATTCTTCCGAACCACAAGAAGCGGCCTAAACAATTCAATGCGTTACTCGTTCTTGACCAGTTGAGATGCAACGGTGTCCTCGAAGGCATAAGGATAGCCCGAACCGGTTTCCCTAACCGACTCTCGTTCACAGAATTCCGACATCGATATGAGGTCCTCTGCAAGGATATAGTTAAAGGACATATGGATGGACAAGCCATAGCAGCGTTGATGTTAGACAAGCTCGGGATAGACAAGTCTCTTTTCCGCGTTGGTCTCACGAAAGTATTCTTCCGATCCGGTGTGCTCGCCGAGCTAGAAGAGCGGCGTGATGCCTTGATTACTGAAATCATGTCACGTTTTCAATCTGTTGCTCGTGGCTATATAAAACGACGCCTGGCTTTCAAACGGCTGTACCGCACGGAAGCTACTCGGGTAATCCAAAGAAACTTCAATGTGTACCTCGACCTCTGCGAGAATCCTTGGTGGCAGCTTCTTATTAAGATGAAGCCACTATTGGGCGCAACGCGGACAGCTATCGAAGTGAAAAGACGTGACGAGAAAATCAAACTGCTAAATGATAAGATGCGACAAGAAGCTGAGAATCGCGCTCGACTTGAAGAGGAAAGGCGCAACTGTCATGCGGAATTAATGCGAACGCAGCAGATTCTTGAGAGCGAGCGAGCTTTAGCCTTGGACAAGGAGGAGATATTTAAACGGTTACAGCTTCGCGAGTCTGAGCTCGAGGAAGAACTAAAAGGCGCCATCGAAGACCAGGAAAAACTCGAGAGTCAACTCGACGATCTCCTCAGTGCAAAGAAGAGAGCCGAACAAGAGGTGGATAGATACAGGGCCCAACTTGAACAAGCAGCTGCTCTCATTTCTCGGCTCGAGGAAGAGAAATCTAACCTCGATGCTAGAGTTGCTAACCTCGAAGAGGAGATAGAGGCTCTCTCTCGCAAGCAGGCAGATCGAAGCGCGCAAGAAGCCGCCCTCGAAGATGAGGTAAAGATGCTCCAAAGTCAACTGTCGTTGAAGGATCGTAAGTTGCGAGATGTCGAAGGAAAACTACTTAAAGCCGAACAAGACGGAGACGTCAAATTAGCTGCCTCTCAAAAGGAGCTGCAGTCTCTGAGATCCCGAGAGCAGCGCTTGACCAGGGAAAATCGCGAGGCAATTCAACAGCTATCCGAATTGTCAAAGACGTCCACAGACTACGAAGAGCTTGTGAGGAAAAAAGAGAGCGAACTTGCCATTCTTCGCTCCGACAATAAGAAGTTTCAAATGGAGCAACGTAATTTTGACGATTTAAAGAAGACATTAAGCTCCGAAAAAGAGAAGATGGCCGACCGCCTACGTGAAGTCCAGGCTGAAATGGTTGCTATGAAATCCCAGCACTCGCAACTCCAGCGTGAAGCAGAAGATGCAAAGCGACTGCTTCAGGCAAGGCTCTCTGAAGACGCACAAGCAAACCAGAACCGGGAAGTCTTGGAGTCTCAAATTAAGGATCTGAAGGATGAGCTATACAAAGTTCAGATGGACTTGAGTCGGGAACGCCAATCGCGAGATGACGTAGCGCTTCTTGCTGAACATAAATATCAGGCCTTACAGGAGGAACACGATCGACTTAAAGAGTCGAAGATAACGATCGAGAAGGAGCTCTATCTGCAGCAGGATACTCTACGGCGAACCATGGAAGCTCGGGCGACTGTCGAAAAGGAGCGTGACGAAGCGCGCGACGAAATTCGACGGTTACGAATTGCTAAAACCCAAGTGGAAGAAGCACGACTAAACGCAGAAGAAGCAGGTGAGCGCAATGCTACCCGTATAGCTCGGGAGCGGGAAGCTAGTCTGCAGAAAGATCTTGATGCGACACAAGAGCGGCTTAGATGGTTCGAAGGCGAATGCGAGAAGTTGAATCGCGAGATTGAAGATCTCAATAAGTTTATGATCTCATCTGGAGAATATGGTCTCAAGAATGACCAGGCCAAGGAGCGCCTAGAGCGTGAATTGGTCACTGTAAAAGGTCGTCTAGCTGCCTCGGAAAACGACAACCGAGCTCTGCTCAACAAGCTACAGCAAAAGGGTCTCGAGATCGCGCGTTCCACCTCAAGGGCTAGTGAGGCCTCGAGAGGACAGATTATGAGTCTGCAGCGTGAAAAGGCGAGGATGGAAGAGCAGAACGCGGTGCTCAACAAGCAGCTCGGGGATGCGTCATTGACTATAGCAGGCCTTGAAAAGAAGGTTGAGAAGTTGCAACTTAACGTGGAAGATCTCAACCACGAAGTTGCACGCGAGGTCAAGGCCAGCCGAAATGCCGAGAAGGCTTCATCAAATTATACGATCCAGCTCGCTGAGGCGAATCGAACCATAGAATCCGAGCGTCAGCTACGGACTCAGGCCCAAACTACCGTACGTGCTTTGCAAGCGACCCTTGACTCTAGGGACAAGGAACAGGAAGAGCTTCGGACACAAATGCTCCGTATCCTGAAAGCGGTTGACCCCGAAGTTTCGATTCCAGCCCAAGGTGATGCAAGTCATGATAAGATCATGAGTCAAAACTTCGATATGCTTAGGAAGATCGAAGAATTGCAACAGAACCTCCGTATCCAAACTGCTGCACGCGCCAATGCGGACGCACAGTTGGTTGGTCTACGTGCACATCGGGCAGAGTCTCCAGTGCGAGCTAAACTAGAGGAGATACACCTTAACGAGGCTCCTTTCAACGGTTCTCCTCCTCAGAAACGAAGCAGGGCAAATGGAAGGCGTAATTCTCTTCTTTCTACACCCACTCGCCGGGTTAATAACCACGAGAACGACGTGATTCCGGACTCTGGTAGATCAGACCGCACCGCAGATATTCTCAGTTTTAACAATAAGCAAGATCTAAAGACCGAAGTCGAAGAGCTACAGAATCAACTTCAAATATCGCAGATGCAAAATCGCCACCTACAGAGCCAACTCGAACGTATGGCACCTACGCCAGAAATGAGCCTTGATGATAGCCCCTCGGTTCGCCGAATGAAGAAGCTCGAGCAAGCTAATAGTCGACTACACGACATGCTCGACGACTCTACCAAAAAGGTTTCACAGTTGGAGAAGTCGATCAGGAGTGGCGAGTTATCTGTGCGAGACATCCAGACCAAATCTCATGAAGAAATTCTCGATTTGCTCAACAGCCAAGAAGACTCTAGGCGTGCACTTCTCCACAACCACAATGATGCCATCGCCGAGTTAGCCGACGTTAAAGAGCATTTCGAGAAGATGAGACACGAACGCGCAAGGCTAGAAGTGGAGCTTCGAGATACAAAGTCAGATCTACAAGAAATGAGTGTCGCTCGAGAACAAGAAGCTACTAGCCGCAGCCAATTACTCCAAGAGCTTACTGATCTACAGATTCGTCTCGACGCTGAAAGCTCTCAGTTAGCAGATGTGACCTCGAGTCTCGAGATGTATAAGAGTCGCGCCGATGAATACTTCAGCAAACTAGAGCAGGCAGAGATCGCTGTCCTGAAGGCGACGCGAGCGGAGCAGTTTGCTAAGTCTCAAGCTAAAGAAGCGGAGGAAGCCTATGCCGAGATCCTGTCCCAGCGCAACAAGTCGGATGGAAGCATGGAGGATATTCTACGCCAGAATCAGCGTCTTGAGGAGAAACTTGAAGATCTGTCAACAGATCTCGAGGCCGCTTTGCAAGCTAAGAAGCGTCTCCAGCACGAGCTAGAAGACTACAGAAACCAGAGGGCCATTGATCTCGAGGACAAGGAGTCACAAATGGAGCAGACTCGCAAGAAGTACCAAGCAGAGTTTGCAACGCTTACCAAGGAACTTGACATGGCACGGGAAGAGAAGCTCTACAAGCAGTCTGAAATCGTTCGATTACGCGAAGAACTTGATGATCTCCGCTCTAAATGGGACGATGAAGTACTCAACAGCACGACATGGTCAAAGGAAAAGGCACGCCTCGAGAGTACACTCGCTGACGTCGTTTCATCTCGCGATGAAGCTGTCAGTGCCCATAATGAAGCCCAGAGCAAGGTTGTTTCCCTTCTTTCTCAAGTCCGAACCCTTCGAAGCTCGGTGGACGATCTTACCGCCGAACGCGATACTCTAATGAGAGAGAAATCCAGCATCGAAGCAAGACTCAAAGAAGCCAAGGCAAATCTGGAGGATTTGGCTAACAGTGAGAGCCCAGCGATGCGCAATGCTGCTAATACAGATAAAGAAATTCTAGACTTGAAATCTAGCCTGGCTCAACAAGAAGATATCGCTGCCGCTGCGGTAGAAAAGATGCGGCGGGCCGAATCCCTTGCTACGGAGGTGCAAAAAGAAATTGCGGCCGAGCGCGAGATCAGCGCCGGCTTGTCTAAGCAAAAGGCAGAACTTGAGAAGAGCCTCAGCGAAGTGCAAGTGCGACTTGTCGATCTGGAAACTAAGGGATATACGAGCGGCAGCCAGGATATCAAGTTCTTGCACAAGCGAATCCAGGAGGTTAGTACAACACCAGATCCCGAGCATGAGCCTTCCAACAATGTGAACATGTCACAATCTCCAGCAAGACCCCTATCTTCCTTATTCCGCAAGTTTACAAGGCGTGCTGCTAATCACCCACCGACGCAATAGCTCGAATCACAGCTCGAGGCCCAGGAGGACGAGCGGTCGAAATCGCAACGTTCTGTTCGCAACGTAGATCGAATAGTAAAGGATCTACAATCTCAGTTAGAGCGCAAAGACAAACAAGCAACGCAGCTCAACGACGATGTTACACGACTTCGCGACAGGGTAGAGAAGCTCCTCGTAACCGTCGACGAGCTTCAGGCTAGCGAGAGCGATATACAGCTCTCGGCCCGTCGGGCTGAGCGGGAACTAAGAGAAGAGAAGGAGAAGAATCTGCGACTGGAGCGCGAGCTAGAAGGGTGGAAGCATTTAAGGATGGAAAAAGGTAGCGTGAATGGTAGCGTCCGTCTTAGCACCGGCCTAGAAGGAACGCGGCGGCTCAGCGGATTACGAAACGGAACCGGAACTGGAGGCGACTCCGACGAGACGGCGAGCCTCGGTGGGACGGGCGTCGAGGTGCCAAAACGGACGAGCAGTATCGGACGGAAGCCTAGTCTGACGAAGGGCTTTTTGTGAAAGCATTAGGGGCGAGGGGCGAGGGGGGAGTTATAATGGGCAGCATTGTTAATGTATCAACGATCGAGCGACGGCTTTATGTATTTTACGGAACTACGCTTGTATTAATCATGATAATGCATCGAAATGAGGAGGGAGGATGGTATGGATAATGTTAAGGCATCGAGCTGGTAGCACTTTTCTTATTAGCACGGTCGAATGTCTCTGTGATGAACGGGATGAGATGTAGTATAGTTAGAGGTAACCACCACCAGCACCCTGGTTTGCTTCTGAGCTTGCCCCTTTTTTGATGATTGTACTTTGCTATGGAGCTAGTTTATACTCTTGATATTGATATCTCCCGAGAAACAGAAACAGGGAATAGGAATGGAAATAAAATAAAAATCGCATTGTCATTATCGTATGGTAAACTTGTAATTACCTCTCAGGCTAGTTACCAAGAAAAGGTCCGAGACATATCGTATCGCCAAAATGCCCGACTGCGTGATACCAGACCAATATAGCATCACATCAAGTAACCTTGTTCACCCCCCCTAGTGCGACTCATCCCATACAACCTGGGCGTACGCTGTCCCCATCACCAGGAAATAGCAAGTCGATCACGAACGACCTAGTTTTTGTTGTTGTTGTTGTTATCACATACATACATTGACCTGTCTATGGGAACTTCTACCTCTTTCGTGGCACGGTAGGGTTGGCCGCTTGTCAAACACGTTTCGTATCCCCGGAAGAAACGCTGCTGTAGCAAAGTCGTACCGCAACGGTGTTTAGCCTCCTCATACAACTTAGGGTATGTTAGGTGAGGTCAGGTAGCTAGGTAGGTGTTTGCATGCTTTAGGTTAGGTACACAGACGCACGGCGTTGATGCTTATTTACCTACCTAGGTACCTATCTACCTAAGGTATATATATAGGGAGAGAGGGAGACGGTATTATAAGAACGAGAACGTCTCGCGGTTTCTGTTCTGCGATGGTATGAGATATGTATGCCGCTGAACCTAGAGAGCAAGTGAGAAACACGTTGATCCAGCATCGCCGTCTGTCTACTACTAGCAACCAGCCAGCCAGTTAAGTTTAGGCACACACATCCTTCCATCTCAACGTAAGAATCCCTTCCCCCCCTTAAGAGGACCTATCTGTCCATCTAGAGGACCACCTGGTTTAGGTACTCGGTAACAATGAGCTTTACTCACCTCTTCCTCCTCCAGCAGAATAAGAAGTCGCTTCCTACCACCACCATCACCACCACCCATAATCATCATCATTACCATCATCACAGCCATCAATGGCATAACCCCCCCGCCGAAATGGGGAACATCCTCGGCTCCCAGCGCGTGTTCTACGCGGGATACGAGTACCACCGGGGCTCGGCGGACGGCTCTAGGAGCCACGACGACGACGACGTGGTGTACGCGCGGTACGGCTGGCGCCAGTTCCTCCGGGTGCTTCTTTCGGGGCCAGCCGGTAGCGGCGGCAACGAGGCGCGGGGCCAGAGCCGGAGTTGGGAGGCGCGAGGAGGGTGGGGTGGGAAGGTCGTGGGGATCCAGAGGAAGAAAGGATGCGTATGATTACTTACCTCTACTTATCTAGCCTAATATTTTCCTTATGAAAGTTTCATTTCCTTCTGCAGTGAATTCCCCCTTTCAACCCTTCTCCTCCCCCAGTTATCGTCCTCATCTCCCCAGCATTCTTAAGAATAGAGAAAAGGGGGGATTAGCCAGACACGACCGAGTAACCTATAAATAATACGTACGTACCCAACTACTAACCAGTACCTATTATCCAGATAAACCGCGACCACTGGGCGCTCAAATTTCAGCCGGGAATCGACACTTCGCAGCTACCGCGGCGGGTCAAGGGGTTCCGGACGAAGATCCCGAGCCGGTGCAAGAAGAACTGCGGCTGAAGTGTTGCGAGCCGCACTCAAGGCGGGGATTTTCGAGAACGGTACCTGATACCTTAGGCAAGGTACCTAACCTATGTACTGTTGTTATTTATGGGAGGAATTGTGGCGATATACCGCTCCGAGTTGCCAAACGGTAATAGGTTACCTAATGTACTGACTAGGTAGTTGAGAAGCTGGGAATATTTACATTAAAGATAGACTCTACTTTCCATGGTATTGGCTTTAAGGCCCCAAGGCTTGACACACTTGTTTGTATTAGGTACCTAGTAGGTAGTAAGCTAATGAAAACAGTCAATCCATCCTTCAGTATCTCCTCAAATGTTCACCTGGGCGGCAATATGCAGTTGCGATATAAGCCATCATCGTAGGAAGAGTCAACGATTCAACGAGAGTATCAAGGCTCCACTTCCTTCCCCTCCTTTTCACTTATTTTCTCGATAGATCCTCAACCAGTTGCGGTGAGAATAGGCCAATAGCCAACGGCAAGGCGTAACAGGAAATAAAATAGAATAAAAGGAAAAGCTAAAACCATCTCCCCATTTATTTGCGACATTACTCCTCTTAAAAAGGAAAGCCAGGATAATTTATAGTGGGATCTTGCAGACAAGGTGAAGTTGTCGGTGATAGGAACGTCTCGATGATTATACTCAATCTCCACTCCATCTTCATCCACTGCGGAAACTTTCGAGCCTTGGAATGCCGTTTCTCTTCGCGACTACGCCATTGCTCATTATAGGTAAGTTGGTTGAATATTTGTTCGTTTTATCTCAGGCTCCTTTTTCGGCTTCACTCGGTGTTTCCGAGTCGCTTCCTTCCTTGTCCTGCAGAGCACTCCTCTCTAACTTAGCTATATAGGTTTCCCACTCGTTTGCATGCAGCATCCAGACGCCTCTCAAAATGGACAGTTCTGACCGCCGCGGTGTGAATTCCCGTCGCCAAGGGGCTCGCGGTTGTAGCCGTCGTAGGCGTTGGCGTTGTTTCCTTGCACAAATTTCTTCCTTGGTATCCTGGAGAAAGTGAAAGCCCCTTTGGACTTCGATGATATTGCGCAAAGTTGGCATACCCTTAATCTCATCCAAGCGACTAGAGTTGTTTTCTTTCATTATCTTCCCGTAGAACCACATAATCTCCTCGATGCTGTCGGGCACTAGGAGAGCAGAGATATCTTCCCAAACCTTATCCTCGATATTAGGAAATACGGATACTTGACACTGCACATCTGTTCCATCCCAACGAATATCGTGTACTTGGCAAATTTGGCTGGTCAATATACCATCTGCACTGTACCTTGGTATATTATCAACTAGTTGGCCTATAGAGTTGGGCAGTCGGCACTTATTTCTTGTCCGAGAAGAGACAGGCCCCAAACAACTTGCAGCTCTATCCAGAGCTACTCGGTCTTCGCCCAGAATGTCGAGACCACTAACTTCACGCATGGCATTTTCGACCAATCTGAAATTATTCAACTGCTTAAACCATTCAGGTTTATCTATACCGATGCGTTGTCTGCGAATTTCTACTGATATGAAAACAAGAATTAGCAATGACTTGTATGATAGACTGGTATTGTAAAAGCTGAGGAATTAACAGGGGTTAAACCAAGATGTTAACTTACATGCTTCGTCGATCTGCTTTACCAGCTCATTAGCAATGCCAGTTTGGCACAAAAACGTGAAGTTAAATCTGAGTCGGAAGCAAGGCAGATTCCGTATGGTGTGCAACCTGTCGGGATATGTTTGAACGTTTTTGAGCTCGGCATCCAATTCATGGGCGACGGTCCTACCCGGAAATAGGTCGCCCTCGTCTATTGTCTTGATCAAGGTAAACTCTTCCAGGCCGGTTTGACTGAGAATTGTCAATGTGCCGTCATCCAATGGGTATTGGGGGCATTCCTCATATATTTCCTTGCGGAGAAGAATGTGGTCATCAAACCACTCAGTCGGCCCGTAACTAATCCGACGGATTGATCGACGACGAGATGGTGTAATAGCTGCAATATATGTACGAAGCTTATCCAATTCCATAAAAGAGAATGTGTGGACGTTATAGAAGGGCTGAAAGTGTTCAAACTCAGCATAGATGGTCCGACATACACGAGTAAGCAACGCAACGGTTGGCTGTGGTTCCCTGGAAACATAGGGTGGCTTCGAAATGTATTTCTGGAAGATAAACTGGTTTGAGCGGGACTCGAGTTGAATAGGACTGATCTCCTCCTTGATATATACCGCATACTCGTAAATCATGAGTCGAACCTTTACAAAACGTGAGTAATGCTCATCAGTAATGGGTATAATCTGAAAGAAGAGCTAGACCTACTTCTAGGGCAATGGAAAGGAACTTGGACGAGTTGTTCCGTCTGGTAAGAGCATAGTTGGGGTGCTGCTTGTCGTTAAGGTCGACAATACCTCTTCCGCGAGGGTCCATGGCCTCAGACATGATAGGTACCTACCTAGGTACCTAATTCAACAGGTAGTTGAATGGGTGTTGAGAATGAACTAGAGATTGGCAGTAGGGAGACGCGCCCTTAGGAGGACGTGCCTAAAAAAAGACAACGAATGCTGGGACTGTATTTCAATCGTATAACGTGAAGTGCCTAGCACCGCGTCGTGGTGGAAGATGTAGACTGACGATATGTCGGTGAATTAATGTTTTAAAAAAGAGGGGGGTGGAGTAAGGATCTGTGTACTGTTCTTCTGCATACAAAGTTGTTTAGAGAAGAAAAGTCTAGCAGTCAACTTGTGGGATGGAAAGAATGATTAAATACCTAACGAAATTGAAGATGTGGAAGGAACGGTGGGTATTCAGATGGGCGTGGTTGCCGTAGACGTTAACCCAAGTTGTGTTGCCGCAGTTGGAAGTCAAACAGAATTGTATTGGCAGGCGCCGACCTACTTTGATCGTATTAGTACCTACCTTCCACCATGAAGGAAGGAATTGCAGGTGCGAGTAATAAAGCTGGGTTAGGAGCGAGTTGAACTGCACTTCGTACTTTCCATGCAAGTTAGATATCTGCATCACCGAGTTGATTATAGATACCTCCTACCTTAGGTAGGTACCTAGGTAGGTACCTGACGTATGTACCTCCCGTTATTTACTTAGAACCCGTTTGTCAGAGGTACCTTATTTTGTAGATATGAGATACGTTGAATGAACCCTTAAGGACTCAACAAACATTGTTAACAATACGCCAACTTATGAATAAGTACCATCACTAACACCAGAAGAAAGACCCGATAGTAAATTTCAAGCACAGCTAATTTTTATTTGTGGGGGTATTACTATTACTACAAGTTCATCCATGGTTTTATACACACTCCCCTCGCCTAAGCCGCCCGCACGACCTCTCCCGATCTCGCCTTCATCGAGATAAAGGGGAGAAAGAAGTCCATCACCACTCCGACGAGCTCTGCCTAGATATGCTCGTCCGAATTATAAAAAAGAAAGAGAAAACCCATCTTTTTATGTTGCCAGGTTTTCCCCAAAAAGGAAATAAAAAAATATGCAAGTTCGTTTCGTAAGGATCGTAAGAATCTTATGTGACGGCTGTAGGTCAGGGTTGTTGTTGTTGTTACTGTTACTGTACAGTGGAAAGAAACTCGCCTACGATCGAGGCTACTGCTAGGTACCTAGACACTTGGTAGGTAAAATGTACCTAGTTGTCGCTTATCCGCTTTATAGGGCGGCGGCGACAACCATACCGGCGAAGCCGAGGAAGCCGATGCCGGCGCCGACGTGGGCAGCGCCGGCGGTGACGATGGCCGTGCTGCTGCCGCCCGCGGTAGGGTAGAGGACACCGGTGCCGGAGGGGGCAGCGGTGATCAGAGTGGTGGAGCCACCGAAAGTAGGGTAGGGGGCAGGACCAGTGGGGTTGGCGTTCGAGACGGGAGCTGCAGGAGTTGCAGGAGTCGCAGGAGTAGGAGTAGCAGTAGCAACAGGAGCGCTGTGGACGTAGGTGCCGGGCACAATAACAACGCCGGTAGAGCTAGGGCCGTTGGTGGCGGTGCTGAAGCCAATATCGGGGACGGTAAGGCTAGTGCTGATGGTCACAGTGCTGCTGGAGCTGGGGATGATCTCACCGACATCGTTGGTGCAAGGAACAACGACGGTAGTGGCAACCTCGATGGTGGTGACAGCAGCAGGGAGGGCAGTAGGAGTAGCAGTGAGGATGGTGGTGATGGTCTCAGCGCCAGTAGCGATGCCAGGGTTGCTGGGGACGAAAGGAGCGCAGATACCCTGGAAGTAGCTGATAGCCTCAGAGATAACCTCGTCAGATTCACCGTAGGCGTACAGGCAGGTGAAGATGTTCTTGACGAAGGCGGCATCAGGGCAGTAGCAGGCAGAGTCAGTGTTGTCCTTGCAGCCAACGCTGAACATCCAGGTGTTCAAGCAAGAGGGAACGACGTTGGGGTAGGGGAGAGTCTCGACGGGGCCGGCGGGAGTAGTGCTGCTGCTGCTGCCGGGAGTAGAGCTGGTAGCAGAGGGGACGGCGGAAGTAGACTCAACGGCAGACTCGGTGGGCTGTGCAGCAGATTCGGTAGGCTTAGTAGCGGGGGTGGAAAGTCCAAGAGTCTCGGTAACAGGGGTGAGGGTGGTGGAGAGAGGAACAGTAACGGTGACAACGGTGTTAGAGCCAGCAGGGCAGTTGGGAACGGAAGGACCGCAGCTAGTGATGGTGTGGACCGAGGTAGTGAAAACAGTGGAAATGCTCAAGTAGCTAGTAACAGAGAAAGCGGAAGATGAGACGTCAGCAGTAGAGCTGACGGCCTGGGTAGCGGAGGTGGTGCTGTTGACAATGGGGAAAGGGAGAGTAGGCGCCGAGGAAGTGCTGGGGCTCTCAACGGGGACGCTGCTGGTCGAGGAGGCAACAGTAGACGAAGCGGAGCTGACCGACTCGGAGGCACTGGCAGAGCTGGAGGCGGCGAAGGACGACGACTCAGAGGGGCTGCTAGCAGGGTACGAGGAGCTGCTGCTAACAACGACAGAGCTGCTGCTGGCAACGATAGAGCTGCTGCTAGCGATGACGGAGCTGCTAGCGGGAGTGCTGGAAGGAGTGTCGGGTTTGGACGGCTTAGAGGGCTTAGGACCCTCGCAGTCGAAGTCGATGTGGTGGATGCCGAAGTCGCAAGTGTCCTTAGGCTTCTGGGGCTGCTTAGGGTAGACGACGGTAACATCGGTAGCGCCACCGCACTGAGTGTTCTCGACGATAGTACCGGAAGCCTTGCAAGGAGATCGGTGCTTGCAAATAGAGTTGTCGGGCATAGTGTAGTGGAACTCGAGATCGCAGTCGAATTCAGGCGAAACCTGGAACTTCTTGATGGAGGTCTTCTTAACGCCCTTGCTGTTGTCGCAGCTGATCTTAGGGCTCTTCTCCCTCTCGGAGGTAGCCTTGCCGGTGATGCACTTGCTCTGGAAAGAGCGAGACGTCAACTCATCCCGCTTACCGAACTTCTCGCCGCAAGTGAAGCCGCTCCACTTGAATCCCTTGTACGAGTCGAATCCACCGAAGGGAAGATCGGACCAGTCGATACCTTTCACGATATCGGGGATACACACGTTATCCGTGTTATCGGGGCAGCTGAATTGGGGAGCATTGTGAAATCCAAAGAAGCCCGTGGCCGTGACCTGGCTGATGCCAGCAGCTAGGGTAACAAGCGTGAAGGAGTACTTCATTGTGATTTAATTATGTCCTTGATAGATAGCTGTATAATTCCTATTGTATAAGTGAATGTAATTCTTATAAAAACTGTATTATAACAGAAAAAAATAAAGAAAGGCGGAAGTAGGATAACGAATGACCTAAACTTCCAAATAGGAAAGAAGTGACAGCAGTGTCTACCGTTAAGGAAAGGAAGTGATGATGGTAGAGAAGTGATCTTTCTCGAGACAGACGAGGAAGATATTCTCCATCATATATACTAGATCTCAACGAGCAGCCGTGAGCCATTCGTTTGGAGAGCTTAACAGACTCGTGCAGGTAGGGGTCCAAACCTGCCTGGCTGGGATCTAGGATTGGCTGGAGTATTCCAAGCATCCATTCTGGGGCTTGTAGGCTCTCGTCCCCTGTTCCAAGATCGAGCAAAGACCTAGGCCGCAGGGTGGTTTCTGACTAGGAGGTAGGTTGCCCAAAGCGGCATGGCATAGCTCTGACGGAGGTCGGAATGTTGACTTAGGGGCCCTCGTGAAGTTCAAAGGTCTTAGAACTCCACACCAGTTAGACCGAGTTGAGAGCACAGAGCGCGCGGCTGCAAGGCCGGGGTGTCTTAGATGCTGGTGTGGTATTTTCAGGGGGGCTTGTCCAGGATTACCTCCAATCTAGGTATCCATTGTTCCTGGCCAGTCAAATCGGCCCCGGCACGTCCGTTTTAGCCAATAGCAGCCTCCGGCATATCATGAATTTGGCTAAGAAACTGACATAACGCTCACATATTCTTCAGTAAGTCACGTCTGGGATGTGTATTCCTCTACCCGATTGCTACCATAAACAGAAAGCTGCCGCCTTGGGCGTTTGTTTGAGAGGTAGGTAAGTTGCCAGAAATAAACTGGCTGACGCAGTTTTCGCAGGTTGAGTCTAAAGATGGCGGGAAAAGGATGACTGTCGTGGAACAACAACGCCTTCTACTACACAAGGCAAGACAGAGCAAAACAGCCCTGCTGCTCCATCATCAGATACTGCCGTCTCCTAGATTGCATATCCGCATGACATTGGATACTGGTCAAAAGCAAAGCAAGACCGGCTCAAAACTTGGAGAGCCCCTTACTAGAAGAGGGAGAGAGAGACGGTAACTTGTTCAACTTGAAACAGACACAGCCACTTTGCCTCTGACTTGAGGAGCTGACACTAATGCAGGTACATCATTACCAATGAGTTGTATCTGCAGACCGTAGCCAAGGCCAAGGGTGGCAACGTGGGACCACCGATTCGATGATAGCTAGAATGCGTTTTCATCAGAACGGTGAGATCTGTCAAGGTCCCTGCAACGATCCGTCTTTTTCTGTCAATACCCCGCCTGTGATAGTTTATCAGCTGTTCGTGTAGTGTCTTATTCTCTTCAATGCCCTCACCCAAGTATAAAACCCAACCGTCACATTGCTACCTACCTAATGTGACAATTCACTGTTGCAATTAGCGTCCATAGCATCATTCTATTCAAAAAATTAGTGTCGTCGTAAACGGCATAAAAGAGAAAGCTGCTACGCATAGCTTCACGAACTGAACCCCATTTGCCCCATCAAGCTATCAAAAAATAGGAGTCGGATATTCGGAAAACAAAGAAACCGTACTATGTAAAACCAGCACCGATGGTGTTAGTTAGCAAAGTACCTAGGTAGTGTCCACTGCTAAACTCGGGCTTCGTCAAAGCCCTGTCTTCCTCATTGGAAAAATTAGTAGGAAATAGATATCAAAGGTACATACAAGATGTCTCGGAAGATTCTTTGGATTCTTGTGGTTAGAGAACCGGCCGCTATGTCAATTACCTAAAGCTTACCTAGGTATGTAGCTTGATGATTTGACAGGGCCAGAACAGGGCAATTTAGGTCAGGGGGGGTCGGATCGAAGATCTTGGCACCTCCCTAAGAAGCGAGAGCCACCACCTTTAGTCCTTTTATAGTTTAGCTCTGTGCACTCTGTGAAGCAGGAGCAGTCGAGTCTTGCTTTATGTTTCACTCTTCAGCGGAAAACCAGCCAATAACAACTTCTGACACCCGCCAGCTTTAAACTCCAAAGTCTTACCATTTCCCCTTATTACTTGTTTTTTTTTTTCTTTACCTAAGATGAAGTAAGGTAGACAGTAGTTGAGTTGAACTTGAAAGGGTTAGATACAATTGGCTGGCTAAAATATTATCCCTTTCTCTTAGAAGACTCGATTAACTAATATCCGCCGATATTTAAACCTGGTTCAAAGATCTAAACAAGAAAATCCTTGATTGGCCCGCCCACATTCCGAGAACCGAGCTTCTGTGCGCCATCATCTAGCGTCCCCTATTCGGACGACAAAGCGATGGTGATCCACTACGGGGTAAATACGAGCCGCACGCGTTACCTGATACCTACCCATGGCTAAATGCAACAGCACCTGGGCATTAATTCTTCAGTTATCGTTCCATCTTCGGCTTGAGAACCCTTCTCGGAAACGTCGTGGTGAGAGATCATGTTATCTACCATCTATACAGAGCTTAATATAGCCACATTTTCACGCTTTTAGTTAAGAGCCGTCAAATTTAACAGCGTTATTATTTACGAGATCACCTTATAAGCCAAGAAGCGTTAGGACGGATCCAAGCGTAATTTCCTATGCGAGAGAAGAATATGATTAGATACGAACGGCTGATTCCGATAAACTGGTTAAGCTTTCGGTTTCTTCATCTCGTTAAGAGGGAAAGGCATGATACTTATTTCTTGATCATATCTGGGACTGTGCGTTCAATCTTTGAGATAAGTAAGTTCGAACGACGACCCACGAGGGATCGACAGGTACACCTACCTCTTTCGGAATAGATTAACGTTATCGATGCCCATGGGTGCTGGGATATGTACCGTCTAGCGATTCCCTGGGATTTGATCACCAATAGTTTCCTCGCGGTCAGATATCAATTACCTAACAAACACCATATATGGCTGCGGATTAAGACCCAAACCGAGAGATCAATCATTACATTATAGTAGGAGACTGGTTCTTTCACTTTAATTTAGTGCCGCATCAAGCTCTTAACGGGATAGCGAAATAGGGGAACTTTCCGGAATCCAACCATGCAACGTGCAGTTACATTTTCTTTATTAGCACAGTCACCAGAACATTCAATCAATAAAACATACGCATAGTGCCACTCTTGAGGAGGTGAGAAGAATATAACATCTACTATACATACCTAGTTTCTGGTTCTATCGAATGCCCAAGCCCAAATAGCCTAAGCTCGAGGGTCCGAGGATGCGACTTTCCAATAATCTGCCTCAGTACGGTGCATCTCAACTGTAGCAATTACAATGAGATGAATGATTAGAGGCAATCAGGCGAAATTAAGCGGTGGTTCGGGATTTACAATTTCGCGTAGGCCTACTTGTGGTAGGTAGGTAGCGTATCCAAAGCTTCGTTTATTCAAGAATAACTCTTTAAGCTACGAGGGGATCGAGTTCTAAAGAGGGCCAAAACGTGCTGTCAGGTACCTAATTATTCAACTATTATTAGCTGCATTGAGCTACGACGTGCTGCGATCAGCGCTGATGCCGGTAATTCCAGCGTCTTGGTCGTGTGCTGATCTATCACCCCTACTGTTGATCTGCGGGAGCTAGAAGCTGACGACGATAATCCTGTAGGAATAAGGCCCAATTGGACCCCGCGAATTTATAACGAAGATCGATCTACTGAGATCTTTTTTGATTAATTATCGATTTGCACTCCCACTATTCAAGCCTCAACTGCATATTTACAGCTCGACTAAGTAGGCAGGTAGGTGGTTTTCCAGCTAATTCGTGATAGACATGATCGTAAATGCATCAGAAGGATCTTGAGCTTGGCGGCGATTCTTTCAGCGCCGCCTGACATGGAGCTACCATTACGCGAGCTGCGTACGAATATATGCGAACGGCATATAACACCAAGGCGGTCTCTAATAACGTGGTCACGGGCGGATAAAAACTGAAACACGGCATATTGATTGATCTGACTGATAACATTGACTGGCGAATGCATGAAGAAGACGTCGCTAGGCCGAGCTCTCCAGCACACTGGTAGTGCATGCAGAGATTAAGAGGGGGTGGCTATGTATCCGGGGATAAGCAACCCAGAAACAGTAAGGAAATATTCCTATCGTATGGCGGACATAAACGCAGACATGTAAATAACCCAAGCGCGTCTAGAATTCTGCGTCGCGGAGATCAATTGTCAGCTTATGATAGGGCTGAGAAGGAGTTTGTAAGTCAAAATGACAATTTGTCGTCTCCTGCCAAAACCGTCAACTATAAGGCTTTGAAGGATGCGCCATTCCAATCCAACGGCTCTCCCCCTTTTCGTCTACCTAAGATATTCAAAACCACAGCTTACCTCACTTATTTACATCTTATTGGAATACCTACATGTCGGCTAGTTGACTAAAACTAACTGCCTTTAAAAGAGAGGGAGGTAAATATTGTTGAAACTTGGAGATCTAGGTAAAAGCCTGACAGTCTCTCGGGTCTGAGCTCCCTGATCTAATGATAGCATCTACCCGGGCCTTAGGTGTGCACATCGAACAAACAGGCCCAAGTATGTCTCTACATGTAGGTACCTAAGGTATTGTAAGAGATCAATTACCATATCGTATAGGTACACGATGGCGACGCCATTTACTTACTATTTTCTGCCCTGATCTGGCACGAAAAGATACCGTGGCGTGAAAAAGAGGCTTCCCGAATCAATCGAGCGCCCGAGAATAGCATCCAAAGCGCTCATGGGCGTTTTTGCCGCCGGTTTTTTATCCTAAAATTCCATAGCTTGGTAATTTCCACAACACCCAGCAATAGATCCATCTTGCCGCCGTGCTACCTACTCACATCACACGCACAATATAATACATGCACCAGGTTAGACACCTCACCTACTGCTTAACTTGCCTTGGGTATTCTACTTATTGTAGGTACATGTCTTCCATAGGAGGTACATTAGGTAGCGGACGTCTAAGAGTAGAGACTACCTATGTATGGGGAAGGAAAGAAAAGAAAAGAAGAATCGCTTCGGTACTCGGCGGTTACACCGTACTCTCACCACAGCAATCTCATCTAGAAAGCCCGTTTCTATTTTAGTTACCTAGGCACCTAGGTTGAGTACCTGAAGCAGTAACCCAAACTTAGTACATGTAGGTCTCGTCTGTCTAACCACCACCAGCCTGCATCCGCCGCAGTCTCTCCTCAGCCGCCCGGGCCCTTCGTTCCCGATCGAGCTTCATCCTCTGCTCGGGCGTAAGACCTCTTACTTCCTCCTCGCGCTTCTCCTGCGCGGACTTCTTCGCGCCGCCCTCGAGAAGGCTTTTCCCGCGCCCCTTATTACCGTCACTATCAGGAACCTTGGGCCCTTCGCTCTTAAGCCGTTGCTCCTCGGCTCTGCGCCGCTCCGCCTCTTTCCTCTCGTCCTCCTGGCGCTCGCGCGCCTCGCGCCTGTCCGCTTCTTCTTTGGTCATCGCGGGAGGCACCCGCGCCGCCTCCCAGTCCCATCGCGTCTCGCCGAGCTCGTGCCGCGCGACCCGGAAAGCGTCCCTCGTCGACCGATCGCCCGCGAGCTCGAAGGCAGTCTTGCCTTCGCCGTTCTTGATTGTCGGGTCTGCGGCTGCTTTGACTAGGAGTCCGAGCACGAGGGGCGCCGAGTTCTGGTTCGCTGCTAGATGTAGGGGAGTTGGTGCGTGGTAGTTCTGGGACGAGTCTGCCGGCTGGAAGAGGAAATTGGCGGGTACGTCGTTATTTTTCAAGTATGATAGTAGAGCGGGCAGTTTAGATCTCCGGATAAAAGCCTGTAATTGTGATGTGTGCAATAGCGCCGTCTCTTCCTCCTCTGTTAACTTGGGCGCGCTCGGCTTCGCTGGTTTTGATGACGCCTTCGTAGACGGCGGCTCCTCTTCTTTCAAGACCTGAGTTGGATCTATTTCGCGGACTTTTAACCGCGTCAACTCGATGAAGGACCGCATCAACTCGTTTTGGGTTGCCCTTCGCGTGCTAAACGGGAAGCCCCGTAGGCGCGGGTCGTTGGCTCGCAAGACTTGGCCTTCGTAGGGGCCGAAGAGCGTTCTCCGGTTTGTCGATCCCGTCGCCCGAATAAATAGCAGCTCTGCCGTGTCCAGAAGACCCTTCCAATCTTGTAGAAGTAGTCGAACTTCGTCTGTCAGGGCTTGCTCGTTATATCGGCGGATACTGGAACCGGCCGAGTGAGCGTTACCCTTCGCGTTGTCGTTGGCTGATTGCGAGCCACCTTGCTTCCTCCTCGTGGTATATCTGTGGAATGTCTTGTGCGCTAATACCGTCGCCTCTCTATTCAAAGGACCCACGGATCCGTGTTTCGTTTGCCGCGGCGCCAGCGACACGATCATCGCTGCGAAGTGGCCGCCACCGATCATGCATAGGAAGATGTGCGGGCCTTTGTAGACGGAGGGCGGGAAGTTGCCGTCCGGCCCTGCTTTGGGCACGGGTATGGCTTCTTGTTGCTTCTTCTTAATCGTGTCGACAATTGTATTCTCGTCCCTGGATTCTGCTGGCGAGAATATGGCACGGTAGATGCCGAAATACGTGTTCTGAGGTAGGAGAGGTGAGCTGAACCATAGTAGAGGCTGCGCGCCGCCTCCCCTTTGTTTCTTTCTCGAACTTCCCTCTTCGTCGTCTCCTTGGTCGGCCGTCGCGGCGCCATTGTAATTCCCTCCCGAAAGCGAAGCTTGCTTTTTCAAGAGGGTGGTCAGGAGGTTGCTCTCCTTATCACCGCCGTTATCCTCGTCTTCGTCATCGGAGTCTGTCGAGTCGGAGCCCGAGAGACTCTCGTCGAGATCCGCGATCAGCTTCTCGAATTCGGTTTCGGAGACGGGACTCCTCCCGCGCAGCTTCTGTTTGAGGTTGTAGTGGTGTAGGTCGGACTTGAGGTGGCTGCGTTGGTCTTGCACGGTGGCGAAGGAGAGGGCGCATAACGAGCACGACTGCGAGCCTACTACGGGCGACGAGCTGCCAGACGTCGCCGCATCTTGGGTTGGTGATTGTGCTAGGGACTTGGTCGATTCTTTGGTCGTGTCTGTAGCTTCGATGGCGGCATCTCGTTTTAAGGAGAGGCTGTTGAGGACTTGATCGGGTAGGTCATATACTGTTTGTTGGTGGGATGGTTAGAAATTGTACTGCATGCAACCTTTTTGCGACGGATAAAAGGGCCAAGGCCAAAGTGGAAATTCACCATAGAGGGGCCGTCGCAGAATATCATCTGCTTTCTGATCCATTTCTTGCGACGCTAATGCGAAATAACACTTTGCGTGAGTATATGCTGAATTTGAGACCCGGAACTTCAAATGCAAGAAAACAATGCTTGATAAAGAATGGGCGAAACCCTTATGACGAAGGTAACCTAGCTTTGGCGGGCTGGCGGGGTAGCTTCTTTGAATTGGGTACACGAGTCTTTTAGGTAGTTGGCAAAGATAAGATATACATAAAGTTATGTGCTACAGGTGCCCTTATATAAAAAGGTATAAGAGGTATCTGCGGTGATGACTCAACCGGTCACCTTTTAAAAATCATCAATTCTTACATATGACAAATCGGCGTAGTAGGTACCTACCTTACCTACAAGTCAACTTTATAATCTACACTGCCTCTCTCAATGCGGATGCAAACGTCACCTCGACCAATCATATAATAACAGTGAGACTATCAGTAAAGCAACTTCGCAATAACCAAGAGAATATGGTATTTACAGCTTCGATGATTAGAAAGCTGCTTATACAGTACATGTCTTGATTATGCCTTTGTAATATTTACTATCTCAAGACAAGTATTATCTTCAGGCGAAGACAATAGCTTCCTCTTCGTTGTAATGGCTTGAGGCTTGGTCCCTTTGTTCATAACAAGGCTTCTATTGTCAATTTCAACATAATAACAATCTCTTTATAATGAGAAGTTCATCTTTCAAATTGTTTGGAACAATGTTAATAGCCAAAAAGCACAGGACAAAAGCCTCGAACCATTATGTTTTCCCTTACAAATATCCTCATGGCCCATCGTTTACAGTCGTCGGGAATGATATATTCCCTAGAACCTCACGGCAGGAACGACAATCTCCTAGGCAGGATATCTAGCAGTGTAGTGATAGTACGTCTTTTATTACGCTTCTACGTATCTAGGTAACTAGCGAGATTCATCATGTCGTGCGATTGTAAACGCCTCACCATCCGGTACGCTTGCCGCCACAAGGAGCAGGAATTTTACAGATGCTGGAAATATAACATCACCCAGAATTATTTCTGTGTGGGCCAAATGCTTTCTAGCTGCACTCCGGAGCGTAGCTCAGAATTCGTACACAGGGTTTGTCACGATTGTATCGATTACTTCGCTCAAGAATTTGGCCACAAAGCTGCCGTTGTCGTGAGCGCAAAATTCCTTGAATATAAGTTCAATAAGGGACTCAATAATCAACCGATTGATCCTAGAACTATCCCTCTCGATGACTATATCACCTCCCAGGCCTCGCTTCAGAAAGAGGCTGAAAATGCTAGATTAGCTGAAACTACTAGAGCCAGAGCAGCTGAATACGCTAGGGAAGCTAATGTTGGCAGAAGAAGACGATCGTCTCTGGTGCAAAATACGGTGCCAGACTTGGACGATACTTTCATCGAAATTCAAGAGCCGCCGCCAGTAGTCCACCGCAGTAGGCATCATGATTCACCTCAGAGGCGGCACAGATCGCAGGACGTTGATCTAGACAACGTCTCCTCAAGAAGAAAGCCTGCTCAGAAGGCGATTCGGCGTAAGGCTGTGCACGTTAGAAGCGAGTTCTCTCACCCTGCCCCAAGTGAGCATCGCCCAGCCGTTCCAGAGATGATGGCCGGATGCCCTGTTGTGGAGCTGTATACTGATCTCGAGTTTGATTATCCCCAAACCGTCCGTGGTAGACCACTTAGCGGGCCACCGGTTCAGCCCAAACCCATTCGCCCAAGAACGAAGTCGAAAGAAATCGAACAGAAAGAGTCCACCTGCTCCCTAGTCCAACGAATTACCGAGTTGGCCGAGGATCTCGAAATCGAAGGTTATACCAGGCCCAAGCGAGAAAGTGTACCCATACTTTATCGAGCACCCAAAGTCCCCACCTGGCGTAAGGACACCCCCAATCCTGCTTATCGTAGTGACACCGAAGAAAGAAGGCCAAAAAGGGTCAGCTTCGTGTTGCCTCCTCCCGTCGTACACGAACCCCAGATCTGTACTGCTCCTGCGACCTTCGTACGGGGCAAACCGTCGGTAGACTCACTTATGGTCGAAACAGGCTCGGTGGGTGCAAGTGTGATCTCAAGTAAGTAATTTCGACTATTCCTGTCAATGCTTGATGATCTGGCCGTAATCATCATAACCTCGCCGTGAACCAAAGGCTGACCTGACCCCGAAACCAGTCCCACCACGGAAAGCCACTGGAGTACGCATGCCGGGTAGCGCTCAGTACTACCACGAACGCGGTGTGCCATCACTCGCTTATATGGAAGAAGATAGCCAGGATGGAGACCACGAAGACCGATCCCAGCTCGTTTCTATCAGCACCCCTTCCCCTTCTTTTTCTTGCGCCGTGCAATCCTGTTTTTGCGATCCGGACGATCCCAGTGACAAAGGATGTCCTAGTTGCCTCGAGAGGAGGCGACTTGAAAGTAAGTGGCAAATGAAATGGATTTGACTTTCGCGCGCAGGTTCACAGGAGGTAAGGACGGGTAGGGCAAGTTCACATTTATATAGGTACCATGGGTTGCTAGGCGTTAGCTGGTTCGTACGGTCCGGCGTTCTATGGTGTTCGTACGGTGAGTAGGTCGTGAGTATATCATTCATTCTTGACTTTTATACCTTGCATATAAATCCTATCTTAGGCGCATTAAGATAGGAGTAGGAGGTGGATTAGAGTCCCAATATTCAGCACTGGACTGGATATGAAAAAGTTCTGTTTGAAGGGCTACTCTTATAGCGTAAGATTAGCTATTTTCGCATCGAAAATGCTCTAGGCAGCACTTTTATAAATGTTAGTATTATGTTTTCACATATCATATAGTACGGATTAGCAAATAGCCCTGAAAAGAGAAAGTACAAAGAATACTTCACAGGAAGTTCACTTTATTAACGGTGATAAAATATCGTGATCGCCACTTTTAAGCTAGATAGCGGAAGCGCTAAACAAATTATTCGAAGGCCAAAATGAGTACGAAATCTGACCGAAAAGTGCTGGGGTATCATTGAAGTATGGAGAAAATAGCCTTAACATACATACACTGGTGTAGTTTTTTTCTTTTTTGTTTTGTTTTTTAGGCCCGACCTTAGTTAACTTAACTCATCTCCTTAACAAGCTTCCGTACCAACTTCTTCTGCTGCTCAACAGTGAGGCTCTTCTCATCCGTCTCGGTCACCGCCCGCCCGACGACCAGCACGGTCTTGATCTTCTCGCTATTCACCCACATCTTCCCGTTCCTGCCGACCGCGGTCTCGAAGGCGAGGCCCGCGGACCCGAGCTCCTCCAGCACGACGACTTTCCCCTCCTCGACGGACCGCCGCATCAGCAGGCGCCGCGCCATGCCGGGCGAGATGTCGAACAGCATGCCGCCGTTCAGCGGGCCCAGGCCCTCGGCCTTGCCCGTGCTCGGGGACACGCACTCGAGCTCCGGGTCCATGTGCCGGTTCGCGAGGCACACGCGCGCGTAGACCAGCGCGCCCGGGCTCAGGTTCGGCCGCGTCTTCTTCGTCGCCAGCTCGAACGCGAGCTGCGGCAGCACGGCGTTCGACGTGTAGCTCGACAGCGTCACGTAGAAGTAGTCCGTCGCCGAGTGGTGGACGGTTCCGATGACGAGGTCACCGACCGTCGGTATGTACTGCGCGACGTGTTAGTACGTGATCTTCTTGCAAGTAATATGTAATATGTAGTGGGTAGTGGGTAGTAGGTAGTAGGTAGTAGGTAGTTATATGAGACCAAAAAATGATCCAAAAATAAATAACTAAAAATACAAAAATATAAGTAAAAAAACGGCTTACTCGTCCTCCGTTATACTCGACCCATATCGAGTTCTTCCTCGGGTCCGTGACGAGCTGGCCGGCAACGGTAGGTATCAGCTCGTTGGGGGGGATGTGTCTGAGGCCCGGGCCGAGCCGCAGGGCTTTTTTGGGATGAGATGGGATTAAGGAGGGGTCTATCTGATCGCCCGGGAGGACGAATATCCTCTCACTCTGTGCAGTCGCCATATTTTTATTTTTTATTTTTTTAGTTGTTTATGTCGATGTTATTTATGAGAGTTCAAAACGTTGGAATTTTGGTGGCTGAGCTATGAAGATGGCCTGGCAACTTTTAGCTCTGTCCGTGGCTGGTGAAAAGCTTTAGAGGGGCTATTGTGGCTAGGCTAGGTACCTATGTACATAGGCTTTGATGTGCTGAAATTGGTACGTGGGGGTTTTGGTGGAACAGGGATGTGCTGCAGGGAGGGAAGGAACTTTATTTTTTTTTTTCTTTTTTCTTTTGCTTCTAAGATCAAAATTTTGGCAAAGGCGCCGAAATCCAAAAATCTCACCCCACTAAGTGAACATTGCGTATACAACAACTTCTGTCTTTTTAAACCTCAACGTTAAATATTCCTTTCCGAACTTGAAAACTTTCAAGACTTTACAAAAATCGCATCAATGAGTGAGAAGGGAGCTGGCCAACTTGGCGTTTCGCCGAGTGATCGATGCGCCATTGGTATTTCCTTTGGCAACTCGTACAGCTCTATTGCCTGCACGATCGATGACAGTCCTGTTGTGATTGCGAACGAAGATGGAGGTTGGTGGCACGCCTCGACATTTACGACATTTCACTAATTAATCCTATACTATAGACCGACAAATCCCCACCATCCTATCATATGTCGAGGGTGAAGAGTACACCGGAAACCAGGCTAAAGCCATGCTGGTTCGAAACCCGAACAACACAGTTATATCTTTCAAGGACTTCCTTGGCCAAGAGTTCGTACTCGCTTCGAAAGATATATCCCTGACCAAGTGCTCACCTTTTGAAATAGATTCAAGTCTATCGACCCTACCCACTGTCACGCCGCAGCCCACCCCCAGGATGTGAATGGAACGGTTTCTTTCACAATCCAAGATAAGGTCGAGGGAGAGTCTCCCTCCACACTGTCGGTCAAGGAAATCTCTACCCGATACCTACGCCGTCTTCTACAATCCGCCTCAGACTACTTGGGAAAGAAGGTTACATCTGCCGTAATAACAGTACCTACGAATTTCACAGAGCCCCAGAGGGAAGCCCTGATCCAGGCCGCGAACGAGGCCGAGCTTGAGGTCCTTCAACTAATCAACGAGCCTATCGCTTCAGTTCTTGCCTATGACGCGAGGCCGGAGGCTAAGTTGGAAGATAAGATAATTGTGGTGGCAGATCTTGGTGGTACGCGCTCAGATGTCGCTGTGGTAGCTTCGAGAGGTGGATTGTACACAATTCTCGCGACGGCTCACGACTATGAGTTCGCTGGCGTGCACCTGGACAACGTCCTTATGGACCATTTTGCGAAGGAGTTCATGAAGAAGAACCCCAACGTCGACCCCCGAGGAAATGCCAAGAGCTTGGCGAAGCTTAAGGCTGAATCCGAGGCTGCTAAGAAGGCTCTTAGCATTGGTACCAACGCCAGCTTCAGTGTCGAAAGCTTGGCGGATGGTATTGACTTCCAAACTACTATCAACAGATTGAGATACGAGACGATTGCTCGTAAGGTGTTTGAGGGCTTCAACCGTCTCGTTGAAGGTGTTATAAAGAAGGCCGGATTGGACGTCCTCGATATCGACGAGGTCATTCTGTCTGGCGGTACATCCCACACTCCTCGAATCGCAAACAACTTCCGCGCGATATTCCCGGAGACCACTACTATCCAGGCCCCTGCTACAAGCGCAACAGCTGTCAACCCTTCGGAGCTCCAAGCTCGTGGTGCCGCCCTCCAGGCCTCTCTGATCCAGGAATACGAGTCGGACGACATTGAGCAATCGACGCATCCTGCTGTTACAACAGTCAAGCACATTACTAATGCCATTGGTGTTATCTCGTTATCCGACGACGGTGAGGAGGTCTTCACGCCCATCATCGCGCCCGAGACCGCAGTCCCGGCTCGCCGAACAGTCCACATCGCAGCCCCTGAAAACGGAGGCGACGTTCTGGTAAAGATTACCGAAGGCGGCACTCACATAAAGGTGACGAAGCCGGAGCCGAAATCGAAGGAGAACGGCAGCAAGGAGGAAGGAGACGATGAGGATGAGGAGGATAGCGACTTCGACTCCGAGGAGGAGGAAGAGGAGCACAGAGAAAAGGTCTGGAAGATCGGCACCACCCTCGCCGAGGCCGCCGTCCGCGACGTCAAGAAGGGAGGCAAGGTCGAGGTCACGATCAATGTGGGCGGCGACCTCGCGGTCACTATCACGACGAGAGCGGTCGGTGGTAAGGGCGGCGTTAGGGGAACTCTGCCGGCCCCGTGAAAATAGACCACCTATCTTATCTTACCTGTATAAGGTACCTACCTGATAGGTAAATGTTACTTAGTGCTATTCGCTTATATTAGGCGTCGGTCTAGTAGTATAAAAGAGAAGGAGAGGGGAGGGGATCGCGACACTCGGTAGGCCACATTTAGGACGAAAAAAAAAACGCATTGCGGAATATTATTTTTTTTCTCGGTCCATTCCCCTCTCGGGCAGGAATGAGAGGTACAATACCTAAGGCATTAAGGGCATAGGCTTTCGCATAAGGGATATAGAGTAGACCTGAAATATGAAACGCATATATGCAATTTTAACTGAGCTTATATTGCGCCACTTACAAGTTACGATGTTTCATGCTTACGATTTCGTATATCCTGGCTGTTGTTCTTCGTCGTGTGGTTAGGTGTTATAGGTAACCCCTTTTCCCGCAGTGATGTATGTGAAGTAAGCCTTAGGTACTTAGAATCAAAATGCGCGCGGTACTTTCCGTGAATTATTCTACCTAAGGTTCCTCCTAATCTAACAACTTGTTTTGTGCAGCTGGTATATATCAACCAACCTACTAATGTTTAAATAAATGTATACCTAACCGAATGTATATGTGTGTATGTATGTATTTATTAACGCCAATCCTATCCCACCCTATCCCTATTCCCTACCTATCTATCAGATAGATAGATATATGCAATTCCCACGTCTAGAATACGAAGCTTTAAGTGCCTAGGTAGGTATCCATCTCAACCACGAGTTCACGTGTGTCGAGCGAATTGAAAGTACACCAGGCGTAAATAAGATAAGGTCCAATGGAATGACGCCTGGATGTAAAGAGAAAAAAAGAAAAAAAAGATGATTCCCCCACGCTATGTAATGTTTTTTTCCCGACGAATATAAATATGCTTGCTACGTGTACCTTGGCACGAACGCCACATACACATACACATACACCACGCGGACGCAGAGACGCGGACGCAACCTTAACCTTATTTACGCAACGGTCTCGGGTAACGTCCAAGCGACCAGGTCCTCCCGCTCCTCGTACTCGTCTACTTCCCTCGGCCGCCGGAACCCCTCGCGGCCGCGGTCGCTACCGAGCGTCGGCGCCAGGCTAGTCAAGCTCCCGCTGCGGCTGCGCCCGCCATCCGACGCGGCGTCCATACCGCCGTCCTCTTTAAGCGGCTTTTCGTGCTGTCCTCGGTGGTACCGAGGGTGTCGTCCACCTCCGCCTCCGCCTTCCTGACGGCTGCTATTACTGCTGCTCCGCACCCCCCCGCCGTTCAGCGTCAGGGAGCCGTGGTCGCTGCCGTTGCTGCGCGTGCGCGCGTGGTGCGGGCGCATGTGACGTGCGTCGGCGGGCCGCAGGGTGTTACCGCCCGCGCCCTCGTCGTCGCTCACGTTGCCGCTGTTATTGCTCGCGCTGCTGGCGACGGACCCGGAGTGGGAGAGGCGGCTGCGGCGGCGGGTGGGAGGTTTGACGGGGCCGGGGCGCGAGGTATGGTCGCTCCACCCGTCGCCGCCCGAGAAGATGTCCTCGATGCACTCGTCGGCCGGCAGCTCGCCGGGCTGGCAGGCCCAGCTCGCGGCCAGCGCGCGGCGGTACATGTCCTGGAGCTCCGAGGCCTCGCGCGACTTGCCGAGGGAGCCGGCATTGCTCTTGGTGTTGGCATTGGCGTTGGCATTGTTGGGGGCCGCGGGGGAGCCGTCTTCGGATGCGTCGACCGGGACCTGCTCGCTGCCCGCCATGATGCCGGCTATGCCGCCGAACATAGGGGCCGTCTTGAGGGGAGGTGCGACGTAATTGCGCTCGCCGTCGATCTGTACCATTAAGATGCCAACCTTGAGCGTGCTGTTAATCTTGCTTTCTTGCATTAGGTATCGCCGGACGATGCCCTCTTCGGCTTCCTCGTCCACGATGTCGTTTTCCTCGGGGTGCGGTAATGGCGGCGCTGTCGTGCTTGTGGGACTAGCCCCTCCCACGGCCCCGGGTGGAAGGCTACTACCCGATTTGCTGCTGCTTTGTCTTCGGTGCGACATGCCTTGTCCGATCTTCTCTCGCGGATGATCTAGGCTTGCGCTGGCTCGCGGGGCCATGCTCCGGCGAGGGAAGTTTTCGCTCTCTTCGACGTATTCGCTCAGGTTTAATTTGACAACGCCGAGGGGAATCTTCTCGTCGCGACCACCGGGGACCATGGGAAACTCCTGGAGAACCTCGAATTCGATAGGGCATTCGGTCAAGTTGTTGTTGCGATCGATGGAGATGCGCAGAGGTATAATCTTAGAATAATTATATACGACGCGGTGATTGATCTTGTCGATAGAGCACTTGGCCGTACGGCCGCGATGCTCGCCGTGAATCGAGTTTGGAAGGTACCATTTTACCGTGGAGGTACCGGCAACTAAGGGTACATTATTCAGGTCGTATATGGTGAGATGAAGCTCGAATTTCGGCTAGACGAAGAACAGCAATAAGTATTAGTTTCGCGAAGAATATAGGAATAGGACAGGATCAAGTAAATGATAGCAGATGTATGTAGGATGTAGGTAGCAGTATATATACCTTCCGCGCCTTATTAACTATTGGAAGAATACGCATGTTAGCTCGAGAAAATTACTAAATTGGCGCATAGCAATGGATGTCACGGCCAAAGCAGGAGACATTATTGTACCAATTCCCCTAGTGAAGTCGAATGAAAGGAAGATAAGGGATAGCGTGTTATGTTATGTTATGACGAAGGAAATATAAGGGTGTTAATAACGACAATGAAAAAGTTGCCGAATATAGGCAGAGTTACATCTTCGCTTATTGGGTGAATGAGAGGCAAGAGATGATAAATATAGAGAATAACAGGAATGCGGCTCAAAGGGAACACCAGTGTGTATGACAAAGCCTTGAGACGGGGAAAGGAAGGCGACGGCAACGGATAGCGAGCATTGGGTAGCGAGCATCAGGAAGCTAGGTAAGGGGGAGGCTTACGGGCTTTACATACTCAAGGACGCCATATTAGTTTTTTTGTCTTTAATGTCTTAATAAAGCCGCATTCACCCCGGTGACGAAAAAGCTGCACATGCTATGCTAACTAGCAGCAAATTCGAACGGCGCAGATCGTGTACTGGTAACATGCAGTCATTATTCGGAAGCGAAATACCAACGGTAGCAGCCAGAACAGCCGCTAGACCTGTCGTTTCGGCAGCACCGGACTCCGAAGAATAGAACGCGAACAGGGTTTTTTCCTTCCTGTTTTCTGCTGGATTTCTTACTTGGGTAGTAGAATCATACGAACGAGGTAAGGTGAATTCGAGAATAAGACAAGCCTTGTAAGGCTTTGTAAGACTTGAGAGAATGGGATTGGATTGAATTAAAAGGGGGGGTTACGTTACCCCCTAGCTTGCTAGAATCAGCCACACGGATAGGACGACGTTGAGATTAGTGTGATTGGAAAAGCTAGGGAGAGAAAAAAAAAAACCAAAAGAATTCAAGTCAAATCCCAGTCGAGTGGAAACGGGAATTATTCCGGACTTTGTCGATTTTAGTTCGGACGTATGTACATAACTTTACATAAAACCAGGTACCTCTCTCATTATGTACAATAGGAGGTAGTTAGAACTTAGGTCTAGGTACCTATTGACGTCATCGGTTATACGAGGTACCTAAAGTTCAAAAATGCCGGGGAGCAGCTGAGCAGCCAGCTACAACCGATAAGTATAGGTACCTCCTACCGGACCCACCAGCTCTAAAATCGCAATGCTAAAAATTTGAAGCACATGTCCACGCGCAGCACAAATACGCGTTTAGCAGTACGCGATATTCAATCCTCGAGGTCATCGGTACATCATGTACTATTTAATCAAGTAACGATGAAAAATCACAAATAAAGCTATTTCAGTCAAATCTTTTTTATGCTAGCTCAGCCTTGACTCCATAACTGGGCAGGGGTTTCCATTTAGTTATTTATCGTATTCTACTACTTTGAAAGCCTATTCCCTTATTCTTGGACGCACACCAGGCCGAATATACTGCCCCCTTTGCACGCGCGTTCACTTATGGCTTATCCGTAGAATATTATCAGACAAGATGCCCCCAAAACAGGTATCGAAGGCTAAGCCTACCGGAAGCTCGGGTAATAATCCGGCTTCAACGAAGAAGCCTAAACCCGGCCCGGAGACTTCTAAGAATACAGCTCAGCCAAAGTCCAACAAGAGAAAAGATCCTCCGCAGCAAGATGCAGGGTCGAAGAGCCAGGGGAAGAGTTTGGACCATAGGCCCCGGGACGCAAAACGTGCAAAAGTCTATGAAGCCAGAAGTATTGCTGCCCAGAAGTCGCATGCCGCCTTGAAAGATGGCGAGCTGAATGTTCAGTCCTTCGTCGGCTCCCTGTCTTTCGAGATAAACGCTTTAGACGAAAGCATGAGGCGGACGAGGACGTCTCAGACCAGCCGGGCATTTCAACGGGTGCCCTTCAGAATGAGACGTAGGGCTGCAGCACATAACTATAAAAAGGTCCCGAGACGCTTACGAAAAAGAGCGAAAAGGGAAATGATAGAGGATAACACCCCAACAGTTAACTCTAGAACTAGAAAGCCCAAGACCACCAGGGCGAGACTACGAGCGGAGATCTCTCGGAAGCTGGGCCTTCTTTCGAAGCGGAAGAAGCTACGGAAACTGAAGAAATCCGGTGCTGATGACGAAACCATCTCTATAAGGGCTGCTAGGCCCAAGATAAGGAGGAATGTGCTTAACGAACCCGTTATTGCCGCTAGAAAGTTTAGAAAGCGCCAGCTTTCGAAGACATGGCTTCCTACTCACTTATGGCATGCGAAGCGAGCGAGGATGACACCTCCTACTCAACCCTTGTGGCGCTTCGCGATCCCCCTTACCCCCTCACAAAAAGTCTACAGGCCAACCCACCGCATTCAATGGGAAAGGGGTGCAATGGCTTGGGATATGAGCTACATGAGCACGATTGGCCTATCTGGACCTCAGAATAGTGTCCAAAACGTGCTCAAGTCGCTAGGCCTTACCCAGGAAGCCTTGTGGAATGACAAAGCAAGGCGCTGGAGGTCTGGTAATCTGCACTGGTCCGGAATATTAAGTAGGAAAAGTGCAAACAGCATGCATGTCATTGGCCCAGCTACTATAGTCTGGAATTCAGTGCAGCAAGTCGAAGACGACGAAGAACAACGTAAACAGTTTAGACAAGTCTTCATACGTATTCACCCTTCCGCATTTTTAGAAACTTTCAATGAGCTTCTAAGGCTGGCAAAGATGCAGAATCCCCGGCCTTATATAGAGGACCTGAGATTTGAAATCGGAAGCATTGACATCATAGGCCCTGACTCCACTGAAGCTCTACTTGGAGTGCTTCGGCCATATTTCCAGAAGTCGGATACGAAAGAATCGCATGCTTCAAAATTCGAGTCGCTAGCTGGTTTGAAAGATCCCGGCGCTCTGCCCCTTGGATGTCTCCTAGCCTTTTCGATCGCAGATCCTCGCCTTCGTTACCCCCCGCGGCAAGTAAACATTCCAAATAGTAATGATCAGAACGCACAGTTGTCCCTTCTAGGAGCTATATCGGCACTTCGCAAAGATGATGCTACCAAGCCTCATCAACTGTTCAGTAGGGATATGCGATTCAAAGCATCTCGGCTTCCATCTCAGCGATCTCTAAATCGTCGACGAGGCAACGGCGCGCCAGGAACAGCTCTCGAACCAACTTTGGTTGATCCTCCTATCCCTATCATGCTACTTGCTTCCCGGCATTCCATGGGTTCGCAATCGTCTGGCACCTGGACAGTGATGTTACCGTACAAGTGTGTCCTTCCAGTATGGTATAGTCTAATGCATTACCCTTTATCTACCGGCGGCAACCCGTGGTTTGGGGGTTTAGACGAGATCAGACATGTTACATTCGAACGAGGCCTCCCTTGGTTCCCCGGTGACTTACCTGGTACCGATGCAGGTAAAGCGTGGGAACTGGAAGAACGAATTACGAGACACAAAGCATGGGACCGAATGCCCAAAGGAAAGAGAGTCAATTGGGAATCACTTGACCTAGGAGCAGGACGCAAGGGTGAAGTGGGAATAGGATGGAGTTGCGATTACGAACTACTACTTGGTCTTAAGAAAATTGACAACAAGGTGAATGACCCTGACGAAATGGTAATAGACGGAAAAGATGGAGCGGAAGAACCACAATCAACTTCCCAAGGTGCGAAGCAAGTGACTCCTATAAATCCCTTAGAAAGCGTTACGCAACTTTCCAAGTCCACATTTGCTACATATCAGACAGCGACATCCGAGCTGCCTCCTCCAAATTCATTGGTAACGGCGAATATCAAGATGCTGGCGCGTGGAGTAGCTACCACATGTGCGAGGGTTTATCGACTACCCGATGTGAAACCCACCGCCGCCTCTCCGCAGGCCGAAGTACCAGCCACCGACCCTCCACATGCGAAAGTCGATGGTAAACTATCGTCTAACATACGCAACCAATGGTTAGCACAAAGGCCGACCTTAAATAATAAGCCCAAGAAAGTCGCCACAAGGCCAAATCTTGACTTAGAGACACGACAACAACTGCTTGCGCAGCAGCTCACCGCCCCCCCAGCGACATTCCCGCCGCCTGCTCCCAACTCTGAGAGCATCAATGGACATCCCTTATGTCCTAATGAAGAAGATTTGATTGGGTTCATAACGACTGGAAGCTTCAACCTCAGGGACGGAATCGGCGATGCTATAGGAAGCTTATCGGCAACCAAAGCTCTAGAGGAATTACGGCGATATAAGAATGAAAAAGACCCCGCTGCTAGGCTCTGCGTTGTAAGAAACGCGGGTCAAAATGTCGGCTGGCTTGCAAGGTGGGAGTTAATATGAAATCAACAGAAGTGCCACCCATAGCGATACCCAAATTCCACGGAGAATTGTTTTACACGTCAGTTCTCGTTTTCAGTTAAATGTGTTGTGAGACGGTCTAGTTCAGACTAGCAGTTTTGTACAACGTACAATCGAAGCCGTCATCACTAATGACAGCTTTGTGAGGTAGCATGACCTTGAACTCTCCTTCTAATGAATATACCCCGTAACCGACAATATAACAACAGCCAGGGAGGGTGTACTCGATATTCTATGTGGATTTCTCGTTTACCTTCTACGGCAGGTCAATCTTCACCCCTAGTCCCCTGCATCATATGTACTTCTACGGTGTCTAAGGATTGGTATTATGTCTTCTAACCCAATAGTATGCTTTATTCTCCAATATTAGACTAATGAGCAAGTTCTCCAACCAGAAGCGTATCTCCGAACCTAAACTTACCCCGACTAAAGTATCTACCGATCTATTAAATCTCCGAGGACAAAGTTCAATCGGAGACGGCGACATTTATGACAAGTCGAAATATAAAGAAATATATATGAGCTGGTTACGCCCTTTCGCATGCTTAATGTAGCATTTCCCTTGGGACATTAATCGTCTTTCTTTCGAGGTGCTGCCACCTGATGCCCTTCCGCGCACATGTATATATGTGTGTCTTTGTGTAACAGCAGCCGTACTATCACGCCCGCATATCTACATGCGCCGTCTCCTGATGATCGACACGAGGCGGAATATGACTACTGCCACAGATGGTAACCCCCAGCGATACTGTTATGTCACCGCTTGCCGCAATTGGCGGGGTGCAGGACGGTCCCTGCCTGTTATAATTCAGGAAGAACCGTTTTGGGATTTTCCCCCATCTCGTCTGCCTGTCTATCCATCCAACCCGGCCAACCAGAGAAACGCCTAATAGCTGAGTGCCAGACCCCCGGCATCGTTCGCTGAATTATCTAGCCGAGATTCTCGTTCGCTTGTACGCGGCTGCGCGGTCATGGGCTCTCCTGGGTAAATGCCCCGTGCTTAGTACGGCGTTTTCTGTCGATCGTATCACGGGCGTTCTTTGCTAGGTACCACTACCGGTATGCACGTCACATCCGAGGCATATCGCCAGCGCGGGACTGGGGGGATATGATATGTGTAGCTCTGTCGCGCGTTATAGGTTATACGAGGCTGTTCCTTTGATCTGCTATGCTGACATTGGGGAAAAGAGGAAAGAAATTAAGCCGGGGAACCCTGGTACCCACGAGGTTTAAGATGGAGAAAGTTGGAGGAGAGGGTTGGGGTTGAAAAGGAAAAGGGCAATTATGCTAATCACGAGGAAATTACAGTCGAGCGAGGAACGTCATGGGCTTCCCCTTCTAGAGCTTCCTTCGACGAATACAAAACTCGGGGTAACCCGCAGGTGCTACCTGCTCAGCTAGCCTCTCTCTGTTTGGGTAGTCCCTCAGCTTTGCCACCGGGAATTTGGGCGCTTGATCATAAGTTTGAGCTTACTCCTACCGCTACCAAAGGGTCGATTGGTATGATAGCACGACTCTTCCATAATGTCGGCTCTTAATCGTGCCCTCGTCTCCGTCGTCGCCATCGTGGGCGTCGGCAGAGTTTCGGCTATCCCCTATAACACCTTTGACGGAGAAGGGTTTCCTGCTTGTCATGATGTCGCACTCGTCCACAATGCTACGAGCGTGGATGATATCGTCCAGATAGTAAAGGATGCCCCCGCCAAAGGGACACCTGTAAGGGCCTCAGGCAAGGGCCATATGTGGTGAGTTAAGAGCCTAAGTTTGCGGTGTACTTTTGTTATCATGTTCTATTCACTCCAATCCAATCTCCTTGCTTTATATTACACGGGGTCGTTACACTTGTTTGATACTTCTAGGAGTATACATAGCAGGTCAATTCTGATTTTGAGGTATTGCAAAGGTACGATACTATGTGTTCAGACAACCCGGACACGGTCATCATTCGCACGGAGAACGTAAATAAGATTTCGAATCTAGTGCTCGAAGAGGGCGCTGAGACAGGGACGGTGGAAATAGAGGCCGGTGTGACATTCCTCCAGCTTGCCGAATATCTCCACAACAACGGTGCCTCGATGGGGTATACGTTAGTCAATTGGAACATCACCATGGCTGGTGCGGTGGCGATGGGCGGACACCGCTCTGCGGTCCGTGAGGACTCGATGGTCGCGGCTGGTGTGCTGTCATTAGATATCGTCAATGGCAACGGAGATATCGTGACTATCGAGCGCGACGAGTCTAATGACGACTGGCTTGCTGCTTCGACGTCTTTGGGGCTGCTCGGTGTCATTGTTCGCATGAAATTCAAAATCTACCCAGACTTTAAGGTCTTCGCGAAACAAGAGACGTAAGTTCTTGGTATGCTTCTTTTCGTAGGGTATGCTTTTTGTCTAATGAGAATATTAGCCTGGACGAAGACGATGTTCTCAATGGCGACATTTATGGACTGGTTGCACCCTATGCTACAGCTAATTTCTGGGTACGTACCTATATTTACCCCTATCTACTTATATCGTATAATATAGTTAATAGTTGATTTATTGTTCTAACGTTTCACAGTGGTGGCCGTACATGAAGAAGTTCCATTGGCGATACTACGACAAGGTTCCGCTCACCCTGAGCAACCAGGAAGGATTCCAGAACACCTTCTCTATAACAGATACGGAGGCGTTTGTGGCAAAATCCACCCTGGAGAGCGGGAAATACCTAGCGACTTCCAACATGTTCTTCGAGACCACTGCGTTCGCCCTATGGTCCGCTCCGAACTTCCGCGAGAAGACGACTCAAAAGACAATCACACAGTGGCCTGTCTACGGTTGGAACTACGACGTATTGATTGGCGGCCTTTATCCGGATCAAAATCCAGAGTGGGAATACGGCCTGCACGGCGCCACCCTCGAATTGGCGTTCCCTATCACATTGGCCAACCAGATGCTCAAGCGCGTACGAAAGGCGTTTGACGATGAAGCAAAGAAGGGCATTATTATGACAAGCACCTACCGCAGTGGTATCAATATTAAATTTGGAAAGTATGTATAATTTACTCATCGAGAAGTCTTCTATATATATACGGTACTGACTCAAGATTCACCTAGGCCTTACTACGACTTGTTAGGCCAGGTCACGTACAACACATCCGACGGCGCCGATTGGACGAAGGGCGCTATCATGTTCGACTTCCCGTCGTTCAAACCCACCATCGGCGACGGGAAGCGTTTCAACGAAGAGTTCTGTAAGTAACCCTACCGTTTTGCGCACTGTGTCTATTTTTCATATTTTGAAAAAATAAACGAGACATGATATGGCTAATAAAAAGCATTACAGACCCTCGATTAGCCAAGACGCTTATCGACGAGTTCCCAGCCAGACCTCACTGGACGAAGAACACGCGAGAGGTGTTTGGCAACGCGACGAAGAATCTGGATCCGGACCACCTGGCGAGGTTCAAGGCTGTGCGCGAGAAGTTTGATCCGAAGGGCATCTTCAAGAGCGTGATTGGGGAGATCTTGGGTTTCTATAGTTAGATGAGTTGGGCTAAGATCGTTCTGGTGTGTCTTGCCGTTAGTATCATATGCGATGCTTGCTTACTTGCTTTGATACTAGGGACCGTCAGTATATATATAGGTAGCTTATGATATGATGTGGTTACGGATGATAATATTAATGATAGGTCATTAAGGGGTTTAAATAGCAGGATATGTTGCCTTGCCTACGTTGTACCAATTACCCCTATTAAGTTCATTCGGCTGCCTTGGTACCTCTATAGGCAGCTTTATAATATTCATACTCTTGTGATATAAGAAGACAAATTCCAACTGAAACTTGGTAATAGAGAACGTAACAAATTCTGAATCCCGCGGTGTAGGCGCTTTGACTCCTCAACCCATTTCCCAGGCAAGTTGCCATGGTAAATCTCCACGGTGAATAACAGGTAAGAGGTGCGCCTAGCGGATCAACCCTACCGCAGCTAAATTGTCCATAGTTTCGGCCGTTATTGCATGGGGTATCTCCCGGGCATTTGGATGCCAGAGCAACGAACTCTTTATAAGGTGTTTATTTACCTTAGGTACCTACTATTTCGTTCTCATGAGTGTTCAGAAAAAAAATTACATTCTTCCCCTTCTTCTCTCGACATCTGGAATTTCATAGTATCTTCTTATTCATACTACAAGTCCTCGAAGGCTCTCCGAAATTCTCTAGACGCTATATTCTAGGTGGTTTATTCTCACGATCCCCAGAGAGAAGTCATCGCTTCTCGAACTGACTTCCCGCCCAAGGCAAACGCCATGTGTGGACCGGGTGCGGACCCGATTAATGGGTTTCAAAGTGGCTATATTATGGCAACTTTCCAGCCTAGTATAGAGACGAAAAAATCGGGCGATGAGCCAATTGCAGAATTGCCAAACAAGTCAGTGATGAAAGCAGCTATAGTAGCGCAAGAGGGCATGAAGGGCGATAAGCCTGCTACATCCGCCACCGCTACTCCTTTCCAGCCAGTCATTGACGGCAAAGAGTTTGGTGACTCGTCGATGGTCGCAAATCCTATGATGTTCTCAAAGAGATTCACAGAGGAACCACCAACCACACCTCAAAAAGGAGCAATCAGACCTCGAACCCCATCGCCTGCTCCATCAACTCCTCAGCCGAACGAAGTAGTTTATGAGAGCCGAATTAATTTCATCGTGCGTGTTTCTACTGTATATCCCATGTCACAAGAAGAAGGAAGCGCCACAGCACCAAAGAGGCCTCGCAGCCCTTCGCCATCTCCGACCAGTCCCGGCGTGCTCAATACCCTTTCCATCGACTTCCTGCCGCAGCAGCAGGAGTTCGTCTTCCGGAAGGTATTCGACAGCCTCAAGGAGGTATGGGACAAGCTCATCAAGGACTTCGAGCCATACTTCGCAGCGCTGGAAACGCGCCCCGCGATGCCTGGTATCGATCAAGTCAGGGACCTGGTAATGTCGCCGCGAGCGTCGCTGCAGGGAATCGCCGACGGCACGGCGTACATCGTGCACATGTCGTTGATGGCTAGCTGCAAGGACTGCCCCTCGAGGGACCTCTCGGACGTGCAGAATCGGTTTCTGTCCAGCGCCGCGAAGATCAAGTCCGCGGTCCTGGAACACGTCGCTGTGGTCAATACCCTCGCCCCCTTTTCCCTCCCTCTCGACCCTGCTACCCCCTGGCCGCCCGCGCACGGCGCCTATCGATTCCGCAACCCCTCGCCTCCGCGCCCCAGCACACCACCGGCCAGAAACAGGCGAGTGTACTCCCTATCTGTAGAAGCGCTCCGGCCGCGAATCCAACGTCTTAACTTCGGGGGCCGCAACGACGAGGGCAGTGGTATGGATATGGATATAAATATCGACACCCCTACCCCTACCCCTACCCATACTCCTGCTTTTGCTCCTATTACCCCTACTCCGCGAACACCATCGACACCCCGAACCAAGACTCCACTGGTCAACCAAGCCAACCTACCACCAGCGCGCAGCAGCCCAACACCCCCTTCGCAGACCCCGCGCCCCCGCCCCCCTCTCCAGCACACCTACCACCCGACGACTCCCGCAGCGCCTCCCAGCGCTCCGCGACGATTCGCCCCGCCCCGCCCCCAGCACCAGCACCAGCACCAGCACCGGACGCCGGCGGATATCTTTCTTACTCCGCGTAATCGCTATCCCGATCGCGATCGCGATCGGGTCCTCGCTCGTTATTCTCCGCCGTACGTGCCGCCCGCGCGAAGATTCGAGCCCGGGTCCGGGTCCGGGTTCGCATCTCGGTTGCCGGTCGTGGGGCGGATCGGTCGGTACCCCGTGCGGGCGCCCGTTGGACGCGCGGGTTCTGGTGCTGCGGTAGTGGGGAATGGGGAGGGTAATGATGATGTTTTCGTTGCTGGGACTGGGTATGTGTGACGTGACGTGACGTGGCGGCGGCGGCGGCGGTGGTGGTGTTGACGAGTGCATTGGCGCTTTGGACTGTGCAACTGCCAGGCCACGACTTTCGGAAGAGGTGCTTGAGTTTTCTTTTTCTTTTTTCTTTCTTTCTTCTTCCGCCGGGTTGTATTTAGGTGGAACAAGGGTCGGGTTTTCTTTCGTGGGTCTTCATCTAGTTTCGTGAGTTATAGCTATCGGGTCGATATGGAGTTATGAGATAGAGCTTGGGGGTATCTAGTAGGTACCTAAGGTACTAGATTGGATTATCTTATTAGACGATGGTGGTGGCATGGGTTCCCTTGATATGTATCTGTTACGTTCTAGGGGCTAGGAGCTAGGAGATTGACAGTGCGTGATATAGAAACCGTGTCATGGTCAATATAGCTTAGGCTGAGTATGAGGTACCTTAGGTATCTATTGGTGTCATTGCTAGTCAACATGCTTGAGTATAATTTCTGGCCTATATACGATATACGTAAGTTCAAACGAGCTCTTGTAAAGATTAAAAGGGAAAACATACCTCCTCGTGCGTCTCCTAGATAAGCCCAAGGGGCAATACGTAACTGGTCCCAATACACGTGCGGCTGTTCCAACCGGCAACTAATATTATACATAATAATGATTGATCTTAGACATACTAAGATCGGAAAATCAGGGGTTTTTCATAGTCCCCTCATCCAAAGTACCTACCTACCTAGGTACCTAACTCACAAAAGCCGTCCTCGGATCCCACGCCCTCAAACCACAAATAACTCCTCGTCGGAATCTTTCCGATTCGCCCCTCTCGGATCACGCGTAGCCACGACGTGTAGCTCATTGCTCGCGCCGAGCTCTTGGTACGGTCCGACGGCCTCGCTCGTCGTGCGGCTGCGGCTGCGGTTATTCGACGACGACGGCTGGCTCTTCGTCCAGAAGGCCGGGATGTGCTTGAGCAGGGGCCGGAGCGCGGCCGCGGACGCCGCGAAGGTGGCCATCCCGAGCTCGATGTCGGCCCAGAGGAGCAGGTCGTAGTGCAGGGATTGGGCTTCTTCGCCCTTGGCCGTCGATAGCCGCACGATGATGACGAGCTTCACGATGGTCGCGGAACTTGCGCTGGAGAGGGAAGGTCAGTCGGTATAAAGTACAGGCTTAGCGGGATGTCCTAGGGAGGTACGTGTTTCTGTCTTATGGCTGCTCTCGGGGGAGGGGAAAAGGGGGCTGTTGTAGTAAGGGGGACTTACAATGCGCCTAACCCTAGCAGCAGTAATACAGATATTTTTAATCTGGTGCTCATGTGCACATTTCTGAGTATGTATATCGGCAGTAGCGCATAGAAGTAGTCGATAAAGATATTAGTGATGGTACGAAAGTAGCCGACTTGCGTACAAGCTTTGCTGCCGGCCCAATTAGAGGCGCCGCTTGAAGCGCAAGGCCACGAGGCGAATATCGTCATGACTATGGTCCAGGTGGCGACGACAGCCATCGACCCGATCAGAAGCCAGCGCAGCTTCTTAGTCGAGGATAGACGGTAAAGAACGAGCGCCACGGCTATCTTTACAAGCCCGGCGCTGATGTAAAGCGACAGCTGGTTCGCGAATAGGAACTAAATATGGACGTAGCTCTATTAGCCCTTGACCTGGTTATGAATGACAAGACGGGAGCATGAGATATCCACCTCCTACCTGCGTGGATTTGGCTTTGCTGTAGTGCGGTTGCTGGTCCTGGGCAGCGTAGCCATAGTGCATAGACGTAAAGCCCATAGCACAGGAGATAACGAAACCAAGCTAGCAATCGTAATAATATCAGCACTAGGCTCTATGCATGTATTAAGTGTATCGTGGGTGGAATCACATATGTCAATATAAGCACAACATCATCCAACCCGAAGCCACGGGTCAACACTTTGATTCGAACGTAGAGGCGCGCGACCATGGCCAAGGTGTCAACTATCAAGAAGACGATCATGGCCGCGATCAAATCGTTCCGATGCCCCATATTGCCGGCTTCGAAGTCAGCGGCTCCGTAACTTAGGGACCTAAGCTCTCGGTACTTGGATGGCGCAGAATAGCGTCGGCTCCATGGGAATGAGAATAGGAGAGAATACGTGGGGGGGGGGGGATGAGAGGCGTATCAAAACGCCGCAACCAAGAGGTGGGCAACGTGCAGCTTGTTATATGGCCCGAAGGCGAAATCGAACGAGCTGAGAGGATGGCGACGAGGAGAGAGGTGTTACTGGTCATACCCGAAGCTCATTCATTACATCTTCTAGATGGCTTACTCCAGCCCAAGTTACTTAACTCCAGAGCGTATTGCCTAGCCCATACCCCAAAGTAAAACATAGGAGAGAACCTACCTAACCTAACCTATACCTATACCTATACCTATACTTATACTTATACTTATACCTATATCTAAACTTAGCAGCTAGCTTTTTAGCTACTCGGGCGAATGGCGTACAACTGGTCTCACGAGACACATATGATTGACCGCGCAGCCAACGAAACCTACAGAACAGCCTTGTCAGCTTCGTGACCGAGGCCGCCGCCCCTCCCCCCATGTCAACTACCTATCATCGACAAAGATCGGCAGAGGCCTGTAGCTAGCGGCAGCGGAACCGGTTGTGCCGTGTGCTGTGCTCTGCTCTGCTGCAGGAGGGGGACAGACAGGCGGGAGCTGAAAGCGCAGTGTAACGCTGTCTTCCTGCAACTCATCTATTTCGTGCGCCAGGGTGGTATTTTTTGGTCGCTCTCGAATGAGCGCTGGCGTTTTTTCCTTGCTGAATGGTGGTAGCTTTGTTAAGAAAAAGAAACGGCCTGAATCAAGACATGATAGTATTGAATCCCTCCTGCTGCAGCCACAGATGCGGAATACGAAGAGAGAGAGAGAGAATAAATCACTCGCCAGGTACCATGTATGCTCCGGACATTCTCTATGGCCGGGCGTATAAGCCGGTCGGGTTACCTAGCCTAGAGAGGACGTAATGATGTCGAAATGGTACTACACTGCCTAAAGCTTGGTACGGCCGAAAAGAATCCATCTTTCGTGTCATAAAGTGTGAGGTGAGGTAGGATGATAATGGCTTGAGCTTTTTTTTTTTCTTCTTCTTCTTCTGTTTATGTGTGCTTCTTCTCATAGTCTTAGTGCGGCCCTCTACTGAGAGAGATCAGTCGTGTTGCGACATGATGTCAAGCCGTCTTACTTCTCGGCTCGCTTCGTAGTGAGGGGTAAATCGTACTTCATTCGCCTGAGAAGCATCTAAATACTACCTTATTATCTAAAGAAAGCCTAGGTAAAGAGCCCCTCCCCAGTATGTCTTGCATGAAGGAACAAAAGCAATATGATAAATCTTGTTTTGGAGACCTTTCGCAGATTCAGGTGCCTGGGCATTAGGCAGCTAATAGGTGAGAGGCGTCGTTTGTCTCAGCTCACGGTAATTTGCTAGGTTAGAGGCCAGCCGGAATTGCATTACAGTAGGGGGGGATTCAACTGTATAAGAACAGGTAAAGAATATTTCCCCTAATTTAGGGCTTACACAAGAGAGACATAGCAAACGGATAATAATAATAATGACCCGGCAGTCCCAAATGTAAATCCGCATCTCTCTTGATTAAGGGGATTTCACTCTGAATTTCATTAAGAAATACCCACGAGCATTTCCTACATATCTCTACCTGCCCTTACTTAGAAGGTATCCAGGTTGTCCGAAGCTAAGGTGTGAATAACCTAACATGTAATATATGAGCTCTTATAAAAATTTCCTATCACATATATCCTCAAGTGTCAACTAGACACGGCGGAGTAAACTTGGAATCTGATTAATTTGATTGGATATATAAGGTACCAGGTATCAATACATCACTACTCCACCATGTCTAGTTGGCACTTGAGGACATACCTACTTTGCTTCATGTTTATTAACGTAATTAGAATCGTGTAATTAGAAAGCTTACCTAGGTAGATAGCAAATAAATACTCGGCACATGTTAAGTGCTTACTTACCTTACTTAAATGAAAGAAACTTGTAGCGTTGGCCAAGATATGTGCTGTTTTCCAAGGTTTCCTATACGGAATCCTTGTCGTCCCTTTCGTCCTTGCGTCCCGCAAAACTTGGATCACCTCTCCCGTGGACTCGGTACCTAACAACCGTTTACCGCAACCTTGGGAAGAAGAAAAAAAAGCGCGTTCCCCTTCCCTACGCCGCTCGCTAAATTTTCCCAACGCCCCGGGTCGCCGTTCCGACGAGATAGCAAACAATATTCTTAGGTTAGGTACCTTATCTAGGTTCTTTGTGTTGGAACGCCCTCACCTTCTATTCTATAATACAAAGATATAATACAAAGAGTCGGGGACCGACCGGACGTATGTTTCTTCCTCTCCTCCACCGCCTCTTTCCTCACTCACTCATTCATTCACTCACTCATTCCCATCTCATATAAATACATTCGTTTAGCCTAGTTGGAATATTATTTCCTGTTGTTTTGCGTCGGAGAACTAGAGTGAGAACAGAACACGGGACCTGAGTGTCTTTTAAGAGATAGTTGGTTGTATTTCAGGTAAAGAAAGGAAAGGAAAAGAAAACAAAAAGGCGTCACCTCAAGATGCGAGTATCAACACGATCCAACCTCGCGGCAGCGACGCTCGCCTTCGCCTTCGCCTCCATCACCACCTCCGCGGCAGGGGAAATCACGGACGCAGTTCGGAGCAAGAACTCGACGTGGATGGCGTCTAGCATCATGTCGCGCAGCCAGGGCATCATGACGGGCAACGGCGGCTCCTCGGAGCTCCTGCAAGCGGGCTTCACGCAGCGCGCGCTCACGGCGCTCGCGGCGCAGTACCCCTCCGACGCATTCACCTCGGACGCGAAGGCGTACGTCCTGTCGAGCGCCTCGTCGGTGTCGCCCTTCGTCCGGAACGCCACGCGCGACGCCCTCGCGTACCCGCTCGACCGGCTGTCCAACGGCCTCGCGCTCCTGGACCTGGCGACGCCGACGGAAAACCTGACGTCGGGCCCGGGGTCGTTCGCGATCGCAGCGACCGCCCTGCGCGAGAGCATCGACCTCAACCGCCGCAACGCCGAGGGCGGCATGTGGTACTACACATACCCACACTGGAGCTACCTCGACGGCATGTACTCGCTGGCGCCCTTCTACGTGCGGTTCCACGTGGAGGCCGAGACGGCCTACCCCATCCCCGAGTGGAAGCAGGCCACCGTCGACGCCGCCAACGACACCTACCACCAGCTGGACCTGCTGTGGCGCCACACGCGCAACGCGTCGTCGGGGCTGCTGGCGCACGGCTACGACGCCTCGCGCACCGCCGTGTGGGCGGACCCGGATACGGGCGCGAGCCCGCACGTCTGGGGCCGGAGCCTGGGCTGGTACGCGATGGCGCTGGTGGACCTGCTCGAGGTGCTGCCCGAGTCCGCGGCCCTGTGCGAGTACCGGGATCTCGTGCTCGAGAAGCTGCGCTCCCTCGCCGGCGCGATTGTGAAGGCGGTTGATCCGGCGACGGGAGGATGGTGGCAGGTTCTGGACGAGCCGGGCCGCGAGGGCAATTACATCGAGTCGAGCGGCAGCGCCATGTTCGCGTATGCTCTGCTAAAGGGCACGAGACTCGGGTACTTTGCCACGGACGCCACTCTGGCATCGGCTGCCGTGGATGCTGCTATTCGCGGCCACGGGTACCTAACAGATACGTTTGTGGTCCGTGAGACGAACGGCACGCTTGGGTACAACGGGACTGTGTCGGTGTGCAGCTTGAACTCGACGGCAACTTATGAGGTAAGCAATTGTCGCGTACATTCGCAACTTTCTATGGTGAGAAGCTAACGAGTTGTTATCATAGTACTATATTGGACAGCCCATCAACTATAACAGCGTGCTCGGATCCGCAGCTTACATACTTGCATCCCTTGAAGTAGAGCGCCTGGCGGCTCAGTGAATGAATCATGGCCGTATATATATGTAATACCTCATCTTGTAGGCTAATTCGTTTCAAATGATACCCGCCAGGGTCAAATACGTTATATTACAAGTTCAATGTACGCTATTAATACAGAATGCCAATCGAATCATATCCTCATTGATGTACCACTTGACTAACGACCAGGTTGCTGAAGAGTCTTGATCTAGCCATACCCACCCATACATACTTAAACTTTATCTCTTCTCTTAAATAATAACTAAAGTGATGGGAATGTAATAACGGACGTGCGTATACCATTGACACGAATGCTTTTACCCGGCCATTTTACTTACCTAGCCCACGTTGTCATAGGTAAATGCTCTGAGACTTGCAGGAACTGTCTATAATCAGTCCGTCTAATGAAAGACCGATAATGCTTAGACCACGAGGCATGGCTAATAAGTTAGGTTAGGTTAGGTACCTCCTATGCAGATTTATCAAATTAGCGATGGTGACTACCGAGCCCTCTGATAGATCTGATGATCAAGTTCGCACGAGATCTGATCACAAGTATCAATAAGTCCATTCCAACGCAGGCACGCAGTCTTCATCAAGGGCCAAATAAATTTGCGCCGGGTCGCCACAAAGTTTGTGGATAAGGAATTAGCAGGGACCGGCTATTTATCGACAAGGCGGAGATGACTTCTTATCGCCGGAATACAGACCAGATAATTGTTGGAAGTTAGAGTAAGATTTTAAATATATTTCAGCTCGCCCTTTGTGTAAGCCCAGGGTTTTCAGGAAAGCCGCACGGTACTTCTGGCAAGCAGCGAGGTAATTATTCCCAGGAGTCATCGAGACCAGGAAGCCGGTTTACTTAGATAAGGGGCCTAGATGAAAGGATCGACAGTAAACAGGCAAAACCCGCGCATGCTGGGCGAAGCAGTCCAACGGTAGAGATTCACGACTGGGCAATCACACGAAAATCATCCGACTTCTCAAACTGCAAGGAGAACTTCCCCAGTCCGCGTAAGCTCCAGGCTAGATCGTGTATGTGGCGGGCAGGCAGCACTCATGTCAAGAAGCGGCCTTGGCCATGTCCTTATCTCGCAGCCTTTGCGAGACGGATCATGCGGGATCTCGTTACAAAAACCTCGTCGTCATCAAAGATATATTGACCATGTCGAGTAGGTAGCCCAAATAGGCGATTTTGGGGCCTGCGAGATGAAGTTATATGAAATCTTCTGCCATCCGATATTGATCCGTAATCCAGGCTAAAGAGGCTGAATGACCTCGTCAGGTTTGGTGGGGCCAACGAAGACCGGCTTGGAGAGCTGCTACCAATCATGAAGTGAATTACCTGGCTAGGTTATTCAAATCGCAGATTAGAATGTCCCTGGACTCTCGGGTTCGCTGAGGGCATCATGCCGCACCTAGCTCATGGCAATATGCACCTTGTAAGAACTCCAAGCTCTAGAACTTGTAATTTCAGGGGAAGTAAATGCCATCGATTCGCCGATAATCAAGTTCAAGTGTATCTCAGCAGCCGTTGATCGAAACAAACTCCTCGGAAGAGACTTGAAGAGGAAGGTGGTTTTCCTCACGATTTTCGCATTTCTTGCGGAGGGATTGATATCAGGATGTCCGGCTTTCTTCGGTCTTCCCGCGATACGTAGAGCGGTGCTTGCGACGCCATGAACCGGTAGGCAAGCAAAAGTACCGTATCTTCAAAACGGCATGGTTCTTGATTTCTATGAGTCTCGCGATTTCATAGAAGCAAGTTCTAAGCGTGTCTCTATTTAATATCAGTGGTCTGCTGCCTGACTCCTTAAACTCGTATCACTCTTCTGATGCTTGCGGGACATCAAAGCTCATGATAAGTTCTCGTGCGTGATGTAGCATGGGTAAGACACCGGACCTAGACTTTAATATAAAGTAAGGTTGTACCAAAAATAGCTCGACACCTTCGCAACGTGAATATCTGGGCTGCTCTGTAATATAACCGTACCGTGAAACCGATGCCCGATACTGCACCTCGGAAATCATCGTCTTGATTTCTGCAGCCACTAGCGTAGTATGAAAATACGACAGGTTCCGGAAGGATGGGAAGAATGCGAAAATGGCAGCCCACTCGGGATGACTGCTTCAACGGGAGACAGTCGTGAGGTCCCGAATCATGCAGGTCTAATGCTATATAAGATCGATCAGGATAGAAGATAGCGATGTGTCAAAGACGCGAGTATATAAGATGCTGTTTGTCCACGATTGAAATCATCATGTAACTATATTCATCGTCAGTTCATCCATATCAGCCAAAGCCCATAATTATAAGACTCGGTCTAACTGTACAACATATTGTCAGTAACATCTCGTATAACAGACCTAACGAAGTTAACTTGGAGGAATAGTCAATCCCCAAAATGAAGGTCCTCATCGGCTTCGTTGCGGCACTAGCCAGGTAATACAGCTGTCGACTTCCCATTAACAATCAACGTTGGACTTCATCGTGCTAACCAAATTAAAGTGTCATCGGTATTGTTAGTGCTGCCCCAGCGGAGGCTATTGCCGACCCAAACGTGGAGGCCCCAGAGAATCATAGCCCTTCACACTTGCCCACGAAGACCGCCAGCCCCATAAGCTCTTCGACGACGACTACATTCATCATCAGCATCACCACGCTCCCGGGCCAGCCCACTCCCACTACAGCTATCCCAGTCGCTTGCCCGACAGTGACACACACGACCCGGCCCAGCAACTGTGAGCCTATGCAGTGCCCAGTTCCTGGTTGCACGTTCCAAAAGGAACTGCTCGTCCCGTGCGGTTGCGCTGGCGTCAAGACTGCTCTCTTTGTCGACGGGTGCCAGACTGCTTGCCCCGAAGGTTGCATGACCCGGTTGAGGACAGTCACGGCTCTCTGTGCTACCCCGACCGCGCGGCCTTGAATAGCCCGAGAGGTAGAAAATGCCCGGTTATTAGGGGAGAAGAAGACATTATGCTAAGCATGTCCACAGAGGGGCCTTCTTTTCAAAACAAGTCTCGCGCTTCGGATGATGATAATGCAGACAAGTCGTTTGTTTATGTGGGTTTGTCATATGAGACAGCCAATTTCATATCTCGTTCTTAAAAAGTTGTATACCTGTCATCTTGTGTGTCGATTAGTACCTAGGTAGTCGTTATCAACATGCCGATTAGTTTTATTTTTTTGATGATATTATTTTCTTAATTTAGGTAGTTATATAAAAAAAAAAAAAAAGTAGAAACTTTAAAGCTCGGAAGGACGTTCAATAAGAGAGGCAGGAGGTACCATGTCGTTGCTATGTAGGTACCTTAGTACCTTGAATAACAAGCCTTAGATAACCTAGCTCAGATAGCCCAAATCTTCATGCGCTAATCGGCCGCCAGAATGACGCTATAACCGATGAGTGCCTAGCGCCCGTATTACTGTGGCTCACTAGGCTTTCCAAGCCTCTCCCAGCCTGTTGGATGTCCCGCTGCCCGCTGCATCGGCGCCCCACAGACGCATGCCGGGACTCCAGCTTGTCCAGTCAATCGGACCTCGTGATCAGGGTCATTCTACGTATGTACCCCCTTCGGCCCCTTTACTTACATAGTACACCGTTTTTATCTTTACTTCATCCCTTTTTATATTTACTCTCTTCGCTCTCTTTTTTAGCTTTCTTTACTAGTAATTCTCCGATCACACTAAGACTACATACGAGTCAATTATAAATTTTGGCAAAAACACAAAAATGACATCAAGATACAGGGTCGAGTGTAAGTTTCAAATTCCACGGATTGTCTTCCGTCATAAGCTGAATATAAGGCCAACAACAACTATAACAATAACAATAACTAACACGAGCACTTTTGTAGATGCGTTGAAGACTCACAGGCGAGACCAGTTTATAGGTATTTATCCAGCACCACGATCCTTCGCCGATCCTTCACTGTTTTACCGTCGTCGTTGGAAAACAGGCTTCCGGATACCGGATATCCCCAGGGCCCTGCGTCTTAACGATGAACTTACCCTCATAAATCTCCAAATAAATCCTTGATCAGCCAGCATATTGTCAACATTCATAATACCTTTAGGTAACTAACATACGCTCCAGAATGGATCAAAGGGTTATTGGCCGTCCCCTTTGTATTATACTCACAGCCCACAGGCGTTTTTGAAACCAATGGATTCAACGTGACTCAGATGTCCGAAGAGGCGCACAGGCGTTATGCCGAAATCATGAGGGACGTCGAGGTGATGATCGACGATCACAGTACGTCCACTCGTTGCTCGCCTTTCCCCGCCCTCCTCCTCCTTCTTCTCCTCCCTCCTCGGAACCAAACTCCAGGCCAGTCATTGACGTATTTCATCTTCAGTAACGCACCAATTAGAATCGAGCAGGGTCCCCTCTAAGCTCAAGCTCCTCGTCCCGACCATAGGCAACTTCTTCACCCGGCTGCCCCTCGAGGCCGCCTTCAAGTTCCAGGACCGCAAGCGCTACATCTCCTCCCGCCGCTTCGTCTCCCCTTCCTTCAACGACGTGCGCCTGATCCTCAACACCGCCCAGCTCATGGCCGTCACTACCCACGGCACCCTCCAGCTCGCCACGTTCGACGGAGACGTCACGCTGTACGACGACGGCGAGAGCCTGGAACCCACCAGCCCCGTCATCTCGCGCATGATCGACCTCATGCGCAAGAACGTCAAGATCGGCATCGTCACGGCCGCCGGGTACACCCTGGCCGAGCAGTACTACGCCCGCCTCCACGGGCTGCTCGACGCGATCGCGAGCTCCACGGCGCTGACGCCGCAGCAGCGCCAGAACATCGTCATCATGGGCGGCGAGGCCAACTACCTGTTCGAGTTCAGCCCGACGTCGCCGCACCTGCTGTCCCCGGTGCCGCGGGAGCGGTGGCTGACGGCGGAGATGGCCTCGTGGTCGGACGCGGCGATCACGGCGCTGCTGGACGTCGCGGAGGCCGCCCTGCGCGACTGCATCAAGAACCTGAACCTGCCGGCGACGCTGATGCGCAAGGACCGCGCCGTCGGCATCATCCCGAGCCCGGCGACGGTGCGCATCCCGCGCGAGTCCCTCGAGGAGACGGTGCTCGTCGTCCAGAAGATCCTCGAGCTGAGCGTCGTCGGCGGCCGCGACTTCGACAACAACAACAAGCAGCTCGTGCCCTTCTGCGCCTTCAACGGCGGCCGCGACGTCTTCGTCGACATCGGCGACAAGAGCTGGGGCGTCTCCGTCTGCCAGCAGTGGTTCGGCGGCAGCGACGCCCAGTCCCGCATCCGCCCCGAGCAGACCCTCCACGTCGGCGACCAGTTCCTCAGCGCCGGGAGCAACGACTTCAAGGCCCGCAGCGTCTCCACCACCGCCTGGATCGCGAGTCCCGCCGAGACCGTCGAGCTGCTCGACGAGCTGGCCGGGTTCATGAGCAAGAAGTTAAGCTGAGCTCTAAGCGAGGCGAGGCGAGGAGCGAAGCTAGCTTTGATCTCTTAGTTCTTCTTTCTTCCAACCTAGGTACCTACCCCCCAAGGTACATATAATAAAGTACGGTTGTAAGCGACGGTAATGACAGTAATGACGGCATTCCACACGCATAGTACGAAAGGAAAGGAAAGAAAAGGAAAAAGCGTATATGAGATTGCGAGAGAATAGCGATCTAATAAAAAAAAACTATATTCATTCCCGGGCGGGGAGGGCGTGGCATGTTTGGCGTTGGACGGGTGTGTGTGGCGGCCGATTCTAGTATACTTTTATATAATTGAATTCAAGGGGAGGGGGGGGGCTGGGGGGGGCGGCTCCAAAGCAAGGATGCAAAATGAAAAAAAAAAGAGAGAGATATATATATATATAGATAGACGGGTTGATCTTGCATAGGTAGCTAGCTACCTCCTACTCAGGCACGTTTTAATATAGTATTCTAATGCATGATTACGATGGGGCGGGAATAAAAATGCATGAAGTTGGATTTCATCCGATTTCGTACGCTTGTACGTCTTTGAAGGAACGCCACATAGCATTATCTAGTATTACACGATATCGACTATGCAGTGCCGTTAGGTTACGTCGCTATTGACATACAACGGACCAGTAAAGGATGATGAGTCTACATATAGCTTAGCCAAGAAACTTAGCATGAACATTGACTTCGACAACTTGACGCACTGGGCGAAAGAACATACAAGATGGATACACGAGAGATGCTAATATTTGTATTAGACTTAATGACTTAATAAACCAGTTGCCCGGTCCTAAAACGTATATCTCTTCGTCCATACATTCCTCACCAATGGGGGCGCATTTTCATTAAAATACCTGCTTTTCTTCTCCATTTTTGCGCCGCCTCTTTCTCTCTCTTTCACACTGAAAATAAGGGGGTCACTGCCCAAGGTATAAATGTCTAATGTGCAATGTCCGATGTGCAACATCCAGTCTGCCAAAATTAATTTTGTTCTTTTTTTTCTTTTGTCTTGTCCGTCCAGGTGCCAATCAAAGCCGACCACCATATTTATATGCATCCCGAAGCAGGGACAACCTGCCAGCACATAATTCAAATAACGCTAATCCGTAGAATTCGGGGATAAATCCCGCCCCTTCATGCAACCTTTCCGATGCCAATTTCATCACCCTGCATACCTTATAACATAAACTGGCCCGTAAATTCCCATGGGTAGAAGGGAAGGAGAAAAGAAAATCGTGGGTATTGGGGTATTTCGATGGCCATGCGGGGGAAAAAAAAGAAAATTATAGAGTAAATAGTGGGTGTGCTCAAAACTAGACAAACGGTCTCCTCTAACTGCCAAAATCTCTCCGCCAAGTAAAAACGATAAACGAGGTAGAATAGTGGGCGCGGAGAACGTGAATTACGATTGAAATCGCTCCTGCCAATGATGACGACTGTCGGGACGTATTTACTAGGATCACGGCTTTCGAAGTTGTCCAAGAGGTGCGCCGAAGTTGCTGGATGGCTTTAATTTGAGAGGAACCTCTTCCTCTTGCTCTTCTAGTTCTTCATGAACATCATGTACAGCATCGTCAGTCTTCGCCAACGGCTCGGACGAATCTGTCGTAAAGTAACTTCCGTGCTTAAGGACAGTTGGAGTAGCATCATGAGTAATGACATCCGCGAGCTTATCGTTTAGAGCCTTGAGGAATGGTTCGTCGGCGGCAGGAAGATTCCGAAGGGTTAAGGGACCTTTTAGTTCCGGATCCTTATCTTTCTCATCCTCGAATTCGTCCTGGACATCGGCAGCTATGAGAAATTCCAGGTTGCGACGTGACGCCTCGGAGTTGGCGACTTCCTCGGACACTTCCGCCTGCTGCTGCTGCTCCTCCTCCTCAGGAGAATGCCTAGGGGTCGATGAACCAGAGCTGTCAGCTGTGTTAACTGCCGCAGTAGACTCAACAGTATGGAGTCTGGACAGGGAAATAGAGTGGTTCGGGGTGTGTCCGGCATGCATAATAAGTCTATCAGACTCAGGAGCCTGAAGCGTCTCTTTTGTCAACTCAGCCGGCCCAGCACGTGGACGAATTGGCTCCTGCTTAGCTCCAGGGACAGGGGGGGAGATTGTCCCGGTAGACCATGCGGATGGCTTATCATCGGTGAAGGTCGCCTTCTGGACAATATCAGGCCGGACCCGGATTCCTTCTAACCCGGGAATAACCTCTTGTATGTCGATTGAGGGGACGCGTTCTTGTTGAGCCGCTGGTGAGCTCACTCCTGGCGACGGGCCCTGCATACGCGGATCCAAGGGAATGAAAGGTCTCGATTCCGGCATCGTCGTCGATCCATGAAACTCAGTGGGTAAAACTCTTTTGGGAGACGTGCCATCTGACGGGCTCCAGAAATTGGCACTTGACTGCGAGGGGGTCTCTAAACTGCTAAGACCACCACCTCTGAGAGAGCCTATAGCGGCTTCGTGAGCACTGTCAACGGGCATTTTCAAGTATCCACCTTTGGCCTGTATGCTCCCTAGCAAGCTAGCCATCTCGTCTCTCTGCTTTTCGGCTAGTTCCGCCCTCCTTTTCCATTCAGACAAATCCCTCCGTAGGTTATTCTTCTCCTCCAGCCATAATATTCGTTCCTCCTCAATTATCGCTCGTTCTTCCTGATACATTTCCTCCGCCCGAGTGCGGCTAGCCTCAAAATGTGCGCGTTCAGCACGCATATTCTCAATCAGTTTTCGATTTTGCTCTTCCCTGCGCTGTAGCAGGTTGAAAAGAGCTTGATGGCTCATATTATCGAGTGCCGTACTAGGGACCAGAGATGGAGAAGTTGCACCAGACCCAATTTGGTACCTTGTCGGAGACAGGCTAGTCGATCTCTGCACGGGGATGTTTGGAGAAGTTGGAAGTGGAAGATATTGCTCCTGGGACTGCGAAGGTATGGAAACTGATGGCGAATGAGAATAATCGGAAGGTGGTAAATTTGTGGGTTTTGGGGAAATAGTATTTAAAGCATGCGGTAGAGATAATGGAGAAATCACTGATGCTGAAGAGTGGCCGTTGAGATGAGAGGCAAATGGCATCGAGCGCAGGTTTGGATCAAGCATGTCGCTCGACGGCAAAAAGGAGTCGGGCGGCAACCTTGTCATAGCTAGCATGGTTAAGACAGTTGCGTTGCAAAGGAGCAACAGAAGAAGAAAAAAAATGTAGGGGGGTATAGTTGATGTAGAGGTTGCGTATCGTAAAATTGGCCGGGTCAATTACGATATATACCTAGATCTAGGTTTCTCTAAGCTTCCCTAGTCGTGACGAGATTTCCGGAAACCCGACAGGGTAGTCGTTCGTAACTGAGAGCTTGAAAATAAGCTAGCATCGAGCTTCTCATTCGACAACGAGTATGCACATATATGTAGGTAATGGTGGCTTGATCGATAAGGGACAGCAAAAACCAATTGAACCAACCCGAAGGAAAGGGGAAAGTTCTATTTCAAGCCGGAACCTGTGAGGTACGACCACCTGGCAGCTGCTGTCAAGTTTGACTCTTGTTCGTCTGGCTCGTCTAACTCGTCTAACTCGTCTAATTCGCCCAACTTCGTCTGGAAGATGCAGTAATCGATGCAGTAACGGGAATCCAAAACTCTGATTCGTGGTTGGTTTCGAGATCGTTTCGATAAGGTCGCGATAGGCCGTTATAAATGGCACGTTTCGAAAAGCTGGTGAGATTAATGTACCGAGATAAGCCCAGTCTGCTCAGTCTACGTGTACAAAACACAATCTCCCTTTGGTAGTTGCGATAATAACTATAATATCAAGATTCGGCCAGCGTCTATTTCATGTTTTACAAAACGAGCAGTTATCCGGGAATTTGTGGCTTTGGTTTTATTCGACTGTTTGATTCTTCGTTCTTGTTCATAAAAGAGGTATTTGCATTTGATAAGATACGACCGACTGTTGTGGGTTGGTGGGTTTGTGGATTTATGAGTTTTTTTTTTTTTTTTTGATTAGAAAAGCGAAAACAAGATGGGGCGCAAAGAGAACGGGAGGTAGGTACCGGGATAGTTGTATTAGTGCAGGTCGATGATGGAGGGATTTAGAAGATGAACTAATTTAATATGGACCTTACAGGGGTTGCGTTGAATGGGAGCAGGCTCCTCCCCTTCCGCCCTACTTAGGTACACATGAGGTACGTACATGTTCCTGCTTTAGCTGGTTTAGAACCCTTTTTGGGCGCTAAATGACCGAATAGGTACTTGATCGTAGGTACTTAGGTACTATTAGGTAGGTACTAGGTAGGAGGTAGGTAATACATAAACCTTCTTGAAGTCACATGGAAAGAGACCGGCCTGTCGGAGCGGATCTGCCAGTCCCGCCGGGACTGCCAGGCACAGTGGAGACAGCGGGGTCGTAAGACCTCTTTTCAACGTCTGCCACGTCCTTTTGCTTCTTCTCCACACATCCACCTAGATTAAGCCTAGTCGGTAATTCCATCCATTACCCACTTCCCTCTCCGCCCTCTCCTCCAACCACATTTCCGCTTTCTCCCTCTCTCACTCAAATTCCCAATTCCAATCTTGTCAATCCTCTTCAGATCCTTTTCCCATCTGATTAGTGCCATTTCAAACTCGTCGAGTGCCACACGTAGATCAGCATCCACCAGTCTCACCTCTCACACCTCCCTTATGCATGATATAGTACAAATACATACATACAGACCAGACAACCAGACAAGACAAGTTAAAGACAAGACAAAGACGTAAACAATCGAATAGATTGATATCATATATCAGTTTCTGCCATATCGAATTTACTACCCTGCTACCAGGGGAATGCTTATAAGATACATAGTATGCCGTCATCTAGTTGGACAATGGCAAACCCTCAGCCAGCCATGTCAAAGTCTGGCCATCTGGCACGATAAGTGCCCAACCTGCCCGGCCTGCCATACCTAAACTTGTGCTTCAGCAATTTACCTCGAGTATTCCGTACCTTGTCCTACCAGGTACATACTAGGTATATATGAGAGATATTTGTTGCTGGCATCTCTCTGCCAGTTCCAACTATCCAATTGTCCTTCGCCAGCGCGACCGATTATCATAATCCCACCAACTACTGCAACGTGCCAATGGACAATAGACAATGGATAATGGACAAGGAATAATTTACCAGAATAACATGGGGACGGCCCGCGGGAGCTTCGACTCTCGAGTAGGACCCCTTACAATGCGAAACAACCTCAGTCGTCCAATCAGAACTTTCCCAACAGCTACATAGTACTCTTACTCGCAGAATGGCTGACATGCACTTCAGCTTCTTACCCATCTCTTAACTCCACAAGTTTATTCCCTCTTTGGATTTATCGCTTAGAGTGTTTCTCCTTTACCGGGCCTCCCGCCCGTTGACGCGCTATCGTGCTGATGGCTTCCTCATCGGACTTCCCATGTGTTCATATGTATCAAATGTATCAAATCAGGGTCCCCTTTTGTATTCCGGAGGCGTTTGCTCCCTAACCAAATTAGATTGCTCATTAATTTACTTACCAGGTACCACTGTCTAAAGGGTCTTTCCAAAGGGTCTTTGAAGGACCCTAAGACCCTGCTGTTGGTGACCAATACGACTTTCCTTATTCGACGGAGAAACTCCCTCTTCTCCAATGGCTACCCCCGATCCTTCATTGGTTCATTGGCGATGGAAGTTGTTTTTTTCACCAGTTCTACCATCACCCACACCAAAACTGCGGAACTTCTTATGACCAATATTTTACCTAAATATTATAACTAACGTTGTTAAAACCTCCGCTTACTATGGATTAGACGACCATGTGAACGCCTTTTCACGGGGGCATACGGTATGAGGCCCTGTCCAAATGGATAACAGCGCGAAAACCAAAATTAACGTTTACACAATTCTGTTGGATACCACCGGATGCTACCATGTCTTTCCCCTCAATTGCCTTGAAACGTCATGCAAAACATTTCTTCCAACTCCACCAAAGCATCAATCTCCATCGACTGGTACCAAATGGATAGGAGGTACCTACCTATCCTACCTTATAATACCAAGCGAATAATATGTATAATAACATCACCATTTACTTGTTGCGAGTAAATTATTAATAGTTGCCCAAGCTTAACCCTTCAGTCTTCAGGCTTCAGGCGGCTGGAACACTTCTAGAAGATTTATCCGCTACGGGTTCTAAGCGTAGGGCTGAATTAGGTAGGTTTGGTCCCTGGACTTCCCCTCTTTTAATAAAATTAATAAAAAACAATCAGAAACCGCTGGAGCCGTCGTCAGCATGAAGAAGCTAACTTGAAGGTCACGAGAACTGCTGATTTGCCTAGACTCTCATGGTAAATTTTCACAATTTTTAGCTACGCAGACTGGGCCGGGCTAATAACTCTGTCAAAATATACACGCTCAAGCAGTCAAGGTAACGTCGTTTCACCCTACAACGTTTTTCAGCTGACTCGGGCGCATCTAGCCGCCACGCGCTCATCGAATTCTAGACCGGAGGATAGTTCAGAATATTTACATTAAACGTTTAGCGTGTTGCTAGAGTACACTAATAAACATCATACTCTACGACCAAATTCTACTTCCTAGGTGAAATCAGTCGGATGAGAGTATTCCTTGTAGTCAGGGCTAACCCTTGACAGAAAATCAGAGTCTGGGATCTAACAATTTGGACGTTTTGCAAGCGCCCAAGCTATTCGGCGAAAATATTTGGCCGCTTAATATTCGGCCTCACTGCTCCATCGTTATCACTGCAAGTCATGCGACTCTTCGGTCGTATAACCGTCTGGACATGACCGAATGCGCACACCGCTTAGGAGTGCCTATATTTGGGATCCAAAGCGAGGCAAGTGAGAATTGGTACGCTTTGCCAAATTAAGTCAACATACCAGAAGACTTTACCATATTCTACGGCGAGATTGCCGAGTTCCCAGGGATCATGAGCGTGGAGAGGGTTAGGTTAGTAGCAGTCCTGGGTTAGTAGTGTCGATTGAATCTGGGAGTTTGCCGGCATCGGCAACCTTCGAAATACGCGCAAGCAGACAAGGCGATGCTTGCTCACAATTCCGTTATTGCTCGTGGCTCCACAGTTCCGGCGGCTTGGCAAACGTGTCGCCTCGAAGGAATCCAAAGACAATATTCTTATCCTTTCCATTGACCTTTTACATACCTCCTATCTTAGGAAGACCCAGTACCTAACTACTCTGTAGTGAGAACTCAATCGAAGCTGCAAGATATGCAGAGAGAACGAATGGCCAGTCACTCAACTAATCACCGAAACATATCTTGATTTACCTGAGACCAGCATTGGTCCAGTTTTCCGATACCTAGTCTCGCAGCACTGCAGCCAAAAGGTCCACGTCACCCACCCGTCGCATGGAAATTCAAATAGTAAACAGAGCCTATTGCGGCTCTCACCGCAACACGCTCTGACCAACCATATCCCTTTAGCCGAAGGAATCTTAAGCTGGTAGATAAGAGAGACTAACGATTAAGCCCCCTGCTATGCTAAATCTTCCGAAATTATTATACGATAGTCATTGTATGGTATTGTATGTTCATGATACTTGTGTCTTGCGGGCGGATCGTAAACAGTCGTTGCAGAAAATACTTTGGGGGAACGCGGAGAAAATGGGGGAGCGCTTCTTCCCGCACCGAGGCTCGTGGAGTCTCACCGCCATGGCACATACATACCAGGCATGACATGACATTCAAGGTTCCAAAGTTCCAAAGTTCCAAACGTTGACCTAGGTAGGTATGTAATGAGACCCAGAATGATAAACACAAAGTTTCCCCGGAATTGCCGATCATACGCGGTCAAGCAGTCGTGGTAATTTACCACGGCTAGTTTCCGTTAGCTAGCCGCTCCTGCGTACCGGACTACCGGGGCTTCGGTCTCGGTACCACTATTTCATCATTCCATCGTCGCCGGTCGGCTCGATGGGGAAGACCATGATTCCAACAAGTTGAACAGTATCACGTCGATTAATACAGACACTGTTATAAGGATAGGCTGACAGTTTGAATCCTCGTCAACCAGTTCCTACCTAGTAGGCTGAGTGTTCGGTTGTTCGGGCCTTCGGTATTTCGGTATTTTAACTACGACGGATTTTCTTCTCCGCTTCACTTAGAAACCTTAAAATCTACACAGTGCGCTTTCAATCGTTCTGTCGAGCTCTTGTAGAATAATTCGCTAAGCTCAAGATGCTCTAGAAGACGTGTTGGTCTTTCAGATTATGTTTATTGATTCTCAAGACCGTCAGTCTTCAACAGTCTTGCATTGATACAGCGAATTTCAGTTCATTTCAGCCGTTGTCAACCTACGAATGAATCTTAGTCGCAATTACGCAGGAGGACTCCATATATATAAAGGAAGGAAAATGGCTATTGCTTGTGTTGTGTCTTCTACAGTGTCTAAAAACCCACGATGTTGTGACTCTGGGCGAGATATCTCAACCGAAACCCGTTTTCAGTACAGAGCCACGTACTCTTGTAGCCTGTATTGGAGCTCTTCGTGTAGCGTGTACGTTAATTTGATGCCTTCAGAGCCTACTTCATGATTGTACAGAACATCTTTAATTAATTCTGGTTGATGTCAACAATCTCAACTGCAGATTACTCGAGTGCTCTTTGCGCCGTTTTTATTAATTTCATTTCCACCTATAATACCTACCTTAGGTAGGAGGTGGGCTTCCAAGTATCCTGTATAAACGTTGTTTACCGTGCGACTAATAGGGTTGGGATTTTTGTCAGGTATGCTCGGTGATAGAGGTCATATACAAAGTGAGTGTCAGGGGCATAATATGCAGTCTATTGTAAAGATTAGAACGCCTAGCCTTGTAGCCTCATTCACCCTTTATAGACAGTAGACCCCTACTATATCCACATAACCCTGGCAGTATTTGTCCTTCATGGATGTCATATACGGAGTGGGTGTCAGGGTTGTACATAAAGTATATTGGGCTAGTCTAGTAACATCTGGCTTTCTATCCTCTTGCGAGGGTGCTGACTATTCTTTATATACCTTGGGTAGCCACTGGGCTTTTATTTCGCTTGTTTATCCTGTATATTCCTGCAGTGATTTATCTGGGTTGAATGGCCTCTAAAAGAATATCAATATTAGAGGAAGTACCTCGACTATGTAATAGCCTAATAAGAGATACAACAGACTGCTCATGGCACATTGAGAAGTTTTAGAAGCCTTCGTATATCAGCATTTATCATTAAACATCTTACAAGACTATAGGTGCTAGTCGTTACGACGTACTATGCATTCGCCCAGAGGAAGATTGCCATAATATCGTGGTTCGTGGATTAGACATTTCCTTGATTTAGGTAAGGCTCCCCCCTATGAGTTAAACCCCCAATGCTTACCATCCTGTCACGTCGCAGAGCATGAGGTAAGAAAACAACTTCGTTGTTCCGCAATGAACTCTAACTACAGTGGCTTTGAAGCCAAAGCTATATACCGAACAACTCCTTTGTTCCAAGGAGTCTCAAGTGAGACTCCTGACACATCCCATCCTAATAAGACCATGATAAACCAAGAGAACTAGCAGCTGCGTGCTAAATATAATTGTTTTGTTCAAAATGCCAGAGATAAGGCTACCCTAGACGGATGACTTTGCACTTGGGAGTCCCAATTTTGATATTATGGCTTACTACCAGATAACCACTTGCTACTTGCATATAAAGGGGACAGAGTCCCCTTATAGTTAAGGAAAGAACGTTAGATACGCTCTAATATAATGGACGCTTAAACCTGTCGGTAATACGTTAATTTATAGGTGATATGACGGTACCAAGGGCTATTCCTGATAGAAAAGCGCAACGTTTAGTTAATTTTTAAGTTCAAGAGACTACCTCCTACCTAGTAGCAATGAGGGAGGTAAGCGCGACTGTAAATTTATCTATGGCGTCCTTTTACGACAAATTAGCCATCTAGCACGTTGCTTTCCTCATCGATTATTATGTTGTATCAAACAGTACTCGTGATGGATATCGTATACAGAGTGAGTGTCAGAGAGGGCCAGTAGGTATATAGTATATTGTAGATGATCTAGTAACGACTGGCCTTCTAACCTCCTTTGAGGGAGATGGCTACCCTTTATATACCTAAGGCAATATACCCCTTGAGGTATCCACATATCCACATACTCCTGACATATTGAGCCTTAAATCTTGTTGAAAACAATGGACGGAAAGAATAGGAAAGAAAGTTTCATGCTATACCTAACTGTAAATTCAACTGGGACATAGTAAAGCATCAAAAGAGCTAGCTAACTAGGAGAGACACTGTCAACTTCCGTTGTAGTATCAAATTTTGACGTATTATTTAATGGATTATGTCGGAGGTGGCTTTTCTTCTCTAAGAATTACAACGTAATAACAGACTCTAGGTAGTTTTTCTCTTTAAAAAAAAGAAATGTGACAATCAAGTCAGTTGTAATTTCTTGCAATCATTTTCAACTACTCAAAGCACATATCTCCCTCCGTCTTTAGGGTTCCCATCAACTTAATGAGTTACCATTATATCCAAGACAAGGGCTCAGTGATTCCAACCAGATCTGTGGGCAGGACGCACCAATTTAAGACCCTCAAGACATCTCTCTACATGAATAAAGGATCTTTGCGTCAAACCAAAGCTTTTCCATCTAAAAGCTTACAGAGGACAAAAAGATATATAATACCCATCTACATACCTAAGGTAACCTGACAGAGTGGGCTACTAAGATGCTACGCATACAGATATCATCCCAGAGAGCACATGTCTACTGATATCAACCCACGAGTTTATTCAAAAACAGCAACTACGTAACCTAAACTACGAGCAGCATATCTATGAGCAACGACGATGGCTTTAAACAATACATATGTAGCTCACTTACTTAAAGGCGCCTTCATTCCGTAAGTGGCTAACCATAATTTCTCCATCAAATCAACCAATCCTTCAACACGCCTCCCAACGACGTACTTCGCATTCTGAAACCTGCAGCCCGATATTTCTCGCGTCACTACCAACTTAACGCCAACTAAAGGCCACGATGTCTTTTGACGTGTCCAAGATGCCCAATATGCAGGCCCCGAGCATTCCCACGGCAGAATTCCACCAGCCCATCGGGTTTGTATGCTGCCAGTGCGAATGGCGTAGCAGCGGTAGCTATTGCTCAAACCCACACGTGCCAAACTGCCCACACCGCACGGCGCCCCGCTGCCAGAACTGCCTCATCATTTTCACGGATCCGAAAAGGGGGGCGGATGGAGAGAAGGAAATCAAAGGGAGACAGAACTCGTCGGGATCTGATAGCTCAGACCAGCATAGCAGCGGTTCGGTCAACCAAACACCCTGAGCAGTAGGGTAGATCACTGGGAGGCCCTCTAGACTCGATCCTCCCTACCCTCGGGCGCTAGCGATGGCTGTGAGACGGTGCAGAGGACTGTAGATGTTTCCTGAGATGTGAGGGGCGCCATAGACCGCGCCAGAGTCCCTAGGATTCTTGTTGAATGGTAGAATGGTAGCCTTGTCAGCCTGCCTTAGCAGGCCGCGGCTAGCCTGTGATCCGTCCGTAGAAAACTAAGATAAAAAGGAGAAGAAAAAAAAGAAGTTTAATTACCTCAACATCTTCCTAAAATTACCTATCTTGACATCTGTGCGTACCTAGCCATGAACGTGAATGTCTTTCTTCCTATTTAATGTAGGCCAAAACCTGCATTATAATTAGCATCGTAAGCAAGAATCCCGACTCTTACATGCACAACGAGAACGAGATAGGGGAGCAAACGTGTTCATTCGAAGTTCCGTTGGGGAAAGTTGCAACGCCCGTGGCGTATAATATCCGGCATTCTCTGGCAAACGAAGATAACTCCGTTGAGGACGGCCGCGAAGTCTCGATACCTCAGGTAGAAATAAACCCCAACCAATACCTACATTGTGGCTTTCATTATCTCCCCCAGGAATACCTACGTAGGTCAGCTTACATAGGTATTACTTGTGGCGGTTTTCCAAACGCTGCCAAGTCGGATTGCTTTTCCAAATGGTGAATTATACGAACGCCCCCAAAGGGACCGATGTTGGGAGACAACTGCCTAGGACAAAAAACAAGTTGGCGAAATGGGCTGAGTTTTCTTTTCCTCTTTTCTTTTCCCTTTCTTTTCTCCATAGCTTACAAGCCTACCTAATGTGATGTATTGCCAACATATGCATGCATGTATGCATAGTAAGAGCACCAACACGCGGCCATAGTAAATTAAGCCCGACGAACACATTGTTGATCCTGAATAATTTCTGTGTTGCCATTTGGTTTTATCATAAAACCGGGCAAAGAAAGAAAGAGACGTATCCCACGATATCTTTATGAGACAGCTAACTACCCCATCCTGCTTCTTTCATACAAAGGGCAAGCAGAGGATCTGTACCGGCACTTAAGCCGATAGGCTCGTTGTATGACTGCCTTCGCTTGCTGTTTTGACCACCTACAATCTGATTTAAGCCTGAGGGTTGGCGCTGCGTGGCTGGCCCTACGGCTGTAGGCTGTAGATGCATCTGAAATCAAGCTTCTGCGTTGGCTTGTCAATATCGATACAAGGGAGATCAGGGTCCGTAACCCTCCCTAGAGGCTAGGCGAGTAGTTCAACTTTCTTTCTGCCTGGTCTGTGAGGTGTATGAGATCCTAAACATATCCTAAGAGACTGACCGTGGGGTGTGTATGGTGTTACTCGAACTGTTTTTAACGTCTCTTTCGTATAGAAGGATGGGAAGATTAGAGACATATACCTGGATTCGTAGAATCTACTTTAGGCCGTCTGTCAAGTCCATCTCAACAAAGAGTCTTACGAACTGAACGAGAAGACTACATTAATTCACCGAATAATAAGCTCACCGTCTATGGATAAGCATTTCCATTTCTATAGCAGCTCAAGCCACGCATATGCTAGTAAAAAGTCGCCTCCATACTGCTTACCCGAGCTACATGATTAGGATGTCTTAGCATATGAATATCAAGGTAATACCTGCACATAGCAACCTAGTAGGTATCATGTTATGCGAGTTGGCAGGATTCAGAGAATACCAAGCAGCAGATCACACACGCCTAGAGTCGATGATCTTCGAGCCACTGATGTTCCTCTGTCCTCAAGGATGAATACCCAGAATTTAGCCACCACTTTCCCGAAGTACGGAACCGACTGGTTTGCTGAGGTAAACTTCCATGGCATTTTGTGGTCGGGTATCACAATGTTTCAACTGAGTGTAGCTTTGGGAGATCGAGATCGGGTTCGTCTCGTCGCAGACCCTATGGGGCTTGCAGGATAGTAACAGGTATTGCCATCAGCAGTGTTTGTCTTCCTGTTATAAATTTTACTGTGTAAACCTCCGAAAATTTGTCGTATGTGCCGTTTAATATTGGGAGTAAACTCAAAGGTGATCCCTCCTTGAAATGGATGGTGCTTAACTTCATGCTTCTTGACATGCTTCTTTGTATTAGCCCTGGCTCCATATCCTGAAACGAAAGGAATTAGTCCAATCGATCTAAATTCAACCTGTGAAGGTAGCCGTGTAGGGCTTAGAAAAGCCTGCGCGGCCTAAATCGGATGCTGCACCTTGTACACTTTTGACGAATTCTGCTATAGCGCGATTCAGGTTGGTCAACTGGGTATATCAACTACCTTACCTAAAACTAGTTTCTGTATACCTGGTATGAGACGCTTCATCACGATAATCCAGGGCTGTAAGAAGGACTTCCCTTTTAAAAACTTAGTAGTATCACTTTGATTGCAACTAAATCTAGAGATAGAAACTACACGATCCTCCCCTTCCCCCCCCCCCAAAAAGCAAACTGCCTTTTCGGTATACCCGAAACGCCCCACGTGGCGACTAAAGACCGTGTCCTGCCGTACTCGGACGTCGAAGTTATGTTTGACGTATAAGTAAGCCCGTTCTTGGCCCCGTCGTCAGCGGCAGCGGGTGTACCACTCCTCCTGCCGTCACGATGACACCTGTAGGACAAGGGGAACGTGCCGATCGGGATGGTGGTTTTTTCAGACATGAAGCAAGATTCAGGGTTTACGTCTAGACTTTATTTCATTTCGTTTCGGCATCGGGGCTAACACGTTACAGTACACGGTTCAATCAATCAAGTATGAGATCAAACGTTTTCGGGACGCGAATATATATATGTGTGTGTGTGTGTGTGTGTGTGTGTGTGTGTGTGTGTGTTTGAGGCTTCGTTTCCTCGGGAGTGGATATCAATGACACGTCAACCCAGTCGCAGGAACGAGTCTTGAAAGCTTGGCAACATTATCTCTTCGCGGCTTGTCAAGATTCGCGCGGGTATTGTTTCAATGTTTGACCTCTCTGATACTCACTCAGCAACAGAACAGCCAGACAGAGAAAGGCAAACTTGATCAAGGAAAAAAAAGGACGCGCGGTGCGGTATGCGAGACACAATCGTCGCCTTTTTGAACTTGAGGCACGTTGCACATTCTTCTTGGCAGGAAACATAACTGTCTCGACGAGTGGCCACCTGCGAAACCCGCCAGTCTCGGGAGAGACGCAGGCTCAACTCTTGCGGACGCTCACCTCGTCAGGAAGCCAAAGCACATAAGGTACGCATAAGTGCTATACTTATTTTTGCAACACTGCACTGTCCCCCATAGATCCTCTCAGCTGATGTGCATAATTATCGCACATACGTACCCGGCCATCCCCCCCTCCCCCCCTTTTTTTTGGTCTGCCCTGCAAGGCGTGCAATCAGAAGGTAGTTAAGTTTAAGTAGGGGAATGTGCCTCTGCATTCCGGTACTCATCCCGATCGAAGCCACTCTGGCCCCGTAAACGAGTCTCCGAGTGGGGACCGGCGCCATAGCGGTAATAATGGCTTAATGCTAGATGCCCCCTTATACATAAGGGGAGAGGGAAGGGGGTCCGATCCCAGGCCAATTTGACTGCTCTCGCACCGTCAGCGATGCCAAGGCTGCGATCCATTTCTTGGAGGACGCCAAGTACGGTCGGACCGAGCTTTCGTAGCCAGTCCTTTTTAGATACCAAGAGATTTGATCTGCCACAATCGACTTGGCAGGGGACGGCAGTGGGACTTTTACGAGTCGCGCAGCCGACCGCAGAGGCACGTCAGACTTATTTGGCAGCCGTCGTCGCCATCCTTGACCAAGAAAAAAAGGGTGCCGTTTTGTGCCTTGGGACGGCTATGTAGTCTGCGGTACTTCCCGAGCCCGTTGGGCGGTTGGTTACACATAGGTAATGATCTCTTCTCTGTTCACCTTGTGCGACGTACATAAAATAGAGGCGAGACATGTTGGAACGCGGTCTAGACGTGTCAGCATGAGGTATTTTCTACAATCGCATGTTTCAGCAGAAAAGCTGATAGATGTAAACTGGTCGCGTGGGGATAGGAGACAAGCAAGCAGCACAAGCAAGCATGTCTCACACACAAATCTTCGTCGAACCTGCTACAGGTTCCGTATGAAGGCATCGAGAAAAAAAAAAAAAAGGTGTTGGCTGATAAGATTGGACTTGACATGCCTCGGGTGTTCCCAGGATACAGGCAAAGAACGGGATGAAGCGTTGGGCAGGGGTAATCGTCACGCACTACTCTTAGTACCCGTCTTGGCTCGTTGATGAACGTCATGGTCTGTGCTGTCGATGGAGGGGGCTAATCTCGCACGCGCTGCCTTCACAATCAAAAACAAGCTTCTTTGCAAATGACGAATAACCGGGGACTACTCTCCCCTTGACCACAAAGACGGTAAGACAGCACACGACGGTGAGCAATATTCGCAAGGGTCTCTTCTCTCTGGCGTGGGGAAAACCTGGAGACGGAGAGACCCTCGCCAATGAGGTTGGCTAAGATGTTTTGCTGACAGTCTTTTTCCCCCAACGCCTGCTCGTCATGATTCCTGCAGGCTGGGACTACTAGTATTTTTTGCACGAGACCAAGAGATTATTACTATTACAGGTAGTTACTACCTACCTAGGTACATATGCTCCCGCGCAGGTGAGATTGGAAATTCTAGTTGGATTCTGTTGGTACATCTAGAAAAACTTACGACTTCCTGCTGGTTGACCGAGATTTGCCCATTGCTAAAAAGGCGTATTCACCGCCACTTCCGCATTAGTTTGCTGAAGCTGACGATGACGGTAGGTCAGTAAGGATTTCTTAGTTGAGACACCATGCTTCGAGGTTCTGATTTACTGGAGAGCGGCCACTCATAGATCACGAAGCGCCCAGTTACAATTATAGCAGCGGCCTAGTTGCGCTGGCTTTTTTGAGGGTTTTCATAGTTGTCATCATTTCGCTGTCATCAACGGTAACTAAATTGTTAGGACCCTGCTTGATTGCCTCGCCCAAAAACATCTGG